CCTGTCTTTAGCGATCACCACTTCCTCGTAGCTGTCTTCCGGGATCCGTTTGTTGATATAGATTGCCGCTCTGGTATCTGGTGACGATACTTCTATAAGTCTGTAGTTTTCACCAGTCGGATTGTATCCGGATCCGTCGTACGGATTCCTCCATGGTTCTTGAATCGCTAGGATGTCTACCTCTTCTATCCTCTCGTCGGCGAAGAAGTCTATCATCACCTTGTCTGCGGACCTTTGGACATTATACTGGATAATGCGTAGTTCTCGCTTTATTTGGCCGTGTCCTGTCATTAGTTATCGAGGTCGATCTCCATCCTTTGGGATAATTGGGTATTTTCTTGTCCTTTAGATATCTCAAAGGGGTTGCTACCCTTGGGTAACTCTCTCGCAAACTCTGAGGCCCTTGTAGGCCTGCCTCTTCTCCCCCTCTCTTGGTCCCGTTCGAGGGTGCTCTCCGAGGCCTGTCTTTTTCTCCCTCTGACATCCTCAGCGGTGTGTCCAATGTGTGAGAATAACACCAGATCTCTTGGGTTCTCTGGGGTAATCGTGCTCTCGCTCGTGCCTTCCCCCGTCTTCGACAGGCTCGTCTTGAATATAGGTGAAGATCCTCCTCTTCTCCTTCCTCTGCTGAATTTCGATACCGTGCAGACATTGTAATTCAGTACTAAACCGTTGACAATTAGCCTGTTCGCAGTCTCTATGTCCGAGACTATCACTCTTAGGGGTAACGTTCGCTTGCCCACCGGGTTGCCGAGCCAGCTTGCTTTCCAGAGCTCCAGCCCTTTATATCGGAGGTCATTTTGTTCCTCTAATATTTCTGCTGTCTGTTCTGCAGTTAGGCCCGTTGGTACTCTGGAGACCACTAACTCATACTGCCTTGTGGCGGGCCTGGCTGAGTTGAGCCACTTCTTCGCCCACTCATCCCCTTTCCTCAGCTCCGGCCCCATTTCTGCTTGGGGGAAGACTTTCATGTCTCCTCCTTGGTATATGCGGATAGCCATAATCCTCTTGGCTATGGGTTGTCCGACCTTGGTCTCGATTTCCTTGACCAGCTCCGCCGGTGACATGTCCAGTCTGGGCTTCCACTCCGACTCCTTCGTGATCGTGTACTTGATCGGCGGTTCCTCCATTCTTGGCTTCTGTTGGGTGTTTGGTTGTTGCTTCTCTTTTCGCTTTACTGGAGTGGCTTGGATCTGTACATTTCCCGGCTTTTCCCTGTTTGCCTTTCGTGCGACTGTGCTCCATTGGTTTTGCTGAAGTCCTGACTCGTTATTTGTATTTCGCTTCGCCCCAGCCGATTCCCCTATAGCGCTACCTGCTTTCTTTTTCTCCCCTTCGGACTGTGTGGCCCTTGGGCGCGTGCTGTAGGGTTGCTCTTGACGCGTCGTGCTCGCGTCAGGTTCGCGTTTTTCGCGTATATCCTCATTCTTGAGGAGTTTCTGTATGTCCTGCAGCACCCCTTGGGCCGCGTAGGTGTTAATACACTTTTTCTGAACATTGCTGATATTGCTATTGAGCTGCTGTAGCAGCACTCTAAGTTCCGCGATGAACAGTGGTGTGGCCATCGTCAATTCTTCTCTTTATAGATCCCTTCTCCTAAATATAATTAGCGAACTTAATATATTAATATTTATATATATTAACTAGTTTTAGAAGTTAATTATTCTTTTAAGCTAACTTACTAGACTTACAAGTATACTCCTTATAAACACGGCGTAGATATTTTATCTCTTTCTTATTATAATAGAAAGCTATAACTATATTATAAGTAAATTATACGTCGCTTCACTATAAAGGCCTTTCTAGTATATTATACTAACTAAGTTATAAGACGTTACTCTATACCTCCTAGTTAATAGTCGTAGTAAGCGAGCGTATAATCGAAAGGTTAGTATTAATTATATTAGAGTTAATAAAATTAATCTATAGAACGCTTAAAAAATAAAAGATAGACTACTAAGAGAATCTTATAATAGAGTTTACTAATAAATTTAGATATAATTAATATTAGTAGATTCTACTCGCGAGATCTCGCTATATATTTAAGAAAGAGTAATATTATAGTTTTTATAGGTAACTACGTAACTAGGATCGCCGCTTAGTAGGTATATCCTATACCTCGCGGCCTCTATAACTCCTTACGAGTTCCCCGTTCTATAATTTACTCTTTTATGTGTATCTCTTGCTCGATCCGTGAGAGGTCTCGGGTTATATTTTTTCTAACGGATCGGGCCCGGATAATCCGTTTATCTAAATCTTACTACTTTAAGGCTATTTATAGTAACTTTTTTCGAAAAAACGCGATATTTACGCGCTAGAACGCGTAAAAAGGCGCTAAAACGCGCTAAGGAATACTAAGGAATGCTAAGCGGGCTAATCCGATCCGGATCCTGTTCGAACGATTTTCCGTTTAGACGGGTTATAGATAGCGACAACCCGATCCGAATCCGTCTAGTGCGCAGCCTAGTGCCCCGTACGAGGTAGGGGACGGAACTAAAGAAGGATTTAAAAGGAAGGTAAGCCGAGACCGTAATATATAAGAAGTTATATAGTATTAGAATACTCTATAGCTCTATAGTACTCTAGGAATAGAGTAATAGAGTAGAATAAAGTAGAAAAGATCTATAGCTCTATAGTACTTTAGGAATAGAGTAGTAGAGTAGAATAGAGTACTACGAGTTTTCTATATCTATATAGTTATAAGCTCTTCTACCGTTTCTAGCTTTTCTTCTATAATTAACTTCGTTTATAAACTAGATAATATATTTTATTAATAGTCCTTGTTCTAAATATAGATACTCTTACTCTAGTATATATCAAAATATCTTCTTTCGTCTATTAGTACTACTAATCGAATATATAACTTTTCGAAGGAGCGATTCGTGATACTTAAGTTTTTTCTTAAGCTTTATACTATATAGCGGCTACGAGTAATTACTATAATAGAGAGTTAAATAAGTATCGTCGTAGAGGACTAGAGATTAAGTAAAGATAGAGAGATATAATAAATAGAGATTAAATTATTAAAGAATAGGAAACGGCTTTATATAATAAATAGAAAGATAGAAGAAACTCGATTAAGAGATATAGCTAGTATAGTATAAGAGATAAGCGGAGATATATAGAAAAAAATATTAATATTACGACGAAACTATAGGGCTACGTAAGATCGGGATATTAAAGGGCTACGCGTACGGGTGTAGAGAAGACTAAAAGCGGCGTCTACGACCGCTGTTTTCGGCGGCTATTTCACCGATATATTGAGATACTCCGTACGGTATACGTAGGTATACAGTCATTCCCCAGCCGCCTAAGCCTGCGACTGGTCGCCGCGGCATTGCGTTAACTGGATTGGTTCCCTCGACTGTAGCGGTCACGAGCGTCCTTCGACATCCGACATCTTCACCTTTCGAGTTGGCCCCGACCTCTTTGTGTCCGTGTTCAGGTCAAGTGTCTGTATATAGGTCTCCGGCGGGCGTCGTCTACCACCTCACTCACGGAGGAAGCGCAGCTAGCCCCCTACCCCCTCCTTCAGCTACGAATCCTCCTCCAACATGGCCGCCAGACCAATCGTCCCGTTGCTGGTGGCAATGATGCTCCTGACCGGCTGCGCGAATACGATCCTCACCAAATATCAGGACCAACAATGCGTTCGAAACTGTGACGACAAGAACATCAAGAACCGCCAGACGTTTGAGCAACCGGTCATCCAGACGTAAGCGTACCCACGCCTACATGACCATTGCCATACTGACTGCCACAGGGTTCAGATGTTCATCGGGGAAATGGGCAGCTGGATCGTCATTCTAGGCTTCTACCTATATCGGTATTTCGTCCTCCGCTTCAAAGATGCACCTCTCCTATATCAGCCCCTGAACACCGACGAACAAGAGGCGGAAGATGACGATACTGTCCGCCCGACATCGGCCGGTGCACCGAGCCCAGCCCTAAAACCTCTTCTCCCCAATTCAGATGATCGAGCCGAGCTCCAAGGGTGGAAAGTCGTGCTACTGGGACTTCCAGCTTGCTGCGACATTACTGGAACCACCCTGATGAATGTGGGCCTATTGTTTGTGGCGGCTTCCATATACCAGATGACAAGAGGGGCGCTGGTCCTGTTCGTGGGGCTATTCAGCGTCTTGTTCCTGAAGAGGAGGCTGTTTCTATATCACTGGATATCACTTGTCATCGTCGTGCTGGGCGTCGCCGTTGTTGGCCTTGCCGGAGCAATCTATTCGGGAGACAAGAACGCACAAGCATCCAACACAGACAACGGGGAATTCCTACACGATGCATTGCTCACAGCCCGCGAACTGGTTGTTCGGGCTGTAGATCCTGCAGTAGTGCGAACCATTCTGGGGATCTGCCTGATTGCAGTTGCCCAGATCTTCACTGCCACACAGTTCTGTCTGGAAGAATGGATCCTGGAACAGTACGCGTTGGAACCACTGAAAGTCGTTGCTTGGGAAGGTCTGTTCGGGTTTCTCGTCACCGTTGTAGCTCAAGTCATCCTCCACTTTACCGTCGGCGTCTCCAAAAGTGGGAAGTATGGGTATTTTGATGCTTCCGAGGGTTACCGCCAAGTCCTCACGAACAGAGCAATCGGGATTTCCAGTCTCGCCATCATGGTTTCCATTGGGGGCTTCAACTTCTTTGGTTTGTCCGTGACAAGGACGATTTCGGCTACCTCTCGATCGATCATCGACACTTGCCGGACTTTGTTTATCTGGATTGTCTCTTTGGGTCTTGGGTGGGAATCATTTAAGTGGCTTCAGGTGGTTGGCTTCGCACTGGTAAGCTTCGAAATTGTGATCGTTCCGTCAGGCAAGAAACTAATATGATGGGCAGCTTGTTTATGGTACATTCATGTTTAATGACCTTGTCAAACCCCCAATCAAGGCGCTTTTGCCCCGGAGCGAAGAGGCAGAAGGACGTGGCATCCTCCTACCAGAAGAGCCGATCGAGCACATTTAAAAGCGTGGATCGATTGTCCATGCCCTACCGCACAGCAGAAATTCCTCAGTACGGAGTACTGCTTGGGCAATCTGCTCAACTCGGCGGACTGTACATATGAATGACTGATCTAGACGCACATACAAGGATGCAACAATCCGATATGGTTCCGCTTTGTGTTGCCAACCTGTACATCATTTCTTTATCCGACGAATCGTCGATCCAGTGCCTCTCGATCCGCGGGTGAAGTGTGGTAGTGTGCCATGCGTATATTCAACACGCAAAGCGACTCCTTGTTTAACGGAGTAATTTCAAGGCGACAGCCCTGGGCCGTGGGATGGCTACACAAATCCCGACGCTGTACTTGTCTCCTGTCAGGCATGACAATTAAATAATGCATGCCTCCTTTTTATCAGTTGTGTCAGAATCTGCACTTCCTTTTTGGTTTCCTTTCGATTATATCTAATGGTTCGTGCAGGGGTGCTATGTCGTGCCGATGGCGCCCAAGCAAGGGGCGGAAGCCCACGCACTTCAGCCCTCGAGGGGGCTGGACTAATCTTCTTCACAGTGAAAAGGAGGGCTTGTGTAACACGGGTCTGATCCCTTTTGGATGCATGTAAGGGTACATATTGATTTGGAGTCTCTGAAAGCACCCGCCCGACGGGTTTGGAGCTGGTCCAACGCCACGCCAGTTCAATTTGCAACACACGCTACAAGGACGGATATTGGGAACCATCCCTTCTGCCCCTGTGATATATGTCTCATCCTACCCTTGGTTGAGGAGGAAGAAACTGCATTTTCCTTTTTTACTTACATGGCCAATGCCCAATGCCACACATGCAACAATGGAGAAGTCAACTTTGCCTCGAACAGCAGAGCTCAGCCTCGATATCGCGATGCCTATCCTTGGTCGGTCACGGTCACAGTCACGGTCACAGTCACGGGCACCGTTCCATCTTACTCGTTGCATGACCGAGGGACAGATGACGCCTCCGTCGTCGCCAACTTCTCCTCTTTCCCATTTCCAAAACGGCGGACCTCGATTGCACTTGTATAAGCTGCTCCGAAAGTCCAGATCCAGGTCAAGCCAAGGCAAGCACAGTGGCCAGTTTCAAGAGCAACGAGAGAATAGCGGCACCGATGTTGCGCAGGGGATCGTGAGGCCAGCCGGGACACAGATGAAACTACCATTTCAACTTCCACTTCGGCTCCCTGACTCACCTCCCGTCACCGAGGAGGAAGAGGAAGAGGAAGCAGCATCCCCAGCCTCAGCAACACATTCGTTTTCACAGGGCCTCCTGCGTAGGATGTCGACTAGCTACCATGGTTTACGTGCTTTAGCACAGGCGCAGCAACAGGCTCTTCCGAGCCCGGTGGCACCCTTACTTCCAAGCCCTATACCAAGATGGGAGGAGCCTTTGGCCTATGAGGCAGGGCGATCATCGTTTTCCTCCCAGACACGCCGTCCTGTCTCTTCCGATACAATCGGGCAATCGCAGTTCTTCAACCTTCCCCAACTCAATTGCCCGACGGGCGATGAGTCAGAGTCACTTGATACCGTACAGATTTTGTCTTACTATTGCAACGAAGTATGTGATACCAGCGATGAGGAGGAGCCTGCAGATCACGAGAGTGCCATGGCAGACTATCCCCCTGGCGAGGAAAATCGATTCAAGGAACGCGTGCTTGCGGACTATTATTCTTCCGACCAAGACCAAGACGACGGATCGAATTTTGATGAGAACGATAGAGATGGGCAGAGCGCGAGCTCCAGCACAGCTTCAGATGTTCCAATGCCAGCGACGCCTTCAGTCTATGACCATTTCCACCAAAGTCGAACCCGGGAGACGGGCTGCTCTTCCGACGAGTCTGGCTGGCTAGCCAACACGACGTCTCATGCAGAAAGGCAGCGCAGGTTCAAAGCGCGGTTCTGTCAGGTCGTCCAGCATCCCTGGACCGAAGGATTGCTGTACAATAACGACAGTGATTGGGAAGGTGAAGGTCAAGTGGTGAGTGTTTGCTTTTGCTCTTTTACTTTGAATGGCCTTTCGCTCTTTTACTTTAAACGGCAAAAGAGATCCGTTTCTGCCGTGGGACCAGAGAGAGACACAACAGACAGACTCTAGTGAAGTTTTGATCGGTTGAACCTTTGAACTAACACGGCACCTTTCTCCCAGATGATCGCTACAGTCCTGATCGGAGTCGGACCAGGGAAACCGAAACTGGTACAGATTCAACGGCTGTCTTCTTCAAACTCAAGCTCATGTCCATCAACAAGACTGCCGCTGCAGGCTGAGACTACCAATTCAGTTCCTTCATCAATTACTTCAATGCCTTCTACTTCAAACGAGCGCGGGGACCAACCATGCCCTACTACCACTCCATCGCCTCTGACTCTGACTCCGAATATGACTCCGTCAACCCCAGTTCAAGGATTGGGACAAGCCCCTCTCGAAATATCTGCCTTCAGTCCCTACGACACTCCTGGTCCGGGCGATGATGATGCTGATACTGACGTTGATGCTGATGCTGGTGTTGACGCTGATACTGATACTGATACTGGTGCTGACGCTGATACTGATCTAGCTCAATATCAGCCTCCATCGGGCTACCTATTCGCCGGCACCGAGATTGAGAAGACGAGGTATGGTGATGACGCCGTGCGAGATATCTCATCTTCTTCCTCCAGCGCCATTCTTCCACCTTCGTGGAACCTCGTACCTCCTCCATTGACCCTGCCTTCTAGAAGTAGGTCGAGCAGATCCGACAGCCGTGTTCTCAGCAGTACTTTCGGTGATATTGCCCTGCACCGACACCTCCAGGGCTTGGATGACCCGTTTACTTCAACGTCGCCGCTGTCATCGTCGCCAAAAAGATCGAGAAGCGAGCGAACGGTGCGTGGTGGCAATTCCGCCAGTTGGACGCTTGGTGACAATGACACCACCTGGGCGAGGGCGAGGAAACAGCGGACAAGAACGATGCGCGATAATCGTACCAACAGGACGGCCATTCGTGACAACACCGATGGCGATCTCGACCTCGATGCCGACGAGGCGACCAGACACTTTTGCCAAACTCGACGCCTAAGCACATCTCCGGCTTCGCCCACGTCCCAAGTCGCAGCCTGGTCGCGGTACCGGAAAGTAGAACGAGCGCTGCTGGCGGTCACACAAGCCATTGACCGATTCCCCGACGGAATGCTTCGTCTGGATTCGCCGGCCCTGATAGAAATGAGGCGGGACTGTGCTTTCTGGTCTTGTTCTTCCGATGGCCCTGTCACCGTCGTCGACATGACCGAGCAGAACCAGATGTACATCGATTGGTTCCACAGAATATTCCCGAGTGCGCCGACGCAGCTTGTTTCTGCGCTGGCGGCCTGGATCTTGGTCGACTTGTATTTCTCGCGACTTTTATCGGAGAAAAAGGGATGGCAACGGCAACAGCACGAAGAATTAGGACCTATGTCCATGGAATCTCGGTTTCGTGTCTTGGAGGAACAACATTCCAGGATTACGATGGACACGGGACGCAATTTCACAGCTCGGCTAGGGCTCGATCATCCCCGTGACCATGACGTTTCTCCCTCTTTCTTCTCTCCCCCGTCTATGGCCGGAGCGACGGATGAAGAAGAGACAAGAAGATTCTGGGCCCATGCAAACACATCATCAACATACCACCCAAGAAGCCTGCACCATGTTTTCCCGAACAAAGCGACAGCCATACCTGGTCTGGGGGGATTATCCGACGATGAGACGTCGATTCCAGTTCGGTGCGAGAACGAAGACGTGTTGCGCAAAGGCGTGAGCGTAAGCGGAAGCGGAAGCGTAAGTGTCGACGTCGAGGCTGTCCATGCTCGCATCGGTGTCGTTGCTCGAACCCTGGTCGAGGCTTTACGGGGAAGTTGGGACGACGACGTTTGGCGCTCGTTGAAGGTTTTGGTCGAACTTCTCGAAGGGGGTGGAGGTGTAGCCACTGCGACTGCGAATACAGGTTAGGGTTAGGGTTAGGGTTAAGCTCAGAGTCAGAGTCAGAGTCTGGACAATAAAGGGTGAAATGTTCCATGTTCTCTATCAACGGGTCGGGTCGGGTCGCAGGGGGAGCGCATGCTATATCTAGGTAGTATAGATAGCACCTAAAGCAGCCTTCTGTAAAGCACAAGGCTGGAAATGCCTCAGTTTGACAGAGCCAGTGTCAGTGTCAGTGTCAGAGTCAGTCTAGTAGAGTCTGATGAGGCTGCCGTAGTGGTAGTGGTAGTGGCAGTGGTGATTGATTGTTGGTGACTTGACTGTTGACTGGTGACTTGAGTGTTGACTGTTGACCGTTGACCGTTGACTCGTGACTGTTGACCGTTGGCTGTTGACTGTTGGTGACCGTTGACTGTTGACTGTTGACTTGACGGTTGGTAATAGACTGCTTCCTCTAGGCCCCAGAAGGAAAAGATGGGACGGTTGATTGATTGATGGGTGAGTGTGAGTGTCTATGTCGAAGTGTCTACTGAGTCGTGACTGGAAGCCTGTATCTATATCTTTATCTGTATCTGTATCTATATTTATGTATGTATCTATGTCTGTATTTATATCTGCATTTGTTCTGTTGTCTTACTTGGCACTTGTAGCATCTGTCCGGAGAAGGACATTGATATTATACTATACTGTACTGCCCTATGGATATATCCTACAGTAGCTGTATATCCGGCTAGGACTTACAGACAAGGCTTAAGCTTAGGCCGGGCGATACTTCCATATATCTAGGTATAAAAAGATTCTGATGGCCTCGCCCTCGCCCCCGATATCGCCTTTAATGCCAAATAAATATAAGGTACTCTAGGCATACTCTAGGCCGATGCCGGGGCCAGGTTGGGATCGACCTGCAATGAAGGTGGCAGTGGCAGTGGCAGTGGTATGATACCGAACCAGAGCTTCTAAGTAAAGCACAGTTCTCGATAGAAAGCACAGTTCTCTGATAGACATATACACCACAACACTCTCATACAAAACACAGACCCTGATAGACATAGACTCCAAGTTCTACAATCAACGCATCGCCACTCTGACCTTCAAGCAAAGCATAGTTCCCTAATACAGACTAAGTTCTTATAGAATCAGTGTAGCGCTACTCTGACCTTCAAGCCGGTCTAATTCAAAACCCAAGCATTGCTACAAAGCACAGTTCTCGATACAAAGCACAGGTCTCTAATAGACATAGACACCAATTCTTACAATCAACGCAACATCACTCTAACATTCAAGCCAGTCTGGTTCAACACCCAGGCATTACTGACCTCCCACTCCTGAAGCGGATCGACAAGCTCCAAATTGAACTTCAACAACAACGCCGGCACCAGCTTATGCAGCTCGAGCATGGCGATGTTCTTGCCCAGACATGACCTCTTGCCGGCGCCGAACGACAGCAGACTGTGTTCCATGAGCTTGGTCTGGGATTCATGCTCACTCAGCCAGCGCGAAGGGTTCCACTGGTCCGCGTCGGGTCCGAACACGGCGGCGCTGCGGTGGAATACCCACGGGTTGATGCCCACGATGGTGCCTGGTGGAAGGACCGTCGGTGGAGAGCCGTCGTCGTGGTGAAGAACGAAACTGGCGGCATGGTTGGATTTGTTGTCGTTAGGGTTAGGGTTAGGGTTAGGGTTAGGTGTGTGGCCCGGCACCACCCTCTCCAACGGCAACGACAGTGCAGGGTTGATGCGTAGACCTTCCTTCACCACGGCGCACAGGTACGTCAGATGTTGGGTCTCGGCCCAGGTCGGGCTCGGTGGGTGGGCGATGTGGCCTTGCGCTACGGCCATGTCGAGTTCTCTCATCAGCCGGGACAGCGTGTCTGGGTTTTTGAGGAGGTGGTAGAAGATGGCGCGTAGAGTGGATGCAATCGTATCACTGCCGGCGTTGATGTTCATCTGTGGACACAGGACGATCAGTGTGAATTGGTGGATTCAAGTCGATGGTTGTGGTTAGATCAGTCATCTATACGACATGGGGTAGGAAACATGGAAAGAAACGCTGCCAGGGCATGTTGAAGTGAAACCTCGACGCTTGATAAATGGGAGCCATCATCCGTTTGCTTCGCTTGATGAATGGGAGAGCCATCATCAGCTTGCTCGGCATGTTCAGCAGACAGGAAAAAGATACAGCCATGGACACAATCAGTCCATTCAATGGACGTAGTCAACCGAGGCCTAGGCCTCAAAGAGCATGACCGTCTTCAGGAACAGAACGATGCTAACACGTAAGGAAACACTGGCACTCACAAATAAATGCGACAATATCTGGCCATCCGTCAATGCCGCCTCTCCCGCCTCTTCCTTTCTGACCTTCAAGAACCGGCTGAGAAAGTCGGGCCGGCTCAGTTTTCCCTTTTCCCTCTCCATTTCTGTTTCATCTCCGTCTCCTTCTCCTCGCTCCTGGTCCTGTAGTCTCTCCTTCAACAAACCCTGGGCGAACTGCAGGATAGGCGAGCTCACGGCCGGGCGAAACCACCGGACATAAATGGGATTCTTTCCAAGAAAGGCTTCGTCCAGCCAGGGCATCTGGCCCAGGACGCTGAAGTAGTTGAAGTTGGCGCCGATGGCGTCGATGATGTGGTCGACGTCGACGCCGGACTCGATGAAGCCCAGACGGTGGCTGAAGGTGAGCTCGCCGATGACATCAAACGCGAAGAATTGCAGGTATCTTCCCAAATCGAGGACCCGACTGTCGCTGGTATATCGCTCTTCCAGCGTCGCCAACAACACATCGATCGTGTGATCGACCAGCTCCTCATACTCGACCAGCGTACTGAGCGAGTATGCATGGGCAATCTGACGCTTCGACCTGGCGTGTTCGGACTCGTCGGTCATGGCCACCAGACTGGCCGCACGCCGCCCGTTGACCATGTTCTGGAAACAGCTGTAGAAATCCGACTTGACCAGTCCCTTGCCGATTCCATAGATCTGTCCAATGTAGGCCGAAGACCCCGTCACCGAGACGCAGTTGGGCCCCAACCGCACCATGTTGCCATATCGCCGGTGCAGTTCCAGCTGCCTCTCGTGCGGTTTGCGGCCCAACACCAGCAGCAGGCGGTACAGGTCGGTGAAGCGAGCTGCGACCGGGCCCGGGATGGAGCGCAGAGCGAAGTAGTTTCTCACGAGACAGAACACCCAGAGGGCGGGCACGGCGTAGATCAGCAAGTGAAGCAACATACTCGAAGGTGGTTGAGACTGCCAGTGGTCAGTCGCCCAGCATGAGACGAGAATCAGAATGGATCAAGCAAAGATACGGCGTCGACGAGAATCAGAATGGATCAAACAAATAGACGGCGTCAACACCAGGAAAACCCAAACCGTGAGGCAGCGATACATGTGCCATCACATCCAGCGTCATGCTCATGCAGTACTGACGGAGTGCATGTTATACATCTCAGCAGTCAGGCGGGCCAGTCGGCAATCTTCCGTGGCCTGTGAGTTTGGTTCCGATGGAAAGCAGAGCAATTGATTCGACCGGTCGTTTCCCTCTCGCTTTGGAGGAGGAGTGAGGAGCCTCCCAATCCTGCCTGCGCTGTTGTGGCGGCGGGCCGGAATTCACAGAGCGGAAAACTTCCGTGACTGTGGACAGGACCTCCGTCTACATAATATAGCACCGAGTACTCTATACATACCCCAGTGATGCGATGCGATGCGATGCGGAACGGTAAGAGATGAGAGACGAGAAAATGGGCTAGACACAAGCTACAGTATGTACGGAGACGCCCAGAGGACGGAACAGAGCAGATGCGCACCTTATAAGGCCCGCTGCCACCGCACCGCACGACTATTGTGTCATACGCTCCCTTCTCCCGTCTCCCACCCACAGCGTGCTCCCTGCCACTTGTCCAAGTCCAGTCCCCTTTCTGCTCTCCTACATGTCCTCTGTCTACGATTCCGTCCAATCGACCTGCTCGGTGATCGGCGCCCCTCCCTCTTTCGTATATGAAATCTTTAGTCGTAAGCGTAATTTCGCTGGTAGCGGCTGGTCACGACATGTCACATTAGCATTGGTTTCAACGGCATCCATGTTCAGAGCAAACTCACCCCTGTTGCTGCAATAATCTTCATGCTTTGCGTGGCCTCCTCGCCGGCCTCAAGTGTGCTCTTGTTGATGGCATGCAGCGTCAACTTCTGGCTCTTGGGCACGGCGGCTTGCAACCCGACACCTGTCATGCGCTCAAATGCTAACGTGTCCTTGAATCGGGCAAGTGCTTGAATCGTAGCACCACTTCGTGACACCTGAATGGAAACCACCAATCCGTTCTTGTTGTAGACAGGATGCGCGGGCGAGCCACCTGGAGCGGGACTCGCAGGCTTGGGGGTTCCATTGCCAAACAGATCCATGATTGACTCCGTATTCGAGGCCGGTGTTGGACTCTTGGTCTGGGGCGGAGGACTCGAGACAGAACTCCCGCCGCCAAGAATGTCCGCCAGCAAGTCTGCCGTCTGCTGTTGTCCATTGAGTGTCGCGCTCGTGTCGACCGCCGGGACATCCGATCCCCCCATAAGATCCAGCAGCATGTCCGACTCGCTGGTTTTGGCAACCTTTGCGTGGGCCTTGCTTTTCAGTGTCTTCCTCTTGTCCTTGGCAGGGGTAGCGGCTGGACCAAATACTCGTTGCTCTTCCTTGATTTCCGGCGGCGGCATCTTCTCCAAAACTCCTCGTCGAATCGAGTCGTAGCCAAAAAGGTTGCTGTATTCCACCGCCCTCTGTTGGATCTCGACACTCAGGTCAGACGTCCTTGATTGCATCAGGCGGCGTATCCGTTCGATCTGGGCCTGATCTGACATCCTCGTTGTCAGTTTCATCGCCGAGGTGATGATGAACTCGGTGACAACCTGATTCGCGTAGGTGGAGTTGAGGATCGTCGTATACAAGTCCACAATATCGCTTTCCTTGACTTCTTTGACTAATTCTTCCTCCTCGTACGTGCCTCCACGCAGTAACGAATCTCCATACTCACCAATGACCCATACTCCGGCCAGCGTCAGCGCCTCCTGCGTGATATCTGCCTTCAGGGCCGCATACAGCTTCTGGACCGAGTAGGTCTGCTGATCTGGCGATGTAGCAATGAGGCGGACAAACGATGACAGAATCTGTTCCTTGACGTAGTTGCCAGCCAATTTGACGATTCTTAACATGGTGTCAATGTGCCAACGCTTGTTCGGGGCGAACCGGTCGGCGGCAATTCCAATCTGTGTCGTCATGACCGGCTTAAATTCTGTGTCGGCAACCTCTAGAAATGCCAATAGTTCTCTAATCAGCACCCGCACGTTGTCTTCTCGAATCAGTGTGAAACTGAGATCAAGCGCCCGTCGCCGGATCGAGATGTCGGGGTCTCTTAAACACTCCAGGATGGTGTTTCGATGCCGTTGAACCGCATTAGGCTCAATGGCCACCACCTTGATTAACGTGTTGAGGGCGACATAGCGGATGTTGTTGTCTTTGTTGGCCAGGAACTTTCCAAGAATGTTGACCCCCAGAACACGCAGTCCTGAATCAGCGTCGATGTCGAGGATGGTGAGGACAGCCTCGTAAAGGATCGAATTCCCAACATTTTTGGTAGCTTCCGTGTTGGTAGCAACTTGGGCCAAAATGTCATTCATTTGTTCGCTGGTTGCGGGATCGCCCCTCCCAAGCACTCGGAGCAGCCGCAGAATCTTGACCTGCAGGAAAGGGTCTGTGATTCCTGCAACATCATGCTCTGGGGTGTAGCCTGAGCTGGTCAGGCTTTTCAGTGTCCGAACGAGATGTGGCACGACCGGGCGGAACAGCTCTATCACTCCTTCCTCTCCACCTTCTGCTTCGTCCGCCTCACACAAGCTTACGATCAACATCAGTCCGCAGAGGAGCACTCCGTGGTTTCGGTCCTGTATCAACACTTTGGCTTTCTCTAGGAAATGTTCTTGAAGATCCGGGACTTTTCGACATATCCGCATTGCGCAAAGTGCCGCCTTTCGGCGAATGTAGGGATTTGCCGTAGAGATAAGGGTTTCGATTTCAGGGAAGAGGTCTCGGGACATTTCGACGGACGCAATATTGCCAAGGGTACAAAGCGCAAGCCCGACAACATATTGGTTGGAATGGTTGAGGTCACTTTGTCATGTTAGCCAGCTTCTTAGACTTCTCCATCTTGTAAACGTACTTCTTGAGCGAATTCGTCACGAGGGTCAGGACTTCTTGATTCTCGTCAAGCAGCAGCATCGTCCCCAAATATCCCAGGCGCTTGTCCGCAAAGCGCGGAGAGGCAAGGAGCTTTAGACATTCAATCTGACCAAAGTGCGTCCGCTCGCCCAGGGTGAAGAGATATAGAAGTTTTGCGACATTGTTCCGCCTGCGTCCAATCAGTCACGATTGCCTAGTAATAGACGTGAAAAGGATGACCTTATGTTGTGATCATGGCTCTCTTCCCGAAAACTGGCTCGAATGGCAGCACTTTCCTTCTGGACAACGGCCCGTTCGTCGGCAATGGTCTTCGCGGCTCGCACATTGCGAATGAATTGCTTGACTGGAGGCCAGTTAGAACTGATCTGCCAACTCCACGGGGTACACACGAGATGTCATGTTGAGCTGACCCTAGTCAGGGTCGACTTCAGTCGTCACTGTTTCATAGAGAATCGAGGCAAATCCGGCTAAGTAGGATGCTGACTCTGCCACCTCTGGTGCAGTCTAGCAAGTGCGTCCGAATCTTTCGAACGTTGTGTGTGGAAGAGTTGGATGCGTGCTCCGTACTCCAAGTATGAGCGACAGTTGATGCGGCACCAAGTGTCCTCCGCGTCTGTCCAATCGGAGACGGGCGTTGGCTCGCCGCCTTTATATAGGGGGCGGCCGCTTCAAGTGGCAGAGAGGCTTCACCACCTCACCTCACTTCACTTCTGCTTTGCGTCTATGCGGAGGTGGGCGAAATTATGTTTTCGCGCACCGTGGCGACACTCAATCTCCTCAAGGTAGCTATGAGACTCCGCGTTTTAACCTTTGCGTTTTTGCCTAGTTCAAGGTGGTCTTCCCTCCATCTCAATCTTCACAATGTTACCATCTCAACAAGCCAAGTCATCAGGCATACATCGACCACATGGAAGCGGCTGCGGTATTGGGTGGCATTCGGCCCTCGTCACAGTCCTGGAAAGGTCCATGGGAGATGATGTCGTTGGATTCATTGCAAAGAAGGGCTCGTGCTTGGGGTGGGCAGCTCTTGTTGGAGGCATCTATCACTGGGTCCTCAGCAAGATTTGTGGCAAGCCGGCTGCATGATAATCATCGCAAGGAACCCGGCCGACAGACATGGTCTTCCACGACTGACTTTCACCCAGGTGTTAAGGAAATCGCGAAGACGGAGCAGATGCACTTTATCACGATAGAAGCGGCCGCAACCCCAATTGATTGCCTCCGTATTGTGTCTCCTTGCTTCGGCCTTCAAAAACACACTTGAATTGCTCTTCTAATAACATGTTTCTCCTGACCTTTGATAGCCTTACTGACAGGTGCTTACAATACCAAGTATTGCTAGCCACAATTACTAACAGGGGCCCAGGCTCGACAACGAGGTCAACATAGATGCTCTTGTGATGCTCTTGGAGGGTTCGTCGTTAGTCGTTAATTATGTCCCCTGGCACTGCCGGCCAGGATAGCCGATGTGGGATGATGTTACTAATCTCCTTGAGCTACCTTATGGATACCCTGTACGGAGTATCCGTACATCCTCAGCATGCCCCAATGCCAGCCTCGGGGATCGCGGCTCTGTAGACACGATCATCACCCACCCAATCGGCAAAGGTGGAAAATGAGGGCACCGAGAGCCGGGAACCAGATTGTCTCCATGGGAGAACACGAGGCATTTCTTGGCCATAGTCAGCTGCGGTCTTGCTGGAGGAAGTCGGTCGAGTCAGATACCATTCAACCAAAGCACCATTCTCGACTAGTACTAATAGTATAGGGTTGCAACCTCATCCGCTTCGGAACTCGCAAGGCTGCAGTGTCGGGGGATGCCATATGCCAGCTTTGCCTGGTGCTAAGGTTCGTCGCACGGATACGTACAGAGTGCTTACTGGAGATATTAGTCTCACCAGTCTGGTCCCAAATTCAGGACGGAGGGGCACGACAAGCAGGGTGAGAAGAGTTTGATGAAGTGGTACGGCACACTGGTCATGTCGGCTCCGAGCTGTTGTTTCTAGAGCCTGCTGTGAACCTGCAGGGCAAGGGTGACGTCGTCAGCCGGGGCCGAGAAGCCCCTAAGCCTCAGCATCATCCGCTCCAGGGGCCAGTAGGATACGGCGGCCTTGGGAGCCCCTAAGCCTTAGGCTCCTAAGGCTCCTAAGGCCAAGGAGGCCGCCCGCAATTTCATGGGGCACCCCTAAATTTGTCGCATGCGCACTCGGCTTCAGAGAGTCCCGAGCGCAGTTGCATCACTCCAAGACTTGATCGACGCTCTCCGTACCTATATGATCTTTCACGGCAAGCCCAGGCTAAGAGGCCAGCGAAATCATGGATGCCTTCTTATCCATAAAGTAAACATGATTCATCGTCTTCCCTTACTTGTAGTCCCTTGATTTGCCTCCTTGGCTTATTGTTTCACCATGGACACTCTTCCTTCTGGTAATCAGGAGGGAAACCTCCTCCGACCCAGGCCCATGAGAGCCCTGCCTGAGGCTCTGCGCGCAACGGGCCAGGCTCCCAACGGCTTTGCTGATGCCTCCTCCAGCATCTCAAGGTACGCTTGACCTTTGGGTTCTCTACGGGAATACTGACACTGACATGGTCAATGTAGTGGACGTTCGACGCCCGTCCCTCAAGATGCGCCGCCGTCCGTCCAACACATTTCCACGGCGCGGAAACATGCTCGAGCCAAAGCGAAGCACCGCATGTTCCACACCATCAACTACACGAATCGAGTGTCTTACTTCGACCCGCGAAGTGATTACCGCGACTTTCGGGGCTTCTTTGTCTTGTTCTGGATCAGCCTGACCATCATGGTCATCACCACCGGTTTGCGGAACATTCAAGAGACGGGCCATCCACTGCGGGTTGAGGTCTACTCCCTCATGTCTCGAAACGTCGTTTCCCTCGGGTTGGCCGATGCTGCCATGGTCTTTAGCACTGCGTTGAGCTTGCCCATTCAAAAGATGGTTCGGGGCCAGACGGGGTTTCTTCGCTGGCGAAGAGCTGGATTTTGGATACAAACCATATACCAAGGCATCTGGCTGTTGATCTGGGTCGAGCTGCCGTTCTTTCTGCGATGGACATGGACAGCGCAGGTCTTCTTCGCTCTGCACACTCTGACGTTTCTCATGAAGATGCATTCCTATGCATTCTACAACGGTCATTTGAGTGAGACGAAACGCCGTCTGCAGGAGCTGGACAAACCCGAAACGGCGGACATGGCCAAGGCAGTCAAGTACCCCAGCTCCCCATCACGACTACAGGAGATGGACCCAGAGAGCTCGTCAGACGACGACTCACTCGAGGAGCTGGCCCAGCTTCGTCAAGACCTGGCCACCGAATTGACCTCTCCGCTGGGCCAAGTCACCTATCCCCAAAACCTGACACTGGCCAACTTCGTCGACTATATCCTTTGCCCGACTCTGTGCTATGAGCTCGAATACCCCAGGACACCCAAGATACGGTGGGTGGAGTTATTTCAGAAGACCCTCGCGGTCTTCGGCTGCATTTTCCTGATGATCACCATCAGCGAGGAGTTCATCAGCCCAGTGTTGTCCGACTCGGCCGTTCGCCTTCGCCACGTCACTTCGTTCTCGGACAGGGCGCTTATTCTCGCCGAAACCACAAGCCTTATGCTCTTCCCGTTCATGATCACCTTCCTTCTGGTGTTCCTCGTCATATGGGAATACATTCTGGGTGCTTTCGCCGAGATCACCTGTTTTGCAGACCGGCACTTTTACTCGGATTGGTGGAACAGCAGCGACTGGCTCGAATTCTCGCGGGAATGGAACATTCCAGTGTACCATTTCCTGCGTCGGCATGTGTATTTCGCCTCCAAGGTATATTTTTCTAACTCGATCGCCATGGTCATGACTTTCCTCGTCAGCGCACTCGGCCACGAGCTGATCATGGGGTGCATTACCAAGAAGCTGCGTGGCTATGGCTTCATTGCCATGATGCTCCAGTTACCCATAGTTGCCCTGCAGCGAAGCAAGTACATTCGGGGCCGTTGGGTTTTCAACAATGCCGCTTTCTGGAGCAGCATGATTCTAGGCTTGAGCGCCATGTGCAGTCTGTACGTTCTGGTCTGATCTAGACTGTCCCGGATAGTCAGTTTGAATGAACGGAGAAGCCCTCCATTGGATGCGAGGTGACGGCGTCAAGGGGTTATCAAGATAGACGCCATATCCCTGTCACATCGCGGGGAGGTCAGAGAACCTGCACAGACAGCCACACAACTCGAGTGACAAGCAGCCGAGGCCGACTGTGCCGCAAGGGTGGCTACTAGTACACTTGTCCTGTCCTATCATCCACCCTTGCGACAATCGCGTACCAACGTGGCCTGCAACGTCCGAATCCGGCACATACCACAGAGTTTGCCAAATTCAAAGGGACGCCAAGGGATCAGCTGGCGAAAGAAGGAGAGTTGGCGCGAGGGACTGGCCTGAGATTGGTCATGTACCGTACAGTTGCACACGGCTGAAACATGGAGGCGGAGGTCTGGAACACCAACATACGAACCGCACCGCCGTGCTCACGAAATCTCTCAAAAGGGGCGATGGTCGACTCCTGCTATAATATCTCTATGGGCCTGCGCGAGTGCTGCTGGGCCGTGCTCCCCCAACCTCAAACAACACGGGAGAAAGGCTCGCATGGCTGCCGTCCTAGGACCCTGTCCCGATGACCCGGACGCTGGCATCACCCACACCACGACAGCCGAAGCTAGATTTGCAGAAGGAAGGGCCCGCCGCGAACTCATCAGCCAGATCATTCGCGCCAACTACATCGGGCCCCAAAGGAGCTTGTTAGGCTCCCTCAACGAATTCCGTCACTGGTCCCCGCAGGAGGTGAGAAATCTATTCGAGCAGAACCTGCCGCCCATCAAGGAAGGAGATGCAGAGGGGCGCAGAAAACTGTACCCTCTAGGACCACTGTATCGTTCCATTCCTAGCGATTCTAGAAGATGGAAAGACTTGGCCACCAAAGCCGCCATGGTGGGCGTGGTGGATGCTTTTGCGGTACCCTTCTCCCCGCTCCTCTTGTTGGCATCGAAAGAGCAACGGAAGAAAACGATGCAAATCTATGCCGATCTCAACGTCAGTGCAATCTCGTCATCGTTCTTCGTCAAGGCCAGCCCTGGCCTGTTGGAACAGGCAGCGCAGTCTGGGAAAGCCCTATGCGTCAACCGCTGGGGCATATTTCGGATCATGGACTCGGGGTATGCCGCCATCTCACACGTCTGGGTCGAGACGATGGGATTGGAGTATAACGACGAGAAAACTGAGCAGGATGAGCGCGGGTTCAATATGCACCATTTCATTCGGATCATGGACGTGGTGCGCCGGACTGGGTGCGAGTGGGTCTGGTTCGACCTGCTCGCGATCCCGAAAGGCCGCGACCCAGCTTCTAGGGCGCTGAAAACGAGGCTCATCAACAGCCTCCGCCATGTCTATGCCAACGCCGCCAGGATCGTCGTGCTAGACGGTCTCACGCTGCAACTCAACTCCGGCGACCCGCTCATCACAGCCGCCATATTGTCGTGTGGTCGGTGGCTTTCACGAGTCTGGACATACCAGGAAGCCAAGCTCGCCCGCGAGCTCAAGATCGTCACGGCCACGGCCGTCATCGACCTCAAAGACATGGTCGGCGCTCTGCGGGCCGCCGAGCTGCGCGACTACAACCGCTGGCACCAACTGTATTTGACCTTTGCCCGGCTTATGCCGCTACACGAACAGGGCATTTCGCTGGCTGACATCGCCTTGAGTTGCGGCAACCGGTCGTGCGAGAACGAGATTGACTATGCGCGCGGCTTCTTCGCCGTACTCGGCCTCGAGTGGAAACAAGACTTTACGTACGAGGACGGCATGCTCGCGATTCTGCAGTCGCAACCGCAACACGCCGCCAGCATCGCCGGCATGCATGGCCCTCGCGGCCTGCCGAGCCCTTATTCCTGGGCGCCCAAGTACCTGGCCCGGCTGCAAGGGCGCATCTACGACGGCTTTGATGTGCAGCTGGGCACGTTGATCGGCTACTGGCACACTGTCACCGTCAAACAGCTCAAGAAGAGGTTTGTGCCAGAGTCGTTCCCAGGCGTCGTATGCGATCTGGTCGTGGCCGACAATCCCGACGCACCCATGGAAGCAAGAGCAGAAGCGGAGATCCAAATCCGATTCTACCCAGAACATTGGACGGACCAGCTCGAAGCGTGGCTCGAGGAAGCCATCCCCAGCGGTAAAGCCCGTCTCCTTTGCGGCGAGCACATGAACGTGGACCCATGCGAGTCCGACCAGTACGCCCGCATCGTCCTGGCTGCCATATCCACCGTCGGCGCGGTCGCAGATCTCAACTTGGACGACTGGGGCGCCGTCGCCGGAAGTGCCGTGGTTAATTGTCCGAGCATAGGCGCCGTCCGAGATACAAAGATGCGTTGGTTGTTCCTGGATTGACATTGAACTGTACATATATGGATCTTATGGTTAAGCTCTACCACGTCATATGGAATGGGTATATCTACGTAAAACACCGTTCAGCGATCTTGATTCAACTGCGTTTCGAGAACGAATCGCTGGTGTCAACTGCTAATGGAGTTTACTAAGGATTCAGATTGATCTTCGTCACCTAATTTCCATGTAAACGAAGCTGTCCTGGTTCTAGACGTAGAGACAGATCAAGATGCAGCTCCAGTCGTTCCAGTCTTGGTCTTGGTCAGAGTACTAGTATGTCCGGTCTTCCATTCCTCCAGCACGCCGACGTAGTCCTGCGGTCCATAGGGGTCGAAGACATCGGCCAGGCCGCCTGATTTCCGATGCGACTCGACATTCAAGTCGTGCAGCAACATGTCGACATAGGGCACGGCGTCAAAGACAAAGTCCGGGAAACTCGGGCCATAGCCGGTCGGGTACCGCCAGCGCCCGAACTGGGAGTGCAGGACTGTTTGCCAGCGGAGGTCGTCCTGCGACTCGGGCAATCGGTCGAGTTTGCCGTCCAGGAAGGCCGAGATCCAGAGACCCTGGACGGTGGCGCAGATGGATGTGGTGATGGTGGACAGCATGCCGGCAAAAGCCAGGTTGCGCCTCGACACCATGGCGGGCGGAACCATGAACCTGTACAGGCGTAGCGGCTGGTTCGTTCGCTCGGTCAACGTCTGCTCGAGTTGGTCCTTTCGTGCCGGTTGGGTCTTCAGTCTCGGAAATCGCTGCAGGATCTCGGCATCGGCGTCCTTGGTCAAGGCCTCCAGGTCAGATGGTGAGTGATGCAAGCCAACATCGGCCTCCAGGCCGCCGAGAAAGTCGAGCGAAGGCTCCTTCCTCCATCCGGTGGCGAGCACCGTGACGTCGGCTTCGATGGTCTCGCCGGACGCCAGGCGGACCGACTTTGCTCCAAAGCCCGCGATCTCGTCGATGTGAACTCGAATCTTGCCTTCTCGGACCAGATCAAAAAAGCTGGTGGGATAGTTGTGGATGCTCAACGAGCTGCCAATGTAGAAGGCCGGCTCCCAGGGTTTCAGCTTCTGCAGCTCCGGATGCGAGTCATACTTGTTGAGGGCGATGACATCGGACGCCAGGATCTTCCAGAAGGTGTTGACGATGGCACGTCCGATGAATGTCCCGTGGAGGAAGTGCCGAATGCCAGAATAGCCGTCTTCATCGCCCCAGATGCAAGGGCTGAGCCAGGTCAGGAACCGAGTGTGGACGAGTTTCTCCAGCCACTTTTTGAGTGGTGTCACATATGGCGGAGCCATCCACACAGGTCCATGGCCAGACTTGCGAATCACCATATCGACCGGAACGCCAGCTTCGGCATAGGCGTAGGCGACGTCCCAGCCAGACTTTGCACCTCCGACGACGACAGCATGCTTCGCCTGGTTGAGGGTGGTGGCGTGCTTTGCGAACTCTCGGACATGGAACAGCGATCCCTGGAAGTCTTGCATCCCAGGCAGCTGTGGCACATACGGCTGCGAGGTCAAACCAGTGGCCACTATCAGCTTCTTGGCCTGTAGGCTTGGGATCTCGGACGACGATGTCTTGAGCAGCCATCCGCCATCCTCGGAGGGCATGGCAGAGTCGACTTTGGTGTTGAAGCGGATGCGTTGGTAGACCCCAGATGCCTTTGCGTAGTCGGTGAGATATCGATGGAGCACTGTTCCCGGGATGTGTTGTCCAGGCTTCACCCCATAGGTGGCCTCGGTCATGGGAAAGTCGGGATACTCGTAAGTGCCTAACATATTGTTCGACTTGAGGCCTGGATACAGTCGATCTTCGGCCCAGACACCTCCGACGGACGAGTTCGCCTCGAGCACTGCGACATGTTCAGATGGATGTAGTTCGATGTATGTTTTTGCTGCTGCCAGGCCATACCAGCCTGTATTACCCCGCCAGATAGATGTCAGCACGTCTTCCCAGGCCACATGGTCGAGGCGCACTGGTCCATCTCCTCCAAAGCTGGACCGTGCGACTTACCGGTGCCAATGACGATCAGGTCAAATGCGTCGTCCATTGTGCTTTGTTGGATTTGGAATTATCTTTGCAAATGTTACAGTTGATCTTGATGTGCTGGTCAGCAAAACACATCCGAACAAGCAAGGTACATGTGCGGATACGGATATAGCTGCGACAAACGGAGGGACTGCGCAGTCGCAATCGCAGTCGCAGTCGAGGTCAAGGTCATCGAGTCGGTAGGTGCTAGGTGACAGGTGGGTAGACAGGTGGGTAGTCTGAAAAATCAGCCAGGATGACCGTTTGAGAAGCTGTGGCGTGTAGCTGGTTCGGCCACTGAGCGATATGGAGGAGCGTTAGAACGGCCCTGGTGCGCCTAGCGAGGCCCAAGCCCACTCATGAACCGGGGTATCGATCCTGGGCACCCTGGTGCGAGATTCGTCCACCACTCGCAACACGCGATATCTCCACTCGAGGCTTTACCAAGCGTAGTGCAAGGTTGCAGATTGCAGACTGCAGATAGCAGATAGGTGGATAGAGGATAGAGGATGGATGACAGAGGATGGATTCTGACTCTAGAATTAGCCTCACCCTCACCCTCACCCTCCTTTCGACTCTTGGAATGTTGCACTAACTGCAGCCACCACCGCAGCTCCAGGCCGGAGCGAAGCCAATGCACACGGCTGTCACTCAGGTGTGACAGGTCGTCGGCTGCACACCTTCAGCTGTATAAACCAGGTCGAGGCCTGGTAGGAGCAGGATCTTCAGCTTGCCTGCATACCTACTGCATATCCGATGCGCATCCGAAGAACTCTCGCACCTACGGAGTATCCGTCCATTATTGCGTAAGATTACAGCCCCAGGATCGAGGACAGGGGATTCCAGCGGAGCCACCACCCGTTGGGCTACTGGAACGGCAGGCGCCGATGAGGGTGAGGTGGAGGAGCAGAGTTTTCCTAGCGATGAGAAGATACAGAATACGGATATTACTCTTCTCTCGACCTAATTAATTATCAACTGCGCTCGAGTGTCTGCCAGGGTAGCACAAGGCACGAGCACCGCAGATCTGAGCATGGAGCCGATGGCCCGCACTAGTCCTATAGAGGTTAGCAGCTGGTCGGACCCGAGGCGGCCGCGTACTGGCTCGCCGGCTTCAGCCACCCGCAGAAAGCAGCGACACGCCTGAAACTCTTATTTTCACATCAACCATTTCCCACTTCCACTTCCCACTGCCCACCTCGTCCACTGTCACGGTCACCAGTCACCATAACCGTATCCTGCCCTGATGGATCGATCGGCATCTTCCTCCACCTTGACCCAGTCTTGTCTCACCACGCTGTCGAGTGCCGCTTCAGTGGTAGCTGGTAGCTGGTAGCTGATAGCTCTCGCCAGCCACACCGTTTGGTGATCGGCCATCAACGGCTTCGTCCCACGATATGGATGTGTTATCCGCCCTTTCTGGGACCTACTACGTACCTTCTACCTACATCCAAACTTTACAGAGCACTCCGTACAGTATACGAGTAGTACACAGTACACAGTACCAACCAGAGACACACAAATGTGCCGGGCGTATCTCGTACAGTCCTCTGTAAGATGTGATATTTGAGTTTCCTCCAAACTGTCGACTAGTGACTAGCCTTCCTTTCGACGTTCTCTGGACAGCCCCAACCTTGGCCGGCCGTCCACTATGTGTACTTCCACTCCCTTGCTTGCTGAACCGAACTTTTAGCTGCATATGTCAGGTACGTAGCAACCCAGCAATGGCCGCGGCCAATCGAACCCTCCTCCCCCCACGCAGGTCGAGGAATTTCTGGTACTCATGTGAAAGTCTTCGGACATGGTGTCACGGTGGATCGACAAAGGCCCGTTCAAGGCCCGAGGTCGACTGCCTCTATTAGGCCGGCGACGTGGGCAACTGACAAATAACACCGTCCGCTTGACCGTTGATCCTATGCATGCCTTTTCCACATCTCTTGCCTTGCGACACGAATCGAGGTCTTTTGCCTTGCCTCTGCGTCTGATACATGGTGGAATCTTCATGGCCCCCCTTGATGCTAGGCTTGATGCTAGGTTCCGCCGGGGATACACATCCTTCCACCACTACTACCCTGAACTAGCCTTCTCACGTCTGCCAGCCATCAGCCAGTGATAAGAGTGCCATATTTCACATTTCAAGCAGACCTTCCTCAACTCTGCGGCTGTGTCGTTGGGCACCTTCACCTTTGGAATTCGAATTGTCTTGTCGGGCTGATGATCATTCAACATGGCGAGTGAATTCAACACCGAAGCCTTTACCTTACTCGGCGTCGGCGTCGGAGTCGTGGCCGCACGGATGGTTTCTCGAGTGTATATGGTCGGTGTCAAAGGACTCTGGTTTGAGTGTGTCCTCCTCGCCACATGGTGCAAAGAGGCCGAAGCAGTGCTAACATGACCCTTCAGTGATTATCTGATGCTGTTTGCCACCGTATTTCCCCCGGTCCACACCTTCAAGCCTTGATCCCTCGTCTGACGGTATCAGGTCGTCTACGGCCTTGAAACAGGAACTGCATATGTCGTCGGTGCCTGGTGGTTCGGCCTAGCCAACAATGGCATGACGGATGAACAACGTCGCACATTAGACCCCAACTCGCAAGAGTACAGGTTCAGAGTCAACGGCTCCAAGACCCAACTGGTGGGCTGGAGTCTCTACACCCTGTTGCTGTGGACATTGAAGTTGTGCATGATTTTGTTCTACGACAGGTTCACGTGAGTGCACTGTACATCCTGTGAGAGGTCACTGGGCTTATACTCGGGCACAGACAAAGCCTGGACTACATGAAGCATCGCATTCGCATTGGCTATGCCATCGTCGTCACGACCTATCTAGTAACCGAACTCTCAATATTGCTCGGCTGCCATCCGTTTCATAAAAACTGGCAGATATTCCCAGATCCTGGAAGTAAGCTTGCCTCGGTCGATACTGCTGGGCACTTCATTGCTGACAGCTCTGCCAGATCACTGTCAGCCGGCGATCTCCAGGATCGATCTCTACGTCACCGTCATTCTGAACGTCTTCTCCGACTTATACTTGCTTTCCATTCCGATTCCGGTGAGTCGCCAACCATCCATCTCACCGCATGGTCTCGGCTCGGATTTGCTGATGATGAGCTTGGTTCTATAGATACTGTGGAAAGCGGATGTGCCACTCGTGAAGAAGCTATCACTGATCGGCATTTTTGGCGGCGCAGTCTTCGTTATGGCTGCTGGTATCTTGCGTGCTGCCCTTGTTATTAAGGTTCGTTGGATCCATCGTCAACACCATTGCTGTCCCTGCCCGCTGACATGAGCGTCACAGGATCCCGTCGGAGGAGCCCAGCAGGCCGGCAGCTGGGCTGTACGCGAGACATTTGTCGCCGTCGTGGTGTCGAACTTGCCCATGGTGTACCAAGGTCTTCGAGCTCTCACCAAGGCCGCCGCTACGAGCAGTGTCTTTTCCAGAATGTCCCGTTCTCGCCTGGGCTACAGCAGGTCGACCGACGAGCCAGACTTCGAAATGATGAACTCGCGAGGGAAGTCTCCGCCACAGCTCGATGAGATCCGAACACAACACGAATTTTTCAAATTGCCGTAATGACACCGGCTCTATTCTGAATATACTATTTGGTCTCGATGAGCAGGCAGGCGCTTCTCCGAACAGGCTTTTTGGTGGGTGAGGCTGGACACCTCTCACGGGAAAACTGTGTTAGCTAGGACGGTTTGTCATGGATATCAGATACGGCGGAAGGAAAGGAATGTGACACCAGAGCACCATACCAGGATGACACCGCACCGGTTCCCAATCGTGGTCGACTTCATCTGGGAGTTTCGAGGCGCCGTGGGAAAGGGGAAATGTGGGTTTGGTCTGTGTACTATCTAGACACATCGAGACAAGTACTACTAGGAAAATCTGGCCCGATCTTACGTGGAAGTTCGTCTCTGCACTTTTCTCATCTCGCTCACCTTTACAGCTACCCTTGATACTAGATTCCGGATAACGGGTCTGAGAATGCATTGCGGCGTACTATTACGAGAGACATCAGGGATAGGCGCCTCATCCAGTGGGCGCAGGGCGGCATCACCATCACCCGAAAGTGGTTAGCAGTATGAGTCCGGGGCTTAAGGCCTTGGCCAGATTTTAGTGACGCTAATGCTGCTAATGACACTTCAGATGATATCATGAACCCGAAGAACATAACAGATGTAGCCGTCTGAGACAACTCGTGAGTAAAATAAGACAAGACACACAAAGACAGACACAAAATGAGAAGTATCCCTCTCTGTTATCAACTTTGCCCTCTCAGATACAAAGAAACCAGAATATCCAACCAATCAGCCAAGCACTTCCAGTCAAGTGTCTCCCTCTCTCTACCAGGTCTCCTCTTGAAGACAGCTAGCTAGCTACCCATCATCAAACAAGAATGACTGTCCGCACGACTCGTACTGCTCCTGCGCCTCGTCCTCCAGCGCCCGCTTCACCCGTGACGCTCCTTATCCTCGGCGCAGGCTGGACGTACCAATTCCTCGAGCCCGTTCTGGGGCGCGAGAAAATCAGCCACGCCGCAACCACCACCACGGGCCGCGGCAGCACCATACCCTTCCGCTTCGACAGTGACTCGGACGACTTGACGCCATTCCAAGCCCTTCCGGACGCAGATTACGTGCTGGTCACGTTCCCGCTGAAAGGGCGCGGGCCGTCGACCAAGTTGGTGCGGCTGTACAATGAGACACGCCACGGGCAGCTGCGGGACTCGAGAGCGCCAGCGGAATGGGGATCGGGACACGAACACGAGCACGGCGACGACCATAGCCATTTCAGCGAGGATACTAACGTTGGGGTAGCAGGATCTGCGAAATGGATCCAGCTCGGCTCCACCGGCATCTGGACCACGGCGGCGTGGAACGATGAGTCGTCGGCGGTCAACGGCACCAACGCACGCGCCGTGGCCGAGGACGAACTGATCGCGCTGGGCGGCTGTGTGTTGAACCTCGCCGGGCTGTATGGCGGCGGCAGAAATCCCCGGAACTGGATTGCCCGAGTGGCTGGGTCGAAGAAGCAGCTGGGGGAGAAGGGCGCGTTGCATCTGATTCACGGGCATGATGTGGCTAGGGCGGTCGTCGGTGTGGTTAGGACGGATCGAGACAGACTAGACCCTAAGTCGGGCCCTGACGAGCTCATAGACCATGTCCAGAACAGTGACAAAAACTACAACAACTACAAAAACAACGACGACGACGACAACAACAACAACAGTGGCAATGCGAAGCTGCGGAACCATCTCGACAGCGACATTACAGGCAAAGACGCAGGGCTGGAGCCGGTGTTCGGCCGACGCTGGATCGTGGCTGACTGCGTCTCCTACGACTGGTGGAGCCTGGTATGGGACTGGATGGGGGAGAGCGCAGAAAAGCGTGAGAGTGAAAGGGAGAGTGAGCCAGCGTCAGACCATAAGACAGACCAGTATGACGACAGGAGCACAAAGACACAGTACAGACGCTGGGTTGCCGAGTTGATGGACGAGAACAACGTGCGCGGCTTGCCGCGGTCAACGGAGCTGTTGGGCCGCAAGTTGGATGCTAGGCGTTTCTGGAAAACCATCGGCATTCTGCCTGACAGGAGCCTGGCGAGGTGAACGGAACGAGAACCACGGCCTTAGGCCTCCAACCCCTGCGAGGACGATCTATCTCCGTCTTCATTCTTCATGCGAAGAGAAAACGCTCGTAACTCCTGAAGGAGTCTGAGGCCGCGTATGCGCGATCCAATGTCCCATTCACTCTGAATACTGGAATAAATCAAGGCAGCCAAACCCATCGCTTCTGGCTGGATGGCAAAGAATGGCAAAGACCTCATGGGATCCCAGCCAGTGCTGTCCCGGTCGCCCTGCTAGGCCTTAGATGGCGTGAGTCAATCGCCGGCCTTTCAAGTTCCACCCTCCCGTCCCCTTGAACCCCCCCTACTTCGGTATTTGCACCAGCGCCATCACGGTTGCCTGATTCAAGATCTCCATCTCAATCCAAACCTTGTCGCAATCCTCTGGCGTCTTCCGCTGTGAATGGCGTCTGCACCGTCCTCGTCTGAGGTTTCGTCGTCGTCGACGTCGCAGTCGCGGTCGGCCTCAGGGTCGAAGTCGGAGTCGAAACAGACTCGTTTGCGTTTCGCGTTTCGTTCATACACTTGAATCTCGTTTCCTTGCATGATGCCATTGTCCCTGACTGTGCCGCTCACTTCTTTGGCTTTGAAAAGCTGCGTTCGGTCGGGAAGCCAGCCCTTTGCACAATTTGCAACTGTACCTGAAGGGTTGACAAAGACAAAACACAAAGTCAAGATGTCCAACTTTTGCTCTTCCGCAAACGATTTCAAGAGGTCCAGCAGCGTCGCACTCTGAGCAGAAACGATGGGTTTCACAGTTTGTTTGTACCGGAAACCGACTTCTACCTTGATAGCAACCGTCACCGTGGAGTTTTCGCAAATACCCTCTTCAAAAAGATAGGCAGAGTCTTCTAGGTGGCGGCCTTTGTAAAGAATCATCTGACAACTCTCCAAAAGTCCCAGATGGCCCCGAATGTGCTTTTTCAGGTGAATGACTTGGTCATTCATCGCCACATCAATATTCGTCCAAAGGTCGCTCCTACCACTGCTTGGACTGAGTAACAACACGCTAAGAGTGTATTCAGGTTGGGGGGTTGCCACAATGTGAAGTTGTGAATGGTTGATGGTCGGCAACGGGGAATGTGCATTGTACCCGAGACCACTGAGGTGCTTCCCATGCTGGATTGTAGCTGCTATACCAGCTGAGGACTGCGGGCCCAGTAGACTCGCGGCAAAGTATTCTAGACCGTCGTCGACACCCAGAACTGTAGGCTCAATGGTCTTAATGGTGTTGACCAAGTCTCCTAGTGTTGCACAGTCAGTCAAGTCGGCAACGAACTTGACCGGTTTGTACACGGAGATGGCCGTTTTCATGTTGATCTTTGATCTATAGCCCAGAACGCTGGCTTCAACCGGACTTGACGTGGATTGTAGGTCAGATAGTTGGAGTGTGAGGACTGCCTGCTTTGTCGATCTCTTAGCCTAGCCGATCTTGCGAAGCATGGAGGAAGGAGGCCCCCCCAAGCACTTCTTCGTGAGGGTAATCGGACATCCAAAGTTCAGCGGGACCGGAGTCTAAGAGGAGGACGAGTCGCAATCGCAGCAAGATAGAAGTAGAAGTGCTTTGCGTTGGTTGTGTTGAGAGCCTGGGAGGGAGTGAATTGCAGGGGAGGGGGAGGAATAACCGCGGCTGACCCAAGGCGATGTGCAAAGTCAGTCGAAATCACCGTACCCGTATCTCTCCTCGAGCTTGCCGGTTGAGACGGTATAAGTAAGACGAGACGCAGATGAGTTGAATGATCGATCCCTGGGAGTGCCTGGCAGCAAAGTTGGCCCAAGGTTCACCTCGTCACCATGAGAAGATCAGGAACCTGCATCTCAAATGTGGTTGTGGTCACTTCCGAGAAGCACCAAAATCAAGCTTCTTCGCCACTCCCTTGAACTTGTTCTCGTCAGTCACAGCTCCTGGTGCAGCAGCTTCGGCAGCGGCCATTTTCGAAGCTCCACCACCTTGCTTGGGGAGATGTTCCTTTTCGGTCGGTCTTGGATCTACCGTCCACCATTCGTGTTCCAGAGCTCCTTGGGCAGTCACTCTCTTGCGCGGATCCAGTTTCAACATTGCCATAAGCAGGTCGACGCCGACTGATCCTGCCGTGGGGAACATTTGCATGTAAAATGGTTTGTCCCTGACTGGAATCTTCTTCTCCAGCTCGAAATAATCTCGGAGCTTGGAAACGCCCGGCCAGTTTTCTTCACTCGGCGTCCCCACCGCTTCACATATCTTATCCAGTTGAGCGACCGTTCCTCCACCAGTGGCCAGGACTTCCTGATTCGCCACGTCGGCCGCCGCGTAGGGCCGGCGTATGAGCAATTCGGCAAAAACCATGCCAATACTCCAGATATCGACAGCCCCGCCATACTGCCTGGCTCCAAATAACAGTTCGGGAGGCCTATACCACAATGTGATGACCGCGGAAGTCATTTGATATCTCGGGTCGCCAAATGACCGAGCAAGACCAAAATCTGCCAGTTTGACCTCTCCGTCGGCGGCGATGAGCAAGTTGTTAGGTTTGATATCACGATGTAGAATGAAATTCGAGTGACAATAATAAATGGCCCGACACAGCATGCCCATCCAGGCCTTGACATCTGCAGCACCGTAGCTGACCGTTTTGTCTCTAATAAGCTCTTCAAGGTTGCCGTTGGGGAAGTATTCAATAACCATGTTGATGTTTTGGTCTTTCGAAGAGAAAACATCGAGCAGAGCGACGATGCTTGGGTGGGAGATTTCTTGGAGATATTTGATTTCACGAATGGTGTCAACATTAAGTCCTTCCCTCTGTTGGGAAGGATCAACCTTGAACTTTTTGATTGCGACTATTCGATGGGGATCTGATCTGACATGGCCCTTGTAAACAATGGCGTAAGTACCCTCACCCAGCTTCTTGCCTGCCAGGACGCTTAGTAGGTTCCGCAACGCCTTGGAGAGGATCGACCAACCTTTGACATACTTGTTGCTAATTTCCTCGTTCACTTGCTCCGCCATGTCAAAATCAGGTGGTGGTTTTTGAGGTTGCACTGTTGGTGCTGTTTGTGGTTTTGATATTGACTTTCTCATCGCCAAAGACTTGGCCCGGCTGGGTGACATGTTCGCGTTAATGTTAGAAGGTGACCGCGGCATCAGCGGCGACACCCCATTAGAGGATGCCATATTGTCTTCAACTGAAGCGTGTGAATGACGGAATTCACGGCACGGCGTTCAAGAGAGCGAAACAAGGAGTCGAAGCAGTGTGTCTTCCGTCGGCTGTGGGGTTTGGATTTGAATGGCAGTAGCACAATGGACTTCAAGATGCATCGAGCTGCTCCATCACACACGTGTCCGTCAAGGAAGCTATCTCGTTGTCACCTGATAGTAGCACCCGACGAATTTGAGCTCGAGCTCTTCTAGGCCCCAACTTGAAATTGAATCTGGTGAATCCATGCAGTGCCAGTGTCCCGCTGACAAGGCTGTCGACCTTGGCATCGGGCTTGGCACTAATACTGTTTCGGGAACTTCAACTTGGAACTTGGAGTATGAAGTTTGTTCAGTCGCAGCTTGCCAACATTTTAGGAACGTCAACGATCACAGCTGCAATGCGCCTATAAGCCATACCCCCAACACCTGAGGACTCGGTTTCCGATCACAAGCCACGGAGCACCCGTGGTTTCGCCAAAGTTTTACCATGGTCCCCCGGCAGTCTGCTGCAACCTCTCTGATTACCTCCCTCCTCCGGCCTTCACTCTCGCTACCACAATCCTACATCTGTACACCATGCCGTCGTAACCTGCATCGTGGACTCCCGGAAAATGGCCGCGTGCCGTCGCCTACACCCTTTGTGCCCGATGTTCCCACGTTTCTGACGCTCATCGGTCGCGAATTGTCCAAACACGCAAGCAAGATCGAATCCTGGGAGGAGCTTTTCACCTTGACGTCGCAGCAATTGAAGTCGAGAGGGATCGAACCCCCCCGAACCCGGCGATACCTTCTCCGATGGCGGGAGAAGTTCCGAAAAGGCGATTTTGGCATCGGGGGAGACCTCCAACATGTCAAGGACGGAGTCGCTGAATTGAGGTTGGTCGAGGTACCAAGTCTCAAGAAAGATCCGGAAACAGGGAACCCACTGTCCCGCCCGGTAACTGTGGGTAGGACTCCGGGCATGCAAAAGTTGATTGTCAACGTGCCAAACGGGTCCACGACCTATGCATTACAGCCAGGACAAACCACTGCGGACTTACAGAAACCCAAGGGTTTCAAGCTGAAGAATGGTTATATCATAAAGGGCAAACAAGCACATCCCATAAAAGGCACGTACGGCAGCGGGGTTATGTTGAAAGTTGTAGAAGGACTCTGGGAGCATAAACGTGGACACAAGGTGCATGGGGGTGAGAGAAGGCGAGCAGAGACATTACACAAACTGAGGGTGGAAGAGAACAAGAAAAATGCGAGGTAATGAAGGTATGATCCATATTTGCTCGGATCCTGCTATATGTTCTGCTGAGCATCTGTTGTCAACGGATGCTATGTATCATAGTCGTGAAAGGGAAAACATTACAGGGGCCACAAGGTGTCTAGGTAATAACCCGAAGCCCTATCTTTCAAGACAGGCTTGTCAGTATTTGGAGACGGTGTCTTTGAAAGCATGAAGACGACCATACAACCATCAGAAGCTGTGATAAGTCGAATTCGAATTCTGATTGAGCCACTCTGGAGGTAGTCACTTACTCGGTCTCGGTCTAAGTCCCAGCCAATTGCTTGTCTGCACCCTGAGCCGGTGTCAACCCATATCAGACCAACTCGTGTATCAGACGTTTCTACTAGAGGAGGTGTCAGGGTTAGAACCTGGGTGTTCACATCTCCACGAGTGAATTTCATGTGGCGACCACGTTTCTACGAGACTGGGGAATCCTGGAGAATAGTGAGAGACGGAGAACAATAGCATCCCCAGACTACAAGATCTTGAGAGTTTGAAATTCGTCTCAGCTGAGTTTGATCTAGTCAAAAGCTCATAGGCATGGGCATGATGCGCCAGTACCAGATGCGACAAGGCATTTGTTTCGCACTCGGATCTCCTGAGATATGTCTAGAAGCCCGATGGTGGTATCGGGCTCGAGGCCCGCCGTACACTTTGAGAATGGACGTCCAGTATTCACTTGTAGTTACACCCAAGTGATGATTCAGGAAGCACGCTACTGGCACTTGAAATTCCCAAGTAATGCGTACAGTACGGATATTCCATACGGATACGGAGTTGTTAGAGGCTAGGCATGTCGAGATTCAGCGGTGCTAGTAACTTCGAGTTGCTTTTTTTCGAGGCAACGGTTCAGGGGACCGGAATTCGGGCAAGGGAGACAGCTAACTCCAAAGTAGCATAACAGACCGAACGGCGACCAGGGCTGGCCCTGCCGGATGGTGGCCCGATGCCCCGTGCTAGGATCCTCCGGACGAGTGTTGGGCAATTCTGGCACCGTTCCACTCTGGACGGGCATCCTAATCGTAGACAGTACTGTAGGTCAATGATTTGTCGTTGAATCTGTTGAATGCATGCTTCGGTTCCTTGCTCGTTTGAATACCCAAAATCTGCGGCGTTCTGCGCAGATAGCCAAGAAGCTTGTCAAAACATAGGAGCTGTTGAGCATGTGCTCCCCTACACATTTCGCACAGAGTATGGAGTATAATTTTGATGCCTTCAAGCCGGATAAGCTGGGTTGTTCCCGCTTCGGCGGCAGAGGCGAATAGGGAAAAGGCATTCGTCTTTCCGTGCCGGTAGTTTGTCAGGGGTCGCGGTAGCGGGGAAGAACTTTCACATACAGGGTATGGTCAAAAGCCACTGTCAAGATTGGCGTACCAGAGCTGCGGGAAAATTCTCCCCTCGCTCGTGCGTCTCTCTGGTCCAGGATCCTCTGTACGGAGCGGACGTCTCGATTGTGGTGAACTCCTCTTACTGTGTCGTGGTGTGGATTTCTTTTATTCAGACAAGTTTCTTCCCCCCTCGTAACAGTGAATTATGCATCTCGTTCTCGCTGCGAAGATGGCACGCAATGTTCTTTTTTCCCCGTGAAAAGGCCTTGATGAGGCGTCGACTCGCTTGGGTTTTTAAGAGGAGTAAGAGAGGTTTGTCACTCAGGCGAGTTGCAGAAGTGAACGCTTGCAGAAGTGAAGCAAGGTCCAATGGAGTGACTACCTGGTCCTCTGTAGGTCGATGATAAAAGGTACTCCATACTAGCAGTAGAACGTTGGGTCCTTTACGCTGTACTGAATTTGGTCTACCCTTATGGATATCACCTTCAGTGAGCCGTGTAGACAGTGGCTCGAGCTGCAAACCCGAGTATGAAGGCCTGTGATGATCACAGGTCCGCAGATGAAGGTTTGGTGACAGGACAGTCGGCCGGCCAATTAGAGAGGATATTGTAATGACCCTCGACTTAGGAAGTCGAATGTGGCTGCGGAAAGAGCAACAGGGGGGTTTTTGTACGAGGGGCTAAGCAGGCCTACACCTGGTCAACGGCGCTGCGAATTGGAGTTGGAGTTCGCAGTCCTGCCAGTGGCACATTCACACCACATCCGAGCAGGGGGAAGGCAATTTGAAACTCCATTCACCATTCAGAGGGCTTATCGGCTCGCTGGCCCCTGCACGAGCTCGTTTAATAATGAAAAGGCCTCTCTTTCACGTCCAATCGAGCAGTGGGAGCATCAATCAGGTCTGACATTCTTTGATTCTCAACCCCGGCTCTGCCCTGTCCTCCAGTCTCCGTGTGCCAGTTCCTGCAGCTAAGCGGCTGCGCTTGATCACCACCTCTATCTTAGGTCGGAGGCTCGCCAGCGAGAATGCAACCAGCCCCTCCTTAGCCTAAATTTTAGCATCGACGCCGGCACGGTCCTTGCAGATTTGCTCTGACCCTGGGATCTTGAATGGTGTGAACGGTGCATGCAGAGACCTCCCCCGAGCACAAACTGCTGTGCCTTGTTCCATCTCGCTCATTCCTCTGTCAATCTGGTCAACCTCGCATCCAATTGGATTGCATACGGAGTAGCGAGTATATCGCCCAAGAACTCGCCCTAAGCTCGTGCCGCATGCACGGCATCAACGTCGCATGCCCCGGAGACAACACGGTTGGGCACTCCACGTTGTTATGTGATGCCACGACCTCTCCGAGCCCATACCCTCCGCCTCTCGCGACAATCCTCACCTCCGTCGATTCTGAACCAGCACAGTATACGGAAGAGCCGGGGTTCTCATATCCAGAGGAATATTCGATAGTCTCGCAGGACTAAAGCGATAAAACGGGTGATCTTGGTCTGTGCTTTCCAGACTGAGGAGCAGAAACTCCACAATACGCCAGATATTAGACTGGATAAAGCAAGCAAGCAGCCTACATTTTGTCACCGTGCTGAAAGGGAGTGCTATCGACCGTTGAACCCCGCATAATACAGTCGCTATCCTGAGAAAAGAGAAGCCAGAAAACTGTATCTGCTGTACCACAGGGGTGCCGGTACACATGTCTCTACCCGTTCTCTCACGGCCCTTAGCCGACCCGCCGACGGGGGCTCTGCCTCCCATTCCTACGAGCAAACCTCCGCGAAAGAGTCTACCTCAAACAACTTCACGGTTAAGGACTCCGTCAAGAACTTCAGCGTTATCCTCGTCTCAACCGACCGTGTCCACCCCCGAATTGTCATACTCCAAACCGAGCGAAAGAGTATCGGGGATACCGTCAGGCAAGGCCGTGCGAAAGACGGTGAGCATTGGTTCATTTCCTCAACCACCGAATGTGGCCTCACGCCCCTCTACATCAGCCTCGGTGGCATCTTCGACATCGACGAGGAAAAGGACCTCGGATGGCAGCAGCATCAACACCATGCAAGCGTCTTCTATCAAGGTCAAGAAGTCCTCCAAGGCAAACGTGACTGGGACTTTCAGAGCATCACAGACCCCGAGCTTGTTAAACTCGGCTGGTGATGGCATGACCATATCCGCAACTGCGGGAAACAGGATCTCGGACGCCCAGTCCAGCGTTCATTCTCCCCCGCAAAGTAGAAGCTCTTCGGCCAATGGCTCCTACTCCACTAGCGCTACCACGATTGAAGAAGGTGACGAGGACAATCGGGGTCGGATGAATGATTTAGACGGTGCCAGCGTCGATCCCAAACAAAACTCCAGAGGGAAGGAAATCAAAGGCAACGTTCTCGTCAGTGTCCGCGTCCGTCCTGATCCAGGGACGCCGAACAGTTATCAGTCTGAAGAAGGGGAATGGATGGTTGACGGCCGACGAAGCCTGGTGGCTTACCGTGGGAAAGAAGGTGGAGATTACCACTACGACAACGTGTTTACCACCCATGATGATAACGCCAAGGTCTACGATGCTTCAGCCAAACGCCTGGTCCGTCGGGTGATGGAAGGCTATCACGGAACGGTCTTTGCTTATGGTATGACTGGAACCGGCAAGACCTTCTCCATGCAAGGCACCATGACCAGTCCTGGCGTGATTCCTCTGGCGATAACCGATATTTTTTCATACATTAGGGAAACTCCACACCGGGAGTTCCTGCTGCGAGTCAGCTACCTAGAGATCTACAACGAGAAGATCCATGACCTGTTGGCAGTTCCAGTGGGCGGTGGGGTCGGCGGGAGCCAGCAGGAAGAAATCAAGTTGCGTGAAGACAGCAAACGAGGCGTCTACGCTACACCATTGAAGGAGGAAATTGTACAAAGCCCAACACAGCTGCTTCGGGTAATCCACCGGGGAGACACGGCTCGCCGCACCGGAAGCACGCAGTTCAACTCTCGAAGCTCGCGAAGCCACGCCGTTGTCCAGATTGTTGTCGAGAGTCGAGAACGCATCCCTGGGGCTGGGTCCATGCACGAGAATGGCAAACGAGTGGCAATGCTTCCCGGCGGTGTACGCGTCTCGACTCTCAGTTTGATTGATCTTGCGGGCTCGGAGAGGGCGGCCGATGACAAAGAGCGCCGGACGGAGGGTGCACATATCAACAAGTCCCTGTTGACTTTGGGCACTGTTATTGCCAGATTGTCTAGCAACCGAGACAAGAATGGGAACCCCACAGACAAAGATGGCAGGCATCTACCTTATCGAGACAGCAAACTCACCCGTTTGCTTCAGCCAGCCCTTTCAGGCAATTCGCTGGTGTCGATCCTCTGCACCATCCAGATAGGAGCCGGGTTGCTGATGGCCGGCAACAATCAGACGGGAGAAACACTCAATACGTTGAAGTTTGCGGCTCGTGCAAAGAACAACATTATCAGTCACGCCAAAAAGGCGGCCGAGGAGGTGGGCAGCGGTGTCAATGCCGGTCTCTTGGAGCGCTATCGAACGGAAATCCAGAATCTCCGAGCTCAGCTGGAGGGCCAGCAAAAGTCGGCGGATGAAAAGGAAGAACGCCAGATAGAGCGGGAGGCGGAGCAACGACATGAAGAGCAGATGTTGGAGATGCAGCTGGCCAGGACGGCACTCAAAGAACGGATTGAACATCTCAATCGACTGATACTGTGTTCCAAGTCGACGGGAGTCAACAGCGGGTCGGTGTCTGCTCTGGGGATGCATTCACGGCTTTCCGGGGGGACGGACTATGCAGGCTCGCGGTCTGTCCGATCCTCAGCCAGCCAGTCCACGCTAGGAGTCGGTCCCAGCCTGCGGCGACATCCATCCGGGGCATCCCTTGGAGGTGCTCGGTCGAATTCAGGTCACCTATCATTTTCCGCCATCCCGGACGAAGATGAAGAGGCGGGCGGTGATTATGGCGACGGGACAGCCACGCTACAAGCCCAAGTGCGGGCATTGCAGGCCGATCTACAAGACAAGACGCGGTATATCTCAACGCTGGAGAAGAGACTGTTGCAAGCGCGACGGTCGAGTCACTCACGAGTCTCGATGGCGTTCAACAAGAGTCCCGGAGACGATGGCGACGTGATGAGGAAGTTGGAAGAAAAGGATGCCATCATCTCGGATCTACAGAAAACCGTGGCTGCACTCCGGTCGGCGGTGCGAAAGCGGGACCTAGCGGAGCTGACGCCGGAGATGTCGTCGTCAGAATTCAAGCAGAGCCGCACACAGGAGGGCCATCAGAGTACGGGCAGCGTCAGCAGCTCTCAGCCGAGCAACGGTTCGACCCAGGCTGGGTCGGAGGTACCACGATCGCCCCTGGCGAAAAGTCCCATGGCACTGTTGTCGCCGCAAAAGGCGATGGCCAAGAAGCGCAAGACGGTGGACGAGATGTCCAAGATGCTGGACGAGATGATTCAGGACAAGGTGGAGAGCGGGCAGATGGGCAAGGGGCGCCTGCCATCACGGGCCTCGTCTTTGCAACGACACTCTCGCAGGACCTCGTCGAGTGGAGGACCCGCCATGGGCAGTCTGGTTGCCTCCCTGCGCGAACGGGATTCCATGCTTGAACCGCGCAGTCCACTTTGACGACGAGACGGATCTCAGATGCCGTCTCTCTTTTACGAGTGATGACTTGACTTGACATTTTCTTCTTTGAGCGTGTTTTATTTCCTTTTCTTTTGCCGGCCACTTGGGCGTTGGGTGTTGGGTGTTGAGTGTTGGGACCAGTGGACCGGGTGACGGGACGAGATCAACGGGGGGTGCCACGATGGGTTTGGGGGGGTCTTCTCTTTTCTCCGCCGCATTTTCGTCTACATTTCTTGGAAGCAGCATCGATGGAAGCAGCATCGACATGGGTTGCAGCCGGACGACGTGGGGGATGCATTTTACCAGAGTCAGAGACATTCGAAGCAATTCACCACATCACATGGCATCTGATACCCGGATAGAAGGTTGTTAGTTGCTGGAAGTCCAGTCAATAATGATGGAGTCGAACAAACGAGTTGGGTTTCACGTACGAGTACTCCGTACTGATGATCCAGTCGCATCCCATCCCATCCAGTTGCATTTGGCATTGCTCGTGGTCAGGGGACGCGGGTGACTAGGATGCTGTGACATGGCATCGGTGTTTCAGAACTGGGCCAGTACGGAGTCTCGGGGCCTGAACTCCACGCCTTCGCCTTGCTTGTTCCGTCTTTTCCCCTGATGCGATGCATCTGTCACACGCGGCCTACTCGGTATGTAGGATGGACACTGGCAGTGGACAGTACCTTACTAGGTAGTGGTGGTAGGGATACAGGGTACGGATACTCTATAAGTGCCGGTGATCGTTGGTCCTCTTCCTCCGGTTCCTTCTGGGCTGGTGCTGGTTCTCCTTCCGTGCCGCGTTGAGGGTTAGGTACTACTGCTACGTACCTCCTACCACTCCCACCACTCCTACCACCTGGGTACGGATACTTGCCATTATTGGGACTCGGTACTGATACTAGGATGTAGCCGTACTCGTCCCACAGCATTCCGGATGTAGTCTGTAGTCTGTACTACGCACATACCTACCCTACGTAATTAGTACTTGGTACTGCGTCCACATCCTATATTTACATAGTACGTCTCCCATGCGATCGTCAGGGACCGTCAGGGACCGCCAGGATCCGGGGTGGTGGTACTCGGTACGAGTACTACAGACTCAGAGTCCTACTGTCTTACTGTCCTACTGATCATCTCTCCCGCCGAGGTGACGAGTTGTGAGTTGTAGTTGTACGGATACCCTCACATCACCATCACCATCACCACCCTCACTCTCACCAGATACATACCCCCCAGCCACTGCCACGGCCAGTATCACAGCCTGCTCGCCGCTCGTCGCTCGTCGCTCCGCTCCGTGTCTCGCCCTGGCCTGGAGATGGAGATGGTTGGGCTTCGTGACTTGTTCTTGTTTGTGGAGCACTTGGTCTGTTCGTGTCCCGTCTTGCGTTTGTGTGCACATCATTCCTCTGTTCAGTGTTGGGTGCCTTGTACTCCGTACCTAATTGATCAATTACCTATTCCTATTATTTACCCTAAGGTATTTACCCTATTTGATCCTGGTGATCCGTTCTTGTTTTTGTTCTTTGCATCTCGGATCCCGTGCTGAAGACTGAAGACTGGTTTTCTCTTTCGTCTCTTCTGCTGTTTCTTCTTTTCTTCTCTTCTCTTCTCCGCTCTCCTCCTCCGCCTCGCCTCGCCTCTTCTAGTCCGCCTCTTCTAGTCCTACTTGGCTTCGACTCGATTTGTTTGTCTGTTTGTTTGTTCGTTTGTTCAATCAGTCAGTCAGGCTGTGGATTTTTCAAACGTATTCGCTGGTTTCAAGCATAGCGTGCCAGGCCTGGTCTTGCATCTTATTACAGTTTCAGCTCCGACTTCTTCCCCAACCCCGAAAGGAAAGGAAAGTCCTCCTCCCCCACCACATCGCACATCGGCCGTGTATCATACAACGTATTAAATATTTTCGAATCAATCTCACACCACCGACCACCGACCCTCCACCGCCTACCACCTACCGCCTACCACCTACCACCTACCACCTACTACCTACAACCTACCACCTACCAGCGTTCGGACCACGATCTTTCCTTCGGTGGTGTTAGCCCCCGGACCCGGACTTGTATGGGACATTCCTCCCGCTGAATGAAGGCTCTCAGGTCCAAGCAAGACCATGAAGACCGGCCACGCAAGAAAATGCTTTTGTCCAGCCGGGCGAACCCTCCGAAGCCGCTGAAACTGGCTGGTCCCGGACTACATGTATCGCTCAAAAGCCTGCTGCCATCGACCCCGATTCCCTCTCCTTCACTCCCGTCGATCCTCCCCCGCCATGGCAAGAAGCCTCCCAAGCTCAACTCACGCAGACTCGTCCGCGCCATCTTGTGGCTCTCCGTCCTCATTGGAGTCTACTACTTGGCCACGTTCGCGTTCGCGTCTACGTCCACGTCCGGTGGGACAAGAAAGCCTCGTCTCACGGGACTGACCTTTCTGACCTCCTTCGGCAAGACGTACGAGATCGTCGAGGCGTTGGAGTTGCCCGACCATCCAACGCCACTAGCCCTGGCAGACGGCGAGGGCAAGCATCATTGGACCATCTCCATCCCTTCGGGCTTGGGGTTCCCCCTTGCATCTTCTGTCTATGCAGACATCTGCTCTCAGGCGGACGAAGTGGCCCGTCAGGTGGGCGGGCGCGGGCGACGCCAGAACACCAGGCACGGCGACTACATGCAACACGACGCCCACTTTCTGGACGTGCATGAAGCTCAGGCCCGTCACTTCCTCCCCAGAGACCGAGAGACAGGAAAGGACTGGGACTCGGCTCCTCAGGCTGCGGCCGAACCCAACCAACCCCCGTCCCCTGGGCGGGCCGTCTGCAACAAGACGCTGACTTATGTCTTGGACGCCACCGATGCCGGCCTGGGCTCGGCCTTGCTGGGCATGTGGCTCTCATACGGGCTCGCCGAACGAGAAGGCCGCTCGTTCTTCATCGACGACACCAACTTCCCGTACGGCAACTACAGCACATTTTTCGTGCCGCCCGCACCGCCCGCGTGCCGGTTGCCGCCGCCGTCTCACCGCGTTCCATGCCCGCACCAAGCCAGCCATCTGGTGGTGTCGGCCGCCACGGCCAGGTGGACGTTCGGCGCCGCGTTCCACGAACACCACCCGCAACGCGACATCTACGAGATGGCACGGAGCGGCTTCGAAGCGCTGTTCAAGCTGCGCAAGGAGGATGACGACTACGTGCGGGCGCGCGCGGCCAAGCTGAGGACGGGGCCGGGGCCCACGCCCGCCCACGGGCTCGAGAACGGCCTGCTGGGCATCCACATTCGCCGCGGCGACCGCCACCCCTACGAATTCGCCTACCAGCTCGGCTACCTGCCGCCGGACAGGTACCTGGCCGTGGCGCGCCGGCTGGTCGGCCAGTCGGAGCGCTGGAAGCTGATGCTCGCGTCCGACGACGCCGACATGTACGACCACATTGAACTGCCCGACACCATCCGCGCCCAGCAGCGCATCTCCCTGGCCAGCAAGAAAAGCCTGGGCAGTGGTGGCCTCGGATGGGAACGCGGCTTCTTCACCGACGTCTTCTGGAGCCTGGGGCTTCCCACCCACGGGCCGGAACAGAGACGCCTCGGGTCGCCGGCGCCCAGCAGGGCGAAGCCAAATCCTAACCCAAACCCTCACTCCTCTGCCACCCAGGCCAACGATATACAAGACTATCGGACCAATCCGACCAAGGAAGCTCTCCAGTTGAGGGAACTCCTCGGAAGAGCTTATCTCCTGGATCTGGCCATGTTGGCGCAAAGCGACAAGGTGGTCTGCGGAGTATCGAGCAACGCGTGCCGCATTCTTGCCGTCATGTTGGGCTGGGAGAGGGCTTTCGAAAATAACGATTGGACGAATGTTGATGGGAACCACGGCTGGAGAGCTCTCGACTATTAATACTGGCCGCCTAAGTCTGCCATGTATGCAACTGAAATGTCATGACCCAGTGAATGTACTCAAACAGTGATTTTCTTACCCTGAACTGCTGATTGTCTGTGTTTCTTTTTGCCGCATTTAGCCATTCCATTCCATGCCTCTGGTTCACTGCCATCCCGACATTTTCATCGCTCTTTTCTCGACCAGCTGTATGAGCGAGGGGACGCGTGTGATAACAGATTCAAAGGTATGGGGCACACTTTTCCTGCCCGCAAGATATGCTACACATTTGCTACGCATTTGCTACGCATTGCTGCTGCACTAGCTTAGCTGGACCTGGTATTCGGAAAGCGAAGATGCCCCCTGCCGTGTGCTCAATTCAATTCAAGGCCTAGGATTTGTGAGTTGGACTTATGGGACCAAGAAACGCTGCGCATACCATGGCTTCAGACAAATGTGAGACTGGCAACCCGTCACGGACGAACCAGCCGCCCCATATACCCCAAAGGAGTTGTGTCGTGCGTTGCTCCAGTCGTGGATACTCGTGAGTGGCAGCTTCTTATTGCTCATTCCTATTCTGTGCTGGTAGTCTCCTCTCTGAGTCTTCTCTCCTCTCTGAGTCTTGTCCTCTCTCTGAGTCTTCTCTCCTTCTGAGTCTTCTCTCCTCTCTGAGTCTTATCTTCTCTCTATATCTTCTCTCCTCTCTGAGTGGTGTGAGTCCTCGCCGGACGGTGACGTCGACCTTCTTTTCACGTCGGCGTCGACGGACACATTTGCTGCAGCGATAACTATCCTCGAAGCCCGGCCATTCAGTGACCGCCGGCCCTAAACTATTCATGCATCGGCCGGTCTCTTCAAAGTACCTGCACCACCTGCCAACGGAGAGGGGTCTTTCGGAACGGGAGTAGCAATGGTCGCACGCGTCGAGGATGTATCTCGTGTAGCACATGATTTCGGATGTCTCTCGAATTTTATGTGGTACTGGGTGATGAATAGGCGGTCCGCAAGCGGTTGGTAGGGGAGGAGAAGGAGAAACTTGTGATGTAGAACGAAGTACGGATGCACAGTACGGAGTGGCAGATCCAGAACAGTATCTACGGCAGGAGCAGTCCATGGCTGCCAACAACTTTTCTACTGCGTTTCTACTGTATTTCTACTGCATATGGTAAATCCAGTACCTTCAAGTTTTAATGATGATCATCCGGTAGAGCTGGCTGGAGGCTTCCTTAATCCCATCGGAGTACGGAACTGCGGATGCCTCGGCCACTTGACGCCCAAGCCTAGGGAGCCCCTCAACGCCGCTACGCGACCCCTCCATACTATGTGTATGTACGCGTTGAGCAAGCGAGCAAGGTCAATGCGACGCCGACGCCGCGCACGCAACGATCTAGTCTGTGAGTACTTACTCCGTACATCAGTTCGGTTCAAGCTCCCTGCGATACACCCGGCGAGTGCCACTGACCAGCGCTTCTGCCTACAGTCCTGGACTATGGACCCGGCAGCTCTTGCCATACCTGCAGCCCTCGCTGGGTTGGCCTATCTCAATGCTCGTTGGAGGGTTTCAGTCGACGCCCACCTGTTACGTTCATTGGCCGCCTCCCGGATTGCCTTCCAGAGACGCGAACGAGCAGATCGAGTAAACTCTTTTTACCTGCTTGAAGAGCATGCCAACAATCCCAAGGTTGCTGATAAACCATTTATCGTCTACCAGGGAAGGAAGTGGACATTCAAAGAGACGTACGACACCGTTCTTCGCTATGCTGGCTATCTTCATGGCCGCCACTCGATCGTGCCGGGAGAGATCATCGCCTTAGATTTCATGAACAACCCACAATTCCTCTTCCTAACCCTGGCGCTATGGTCTTTGGGTGCTGTTCCTGCATTCATCAACTACAACCTGACCTCGACGCCCTTTGTGCACAGTGTTCGGACATCCAGCGCACGACTGTTGATCGTCGATCCAGAAATCGAATCGAAAGTGCTTACCCCAGAGACACAGGAAGCATTCAAGGCCCCAAAATTCCGCAACAATGCTTTCCCTTTGGAGGTCGTTGTTCTGCACTCGGGGCTACAATCGTCCCTCGAGTATTTCCAGCCACACCGAGCCCCGGACTCTGCTAGGGCCGGAGTCACTGGTCGATCACCCTCGGTGTTGATATCTACCTCAGGAACTACAGGACTTCCCAAGGCCGCCATTGTGCCCTGGGAGCGCGTGGTATACGGCTCTGGTATTGTCGCTCGATGGATCGAGCTTCGTCCTGTCACCTCCTCAAAACCCGACTGTTACTACACCTCCATGCCACTGTATCATTCCTCGGCCTTTGTAATGGGCTTCCACTGTTGTCTAGGCCAGGCCAGCACTCTGGCACTGGGGCACAAATTCTCCGTCACGGCTTTCTGGGAAGAAGTTGTCGATGCTGATGCAACCGTCATACAATATGTTGGCGAGACACTGCGCTACTTGCTCGCCACCCCTCCTAGGCCCGACGATCGTACAAGACATCGTGTGCGACTTGCATTCGGCAATGGCCTCAGACCAGACGTCTGGGACAGGTTCCGGGGCCGATTCGCCGTCGAAACTATAGCCGAGTTCTACGCCGCGACCGAATCTGTAGGCGCTGCCTTCAATTTATCTCGCAACACCTTTTCCTCAGGGGCGATCGGGTCGGCCGGAATGTTGGGCACACTTCTGGTCAATTCGATCCAAACCATTGTCAAGGTCGACTGGGAAACAGAGTCCCCGTACCGCGACCCCAAATCTAGGTTCTGCGTTTCTGTCCCCCGCGGTGAACCAGGTGAGCTGCTGTACAAGGTCGACGCCAAAGACATAAACGCCAAATATCAGGGGTATTTTGGCAACAAGAAGGCGAGCGATTCCAAAATTGTGCGCGATGTGCTCGCCAAGGGTGACGCTTGGTTTCGCACGGGCGACGTGGTGAGATTCGACGCTGACGGCCGCCTCTGGTTCTCCGATCGCATCGGCGACACTTTCCGGTGGCGTAGTGAGAACGTGTCTACCGCCGAAGTCGCCCAGGTGCTCGGCGAGCATCGCGCCGTTCTCGAGGCCAACGTCTACGGCGTGCAGGTTCCCAATCATGAGGGGCGAGCCGGCTGTGCTGCCGTGCTGCTGAAAGACGTGAGGCCCCACGACACACCGATTTCTGTGCAGTTGCTCGAGAGCCTAGCGACCTTTGCGCGCAACAGCCTGCCCAAGTACGCCGTCCCGGTCTTTCTTCGCGTAGTCACCGAGGTCATGGCGACGGGCAACAATAAGCAGCAGAAACACGTGTTGAGGCTTGAAGGGGTCGATCCCGGCAAAGTGCACCATGACAGGCTGTTTTATTTGCGTCCAGATGCCGAGACGTATGAGGCATTTGGGCAGAAGGAGTGGGAGCATCTCAAGGCCGGGCGGGTCAAGCTGTAGATGAGACACGAGCACTTTCTTCATCATGCGTCGGGTTGACTCGAGCAAGTTCTGAGTGAGTATCTATCACAATGTCGACGAGAATCCTCCTCCTCGAATGATTTCACGACGGGACGGACTGGACTCGCGCATTATATTCCCATTGCTGTCTGGACCACTTCAGGCACGGACTTGGGATCATTCGTGGTATACTAGGGACTACGTACCTGGGATACCTAACCTCTGCTGGTCATCTTGTACCGATCACGGCACATTATCTACTTTGATAGCGTGTAGGACTCGCAAAGTCGGCGTGATTGTTGTTACGCTGCACATCTTAGCAGACACTAGAATTTGACGACGTGATACTGTATACTAGCACAGCAAGAGCCTCCTAATAAGCCAAAACACACATGCATCAATGATATAGCACGTAGGCCCCTTAACCCTTCGTTGCCCCATCCGTCCTTCTGTGAGATTCCCATTCAGCAAAAACCATATCCCCATACAGATTTTCCCAGTCAATATCGCCCTTCGATACGCCCTTACCCCGTCGTCGTTTCCTCTCCAGAGACCGAAAATGTTCCCGCCGGGTAGCATCTCAGCTTTCAAGACCCGACTCGCATGTATCAAACATAGATGATCTCAAGTAGGAGGAGTCCAGTGTATTCGATGGGACTCACCCACTAACACTTCAACTTGCTTCCGTCACGCCCCTATAGCTCCTCCGTAAACCGACTCCCTTCGCGGCCTCCCGTGTTGTGGCTGCCGCGACTTCCTGCAGGGCTTGTGCTTAATTTCTTGTTCAACGGACTTCCGACTTCGATCAAACGTGGTGTCTCAGTCTTTGCGGCTGCCACGTCCACCAGCTTGGGCGGTGTTCCTAGGCGCTGCTCGTCAAACGTATCGCGAGCCTCTTCGAAATCTTCATCATCGTCGTTATCGTTTGTCTGTGCTTGGGTCAAAGCGGGTGTCGTCGCTCCTGTAGTCGTGCTCTCTGCCGTGGATGGGTCTTGCAACTTTTCTCGGAGCGGTTCTGTCTCGGACAAGACCCCAAGGTCGGGGTTCGCATGTGCTTCATTTGGCGGTTCTCCTTCAGATTGCGCTGGGTTCTCTGATATAGGGACGATCGACCCAGCCGCTGCCGTGCCGTCGGTAGTTGGCTTCTGCTTATCCTTGTGGCTGTGGCTGCCCGGGATTACCTTCTTCAAAAATCTCTCGCGAAAGCCTTTCCTTCCTCGAGGTTCCGAATCAGTATCCGACAGCGTGCCTAACTGATCAGCTCCGGAATCGCGCTTCGATCCGGGTTCGGCAGAATACCTTGATGAAGCCACATCAGCGGCAATCACGTACGGCTCCTCACTCAACTCAGAGCTGTCTGATCGGAAACTGGTCGAACCAGCCTTGTGACCGCCTTCCACCACTGCCGGACCAGGTCCTGCCACTGCAACTCCTGGGGCGACCGGCCCGTCTTGGATTTGCGGGATTCGGCTCTCTGGTCTGGGCGATGCATCATACATATCCTCGGTCTCATCATCGCCTCGACCGGCAAGAGCAACATCACGTACAGACTCGGATCTTGGCTTGTCGTCTTCATCGGTAACCTTTACTGGTTCCGCAGTAGCGTTAGCGGCATGAAGGTCCTGTTGCGTTTCGGCCAGTTCAGGCTTGTCAGTGAAGTCATGCTCTGCTTTGCTTCCACCCCTGATTTTCCTAAACCAGGATTTAACCCTCGAATCTCGTTTGGATGGGGAAGTTGGAGCTGTCGGTGATGCGGGTTCCTGAGGCTGATCGTCACCCGAATATAAGGGAGCAGGTGTGTCATCGATCGCACCCGAATGCGCCTCTGCTGCGGGTGTTTCTTCTGTTGGATCTTTCCGCGTTGTAGCGCCTTCTTCGTCGCCAGCCGCCACAGCGTGAGCAGCTTCGCCAGGGTCCAGAGTGACGGCGTCATGTACCGTGCCACCTATTGGCTCCTCTCCCACAGTTGCGACGGTGGCAGCAGCTGGGGCGATTCCCACAGTAGCTTCATCCGCGGCGCCAACTGCCGGGTGGCCCCTCGAAAGGAAGCTGGGAAGCAAGCGAGGTTTGACCCCTCCTGGCTGCTTCTTTTCTTCCCTATCCGCTCGGGCCTCTTCTCGTGCTCTCTTCTCGGCAACTTTCTGTTCGTGCTGGGCCCGTCGCTCTTCTGCCTTTTGGGCTTTTGCTTCAGCCTTCTCACGGTCTAAATGGAATTAGCCCAATTGTAAGTCAACTGGAAATGAGTGCGATAGCTTACCCGCGGCTGCCTTTTGCTCAGTCTTGACTTCAGCCTGTCGTTGCTTTTCAGTCGCCTGTTCGGCCTTGAGCCGTTCTTGTTCGAGCCTGATCTCTGCGTCTCTGGCTCGTTGTTGCTCTGCCTTCTCCGTGATTTCGTCCAGTGTCGGCTGCACTCTGGCTTTTGCAATTTCGTCGATCTCGGACTGTTCGAGGTACTTTCCACCTCCAATGTGAACTTTGCCTGCATGAATCAGTCTCTCGTCGCTTTCTCTCTGGGCTCGCTCCCGTGCTTGGCGTTCCCAGATTTCTCGTTGCTGCGGAGTAGTCTTGCCAGTCTCCGAAAACATCTTTTCGTCGAGTGCATTCATTCGGGCCGTCACGTTCTTATGGGCAATGGCCAAGAGTGCATCTCTGTCAGCTTGTCGCTTCTTATTGTCCACGTCGGCCAATTTTCCTTGGAATAATGACATTTGCGCCCGGATTTTCCGCGACTGTTCTTCATCAGAATCACTGTCTTCCTGCAGGCTAGAGGTTCGGCGACCGCGCCGTAAGGTGACTCTGGTCCGTGGAGGCGTTTGTTGCCCATAATACTGCCGATATTCCGCATGTTCATCATGCAGTTTAGCTAGTCGTTCATGCGCTAATTTCCGCGCAGCTTCTTCCAAATTCTCATACCTTGGTGCTGGTTCATCCTGCACCGAGTTCGCGGCATCTGATTGAGCCCGTCTCCGGGCTGTATAGGCGGCAAAGTGACTATCTGAACGGTGAACGCCCTTAGCCTCGTCGATCTGGCTCTGTTGAATGGCATACATCTTCCTTGCCATGGCCAGTGCAGAAGCCCGCAGTGTATCTTGCCGGTTCCTCTCCTCGACTTCGATCGCTACCGGGGGGTTCGAGGTGTACATCTGCCGGGAAATATTGTTCTGAGCCATATTTTGAACCCTAGCCGCGTTAAAACTTGGCGAGTCGCTAGTGACACGCGGAGGAGGGTCGGAAGGTTTTCTTCGGTGCGAAGATTCGGCCGCCTTCAAAGCCCAGCCAGCACTGCCTGCTGCCGGTGAAGGTGTCAACGGTTTGATCGGAGCAGATTCGGCTCGACGTCTGCCTCTTGACATTGACATCGTAGCTGCCAAAAGCGCCTTCTGTCGACCGTCGGTCGAGACCTGTCTCTCTGTGATTGCTGGAGGGGATTTCTGGTTGTGATGAGCGGAAGAAGCAGCAGAGGCACCGTGCTCTGTCTCAGGCGCCGTCCAGACATCAACCGGGGCGCTATCTTTGTGAGCAGCCATTGCAGCCTGTGACCCGGCCTGGCTGAGTTCTGGCTTCCACGCTGCGTCCAGCTCGTAATCCTTTGCTCTGTATGCTGCTTGGTTTGCGGCGTGGCTCGGCCCTGGTTTCCAGTGCTCAAATTGCTTCTTGTTCGAATCGGCGAGACTTGCAGCAGCTCCTGCTGAGGCTAGTTTGACGCCTCCGGTCGAAGGGTAGGAGGGCAGTTCGTCAGCGCGGGCGTATTTTAGGGACAGCGCGGCACCTAGATGCATTGTTAGCGGACGCTGGAGAACTGCAGGGCGGGGTCGACCTACTTGCGGAAGACAGGCGGCCGTCGTCATCGAGAACAGAGGTGCTACTCTGCTTGGAAGGGGTTTCTTGAGTGCTGTATAGAGCTGCAGAAGCTGCTGTGGAGTGTTAGCAGCGTCTGTCGCATTTGGGTGCTCTGTATTTATTCGGGCGACTCACCTTGGTCTTTGAGTTTGTCGGGGGGGTGGTAGGCGCTGCCCGGAGTGGCAGTCGCAGTGAGGGCCGACATGATCTTGGCCTACTCGGTACGGGCGCCGAGCCAGTGGAGGCTTGGAAGAGAGAGTCAGGTAGATATGTACCAAACAGCTCCTCTACGACGACATAGAGATGGATAAGCGCTCGAAAGAGGTAGCACAGTTCTCGCAAGCACAGAAGGATCTAATGAAGCACGGCGAAAGAAAGCGAAAGAGGCATCGCCGCGATGCAGTAGTGGTGTGTCCGCGCATCTCATCATGACCAAGAGCATGCCCCAAGCACTGGCAGATGTCATCGACCACCGACGTCATGCCATTATTGGGAGCACAGAGCCCCTGTTGCTAGGCTGTGGCTGGGGTGCTCCAGTTCTTTACCTCTCCGACTACCTGCCTCTGAAGCTCCATTATTGAGCACCAACAAGAACCCTGCTCGCTCCCCGATCCAATGTCGATCGTCATGATAGCCCTCTGGTGGCACAGGCAAGGAGTTCATGTTCATTGAGAGACAGCGTAAGAACCACGCCTCCGCGAACCGTCTTCTGCAACGGCCCTCGCTTACCTGCTATCTGTTATCTAGCAGACCACCTGCCTGCCAAGGACCTCATACGATACCCAGGAAGAAAGGCGCGAGGACGCTACAGTATGAGCAGGAAGCATATCTGGACAACTAGCACACTTTTACTTATTCTGGACCCACAACGACAGGGGGTTTAGAGGTTCGAGAGTGGAATTCAAGATCATTCGACGTCTCGGTGGATTGTTGGGTTCACCCAGATCGACCTTCGTCGGTCTGTCAGTTTGCAGCATGGCAGTGACAGATACATTTGACAACTTACTGAACTTCCGCGATGTGGGAGCTCATGTCAACGCCAGTGTTGGAACCGAAGTTCTCAAAACAGGCCTCCTCTTCAGAAGTGCCCGCCCCGACGAGGCTAGCGCATCAGACCGTGCCCGACTCGTGCACCAGTACAGAATAAAAACCATCCTTGACCTGCGTTCCACGACAGAACACATCAACGCCGCCAAAAAACGGTCATCTGTATCTCCCGTCACACAGTCTGCAGCCGTCACTGGGTCCAACGCTGCCATCACAGAACACGCCGAGATCCCGGGAATTCACTACGCCAGGATCAACCTCAATGGGAAGGGTTTCGAACGGCACTTGATCTGGCAGTTGAAGTATACCAGTCTGGCGAAGCTGGTCCTTCTCATGGCTTTAGGCTATCGGACGGAGGGCATATCTGTGATTGGGAAAGAACTGATGCTGCCTCGTGGACTCACAGGCCTTGGAATAGATACTCTGGACCACAGCGGCCCGGAGATCAAGGAAGTGTTTAACGTGCTTGCCGCATCATCGCGCTGGCCAGTTTTGGTCCATTGTACCCAAGGCAAGGACAGGACTGGTTTGGTGGTCCTTCTGATTCTGCTGTTATGCAAGGTCGACCTTGAAACCATCAGCCGAGACTATGTCAGATCCGAGCCAGAACTGGAGCCGGAGAAGCAGGCGCGGATGGAAGAGATCGCTAATATCGGACTGGACGAGTCGTTCGCCTTATGCCCTCCCGATTTCTGCCAGAAAGTGGCCCAGCATATTGATTCAACTTACGGCGGCCTTAACAACTACCTGGACAAGATCGGCGTTGGGGCCGACCAGCGTGCGCTTGTGCAGGCCGTTCTCATGAAGAAACCATGATCTTGAACAGCCTCCTGGCCTCGCCGTTTACGATAAATATCTTAATCGTGGCCAAAACATCTGTTCGACAAGTAAGTTTCGGCGCTTGCTAGACATTTCCAACCGACCAGAAACATCCGTCCTTTCAACAAAGGAAGCAGCTGGCCGGTGCAGAAAAGGTTCTAGCACAGTCATATGAAGATGCTTGTCCAGGACTCTATATACCTTAGCAAAAAACACCCCCACAAATGGAGACCTCAGTCTAATCAATGAAGCCACCGGTCTATGATTGAACATGGAGTTCTTTGAGGTGCCAATGTTGAAGGCTGGCTCTTGGCTGGTACTTCAGGCAAATGATTACTGAATGCGGACACCAGGGTTCACTTTCGACATAGCATCTTTGTCAGCGACAAGGGTGATTGTCACGATAGGGTGTTGCAGAGGGTCATTCTGGGGCACGTCGGGCGGGTGATTATTGTACACAGTATGGTAAGGGTTAGAGCGGGATGAGGGTCGGGGTTAGTGTATGTGGCTATGGGCGAGAGGACCAAGCTGTGTTACATTGAGAAATATAAAATCTATGGAGTACGGGTAGACCTTTTCTTTCAGCGGCCGTCTCGCCTTCGGTGCGGTACGGTGCTACAAATCAGAGTACGAGTAGATGCCGGCAATAGGGACTGGAGTCCGTACAGCTCAGCTGTGCAGAGTAATTCGAAAGCCGGGAATGTCGTCACTCCCGTCGGGTGCCGTGGACTTAGTCGCGCTGGCGCCGCGGGATTGACCGGCTAGTCACTAGTACGGCTGAGAGCAGCGAGTAGTGAGGCGTAGTGGAGATGCGATTGGTGCAAAACAGCCTCATGCAGCGGGGGCACTAGTGTAACCAGTGATGCGCAGTCTGTGACGTCAACAGCAATGCGCGTAATCTCAGAGATCTGGAAGGCTAAGGAGGCCGAGGCCCTTGTTCCTTCTTCTCTCTCGCCGAACAACCGTTGTCTGAGGCTCTTTTAGAGGGCCTTAGGCTTGAAGACGAAGGCAAAGGAAGGAATTCACGCCCCGGAACTACCTAAATTACAGAGTTTCTCCGTAAAAACGCGAGAATCTCTTGCTGCGCGAAATACGTAGTATCCGGTCCTTGCCCGGCGGTGGCCATTCCGAGTCTGGAGCTGCTGCTATAATACTTCCCCAACAATAGTGTAATAATGCTTAATGTGCGTTTATCCATTCCAAATATCGCCAATGGCACGAGACCCACTGCTTTATGAAGCAGGTGCAGTGCCATGCGGCCTGCAATGCAGCCTTTGTCATGATGAGTGTCCTGCTACCGTAATTACGAGGTGCTACTCTGTACTCCGTGCTACTGCTAGTGCTACCTACGTAGCCTTTGAGCACTGCCTCAATCTGGCTCTGGCTGGATGATGTCGTCTTCGAACGCAGCCCTGGTCGTCCTGCAAAAACACGTTATCTAAACCTTGCCCTTGCCCTTGCCCTTGCATATACTCCTACTACCAACCCTCGCTACACATATTATTGTATTCTGAACTGGCATCAGAGCCTCTTAGCATCCCACACTTCTTTTTATTCTCTCCATATACAGTCGTCCACAAAGGGCTACCTCTCCCAAGGCATATCCTCGCGCCGAATTCGCCCTTCCTTCGCCATCTCACCATTAATCCCACTCCCTCATCGTCGCCAAACCGTCAGTGACACCCAAAACTTCTGACGTTCTGGGCGGTCCCGTTCAAAACCTGCAGTGCAATACTAGCAACAATATTCTCTCAATATGTGGTATTTAGGCAGTTGGCTCTTCCCAGTCATCTCAGCATGCATGTATGTGTCTCGTTTCTCCCCTCCAGCCCGTAGACCGCACCACTGACTCGTTTCAGGTGGCTCGGCATGCTCTTAGCAATGTTCATCGACTGGGAAGTCATAGGCCACCCAATCTACCCGTCCATGGAGGCCGGCCAGAAGATCGCGTACATCAGTGACGTCGGCGCCTACGGGCTCAAACCACTCTTCATTACCGGGAGTGTCATTACCACCGTCTTCCTCGACTTGGGCTTCATGGCCGAACGATGGCTCCGTCACACCGGCCGCCTTGTCCCCAATACCTCGTTCGCCCAGAAAGTCCTGTCCGTCATCTCCATCATCTTTGCCGTGGCTGGCTCCGCGGGCCTCATCCTGCTGAGCATCTTCGACACGTACCATCATCCGCGCTTGCATGACGGCTTCCTCTTGCTTTTCATCGGAGGATACATCATTTCAGCCATTTTCCTGTGTGCCGAGTACCAGAGACTGGGCATCCACTACCGGAACCACCGAATTCTGAGGATCTCCTTCTACGTCAAGCTGTCCTTCATCATCATCGAAGTCATAATGGCCGTGGTCTTCGCGGCCACGAGCTTCAACAGCCAGAAGAACGTTGCTGCTGTCTTTGAGTGGCTCGTCGCCCTGATCTTCACCTTTTACATCCTCAGCTTCCTCCTCGACCTGCTGCCGAGCGTGAGATCGAAGCACCACGTGCCCCAGGGCTGGAGGGATGCCGAGCTCGAGAAGGGTCGCAATGGACTGTCAACAGAGCCAGACGCTCCAGTTACTTCGGATTCCGCCGGCCCAAATCAGAACATGGGCCCTGAAGATGATGTCTCTCAAGGCTACCGGGGCACCACCATGACCAACGGTGTTGGAGCTGGTGCCGGTGCGGGATATCCCAACAACCACTCTGATGTGGGCGGTCGAAAGAAATGGGGCGTTGGCCGCTTCAGGCGATAGACCGCCCCAACGTGGCCCCTTGTTTCTTTTTCATTTCCACCTTGTTCTTTACCACCTCGTACCGCCTCGCGCTGAGTGCGTCGAGTGCCGGCACCGTCTTCCACGGCTTATGACAAAAACTCGGATCTTCAGAGTTCTGATGTATAGAAACAGCGATTTGAACATGCACATCTTGTTTGGCGTTGGCATGGGGACCGTCCACAGACCATGGACGAGGCATAGACAACTGGAATCGGGCCCTTTTGAGGCGCAAAGCATTATAGCTACGGAGGACGACTATCAAGTTATATCTGAATATTCTTATCTAATTAATATCCTATCTATTACCTCCTGGTTTTTGCACGTTTTGATTGTCATTGGAAGCGAGTGAGTGCCTGGGAGGACAATCAATCCGACCCGGTGTGTGTACTACATATTGGCCTGGAGGGCTCCCATATCGCGACACCTCAAGTGAACGTCTCGTCTTGTCCACAGTACCTCGCGAAGAAGCCCGAGAATCAAAGTGTTGAAGAGTTTGGTTCCCCATGCCCATGTAAATGGCCGAGCACGTGAATACTGATAACTGGTGGCACTATTCAAACAATACGAGGAAGTGCTCCATAAGCGCCAGCGCCGAAGTCTCTGCAGTGCCTCATACAGCCCTACCCAACAGGATCCCCCTCCCTCTCAACTGATAGCACCGCTGAACAGTTTCGCAGCAAGTTCGGTCAAGATCCGAGACTTCTGGTCCTGCTCGAGAGATTGGAAGACTGCATAGACAGATTTTCCTTTCGCGTCTCTGATGGCCCCGGCTTTGGCCCCTGCTATAGCCCCCGGGATCGCCCCGACCACATCGGCCATGATGAAGCCCACGACCGCGCCGGCAATGCCACCAGCGACACTCCAAAACCGCTTTGTTGGGACCTTCCGGCCGCCTTCCTCGGCCGCCATGCCGTCTTCGCCCAGCATTTCCTCAAACACAGAGCCAAACTGGTCGTTGGCAAATCGGTTTTCCTGGCTATCGTCTTGCGCCCCGGTCGACTTAGCACCACCGAAGCCGAACATGTTCGCCCACGAGAAAGTAGATGGTTTGGCGTGAGGGATTTCTTCATCGGCAGCCGCGTCTTCGTCGTCGTAATCAAAATCGGAGGCCGAGGTGCCATGGAACCTGCGCGCCTCATCGTATTCTTTCCGCCTCGTTACGTCACTAAGAACGTAGTATGCATCGTTGATTCTTTGGAACAGCTTCGTCCTCTTCTGTCGTTCAGGCGAGTCGACAGCCACTCGGTCAGGGTGCCACTTCAGCGCGGCTTTCTTGTATGCCCGTTTTATATCGTCGGCCGACCCGGAGGGGGCAACTTCAAGGATCGCATCTATTGACCTTGCAGTCAGAACGGGCACTTGCTGGTCTGAAGGATTGGTGGCAGGACTTACAATAGTCTGGAAGTTCGGACATATTGAATAAAGAGCACAGTCCTTGACGGCTGAACCGATTGAGGTGTTGAAGCGAGCCTCCCTCTAACCCAACAGACTCTAAAGATGTCTAGGGGAGTCGGCGGGTAGAGATTCTATCGGCGGTCCTGATCGTGCACGGCAGACATAAGGATAGGTGAATTTATTGCTCTAGCGCACTCGCGGAGGAGTGTGGCTGGAAAGAAAAGAATAACGTGCCTACTGGAGAAGGGATTCAAGTTTCTCTGCGGCATGGCCAGCCTGCGAAGCAAATGATGGATGGGGTGGCAGTCGGGCAATGGATGACGTCGAAGTCGCAGAGGGTCTGTGTTCAAGCCACAGTGGCGGTTTGCGGACCGTCCAATGAGTGCCATACGGCGTAGGACAGTGCTTCGTATCTCGTATCCAGTCATCCCTAGCATCGGGAGGCAAGTAGCGACAGGGGTCTTCAGCCTTGGTTTGTGTTGGCGCGCCGTACTAGAGGAGTTGCAGCTGGTGGTTTCCAGCCACCTCAAATTGTCGACTGAAGAGAGTAGCGGTCGGTCAGACTTGCTGCATGTCTGTCCCATCCTTCTCAACATACGAGTTGACCTCTGAAAGTTCTCCTCGGGGCCAACCAGAAGGACGAGAAGAGTAACCGCCAGACTACACTGCGCAACCACATATCTGAACCCGAACCCACTCGGCCGACTCTGCCACCACCTCGCGCGCTGTCATTGTCGAACGACTGACGGTTGACACCGACGTTGAACGTGCACCGCCTGCCACTCATCTGGTGTGACCACCCGAAAAGCCTCCCTCCCTCCCTGCGCCCTGCTCACTTCCCCCCCTCCCTCCCTCAACATGGGGTTCTGGAACGACGACATCCGCGACTCCGGTCGGAGTCGCAGCCCATCTCGGAAGACACACTATTATGCCTCTCGTCCGTCGTATTCTCGCAGCGCTTCCTCCTTCTTCTCCCTTGGTGCCGGTGGTTCCTCGTCTCGAGGCCACGCCCGCGCCCGCCCTCGATCCGGCTTCATCAACCGCATCCGTCGCTTCCTGCGCGAGATATACTCGTACCTGCGCCGCCATCCGGTCAAGGTCTTCTTGCTGGTCATCATGCCCTTGATCACCGGCGGCGCTTTGAGCAAGCTTCTCTCCCGCCTCGGCGTCAGATTGCCTCGTGGGTTGGAGAATCTCGTAGGCGGAGGCGCATCTCGCCAGCAAACTGAGAGATACTATGCCCGTGGAGGAGCTCGCGATTTTGCCGGCGGGACCTCAATGCCGGGGATGGCGGGCGGCGTGGGTCAGAGTATATCATCGTTAGTGGGCATTGCGCAGAGGTTTTTGTGACCACCAGGCTAAAAGGAACGGGAGGCTGAGCATTGTATGCTTGGAAGCCTTGCACCACCTTTGAGGCGCGACAGTGTCGGATTCAGCAGTTACATTGTCGGAGCAGTCATGAAAGAACTACGTTGAAAATCACGGTTAATGCAAAAATAAGCAGTCCAATGGACCCTTTGAAGAGGAGAGCAGGAGTTCCAATTTCAGACATCTTGTCTCTCATTGTATGGGTCAAGGATCTGTCTAGCAAGACGCCCGGCTACCTCAGAGGTGTATCGGGTAGATCTGTTCCTAAATCTATTCAGGTGCACTTCATTTCTTTCCTTTTTTGCCCCTTTTCTTCATCCCTGCAGCCGATGCTTTTTCAATTTCTTTCTCGATCCCTGACGAGTCCACTATTTCGAATCCAGAATCTTGTTCCTGGCTCGAGTTTGTATCTGAAGACGCCACATGCTCAGCACTGACTGCGTTCGGGGCAATGTCAAGGTCTCGTTCGCTTTCTGACGGCGGAGCCTCCTCACCAGCTATGCGCTGACTCTGGTTGGGTAAACGGCTGATGGCTTTGTGATAGAGCCATATGGGCAGACGTACGACTGCCGTGTCCCATATTGTTGGCCTCGGTATCTCATCCAGGTCCAGAAGAAACTCCTGGACATTCCCATCTTCATCTTCTTCTTCCAAGAATACGTTTCCCACAGAGTCAACGACAAGAACCTTCCCATTTTCAGCGACCACGCGTTTCTTGTCACCGGCGGGAGTAGATGTTTGCAGTGGAGCTGGTTTGGCTGGTTTGGCTTTGCTCGACTTATCCTTTTTGTTCTGTCGCTCCAGTTCTCTTTTCTGGCGTCGGTTCAGGTTTGCCATTGCGTCGGGTTCTTCAGCTGTTTGTGGAACTTGTACCGGGCCACCCAGGCCGGCAATGCCTCTAATGCCGGATTCGTCACCCCAAGCAGTCTTTCTAGCATGCCTGATGTACCTCTCCATGAATTCACGCTGTCTCTTGTACCCTGTGAACAACGCTAGGTAATGAGCTCCGCCACCGCCAACCAGAAAAAGGCCAACCAAGACTGTACCCAGACCAGGTCGGTATCTCGAATAATAATAGCCTGTTCCTCTCCACGAAGGGAATCCGTGTTGCAAGAAGAAATCATATCTTTCTCTTTGTGGCCCTCTTAAGACACTGGCCACCACGCCCAACCGGCTATATCTTTCTGCCGCTTGTTTCTCGAAGCGCTGAATCTCTCGCTCGGATGGGCCCTTCGAGACATGTACACCGGTCTTTTTCTTCCCACCAGGCTTCCTCGGCTTAGCGGTCGACCGGGAGGCTATGAATGAATGCTTAGCCTTGTCGGGATGAAGGGCTCGCGACTTTTTTCGAAAGGCTTTGCTGATTTCTTCTACCGTGGCGGAAGGTTTGACTCCCAGAAAGTCGTAAAAGCTCACCCCGTCTCCTTCGCCGGCTTCAACTTCGTCTCTTAGCTTGAAGATCTCGTAGTCCTCCTTTGACCACGCTGCGACCAATACGAGAAAGGTGCAGAGCACAAAAAATTGAATGATTCGCCGCCTCATTTCTATACCCGTCCCCCACAACAAGCGAACGATATGCGGACAACCAAGAAGAGGTGTGTTTTTGTAATCCGTAAAAGGAGTGAGGCAGGGAAATCGAAAAGTCGTGGATGGCGGCCCAAAAACGTGGTCCAATAAACGGCTTGACGACCTCGAGACGGCAGAGAGACGTGCAGTAGCTTACAATTCGACCACCGAAAGTGAAGTGTCAAGGTATATAGGGGGCAGTTAGTCCTGGCCCCGCGGTCAGTGACTTATTCTCCTCTTCTTCAACCCTCGCTAGGTAGTCTACCTAGGTGATGGCAGTTATAGCACTTTGAGCCTGCCGCAGGCAAGTCGAGGCCACGAGTTGAAGTGCAGCCGATTCCCGTGACCACGGTGTCTGACCTGGTCAACAAAAACTCCACTATTACTGTAGCCAATTTTGGTTGTGGCTGAGAAGCGAGACGCGAGAAGCGAGAAATCGGACGGGGAAAGCTGACAGATAATCACACTGACAGGGGGGCGCCGGGCGCAGGCAAACCACCTCTCTCTCTCCTCGAATTTTGGACCGGATTTGGACTCGCCATTTCCATCCCAAATCCAAAAGGGGAACCTTTCATCAAGGAAAAGGGCGTGCCTACTCGTCTCATCCAGTCCATTTATTCGGTGTCACTCACTCACCCGCTCACTCACCCGCCTTCGTTGAATCTTCAAACTCACAATCTACTTTCTTTCGGCCACCTACACGTTTTCAATCATACCAAGATCAAAAGCTTGTACGTTCTACAGCAGCAAGTGGCCGCACAACTGTCCTCACCGTGAGATGCTAATCAAAAATATTTCAGCTAGACAACTTCCTTCCGGCTAACCCTCTCCTCGAGTCTCGAGTCCGCGGCAGTCTTCCCCGTCCTCAGAAACATGGCGCGTATTAGCATTCCTCTTGACGCCTTGACGTCCAGGTTCAACTTGTCCGATCGCTTCTCAAGTGTTCGATCGCAATCTATCTCGTCTCGATTTGCCAACATCAGGCCCATTTCCGAATTTCTGGACTTGAAGAGACTGTCGAAACCACATGACTTTGGGGAAGTCCAAACCCGAGTTAACTACAACCTCAGCTACTTCTCCAGCAACTATGCAGTCGTGTTTGTCATGCTCAGTGTCTACAGCCTGCTCACCAACATGTGGCTTCTTTTCGACATCATCCTTGTCGTTGGCGGCATGTGGGCAATTGGCAAATTAGGGGGAGGTGATCTCGATATTGGTGCCTTCCGTGCTACCACATCCCAGCTTTACACTGGTTTAGCCTGCATTGCTATCCCTGTTGCCTTTATTTCTTCACCTATTGCAACATTTCTCTGGCTCATCGGTGCGTCTGGAGTCACTATTCTGGGCCATGCCTCCCTTATGGATAGACCGATCGAGAATGCTTTTTCCGAGGAGGCGGTCTAGGTGGTCGGCCGCGAACTCCATACGATATGCCCCCTTGGGGAAGACCACCAGGGGGACGACCGGGGAGGAAGAACAACAGGTCCGGGGTGGTCCAACGGTCGTGGGAGTATGATGATCGTGTGGAGGAGCTGGACACCGAAGATGACGCTTCACAAGGTGTTGAGCTGGATCAAGGTTACGGTCAGCAAAGATTTGTTTCTGATGAACTTCGATTTACCGGCATTGATTTGGGTGGCGGTGTGGTCCGCCGAAGGCGTTCAGGTGATACAGATGACGATGATTTTACCCCCTCAGATGGCGAAGACGATTATGGAGGTCCCACTGACCTTATTCAACGGCCAGACACGCAACTAATGTACAGGGAGAAAGAGGACATGCTGGTTGAGAGAGCTCTTGAGCGGATTGCACGTGCACGGGCTCTGGGTAAGCCCAACGTCAAGTTGAGTCGAGCTGAGATTGATGCTTTGGAACGATTAGAGCGGACCCAGAACCCTCCACGTCCTTCTGTGCCGCCAAAAACTGCTCCCAGAGGCAAGAAAGGATCCCCAGCCAAACGCAAGCCAGTCGAGGTTCGCAAGAAGCCTGGCGCGAAAGACACGTCTGCCAGCAACTCCCCCAAGGGAAAAGCAATTGACGACCGGGGTCGTGGCAAAGGGTCCGCCTCCAGTAACTTCATTCACGATGATTCAATTGCTTCCTATGCATTACCTCCAACGGACCAATACTACAGTCGGCGACCTCCATATCCACAAGCTTACTATGTCACCGGCTCACCTCGAGGTGAATCTTCCCGCCAGGGCTCTCGTCAAAGCTCCAGTCAATCCCTACGACAGCAGCAGCAGGCATCACAAATGGTTCTCAATCAACACCCATATTATGCTCAACGCTATTCCTCCAATCCAGACGCAGTTTACAGCGCGCGGCCTGGTTCCAACTCTTCCCGTGCTTCTCGGCCTGACCCATCCGAATACGACTGGGAGCCCCGGCCGCGCTCCAGCTCGAGTCTAGTTAATGTACCCCTGGACCAGCTACCTTACCAAGCCGGCACAGGTAGAGCACCACGCTTCGATCCTTCCGATCCAAGATTTGCGTCGCCCCAGCGACGGGTGGCCTCTGGCCCTCCAACAATTCGGCCAAATCAGGCGCTGCAGTATCGTCGTCCGCAAGACGAGCTCTTCTTACCTGTCGAACAGGTAGAGGTCATGAGGTACCTAGCCCCATCTGACTCGGAGGAACATGACGATGAGGACGACAGTGATTACGATGAAGAGGTCCGGGTCAACGCCGCCGAAACGCCGCGCAGGGATTACATAATACAAACACGGAGTGCATCTGCATCAACATCTACACAGAAGGCAGGATCTGGGCCCAGAACAGTGGCAGGAAAGGGCAAAAAGAGGAGATAGCGTTCTGAAGGGTTGCTAGGGGTACTTGCTTTGTGTTGTGTTAATAGAACTACTCTACATGGAGCTTAGCTGACTCTATAAGACTATAGCCATAGCTTGGGCTGCGGCACTGTGCAACTTATCTTGTAACGGGTTTCGCAATAGGATCAACCTTTCTAGTTTACATTTACCGGACACTTTCATGATTGACTCGGCATATTCTTTGGCCGGTTTCACACGAATTAAATCGTATCGCTCTTCTCCCACTTTGTAGGTCAAACCGGTTGGTTACCATAATCCTGTGTCCAGGCCCAGATGTAATACAACATTCCAGAACACGTTGCCCGCGGCGCTCCCATGTGGATCGGATATTCAAAGGCTCATAGGTTTGAATTCCAGCTACTCTAGCCGCAATCGACCATAGGATCGAGAAAGAAGCACTTCCCGTCCGCTCAGTGGTACTTAAGCTCGATGCCGGCCAGCTAGTAGTGACGTGGGAGACCAGTCATGAATCCTGACTGTTGATTGTTTTTGCCACTTTTGCCATTCGCGATTAGTCAGCGGGGGAGGGTTTTTTGTCATAAGTACTCTGTATTACAGGCACCACAGGTATGAAGTAATAACACATGCACTTGCAGACTACCCAGACCTTAGAAAATATGGAAGTTCAATCCGCTTTCCGATTTTTGAACCGTCCGTCGGGACCCTGACTGCTCAGCCTCGTGCCAGCTGACCTGTCACCTGACCCCCCCTGGAAGTCCGCCCGAATGTGGAGCACTGATGGGAAGAGACTGCAAAATGTCACCTGAGGATCTGTTCCATGGAGAATTTCCCAAGATCGCTCCGCCACTGGCCTTGCAGATTTGCGGGACCTTTGATTGGTTTTACCAGTATTCTGGAATTCCTTTCCTTCGTTGGACGCTGCTGGAAGGCTCATCGTCCTTCGCCGAACGCTGCCCAGATGGGGCGGTAACAAATGGATTGGGGTCCGGATCAAGATCCTCGTAGTTGAGCCTAGGGCACAAATTTGTAACTGGATTTCATAGTACGGAGTAGATCGTTCTGGCATGAATCTTTGGTGACTAATAATATGAAATCTCCGCGTCTCGAGGGATCGTGACAACTCTCCAGGGGGTTGAAGCCTCGGGTCATGCACCTTCGCTTATTTGCCGGCGCCTCCCCTCATGGAACCGTCAAATAAGCGCACTTCCCTCGACGTATCCTTGTTCGCCCTGGCTTCGTTAATTTCTCTAATGGTTTTTTACAGAAGCAATTGATTTTCTATAGAAAAGCTGTGGTGCGTCGAAGGGAGTCTGTGCGATGTTCGTGGAGCGTACGGCGTATATGCCGCTGTTTCTCTCGGATTGCACAGCGCCATGCTACTACTGGCAGAGAAACTCGCAGCGGCCACTCCCAACCAATCAAATGCCAAGGAGAATCTTCGGGACGAGGCTTAAAGGACAAACTGGAGGCACTAGTCCCCTTTTGGCCCAAAGCTGGGTCCATCTGCCGGCGCATCTTGTCTAAAAACGGTAGTGGCACGTGATATGTGCCCTTCTCGAAAACACTGGTGCTTTCCAAAGGCTCTTTTCTCCTCGTCGACGAGGTTGCATTACAGTTGCCACATGTGCATGGCCATCCAAGGCGGCGCTAACCGTCGTACTTCTGGATGCTGCCAGAGTAACTACGACGCCTTCGGTATCGACAATACCCATTCCCTATAAAGACTAGGTACTCTCCAAATCCGTGGCAATGCCCTCCCACGCAGGTTGTATTCGACGTTGCTTTTCCCCATACCTTCTGATCCAGAACGCACGGTCGCAAGGTGAAATACTTATCTGCAGATACTGTGGCGAATATCACTTCCGAGTCCCGACGCATCGCAGCCTTGTCCCACAGTGCTGGAGCAAGTCCCACAGAGGTCGAGCCGTGTTCCGGTCCCTCCCTTACCAGAACAATATATTTAACCCTACCGTCTAGAAGGAATATCGAGTGGAAAGCTTTTTGCCCCTTTCATACAAAGCCTCGGAATTCCAACCCTTTCTCTGGACCCTCTTGGTTGCCCATACCCTACGACTTTTTATGACACCAGCATTGAAGCAGGGTTGCTTGCCTCAATGAGCTTCGCGGTTTTTACAGATTTTCTCGAGATATATCTCGTGACCACCACCCCTACACCAATCTGTCAACGGTGGCCTCAAAGAGTCTGAGGTAAGGGAGTTTTTTGCATTGTAAAGATTCTTCCTTCCCTTTCTCCCCATTCCTTCCTTCAATATTTCAAGAACACACCAAATTACAACACCAATCAGTTATAGATGTCGTCCAGTGGACAGAACTCTCAGGACAGTAATTCAGAGAGTGGTCAGAGACGCGGCTCTGGATCGCGTCGTCCTAATCTGATTGAATTTGTCGACAGCCAGGATCCCAATGTGAGAAGTGCCATTCAGAGACACACGGCATACCATTCGGCGGCTCAACGGCGAGATGCCAGGTCACGACTTCTACGACGTTCCAGTCAAACTCGATATCTGGAATGGGGGAGACGTCACCAACAGAGCACCGAAGCCACCCCAGCGACTTCCTCAGCCAGCAGTGCGAGTTCCGTTTCCAGATCCCCGGCGCCATCTGGGCCGGAAGGACCTGAAGCCGCAAGTCGGACGACGAGCAATCAAACCGAACAGGAATCAGAGATATCTACAAGTTTGTCGGAGACAATGTCCAACACCGGTACGACGTCGATAGGAGGACCAGCAATTTCAGACAATGATTCAATATTACAATTCTGTAAGTTCATCTTGAGGAGAAGGAGGCTGAGAGTGTACGATCCCCTGCATGAAAATTGCGGTCGTCAGTTGAATTCAAGAAGCTAACCCAGGGTTTGCAGATCGCTCGACCTTTTGCGAACATTCTTCATACAGAGACATCTTCGATTCTGCCATCGCATATATACTTGAGCACGATGCGGCTCGGCATCTACTTCTCGCCTACGCCTACGCCATGCGGTGGAGGCTGCAGGCCAGCTCCGAGACAGTACAGGACCAAGTCGGGGCACAGTCACATCTAGGCCGGGGCACCAATATGTTGTGGAATCGTTTACAAATGCCTGGCCATGCCAGCAGCGATTCCAACATTCAGGCCGTTCTTCTATTGTTGGCCTACACGGCGGATTTCGGACAAGCCAGTGAGATCCGCCTCCATGCCGACGCTTTACGGACCATGGTCGAGCAGCGTGGAGGGCTCGATACGTTTCGGCATAACCCAGGGCTTCAGCAGCAACTCTGGGCCATCGAGATATCCCGCCAGTATCATTTAACGCTGGGCTGTGAACCTTCATGCCCGAATCCGTTGAGGTTCCCCGATGGGCTGCGGTTGCGTGCGCCTCGTGAGGAGGACCGAAGGAATTAATCATTACATTTGTTTGTATACTACAGGTCGATTGCGCCTCATTTGGATTGAGGACTTTGGATGGGCAACAGCGGCCCAACTAGCAGCGACGACATTCATTACATCGGTCTGATTCTAGGCAAGCTTCAAGGTCGATATGCTTGCCACGAAGTAACGATTTAGGGCATTTTTTCATGACGGACACAAGGATTACAGGATCCTGCGTCGCCATGTATTGATAGCGTGATTCAGACTGTGCATGCCTAATCTAGACGTGTCAGATGAGCATACGAAGATAATGAGCGCACGAACGCAGCTGGAAAGAGAGAACTCCTAGGTAATAAACACAAAAGTTTGTCACTATTCTGTACTCCCTCGTGCCTCTACGAGGTTCCAGAACAAATCCCTCGGATCTGCATGTTAGTGTATGTATATTGCGCCGATGGCAATCTGGCCAGTGTGGTTGGAGGTTGGAGGTCCCTGCGCTGCCCGCTGCCCGCTGCCAACAAATTCGGACCCCACGATTGATCTCATCCATAATTCCTTCGCTGTACGGTCTGTTTCGTCACCTACACTGCCCACTTTCGTCCATACTGCCACCTCACTGTTCATACTCAGCCTGAACAACATCTCGCAGAGCCTTCCTCCTTTCTGTCCTCGATTCGCGCCGTTGAAGCAACCCCCCCGCAGGTGCTCACTCACCTCCGTCGTCTCCCGCCGCCCCCCAACCTCCTCTCCTCCCACGAATCGTCCATTTCTGCCTGTCCGCAGATAGCTTCCGACACTTGAACTTGGAGCTCCTCTGAACATCCCAGAACCTTGTACTCTTGCCTGCGTAGGCAAGAGACCCTTTCAAGATGTCGGGCGAGGCGTGGTTATACCTACTTGCTGTTCTGATAAATGCCGTCAATCTTTTCCTCCAGGTCTTCTTCACTATTATGTACAGCGATCTAGAATGGTTCGTTGTGATGTCCCTGATGATGGTGTACTGTGGTCTGTTCGCTGACTGTGCCTTTCCCTCAGCGACTACATCAACCCGATTGACCTTTGCAACCGTCTCAACACCTACATCGTCCCCGAAGCGGCTGTCCATGCATTCCTGACATTCTTATTCGTGATCAATGGATATTGGCTGGCTATACTGTTCAATCTGCCTCTTCTGGCCTTCAACGCGAAGAAGTGGGTGGCCTTCGAGATCTTTTCTTCAAGGGCGACGTGGCTGATAAGGAAAACGCAGAATCATTGACAACCAACATTTGCTCGATGCAACTGAGATTTTCAGGAAATTAAACGTTCACAAGAAGGTACACTCCCCTGGCTTGAAGAAATTTGGCGCGCTGGCGAAGACGAGTCGTGGAGCTAACCGGCCACATCCAGGAATCGTTTATCAAACTTGGCTTCCACCTGGTCATGTTCTTCTTCTACCTCTACAGCATGATTGTCGCACTCATCAAAGACGAGTCTAACTGACTACGTGGCCAAGCATCACATGCAATGAAGTATGGCAGCTATGCATGATCTATGGGACAATTGCGCTTGGAATTGCCCTTTCAGGTCTTGGAATGACGGACCGGAGAGTTTTCAGTAGGAGGAGGAGATGGCCCATGGTGGCTGCGACAGTTAGTGTTGGAGATACAATGGAGCGCAATCGACACATGACGAGGGACCGAGCCAGATGAGTCGGCCCTTGGGCGGGTCTGATGGGTGAAGTGTCGGTCCGGCGAGCAGGGATTCTGCATGATCTACGCGACACAGTCATGCACTGAGCATGTTCGAAGACAATATGCCGCTCACTACTCACTGCCATATATCTCGTGCGGAGGCAGCAGTAAAAGCCCTCACCGGCTTAAGCGAACACTCGGAAAGTTTCGATCGTCAAGTGATATGATGTGGTGCAGTCCGCAAATCAGACTTTACAGCCTACAATGGGCGGTGGCTCGGGTATGCGTTGGACAAGGCATGATAAGAAGGGAAGCAGATGCCATGCCATGCCTCGCAAAGAGCTAAACGTTAGTGATCTTGATCGTTTTTGAACATAGATTTCGTTGATACTAGGTACTTCAGGCCTGTCAGTGACGGCTGTTCCGGCCATACTAGTAGTCTCGTTTCCACTGCCAGACTTTACATAGTAGCGTTAAACTCACTTCCGGAAGTTGCGCTGTCTTAGGTAAGGTACCTTAGGTACGGAGTGTACACCTATGTATCCGTCCTCCGTCTCCGTAGGTATCACATACAAAGCTGCCGGTGAGGATTTTTTCTAGATCCCTAGGCAGGCATTCGGCGGTGAACTTGACGGCGAGCTTGTATACTGCCTAAGCATTACTATTACTCTGTATGCCATATGGAGTACCTAGTATGTACCTAAGGTACAGAGTATATATGTCGGTCTTGGTTCTGTAGGAGTGCAGCTCAGCCGCCGCTTTAACACCGCCGCTCCCCAAAAGGTAATTGTAACTTGTTTTACAAACTAACTGTACAACCCCACCAAATGTTGAAGTCCTGCTCTACTACGAGTACAACACCCGTGGCGACGATCCGCGTGCATCCATCTCGTATGCAACTTTCGGAACAGCCCAGCCTGCCATTTCCTGCCGTGTCTGGCGGGCTTCATTGAAAATCTTGTCGGTATAAGGGACGACGGATTCTATATTGCGGGCTGAGCTGCCGTAGAGTTCCTGTGGCCCTATAGAGCCGGTACTGTCGCGAGGGGGAGGAATAGCTTGAAACCTGCGCGTCCGTCTGCGGAGAAAGAAAAGGCCGCCGAGACCGAGGAGGGCAAGGATGGCTATTACGCCTATGACTATGCCTGCGATGGCGCCGGTAGATATGGGTTCTGACCTTGACGTGCTGTTTGAAGGTGCTGTTTCGATCGGGGTTGATGAGTTGGCTGGTCGTGAGGGGTTAGCACCTGGGCAGCGAGCCATCGACTGCTCGTTGGTTATGGCGACGAGGTCTGTGTTGTTGGACGGGTTCGCCTGCCATAGAGTGAAGGTACCGGCGTCTTGGTCGACCATTAGGTAGGCGGCGGTCAGGAAGTAGCGGCCCAAGGTTGCTGGTTGGTCACCGAGAGATGAGATCAGAACTTCACGCTGGCTTTCATTGAAGATGCGCGAGCTGTTGCGGTCGATGGCCACGAAGGGAACGCCGTATTGGTCGTTGGGGACGCGGATGGTCAGACCCGAGTCCGGCTCGAATGTTATGTCGCCGTCAAATCCGATCGTAATTAGAAATTAAGACTTAGTTGGGTGGCGTGCTGATACGATGGTAGAGGGCAGAGTGCACATACAGAGGGACTGGAACTTACTGTGTGCCGGTGTCGAAGAGATGTGCTCCCCAGTGAAGGCAGAAGGAAAGGCCGATGTTCTTGGTCAAGGTCACGTTCTCGAACTTCGAGTAGATGCTGCCCGGGGCTTCGAGCAGGAGTTGCCGTTGGGGGACAAGGCAGACCGGCAGCACGGTGTTCGCGGGGAATAGGGTTTGCTCAGTCCCTGTTCGAAATTCACTCGGACGTCGCGTATGTTAAGTCGCATACCCGTCCAGCATCCGGTAGATCCAAAGTCGAGATTCTGGGTGAGGTCTTGCCCAATCACTTTGGTACGGTCATATCCTCCAAGCACGAGGGAGCCATCCATCGGAGGGTTGGCCAGCCACATCCGGCCCCAGAATATCGACCATACTCTTGCGCCAATTTGCTTCGCCTCCAGCAAGGCATTGAGGTATGTTGAATTCGATCCAAAGCCAAGGGCGTGTAGAGTGGTGTAGCCCCCGTCCCAGTCTTGCCGCGGGATTGCCACCGGAAAGGTATCGAGCGCCTCAGTGGAACCAATCTTCAGTGTGTCCGTTCCGCCGAGGCCAGTGCTGACGAGGTTCTTAATGCCTAACTCTGAACCAGTCACTGTGGTCTCTGTGGACGCCCCTCCAGCGTCGATGATGTCAAGAGCCTGTTTGAATGAGGAGGAATCGTCCTCGAGGTAATAGCTGCCGCGCCTGACAAAGCATATTTCCTCGGAGAAGATGCTCGTAGGGTCGCAGAACGCCTGCTGGTCGTAGATCCATATATTATTAAGCTCTCTGGTCAAGTTTTAGTAAAGACCTGTCCAGAAAGAAGAGGAAAGAGGTCAGACTGACGCCCACGGCATCAACACGATGTCTTGCTCTGGTGTTCCGATTTTGGCAGGAATTCCTTTCATGAAAGAGTCGAGCACAGGTTTGTTGACTTGGACATCTTTGATCGGCGATACGAGAGGCTCGAGCTCGCACGAGCTCGCCATAGCTATAGCAAGCTCGGATACAAGAAAGGCAAAGACTCCGCAGATGAAAGGTTAGTTGCATACCAGCGGCATAAGAGGGACAAGAGACACGAGAGTAGCCCTCCAGAGGTATGTTCCTCCGGGCGTCTCCTGTGACACCATTTATCCAGGAAGGTGTCGACATAGACTGCTGTTTGACAAGCCAAGAATGGAGCTGCTGGCGATGAGGGTCCATGTGTAATGCTCAAGTCCATTTTGAAATTGTAGAGCCTTTCGAGACCGGAACGAAACACGCCGGGCCATGTCGTGTAGTATTGCCTCTTCCGCCACATGGCGCTTGCACAGATACAACAACCTCCCGAAAGCCAGATGGTCGACGCCTCAGAGGAGTCAAGGAGCCAAGGGTGCTGTGGTGGCTGCTCTTGGCCAGTTGCTAAGGTGTGCTGGTGATAGTCTTGAAACCATTCGGTTCACTGTCTGACCCATGCGATTCGGCTCCCCTTTCCACATCGACAATATTACATTGACTCACTCTTGAAGAGTAGCTGGGCTCAGCCATCTGGATGACTGCTATCAAAGTCGAAATATTGTTTCTCGAGATAGCTGGGTAATGATGTTAGGTGGAGAACGGTGGGTAAGTAAATAGGCTGAACACGGAGGATCCGAATGGAGTTAAAGATATTTTAGGCAACAAGTATTGTAGGTGGCCCATGCAGGGGAAGGTACCTACTAACCTAGGTAGTATGTTAGGTACCTAGGGGTATGTACAGTACTCCGTACTCCGTAGAAGAAGGGGCATTCAGCCAAGTCTTGGTAGGGCACTTACAGGACTACTAGGCACCTACAAGGGGTCTAGAATTGACGCCAGAGTCATGGTACCAAGTGTATGTGCATAAATCCAAGACTTAGGTGTAGCACAGCCTGATTAATTAGGGCCTCTAAGCCTAAGCCTTTTGGGCTCCCTTCAAGTTCGGCCCCAGCGCCTCCGCCCCCAGTAACGTCCACTTTAGGCATGGATACTGTCTAGAGTCGGCTTAGGGGCTTAGGCGCGTGCCGGCACGCCTCCCACAAACTTAACTGTGGCGTCTTAACCCCTACGTGACCCCATCTGTTGACGATCATCAGGTCCAACTCTGAAACTGGTTGAAATCCGCCCTTGACTGCTCGGATTCTCCTGCTGCAATGGCACACGCTGGTCGTTGGCCATTTCATAATGCCCAAAATACTTCGTTCCTTCCTTCATGCTCGTCTGTTATCGCTTAAAACGAGCTCTCCGTCTCCGTCGAGTTAAAATGCGTTGGAACAAAGGTTTCTCGCGCTGGATCGCTGGTGCCTGTATCCCCTTCATTATCCTCTCCCTTTGGTATTTTCAACACGACCGCACTCCTTCGATCCCCGTGACTAAAAGCAGCTTTGACTGGTCGACATTGAAAGTCCACCACCCGTTCCCCTCGACAACAAGCCTCCCTTCTGGCCAACCTCGACGGTTGCCCCGGATTCAACACAAGTTTGGCCACGAGTCAAGAGCCGCGGCATCCATACAACAAAAACGGCGAGATACCGTACGCAGGGCCTTTACAAGGTGTTGGGAGAGTTATAAAAAATATGCGTGGATGCAAGATGAGTTACTGCCTGTTAGTGCTACCAGCCGGAACAACTATGCAGGGTGGGCTGCCACTCTAGTCGACTCGCTTGATACTCTCTGGATCATGGGCTTAGAAGAAGAATTCCATGAGGCTGTTAGAGCGGTGGCGGTCATTGATTGGAACACGACACCGGAGACTGCCTGCAATGTCTTTGAGACCACCATCAGACATCTGGGAGGCTTACTCTCCGCCTATGATTTAAGCGGACATCCAACCTTGTTGCAAAAAGCTGCCGAACTTGGCGATATGCTATATATGGCGTTTGATACGCCCAGCGGGTTGCCGCCATTTTGGCTTAACTTCGAGAAGGCTAAGACAGGAGGTCTTGTTGCCGGAGACCATGAGCCATCTGCGTCCTCGGCCACACTCTCTATGGAGTTTACGCGATTGTCACAACTCACACACAATCCAAAGTACTACAATGCCATCTCGAGAGTGACAAATTTGATGGACCGGGCTCAAAACAAGACCAAATTGCCCGGCATGTGGCCTGCATTTTGGGATTTGAGAAATAAAGATCTGACAGACGATAACTCATTCACTTTGGGCGCCCTTGCTGATTCGATTTACGAATACTTACCCAAGATGTATGCTCTACTTGGTGGACTAGGACCGGTATATGAGAAGATGTACAAAGATGCGGCCAGCACAATCAAGGACAATCTCCTTTTCCGCCCCATGATCCCCGACAACAACGACATTTTATTCTCTGGTTCGGCCTCGGTCGACAACCACAAAGTTCATCTGAACCCCGAAGGCCAACATCTGGCCTGCTTCATTGGCGGTATGTATGGACTGGGTGGCAAACTCTTTGGTCTCCAGGAGCACGTCGACCTGGGTATGAAGCTAACCAATGGCTGCATCTGGGCATATCGCTCCTTCAGAACCGGCATTATGCCGGAGTACTTCAACATGGCCATTTGTGACACGCTTGATGGCTGTTCATGGGACGAAAAAAGGTGGCGTCGCGAACTTGCAGCAGACGAACATGGATCTGCCCGTCTACCTCAAGGTTTCACCAATGCCCGGGTACCCTCTTATAGCCTCCGACCCGAAGCCATCGAAAGTGTATTCTTGTTGTATCGAATGACCGGACACGAAGGGCTTCGAGATGCCGCCTGGGACATGTTTGAGTCAATTCAGAAGGCCACCTCGACGGCGTACTGCAATGCTGCTATAGACGACGTCAATTCGAATGCACCACGCCAAACTGATTCGATGGAGAGCTTCTGGCTTGCCGAGACACTCAAGTACTTCTATCTGATTTTCTCACCTCCCGACCTCATCGACCTAGACGAATGGGTACTGAACACGGAGGCACATCCTTTCCGGATCCCGAGATGAAAACACGGGTTGACTCGACCGTCTGAATAGTCCACGCCTCCTTCAAAATGACTCAGGCCAGGGGCATTTCGGAGTGAACCTTGCATCCGCCTTGGCCCGCGACGAGAGGGGAAGGTGACAATCCAGATGGCGGGCTACATATTCCCGATCCAGTACCCCGCCACCAACCTTCAACAGCTCCTAAGATTTGCACATTATCACGGATCATTCCACAAGGTCACGAGTTCGATTGGGGTTTGCTGGATCAGCGGAAGGGATAGTATCGTTCCGTATGCCAGAAAAAGGGTAGTATTCAGAACGAAAGCTATCAGTACGATGGTAAAACCTCGCTTATAGACGAAGTTGACTACGAAGGAGACTATGGAGCCTATGGAAAGACCAACGGGTACATAGACATAAAAGATTCGTTGTGCCTTGTCTGAGCCAATCGAGCGATTTAGCCATCTGCCCAGCCCTCTCTCACCACAAGCCTGGTGCCTCTGGTGGCCCTTCCCTGAAGACGGGTGTATACTTACTGCCGCACCTCGTTGTAGAACGTAGAAACCTACTTATACTGAATAAATACGAATACCATGACCTCTGCTTGACACCCCTTACGGCGACTCGGACATGAGGAATTGATCCACGAAGAGACGCCACAGAGTCGAAGTCGCCAACTCATATAGTACGCACAATCCTCTGAATATCCGACCGCCTCTAAACAGAAAGCCCAACCATCCTCCATAAATATGAGCAACCATGCACGCACCCGTAGTATTTGATTGCATAAAGGTTGCAACTAATACGTGGGCGGGCAAGCTTGCATGCAGCCTGCGCCTGCCTCCCCGCGCACCTTTTTCTGCAGTGAAGGCCGGCTTCAATCACAAACCACCATGTCATAAACCACCATAACCAGTTCAGATACCAGTGCCTCATTTCGTTTGGCCGGTCATGAGGCGTAAGGTTCTTGGTATCGGCCCGGCGTGCGTGCTTGTGTTTTGTCTTGTCTGGCTGGCGCTGGCGCGATCCCGAGTTCGAGTTCGACATGGGAGTCAATACATCTTCAGAGGCCCTCAGGCTGGGGAGAAAGTCATCGTGATGGCAGAAACCAAAGGCGAGAACGTCGATTGGGTCAGTGAGGAACTTCAGGAGTGAGAGGGTGAGTGATTTCCACGATGCTCTTCCAGCTGACAGATGGGCCCAGTTGGCAACATGCCATCTATCATATGGATGATTCGAACTGGGTTCTCCATCCACCGCTCAACAAAGGTCGTGAAGCGATGGCATACTTGACATTCATCGTCGATCATTACCACAATTTGCCAGAAATCATGGTGTTTTTGCACCCTCACCTTATGGGCTGGCCGCAAGCATGGCATACAGACTCTCCCGACTATAGCAACGTCGACTCTGTTCGAAGTCTTCGTTTGGACTATGTGCGAGAGCACGGCTATGCTAACATGCGATGTCTTCACATTCCAGGATGCCCTGACGAGGTCCGACCATTTCGGAATGATCCAGCACGAGCATATGAACTCGCCTTCGCTGATGCGTACACTTATCTTTTTGGAGGTAACCATTCGACCGTTCCCCATACCATCGGAGCGGCATGCTGTTCACAATTTGCCGTCTCCAAAGACCAAGTGCAAGCGAGACCGAGGACAGACTATGTGCGATATCAAAAGTGGCTTATTGACACCGAGCTTCCCGATGATGTTTCAGGACGTGTGATGGAGTATACGTGGCATATGATCTTTGGGAAGGGTCCCATCTGGTGTCCCGACCACACACAGTGCTGGTGTGATCAATTCGGACGATGTTAAGCGGTCACCCACCCTTCGAACAACTTCCAACGCAGGGTCATCAACCAACAAGGAGCCCTAGCCGTCTGCGGGAATAGGTACACGGAGTACAGACGGAGGAGGAAGGCTTAGGCTTTGAGGGCTTTGAAGGGGTAACCAATGTACCTTAGGCTAGGGGTTAAGGTGGCTACGGGGGTATTAGGGTGCTTTGGTCTTCTTCCTCACGCTAGTACTAGTACGGAGTATCCGTACATAGAGTGAGCACAAGGGCGGCGTGACCTTCTTGCCGAAACGGGGTTGAGTCGCGGGCAGTTTTTCCGCCATCATCGGGGACTGCGATCGCATGAAGTACGCTGGTACTTGTCCTGGCTTTCTTGTTCCTCAGGTCTGCATTTTGTCTGGCCGGATCTCCTTAGTCGCCATGACTGGTCTTTTGGATGCGGGCTACGAATCTAGTGATGATGAGACTCCTTCTGGGCAACCTACACCCGCACTGGCAAAGCCGCTGAATGCGGCGCCAGAAGTCTCTACAGAGGTTTGGTCTACACTTTCAAGACGTCTTGCTTGTGAGCCTAACAATTTCCAGGAACACACTCAGATGCAAATAATGCTGGCAAACCCCTCTAGCACCACACTCACCTACAATGTCACTTACGACAACCTCGCCCGTCCTTCACAAGGCCCAGCCAATCCATTCAGATCTGCGTCTGGAAATGCGTTGAAGCGCAAGAATGTCCTCACGGGAAATGCAGAGGAAACAGCCATATCTGAGGCGACGTTCAAAACTCAACATAGGACCTTTCAAAGTCTAGGATATACCCGGGATCCGAGTCTGAACGGCGCCTTTGTAGGCGACCAGTCTGCCGTTGCAAAATACGGAGGGAAAGACGTGGTACAGTTGCGCCCTTCCAAACAAGACAGCGCCGCAATCCGTGCGAAAAGGCAAAAGAAAGGCGACAGTAGTATTGTCGATGGCGAGGGCGCATACTTGGGTCCTTGGGCAAAATACCAAAGTGACGATATCGCCTACGAGCAGGCCGAAGCTGCCGCCGATCAAGAGCTGGCCTCTGATGAAGAATGGGTGGAAGAGGGCATTGTCCCGACTCCGCTGCCTGCGCCTCCACAAGAGGCTACCGCATATTCGGGCGACTCGAGTACTGCTGAGACTACCCAATTTCACGGCGAGTCTGAGTTCGACTATCAAGGTCGCACCTACATGCATGTGCCGCAAGACCTGGACATCGACTTGCGAAAAGAGGCCGGTTCGACCCCAAGCTACGTGCCGAAAAAGCTCATACACGTTTACAAATATCACACCAAACCGATCACATCTTTGCGTTTTATTCCCCATTCGTCACACCTGCTCCTTTCATCCTCTGCCGACGCCAAACTTGCCCTTTGGGATGCCCATCATGACCGGACGCTGCTGCGTACATTTTCAGGCCACAGCAAAGCCATCACAGATACAGATTTCCACCCTACTGGTCGGTCATTTTTGTCGGCCTCCTATGATCGTCAGATGAAGCTCTGGGATACGGAGACAGGAAAGGTCATAGCCCGCTTCAGTACAGGGAAAACGCCACATACACTAAGGTTCCATCCAGAGGGAAATGAATTCATCGCTGGTATGAGCGATAAAAAGATTGTACAGTTCGATACACGGTCTGGCGAGCTAACGCAAGAATACGACCACCACCTTGGACCAATCAACACGCTAACCTTCGTTGAAGAAGGGCGAAGGTTCATATCTACTTCCGATGATAAGAGTTTGCGAGCTTGGGAGTACGGTATCCCCGTGCCCATCAAATTCATTGCCGATCCGTCAATGTATGCACTGGTCCGTTCTGGTCCTCATCCATCGGGCAAATACGTTGCCTTCCAGAGTGCAGACAACCAAATCGTTGTATATGCAGCTGGAGACAAGTTCCGGCAGAACCGCAAGAAGGGCTTCCGCGGCCACAACACCAGTGGCTATGCGATTGACGTTGCGATTAGCCCTGATGGCGGAATCCTCGCGAGCGGTGATACAGGCGGATTTGTGTGCTTCTGGGACTGGAAGACCGGGAAGATGTGGCACAAAATCCAGGCGGGCGGGGAGAGCAAAGGCGCAGTCACTTGTATCGCCTGGCATCAGCAGGAAAGTAGCAAGGTGGCTACTGGTGGGCTGGATGGAGTCATTCGATATTGGGACTGAGGGAGCTTCGCCGATAACCAGATTATATTTTGTCTGGGCAACATTCAATGTAACAGCCCAAGAAGAGATACTAGCTCAGCTCCGGGCACTTGGGAGCAAGGTTCTCGTCGGGAGACCTCAGAATCATGCAGCTGTGGACGATACTACCATAGAGACGGTGCGCACCTACGGTTACTATCGTCTGTTGTCGAGGCCGACGGGAGCAGACGACGAGGTATCGTCTTGCTGGCACCACTGTCGCAACCGCACGGCCGAGTAGCAAGCCGCCACGATGAGACAGGTGGAGCGCTTGAGGCCTACTCGTTTGTGAATTGACGAGGCCACTCACTGGCCGAGCTCTTAATGTGTCGTGAGATTTAGGGGGAAAGCAGACCACGATGAAATCGAGGCGAATAGAGGCTTTTGAAGAAAGAAGAGGAGCCACAGAGAAGATGATTTTTCGTGCGTCTACATGGATATCTTTTGGGTCAAATGTATTAATACAATCCAAAATATTCGGTCCCCATCTTTGCGGTTGTCCCATCTAGCATCGACCCGCTTACATAGCTCTGGTGACTGCATCCATGACATTCGCGTATGGTCGGGAGTTTCTGTTCGGCGTGAACCTCTCGCCCTCGGTCTCGTACATGGAATGCCGTCGCTCAACCATTTGCCAGTCAATGTGATCCCACCAGGCGGTCAGGTACGCCCGCTTGCCGAGCACGCCCCAGTCGGGAATGTATTGGTGCTGCCACACGTTGGCGCACAGAATGGGCTGGGCATTGAGGGCACCGGCGTACAGGTTTGCCCGCGCGGAGCTGAAGTCACCGAACGCGCCAGCCACGCCCAGTCCGCCTCCGCGGCCCAACGTCCGCTCTTCCAGACTGCCCGCCCCGAGTCCGCCGCGGCCGGAAAGCTGCGCGGCAAGTTGGCGGCCATCGTAGGTGGCCATGTCGCGGTTGTCTCTTCTGGGGGCGGCTTCAGAATATGGGCTGCCAGCGTTGTATGTGGCCAGGATGGTAAGACCGCCTGACGTAGGTGGCTTCATCAACCACACGAAGCCATTGCCAAACATGGAGTCTGCAATCTCGAGAAACTCGGAGCGCAGGTGGTCGACCGATTCATAATCCATCTCTATCGATCGCATCGTGTTCAGACCAGGACGGCGCTCTACCGAGTCCTCGGCATCAGTCAAGGACTCCCAGAAGAAGTGGGTGTGGTTGGCCATGGCCGCATGGTTGTAGAGCGCGGCTCGCTCGGGCTTGTGTGCGTTGATGGCATGGAGGTCGAAAGCAGACGTGGACTCGTCGGGCGTGCCTGACGGAAAGTGTTAGAGATATGCCATTTTTGGAGTGGTGTCCTGTCTTTTATAATAACAGAGGTGCAGATGTACCTTGAGTCCACTCATTTAATCGATCGCAGAGATGTTGGGTGTATTTCACGTAGGTCTCGTTGTATGTGTTTGGGGAAAGGAAGCCTGGAACGCCATATTTGGTGAACCGCTCTTGTTTCTTGGAGTCTGCCCACTGTGGCACGGTGTGCTTGTTCCGACGCTGAGTTCGAGGAAGCGAAGACTGCTTGGTGGAAAGCGAAAGGTCAGCTTCTTCTGTGTGCAGATCCAACGGGCTACTGGGCTATTGAGATACGCACAGCTTGTTTGACGACAGCTCGCAGCAGAGTCTGCGGCCTCGTCTGGGGTCGGCTGATCATGAACGGAGGATGGATCAACTCAGCCGCATCACCTGAGCAGCTAGAGATTGAGACTGAGTGAGTGAGTGGGTTGGTCTCAATGTCTACTCTGTACAGAATCCTCCGTACTCTGTAAATTTCTCGAATGGCTGCGGTTCCGAAAGGGGTATAGTGTGATGCTGCCTGCACCCAGCCAATTAGATTGGAGCGTCACTCTGCTGAGCCTTGTGTCTGAAACGAGCCACGCCACCTCCATCCTTCCATATTCAGAGAGCGTTTGAGATCCTTTCAGATCTCTAGAAGCCACTCGTTTCACCCTGCCCCAGTGTTTGCGATGCACTAACGCGCGTGCTTCAGATCACAAGGTTCCGGGTCGTGTTCACAAGCGGCAAGCCACTGGCTATCCGCAGATCTTCTTCGACCTCCATCTGCCCATGGAATAATCATAGACTGATAGCTTCCCAAGGCTAGAAGTCTATATTCAATAATGGAACACCAGTCATCTTCCAGGCGAGACTGGCTCACGCGAGAGGCTCACGCGAGAGGCTCTATAATGGGCCACGCGGATGGCCCGTTTCCCTCTTTGTGAGTGAAGCCTTCTTCTGTCCTTTGTCATAGTTCTCAAAGCCTTTTTGTTTCCTTCCTCGCTCGAGCTCTTATTTTCGGATACGCCTGGTGACAGTGCTGGTGACCAGTCTTTATACTTGATCATTCAGTCATCTCTTGTCATATCTGCCTCTTGCATGAACCACATTCTATTATACCAGACCTACTTCAGCACACAATATCTCTGCCATGCATTTCCCTTCGCGCGTTTGTGTCGTGCGCCTTTTGTTAGTCGGAATGGCCATCCTGTCCTCCAGCTCTGCCTCCCAAACCACCTCCAGATCCTCCCCAAGCTCCTCGCTACTTCTTCGGAGACAAGATGACTCAACTTCGTGTTCATCGGTGGATCCTCAACTGCCCAGCAACTTCAAATGTCCTTCCGGCACCAATTGTGTTTCCCTGGACAAATCTTCGTCAGCACTGTGCTGTCCAGAGGGGAATATATGCTCCAACATCCAGCCTATATCTTGCGACATTCAGGCACAGAACTTGACGGCAAATGCAAACTCAAACATTTTCACAACGCGGCTGGGCGATAAATTGCCGGCTTGCGGAGCCAAGTGCTGCCCGTTTGGATATGCCTGTATCGAGACACAATCAGGTCCTCCTGTTTGCAATATCATAGCTGACACCAGCAAGACTGGGGAAACGGATGCCTCGTCCTCAGGCAGCTCACCCACTAGCAGCTCGTCGGCAGCCTCCGCGACCACAACCACTCCTTCGAGCAGTGCAACAATTGCCCCAGCAGCCAGTGCTACAGGCGTGAGCTCTTCAGCTGCCCGGATTGAGCCAACGTGCAATAAGTTTCCAATTGGAGTTTTCCTTGCGGGTTTCTTTCCCGGCATGTTCGTTGGCGCGTTCCTCATGCTGGCCTGGGTCATCTGCAGCGGGCGACACCGCAAGCCGAGCCAGCGAAATTCCTCCGGTTCCTCGATCTACAAACCCACCATCTCCGACCCAATCCCACTAGGCTCTGGGGGAGGTATGCGAACGGATTTCCTGCGCCGAACCACTGGACGGGCCAAATCCATGTTTTCCACCAGAAGCCAGATTAGCCCCAGATACACCGAAAACCATTGGAAGATGCCAACGCCGCCAGTTCCCAATAATGTCCCTACCGTCCCAGCAGGGCTTCCTGTAACACCCGAGCGAAGACTTGGCCACGAATCCAGTCTAGAGAGCATACGGGTGTACTCACCTCCTACTGGTACGGTCCAACCACCTGTGCCTGCCGCCATCGCCCCCTTACGAGGTATGGCTGCTCAGAGGTATCCACCGATGAACAACATGGGCAGTCCGTTCAAGACCCCTCCAAACAATAACACCATGATGAATGGCAACCGTTCGAATGAGAGGGGCGTGAGTACAATATCTGGTGTCTCGGAACTTTCGGGTCACAATGATCATGAGATCCTTAGTCCTGCACGCTACGGCGGCGACGATTTCACTCCGGTGAAGCGCATGCGGCCAGAAGGCCAGGGAGTCGTCAGCAGACCAACCACAACATTTACAGAGATGCTGCACGAGGCTGGTTTCCCCGATCCCGTGGAAGAACAAGGTACTCCGGCTGTGCCGAGGATACCCGACGGATATGGAGTGAGAAAACGGATATGATTTGACGACTCATGTGATGCCCCTATACGGAGTAGACTGCGGACTGTTAATTCAGGTGGATGTGCCGGCCAGCCTTGTTTGGTGGCTGCCATATGAGTGAATGCGCTAAGATGGCATGGGAGTTGACCCTTAGTAAATATCATCTGCCACTCCTCTGATTTTGGGTACATTTCTGGGGTTACTGAAGGATGATGGTTACCCAAGTCCCTGGTTCCCAAGCCACAATACAGAGACAGCCTCTGGTGAAGGTTGCATACCTGGTTTGAGGAGAAGGGGTCGAAATGAAAGCGGCGTAATTTCTTTTTTCTATAGGCTTCGATGCTAAGCGACCGGACAAGGTGTTAAGGCGGCGAGATATATACTTTCTTCCGTAATCTTGAAGATTCCCCCAGCCTTGCCGGCCGTTTCTCCGCATTGCATCCAAGGTCAACTTCGACACGACGCCTTGAACGTTGTAGGAATTGCACTCCGTACATAGCACTGCTACCACACCGCTGCGCACCAATCCACAGGTACCACCAGAATCAAACCAACTCCTCCTCCCAAATATGTCTGACGAGCGTGAATCCTCTCCCACGCCTTCGGAGCGAGCCCGCAAAGACGCCGAAGACCGCAAGCGTGAGGAGGAAGAACAGGCCACCCTACCCTACAAATGGACGCAGACGCTCGAGGAAGCCGACATCACAGTGCCGATCCCAGGGAATCTGAAAGCGCGAGACCTGGTGGTCGAGTTGAAGAAAACACACATCAAAGTCGGGATCAAAGGCCAAGAACCCATCATTGATGTAAGTGTTCTCCCTATGTCGTTCTCACGAAGCCCAGGGTGAGAGTTTGAGGCGCAGCATTGGTGTCGTCTTGTGGTAGTCGAGGAGATGCAATTGGACTTGTGTCAGGGTCACTGTCATTGTCACCGACATGCTAGCGTTACTGTTACTGATGTGCTCCTGTGGTTGTGGTTGTGACTGCGACTGACGTGTTACGGCACAGGGTGACTTCCCACATCCCATTCAAACGGACGACTCGACGTGGCTGCTATCGACCAAAGCGGACGGGTCGAAAGAGATCGCCATCAATCTCGCCAAAGCGCGCGGGTCGTACTGGTGGGCGCACATCGTCACGTCGGCTCCCAAGATCGACATCACCAAGATCCAACCTGAAAACTCAAAGCTGTCGGAACTTGACGGCGAGACCAGAGGTATGGTCGAGAAGATGATGTACGACCAGGAGATGAAGAGGCAGGGCAAGCCGACCAGCGACGAACAGAAGAAGGACGAAATACTGAAGAAGTTCATGGCGCAGCACCCGGAAATGGACTTTAGTCAGGCCAAGATGGCTTGATCACGTTTGGGGGGTTGAACAATCCAAAAAATAAAACAAAAGAGTTCGTGGCGCTTCCATGCCGAATGTCGCGGAGGGCATGCGCCACGACGATGATTCATGAATTGAATTGAAAAAGCTCATCCATCGTGTACATGTAATTACGGAACAGTTAGATTCGGTATACGGATACCTGATATCCGATAGAATGGCTTTAGATGGGGCAGGCAGACCAGCACTTGCACCCGCCAGACCATTGTATCACTTCTCTTCCGCATACGGTATAATGTCCCTGTTCTATCAGAAGGCTAGTCTGCTCGCTAGGAACTCTGCTATTCTGCAGCGCTGCCCACGGCGGGATTTGTGAAAGGAGCCGATGGACCGAAAGTTCTCGCACCACAGTCGGCCTTTTGAGGTATTGGATCCCCACTGTACACCAGATTTGCCCGCCACTGGCCCGGCACATCGAAGCGTTGACTGCTGACTGACAGCGTGACAATCATCCCTGAGGATACATTTACTGGACTGTAAAAGCACTAGTAGTCCTGTAGACGCAGCCTGATCAGGTGATGCGGTACTACGAGGCTGGCTTGGCGAGGCTCCCACTGGCACTGGTACTGGCACTGCTCTGGTGTTTAACAAACAAACGTGGAGCCCATGCTTTGTCTCCGTACCGTGTAGCATCTTCGTAATCGTCATTTGTGCGCCCATGATGGGCCATGTGCCTGCCTTGTGGAAGGTTGGATCTGAACATCAAATCCGGGAAAACTCATCAGTCAGCTGTTCGCATGACTTCGTGCCTTGAGAGGGCCCAGTTTCGGGAATCTCATAATCAGGCTATCCGGTCGATGTCAACCTGTAGAATAGGCTTTACTTGTGAATTTCGTAGTCAAGTGCTTCGTCGCATCCTGGTATCATCGTCCCGTCATCATGAACTTGTGCACGCTCTGTAATGGCATCTGATTCGTGTTCCGTAGTATAGGCGTGATCTGGGCACTGGCCCCAGGGTTGGTTTCGGTCTTTGTTAGTTCGACATCCATCTTGTCCCCGTCGCCGTCGCCCTCGACCTCATCCTCATCCTCGTCGGTAACCTCGTATTCCTCGTCCTCATCTTCCTCGCTGCCTTCATCGTCAGGGGGCTCTACCAATTCTCTGCGCAGACCTGTAACGACATTTGATATTCCACGTTGCTTCTCTCCTAGCGTAAAGTCGGCGCCCCATTTCTGTTTTCTTGCCTCACTGTTGGCGGCACTTGGAGCCCATTGCCAGAGCGCAATGAGATCTTCGTGTGAAAGTGCTTGGGGGCCAGCCTTCCGTTGCAGGAGTGCGATGTTCTCGCCTTCTTCAACCCATTCATCCACGTTAGGCTCCAATTTTGTGCGTAGTAGCGTCTCTAGGATGAACGATCGTTCTTTCCCCGGAAATTGAGGGAGCGGGAATGTGACGGCCGATTGGAAGGTTTCTCTGTGTTCTGACAATTGCGTCGCAATTGTCTGGAGGTTATTTGATATTAAATTGGCATGAGTCTGGAGAGCAGGCCTTGAGGATGATTAGTCCGGACCATCTCAGAGCAAAACCCCAGTCAACATACCAGGAAGGAAGCGGACTCTGGGTAGCAATGTCTGATCGTAATGCTATCAGGGATGTGTGAAGCGCCAGTAATCGTTGTCGTGTTTGATCAAGAGTCCTGACCTGGTCAGGTGATATGTCTGCCATGGTACTACTGCTTCTCTATTCTATGAGAGATTGCATGGGAGAAGCGTCGTTAAATCGTGGCTTGTTTATGATCAGGCCGTTAGTGGTGCTGAGGGCATTGACGGAGGAGTGGTGGAGAAACGCTCGTGGCAGAATCAGGCTGCGGAGTTGGAGACCTTTGGAGCTTCAGCGTCAACTTTCTTCACCACCACCACCCGTTCACCCTTCACGTTACCTTCTATCAATGCTACGCCTCTAGAGTCCATCTGCGTAGGCAGTACAATTATGGCTGCTCCGACAGTCACACGCCTGTCAGGACAGAGCGTTTGCTCAACGTGCCTGTTGCGAATTGTTCGACAATCCTACTCACCCGATACCTTCCTTAGATCGACAATTCACACGAGAAGGAAGCTTCACAATGACGCCCTCCCAGCGAACAGGGAACCAAGAAACGGTGCGGCCAATCCACATAACTTTGTACAGGACTATTTCTCGGCCAACAATTCAATTGAAAGAGGATGGGTCAAGAGTGGACTTCTAGCTGCCATGCGCACCGTTGCAGAACCGCAGCATGGGAGCAACATCGGGCTCACACGGGAGGAAAAGGAGACTCGTGCAAGACGAGAGTTTGAGAAGATCTCCCTGGATCATAAAAGGGCTACAATTGAAAAAGATCAGAGCCGGACGGTCAAGTCAGCAGTGCCGGATCCAGAGTCGGTGCCAGCTGTCCCAAGCACGAAACCAGAGGAGGTCCTGCCACACAGGAGGAGGAAGAGGCGGAATGGTGGCGAGAGCCCTTCAGCGACCACTGGAGAGTCGTTGCCGTTGGATGCTTCATCGCAGTTAACGACCGCTGCAACAAGCATGCCGAAATCAGCCGTCTTTCGCCGCCAACTTGCAACCTATCTATCCCTAACGAAACCTCGACTATCGTTCCTAATTTTGCTGACAACGACCTCGGCTTACTCTCTATATCCTATCCCCGAGTTACTGTCTTCCACGGCTTCGTCTGTGGGCTCATCCTTCTCGACATCAACTCTAACGCTTCTTTTCCTCACTTCAGGCACGTTCTTATCGTGTGCCTGTGCCAACACGCTCAACATGCTTTTCGAGCCCAAATATGATGCCCTCATGACGCGGACGCGCAATAGACCTCTGGTACGAGGCCTCATCTCGCCGCGGGCAGCAACAGTCTTCGCATTTTTCTGCGGAGCGTCGGGGCTGCTTCTTCTCGGATATGGAACCAACCCTACCGTGGCTGGGCTTTCGGCCCTCAATATCTTCCTGTATGCTGGAGTATATACCCCTATGAAGCGATTATCCGCTGCCAACACATGGGCTGGTGCGATAGTTGGTGGCATCCCCCCTTTGATGGGTTGGTGTGCTGCCGCTGGCGAGGCTGCTACGTCTGAACATCACTCGTGGCAAGATCTACTCTTTTCGGAAAACGCCATCGGTGGTTGGGCCCTCGCTGCGTTGTTGTTTGCTTGGCAATTCCCGCATTTTATGTCTTTGTCTCACACCATACGCGAAGACTACCGTAGTGCGGGGCACCAGATGTTGGCCTGGACGAACCCTGCTCGGAATGCTCGCGTCGCTCTTCGGTACTCTCTGGCAATGTTTCCAATATGCGGAGTCTTATATTGGGCAGGATATGTTGATTCCGGCTTTCTTGTCATCAGCACAGCATGTAATGTTTGGATGACCCGAGAAGCGATTCGTTTCTGGAGAAAGCAGGGAGCTGGGGGCAGTGCTCGAGGCCTGTTCTGGGCAAGCGTGTGGCAGCTCCCACTTGTACTTGTTGCAGCTTTGGTATGCAAACGAGGATTGTGGGATGGGTTTTTTGGCGAGAACGAACCAGCGAGCATCTACGACGAGGATCAACTGGATGATGATGGGGATGCGTTAGGCATGGAGCCTGCGAACTCCTCAAAACAGGCAAAAGCTCCCCCAGACATCAATCTGGCGATGATGGGCTTCAAGAGGCCAACGTGACGGCGTAGCTTGGTCAACAACAAATCCTAACCCTACAAGGCTGCCTCCTTATCCACCGCCTATCTCACGGACTTCTATTTCCGCCACGCGTCTCTTCGGCACACCCCTGATGGGCGGGGCTGGATTGCGTCGACACGTGTCAGGCATTGTCTGGGATTTGACAGCCATGACATGTGTTGCGGAAACAATACCGGACCCTGACTTGTGCTCATCAGCCTCAACAGCCATAGCGCCGGGCCGCCGCTTGATGCTTCGGCTTCAGCGGCTGCAGGGTCGACGGTCTCCTGGTCAACGGAATCCGAGGCAACTCTCCAACTCCCTCCCACAAAGCGATAGGAGATCAAGGCACCTCGGCATCCCCTAATGGCTCACATAGAAGGAGGTCTCTGTCATTGTTTCGGTCGCGCTGGATGCAATCCCTCCTCCTTGGTTAAGCTACAAGGGGGGGAGAGATTGGTGTACCTGATCAGCGTATCGCCGCACAACTGCTGCTGTGGTGGACCAACAGATGCCCACAAAGTCAGGTTCCTGTCAAAGAGAGGTCATAAGCGTGTTTTCAAACATTGCGCAGCACGGACGGCAGCCGGTTTACTTGTGCACGCTTTTGGTCGAGAAGATCTCTCATGGGTGGCAAGCAAGGATGGAACGGTCTCTCCGGAAATGGTTGCACAGGAAGTAAGTCTTGGAGATTGAAGCGATCCACTGTGGTGCCATAATCATTGAGGGGTGGCTTCCCAATCATCCACTCGTGCATGAATTTCTCGCGAGTTTCGACTGATGTTCGAACCATTACCGACCAGGTCAAAAGAGGCCAGGGCTGATGTTGCCCTGGACATTGGATTGGCCTTTTCAACTCTCGAACAGAGGCCGGTTGCACCATCATTCTATCAAAGTGGAATTCGCCGCATGGGAACCTACCGCTATCTGTCGTGCTTTTCACTGACGCGTGTTCTACTGCCTACTGCGCCTCCACCCAATAATGAGCGATTCACTTCTTCGGCGGCATGGAGGCAGTAATCAAACGGTGGACAGGTGACGAGCAGCACAGCCTGGTCCTCCAAAGCATATAACACGTATCGAAAATGGGTGGGCCGCCATGACCTGAGCTGCAATGCAGGTCTCAACCATAATCATTGACAGTCTAAGGTCTTCGTCGAGCCAATCTGCGGAGTGTTGTGTATGGGACATGGGACATGGTGTGTCGTGTGTCGTGTGTACGACTACTCTACGGAGTACTGGCACCCAACTGGTACTAGTACGGAGTACGGAATATTCTTCCTGTTGTCAGGGGTCAAGCTTGGCATGCTTCCACGCCGGTCTCAGTCTGGGCTTCTACTAAGGCCTGTCATCCCGGATACAACAACCAGAGGATTCGGACAGGCTTGCCTTCTTGTGCACAGGCTCATGGATTTATTTCGTTAACTGTCAGAGCCCACGCCGCATCTATCCTCAATCTCGTTTCCTTCAACGAACAGACCCATTGTTCGGTGTTGAGATGGAGAGCGTGCCCTTTGGTGCATGTTGACCGTGGTTGTGGTCGTGGCTCAACAAGATGCGATGCGGTCTTTCAATAGGTAGTGCTCCGGGGCTCAGACTCTGGAGGTATGTTGACTGCTCTCTCTCTCTCTCTCTCTCTCTCTCTCTCTCTGTCTCTGTCTCTCGCTCTCTCTCGCCGTCACCAAGTCTTCTTCAGATGTTGGGTATCCTCATTCTCACGAGTTTGCTATGATTTCGTCGACCCGGACGCTCTTTCACGAGTTTTGATCTTTTCCCTCATTGATTGTCATTTTATTCCTTTCCCCCTGGAGGAGACATGGCTCCCCGGGCGTGTTCTCTACTGCCCCCCTGGACGCATTCTTTACTGATCTTCGGGCTCATGTTCGTCGTCACCAATGCCCAAACTATCGACCTTGGAACTGCGGCGGGCTTTGCGGTCCTGGGTGCATCAACCGTGACAAATTCTGACCCATCTGTCCTCAATGGCGACCTAGGGGTTTTCCCTGGTACCGCCATCACTGGCTTCCCACCAGGAGTTGTCAATGGCGCGACATACACCGGAGGGGTTGCCCAGATAGCCCAGGACGATGCACTTACCGCGTATAATGTGGCCGCAGGCGTTGCGTATTCGGCAGGAAACGACCTAACTGGCCAGGATCTCGGCGGGAAAACCCTTGTCCCTGGCGTCTACCACTATGACAGTTCAGCCGGCCTCACCGGCGCCTTGACCCTCGATGGCAATGGCGACCCCAACAGCGTTTTCGTCTTCCAGATCGGGTCCACTCTTATCACTGGCACAAATGCCGTCGTGGCTTTGACTAATGGCGCTCAGGCATGCAACGTCTTCTGGCAGGTTGGAAGTTCGGCCACTATAGACACTGGTACTGTGTTTATGGGAAATGTCATAGCAAAAACAACCATTACCGTCAATTCTGGAGTTACAAACGCTGGAGGGTTGTACGCATTGACCGGGGCGGTGAATTTGCTCGACGACGTGATTGATGCGCAGCCACTCTGCGCCAATCCAATCAATCCAACCGCCACGACGACGACATCAACCACGACTCTCGCAACTACCACATCCACATCATTAGCTACCACCACAACGGCCGTGGAAACTACTACGACGACAACTGCTTTGGCTACCACCACGACGACGGCGTTGGAGACTACGACGACGACAACTGCCTTAGCTACTACTACAGCGGCCGTGGAGACTACGACGACAACAACTGCCTTAGCTACTACTACAGCGGCCGTGGAGACTACGACGACAACAACTGCCTTAGCCACTACTACAACGGCCGTGGAGACTACGGCGACGACAACTGCCTTAGCCACCACCACGACGGCCGTGGAGACCACGACGACGACAACTGCCTTAGCCACCACTACGACGGCCTTGGAGACCACGACGACGACAACTGCCTTAGCCACCACCACCACAGCATTGGAAACCACTACAACTCTCCTGACTACGACAACAACGGCCTTGGAAACTACGACGACCCTATTAACTACTACCACAACCTCTTTGGCTACAACGACGACGTTCTTAACTACTACTACAGTTGCCACTACGACGACCGCCTTTACAGCCTCATCTTCTACGACATCTTCTACGACCTCTTCTACGACCTCTTCTATATCTTTCACAACCTCCTCTACAACCTCGTCTTTAACCTCTTCCTCTACGACGTCTTCTACATCCGCCACTTTCACGACCTCTGCCTCTACGGCCTCCACGACTGCCTCTACGTCGGTCACTTCTACAATCGGTTCTTCTACAACTTCCTCCACGACTTCCTCTACGACCTCTTCTTCTACAACGGCCACTACCACGACTTCATCTTCACATACTACGGCCGCATCAACTACTTCGTATGGTACGATCTTTTCCACGGCATCGATTTCAACCACAGAAACTTACGTCACTTATACTTGGGGAGAGTGGACCTGGAGCCAAACATATAACAAAGCTTCTGCGTCTACCACCATACCTTCCAACACTGAGCCTTGGGAAGAGTGGATTGGAAGCCAAACATCTGATGTACTATCTGTATCCTCCGCCATACCTTCTGACAAGGAGCCTTGGGAAGAGTGGATTGGGAGTCATACATCTGAAGTCCCATCTGTATCCTCCGCCATGCCTACCGACACTGAGCCTTGGGAAGAGTGGATTGGAAGCCATACTGATGTATCATCTGTGTCCTCCGCCATGCCTACCGACACTGAGCCTTGGGAAGAGTGGATTCGGAGCCATACATCTGATGTACCATCTGTGTCCTCCGCCATGCCTACCGAGGCTCAGCCCTGGGAAGAGTGGATTGGGAGCCAGACATCTGATGTATCTTTTGTGTCCTCCATCACCCCTTATCCCGCCGAAGCACCGTCCCCACTTGGCTGGACAAGTACTCCTGTAAAGGGCACTGCGTATGCAACTGCGTCTTCTCTGATCACCGTGACGGTTGTTCCCTACACTGCTGGCCAGTTGTCGACAATACAGTCTTCGGGCTTGGCCACAGCCTACCATGAAGACAGCACGGTGAAGCCTACAATGTCTTCCAGCGGCGTTTTGAATCCGAGTTCATCTGCAGCACCACTGGCCGCCGGGTTCACGGGCGGCGCGATGATCATTTCCCCTTCTTTTTTTCTGAGTGGGGTTTTTGTTGCAATAGGAATGGGCTTCATGTGAATGATATATATGACTGCCCGGACGGCCTGGGACTGGGACTGTTCTGGATGTGCATAGTAGGCGAAACATGGTTTTTCTGTTGGATTTATCTGTCATGTGTTAGATACTGGGCGAATCCGGTTGGAAAACATGGTATAGGGCCCCAGGGCGGCGATTAATCATATCCACTGCTCTAGACTCACGGGCGACTTGCCAGAGTCCATTCAAGGTGCTCTCCTTATCTTCGAGACTTTCCCCGCAACCTCGTGTGTTTACTTATCATCTGCTATCACAGCCGATGTCTGGACAGACTTCTGGAGATTGAAGCATGGCATGGCCGAGGCTGCAAGTGTAGCGAGGACCCCACATGGGCTGACAGCCCACTGAGACAGTAGAGGACGGGATGTTGAATTTGGGGCTGATAAAGAGAAATTACCCCAAACGGCAGTGAGGGCGATCAGGTGACAAGGCTAGAACTGGCACTAGTATGCCACACAGACAGAAGATAGACGACGGTCTGTACGAGAGCTACGAGCTACTACTATCTAAAATATCTATTAGCTGAACTGTGCCGTGGGTGTTCTCCACCCGCATGTCCAAGCAGATGTCCGACTGGCCTCCCGATCGTGACCGGGGTCTGGCCATAGAACACTGACCTGTTCTTTTGCATGATTTTCCCCGAATGTCGACTGGACGAGACACAAAATGGCCATTGTCATGGAGCAAGAAGAGATAAGAAGAGATAGCGAGAGGCAATCCATACTCCTAGATGAGATCTCGCGGCTACGGCTACAGATAGCCCTCAACCCCGCCGTCGAGATATAAAGGCCTCGTCCTCTTCAGACACAAAGAGACACCCGATTCACGTTCAAAGACTTATCTTATTCCCTCAACCCTTTCGGAATGAAGTCTGAAGTCACACCCGACGTGGGTGTACAAGAGACAGCCTCAGTCCAAGATGGAACTACCGTCGGGATCGAGAAAGAGCAGATCCAGGTCAACGCCGACGGGACTGTTGTCGACCATGGTCTGCATCGTTCATTAAAACAGCGCCACTTGCAGATGATCGCATTGGGAGGTGTCGTCGGGTTGGTTGACCCTCCTGTCGGCTTCTGAGGCTTCTTTCACTTGGCTAATCCTCTTTTTCTTTTTTTTGCAGGGCAAGTATCTGGTACGGGACTGGCCTCGCCATCGTCTCCTCGGGCCCAGTACGTTGCCACTGCCATTCTCCCTTTAGCCATTTCAAGCTTAAAAACACAAAGCTTACGGATGAACAGATCGGCGCCCTCATCTCCTTTATCGTCATCGGCATCGATGTCTTCTTCATCATGCAAAGCCTCGGTGAATTGTCTACGATGTATCCCAGCACGGGGGCCTTTACCGAGCTTGCCGGGCGGTTCATCGACCCTGCAGTGGCTGTCGCCCTAGGTTGGAATTATTGGTATCTGGTACGGACCCTGGACGTATCCTCTGAACGTCAACACCCAAAAGACTTTCACCATCTAATTGTCTGCGTGTGTGTCGATAGTGGGCCTCCAACATCGCGTCGGAATATAACCTGGTCTCGATCGTGCTGAGCTACTGGAGCGACGCAGTCCCGTCGTATGGCTGGGTCTTGATCGCTTGGGCCTTCTACCAGTGTATTGCCATGTTCGGCGTCATGGTGTACGGAGAAACGGAGTTCTGGCTGGCCATCTGGAAGATCCTCTGTATTCTGGTCACTTATCTGCTCGCAATCCTCTGCAACACGGGCGCGATTGGAAACGACTACATCGGCTTCCGCTACTGGAAGAACCCTGGACCTATCGTGAATGGCATCAACGGGTTCGGACAGTCCTTTGTGCTGGCGGCCGTATATCACGGCGGCACAGAAATGGTTGCAATTACGGCGGGCGAGAGTCGAAATCCAAGCAGAGATATTCCCAAGGTAGGAAAGGAGGATTCTATACTTGATGTCCTTGTTCAGCAGCTGACAACCGTGCTCCTCATAGGCAATTCGACAAACCGTGTTCCGCATCGTCATTATCTATTGGGGCCTGGTTTTCTTTGCCGGTATCAGCGTCGCATCCAATGACCCTTCGATCTTTGCCGCGACTAGCAGGGCAGGCATGTCGCCGTTTAGCATCGCCCTGCAGAACGCAGGCTGGTCTCACGGGCCAGACTTGATTAACGCATTCATCTTTACGGCCAGCTTCTCCGCCATCAACTCATCCATCTACATCGCCTCGCGCACGCTATACTCTCTCGCGGACCAGGGCCGTGCTCCCAGGTTCTTACTCAAGACCTACCGCGGCGTCCCGGTGTATTGCACGCTCGTGTCCAACCTGGTCGGACTACTGGCTCTTATCAACTCGGCCAGTGGTGCAGGAAAGGTATTCACCTACCTCATCGACCTCGCCGGCGCGGCCATATTCATTGCGTGGCTGTGTATTGGCGTTACCCACCTCCGCTTCCGCAAGGCCTGGCGGCTACAGGGCTACACAGCGAAAGATCTGCCGTTCCGTGCCCTGTGGTATCCTTGGGGCACGTACTTCATCACGGCGCTGAACCTCTTTCTCCTCCTGATCCAGGGCTATGAGAGTCTGATCCACCCATGGCATCCGGTGGACTTTGTCTTCTCCTACATTGTCATTGTGCTCTTCCTCATACTGTTGGTGGGTTGGAAAGTCTTGAAGAAGACAAAGCTGGTCAATCTGGCGGAAGTCGACCTTCAGTACGGCCGCCGAACCTATTTGAGCAGTGCGGAAGATGTAGAGGCTCCATCATTTGTCACCAGGGCATTCCGGTCGGTGAAGAACCGACTATCCTCTTAGCGGTCAACCGAAAGAGAGTCTTGGGCGTCGCGGTGGAGGGGAGGGCATCTCGGCGGAGAATACGGTGACAAGGGATTTGATGGATTCAGGATCGGTAGTTACATCTAGATGGGTGATTGGTACGGATGCTCCCCATAAAATCAGGTGGTGATCTGTGGGTGTTTGCGACTAGGTCAGTCAGGTTAGGGATGAGGGATGAGCAGACTCGAGGCAGGGAGAGGGACCTAGGGATCTGGTAGCTACCACTGCCTACATGTACCTAAGTACCTAGGTAGGTACTGTATCTTGATGAAGTACGAGTAACTAATTTGTAATGACGCCGTCAGGATGGTCAGGTGTCGCGAGACCTCCTCCATCTAGCCACTGAAAATACAAGTCATCACTAACAGCATCTGAGTCTGACGACGCCCAAATGACTACATTGCGATATCACCCATCCATCTTGTGCGCTTATCAACGGCCCAATGAAGAGTGGCTTCCATCATCTACCGGTACCGATATGCTCTGGAGGCTTTCATCTCGTCCAGCCATCTGTTGTGGAAGCTTCTATGCAAGTGCAAGCACCAGAATGATCCCTAGACCATGGCCCGCCGAAGAACAGGCTGCTTGACGTGTCGGAAGAGAAAGATCAAGGTAGGCCTCCCACCGTCCTCTGCAGGCTTGACTTCGACCTGAGCGAGCACGGCTTGGTTTTGACATTCTCCAGTGTGATGAACGCCGGCCGCTTTGTCGTAACTGCCAAATATCCAACCGCGAATGTGTCGAATGGGCCTCAGGTTTTCAGTTGGAACGTCAAAACGATCCCCCCGCTCGCCACCTTCCGTTTTCGCGGCCGTTAAAGTTCAGACCCCCGTTGTCTCAATTTCAGCGAAAGAAGACGGCCTCCAAACGACTAGATCTGGATCCTGAGAGAGACGCGCCATCCAGCAAGGAAATCACCCTCTATCGACTCGCCGACCGAAAGGACGACGCCTCTTCCTGCCTGCCTACTCCGTTTCCCGTCTCTCCGGCTGAAAGGCTGGCGGGTAGAGTGTGGGATCTGCTGCAGAACGGGTCCGGAACCGGCTTCAGCCCACTGTACTTTGGTGACTATTTTCAAGAACTTCCCAGATTCATTGGGAGAAGCGTATGCCTGGATGCGGCGGTGGAATGTTTCCTGCTTACGCAGCAGCGACTCGGCACCGCCAGGTCTCTAGACTACCGCGGGCAGCTGCAACACTATGGGCGAGCTCTCAAACTCTTGCGGCACGAGCTTGGAACGCTCCAAGTGCACAACAGGCGAACAGAGACCCTGGCCGCATCGGTTGTCCTGCTTGCCTCGGAGGTGTGTGAACTCCCCTTCCAACCCGTCTTGGTCGCTTGCTCTGGCCACCAAACTAACTGGGCCCCGGGTCAGGTCATGGACAACTCTTTGTCAAGCCACGCACACCTCCCACACGTAGATGGTGCGTCAGCCTTGATGCGCGCCTACGGTCCGGACTTCTTCAATTCTCGGTTTGAATTACAGCTCTTCTACTCTCTTATCCCCATCATTGTGAGTGCTCGACCTTTAATCCGACCGCTATCACCATGACGCTGACCATCTCCGATTCTAGGTCTCCAGGTCGTTGGAGCGGAATACCGAGTGCTTTGTCGGCGCCCCGTCGTGGCTGGTGCTTGAAAACAAAATCCCGTCAGAATGGGTGGAGACTCGGATCGAAGCTCGAATCCTCCACACATACACCAAAATCCCCACGTTCTTGCAGGCGGTTCGCAAATGGAGGAATGCCGCCTTCACCGACATCCCAGGCCATGTCCTGATTGACCTTATAAGCCTCCGGCAGCATCTGCTCGATCTGGGAGAGGCAATCACGGATTTCATCCAGACTTCGGGTTTAATGGCCGAGCTTCCTTGCATATCCAGACCGCCCGGACCATCCACATACTATCTGTTCAAGGACATCCACCTTGCGGAAGGAATCTCGATCTATTTCAGGATGGTGATACTCGTGACCAGAGGCCTTTCCCAGCTGCAGTTATCCCAGCCAGCCGATCGAGAATGGTCAAGGCTGGCATCTGCCCAGCTGTGCATGTCGGTCGAGCATGAAAGAGTCCAGGCACCAAGCGGGGCGCTCTTTACATCGCTGACCTTGAAAGTGGCCAGGATTGCCTGTTCCGATGACCTGGTGGACTGGATTGAAGACCGACTCCGACAGGTTGAGGACTGGCTGGATCCGTCACTGAAGAATCTACTGTCTCTTTTCGACACGTGGTTGGATATTTGAGGGAGGAGTGAGGTGGCCCAGAGTACCACCTCGAGTTGTACTCTGTAATCCGCCCGGCTATCTTGGGTATCTTTGGCGTTTTTGCTGGGCAGGGGCAGGGGCATCGACGCTCTACGGAGTACTCTATAAAGGATGGTTTGTTTGGAAGATGGTGTTGCGGGTCAACCTGTACCTATGTGTATATATATTGTCGATGTAAGCTCTAGTCTGGCGTCCACTCGCCGAAGTGACAATATAACCTGCCAGTGTATGGGATACATAGCCCCTCTTAGCAGCAATCCTACTCAGCCGTACTCTCCAGCCGAACGATATCACAGAAGGCATGCATGATGGAAGCTCCAAGGACTGATCACAACATGGCCTTGGGCATCTGTTTCATGGCCTGGCGCACGCCGAGGTCGGCCAAGACCTCTTCGGCGCCGCCCAGGATGGCGTCGAACTTGTAGGTGCGATGGAACTGCTCGACGACCTTACCCATGCCGGACTGGGTCAGGCCGCGGCCGCCGAAGATGTTGACGGCATCGTCTGCGACCTCGTGGGCGCAGCGGGTGGCATAGGACTTCAGCAGGCCGATGGGCCCGCCGAGCAGCTTGGACTGCTGGGCGTAGTCGAGGTTGCACATCTGGTAGGTGACGGACTCCAGCCAGGCCTGGACGGCCTCGGTGCGCGAGATCATGGCGGCGAGTTTCTGGCGGATGACGGGCTGCTGGATCAGCGGCTTGCCGAAGACGATGCGCTGGTGCGACCACTTGAGACACTCCTCGACAATGGTGCGCATCCAGCGGGCCACGCCGCACGTCATGGCCCAGCGCTCGTGGTTGAAGTTGCTCATAATGACAATGAAGCCCTGGTCCTCCTTGCCCAGCAGGTGGTTGACGGGCACGTGGACGTTGTCGAATTCTATGTAGGCCGTAGCCGCAGCGGTCGAGTACGACGTCTTGATCTTGCGCGTCGTCACGTTGTCGTCGCGCGGCACCAAGATGACGCTGAAGCCGTTGCCGGTCCGGCACCCCGTCACAAAGTAGTCGGCGAACATGCCGTTGGTGATCCATTTCTTGGTGCCGTTGATCACGTAGTGCTTGCCGTCGGCCGTCTTGGTTGCCGTCGTGCGGATCCCCGCCACGTCGGACCCGGCAAACGCCTCGGTGATGGCCAGGCACATGAACTTGCGGCCCGAAAGACACTCGTCCGTCACGCGGTCGCGCAGCGCCGCGTCGTTGGCCCACTGCCGCACCGCCGTCAGCGAGATCATCATGCCCGACGCGTTGCCGTCCTGGAACCCGCGCGACACCGCCCGCGACAGCTCCTGCGCCACGATCAGGTCGTGGAAGTAGTCGAACTCTTCGCCCGGGATGCCGCCCAGCAGCGTCCGCCCCGCCAGGTGTTTGCCGGGCCCCAGCCGCGTCGCCAGCAGGTTGTTCGCCGCCATCTTGTCCACCAGCTCTTGCGAGATGTACGTGCCGTCCTCCTCCTTCTGCTGCGCCTCCGGGTAGATGTCGCGGTCGACGAACTCGCGCACCGCCCGCTGCAGCTTGCGGTGCGACTCGCTGTAGTAGGGGCTCTTGAATATCGGCGTCAGCCATAACGGCTCCGCGTACGGCACTCGGCTCAGGTCGCCCGCCTGGTGCGATATCACTTCGGCCTTCTCGCCCTCGATCGTGCCGATGCAGAGACTCGCGTACTTCTGCAGCACCTCCTGCCGGTGCAGGTTGTAGAACGCCGACGTGGCATCCTGCCCTGCGATCTGGCGCAGCACCACGCTTCCTCCCGGATGCGCGTCCACGAAATCCGTCAGGTCGTACACCTGGTGGTCGATGATGCACCACAGGCTGTCCTCCGTGTTGTTCTTGGCCACTTCGGCCCTCGTGAGCGTCCGGCTCGGTGTTTGGGACGTCTTTTGCGCCATCCCGACTAGTATGTGGTCTGTGGTCTAATTAGGCCTGAAATATGGATGTCAGGACTTCAGCACGACAGTCTTGGGCAAGCCTCTCAGTTTCTCAGTTCTCGCTTCTCAGCGCAGCAAGCAATCTATCTCAATGCTGGGAGATATCATCCAAGAGGTGACAATATCTCGAGCGGGATTGGCCACAGACATATTAATTTGTACAATGTTCAACCCACCAGCACTTCTCCTTCGCCCGTAAACATTCCGTGCATCGGGTATTTTCCAGCTGCTTGATTTGTTCGAGGTGCTCAACCGAGGCATCTCGACGCCGCCGCTAACCGTGCGGCCCCATCTCCTGTTTTGTTATTCGCCGGTCCCTCAAAGGGGTTGCTGGCCCCGGATTCATTAGATTCCAGTAATACCGAAGCCGGATCCTAGAACGTACAGGACGATGGACACCGGGCTCGAGAGCCGGCCATTGAGCTGGCCTAAGGGCCTTGCAGACATGAGTATAAGAGCTCCCTGATGCTGATCTATCTATGAGGATCCATTGGTGCCATTCTACAGCTATGATATCTTTGTTTCTGCTAAATGGCTGTGGAATACTTGATCATGTAGTCAGTGGTCAAGTGTGATTCGAGCCTGCATATTGCACTCCATATCAACCTGACCCCAAGACCCCGGTCTGGAACCTGTCAGTCAGGGTAGGGAGCTTGCTTAAACGCGTTCGCATCCTGATCCCCAGGCAGCCCTTTCACGGCCTCGCCAACTTCAACTTTGCGTCGACAACATCAATTAATTCCGTGACCGGTTGAATGTAAGGCGTTATCGTGTTTCTGACCAAGCTCCTCTGCTCAAATGCGTATGCCAGCCCAATCAATAGTTCTTCGCTGAAGTGCGGCCCCATGAAGCTGATCCCGAATGGAATGTTTGGTGCTGTAGCGTTCAAGGTTCCGAATTCGTTCAGAAGGACCGTTGTGTTGGGAGGATAAGCTCCCAAGGGAACAGTGATCACCGGAGAGCCGATCAAGGCTGGAAAGTTGGGTGAGAACTCTGTGGGTAAGACAAGCGCATCCAGAGAATAATTCTTCAGTGCCCCGGTCACACCTAGAGGGCCCGCAAGGTAGGTATTCATGGTATAATTCGACCAGAACTCTGGTGATGTATTGTCAAAGCCCAAGGCAAGAGCCCCATCCCATACCAGTGTGTCACGTTCAGGCCAGTCTTCCAGAGGGAAGGCGTGGGTGAAATTGCGGAGATCGGCAACAGAATACACTTTGTTTGGATTGTACGAGAGCTGAGAAAGATACTCCTTGGGAAGGTCGCTGATAAAATCCGCTTCAAGGACGATGTTGCTGTAATTTCCCTCATTTAGAGCCTTGTAGCCGGTGAAATTGGTGTTGTCGACAATGGTGGCGCCAGCCTTTCGCAAGATATCAAGGGCTGCATCGAAGACGGCAACAATCGGCGCCGCAGGAGGATCAGCAGTCAAGTCAATCAAGTTACGTGGAACCCCAATGCGCTTTCCCTGCAGAGCAGAGAAATTACACGCCGCCACGTAGTCTGGAATCGTCTCGAAGGGTATGGCATTGGTGTAATTGTCGTAAGCTGATTTTCCAGCAATGGCCGCTAAGACATATGCCGCATCCTTTACGGTGCGAGCAATTGGTCCTACTGTATCCTGATGCTCAGATATAGGGATCACCAAATATCTCGAAGTCAGTCCCACGGTGGGTTTGATCCCGACGAGGTTGTTGACATCTGAAGGTGACAAGATGGACCCGTCGGTCTCTGTCCCAAGAGCCGCAAGTGCGAGACCTAAGGAGCTTGCCACGGCACTGCCGGAAGACGACCCTGACGGATCCTGGCCTGGATAATACGCGCCTTCGGTCTGCCCCCCGATAGCTGACCAGCCGTTGCTGCTGTTGAAGCTGCGGTAATTGGCCCATTGGGACAGATTGGTCTTGCCCAGAATCACCGCTCCGGCCTTCCGAAGCTTTGCGGCCACCGAACTATCTCGAGGAACTTTGGCACCTGCTAGAGCGTACGACCCGGCGGTGTTGTCCATTTTGTCGGCCGTGGCAATGTTGTTCTTGATGAGTATGGGGATCCCATGCAAAGGTCCATAGACAATGCCTTTGGCGCGCTGCCCGTCAAGCTGAGCGGCGATAGAGAGTACGTCGGGATTGAGCTGAGTAACCATATGCAGAGTCGCATTGACTTCCATGATGCGCTGGGTATAGGCCTACCAAGTCTGTCAGAGGAGATGGCTCGATTCCAGTTGATGCTCACGCACCGTCACAAGATCAACGCTTGTGAACAAACCGGCTTCGAGGCCTCCAATGAGGTCTTCCGTGGTCGCCTCAATCAACGGTGGAAAAGCCGTCCCGTTGATGTCAGTGCTTCGGTTAGAACATGACACAGCGCCCACCCCAGAGTTCAAGGAGAACCAGCCGAGGATGGCTACAAACAAATGTGCCAGGGAGATGAGAGCCATATTATCCCAAAAAGGAACGTTAGCGATCAAGGGTTAGGAGATAGATAAAGTCCTCGAGATTGTGCTCCTGGGGTCTCCTCTCTGGGCAGACTGGCATATAAAGCGTCCTCGCATGAACGCTGCGACAGTTGCCAAAGCCGCCGAACACTGTGTTGATAATCCTTTGGCCAGCGGTGATCGATAAGCCTGGCAGATTGCCTGGTGGGATGATTTGCGGCAGGGCTTGAATGTGTCTGGAGCCACACTTTTCGAGTTGCAGATGTTCCCCACATCCATCCGTTTTCGAGCTTCCTAAACAAGCAGCTCGAAAGCTTTCACCCAACCACGGAGGAGAAAACTATAAGTCTGGCACTTGTGGTATCTCCCAACCTACTGCTGATTGAGTTGTACCAGGGTTCCGTATAGTGGACGGCCATCGAGCAGTGCTGTGTTTTACTTTCTGAGGCCCCTCATTCTTGTGGCGAACCTCTTAAGTTCCCTCAATAGCCCAACCAGGAGCGGCACCCCAATCGGACCAAGCAGGGGCAGATACACAGCGACTTTGTGTTCGTCCGGAAAGTAAACTTGGCCAACCATAGACTTGTCGAAGAAAGCCTTCTCACTGTCGCTATATGCTATTTCCGAGTGAGTAAGCGCCGAATCCCACCTGCTCTCCAGGAAGGCATGGCGGGCTGCGGTCAGATTGCCTATCGCATCATCAACCAACTCAGCGACGTGCTTCGGAATTGGAATGTTACTGAGCCGTTGTGCCAGTCGTGCCAGGGAACCCAAACTGGATGCGGCCTTCAGATATAACGTAAACGTCGAGAACCGTTTATAGACATCTAGTCTTAGCTGAAGTGGAAGAACTTTACCGAATTGATCTGCTTGTGGAACTCCCAACACCGACAGCAGCTGTGAGGCGAAAGCCTCGAAAGGTTGTCGCAGCAGGTCTTTGGTCAAGTGTGGTGGTAAGCTCACCACGCCGTGGATGGCATCCGGAGACAAAGGCGGATTGAGTATCTGGATCCCGCCCCATTGTGGAATCAGCCAGGATGTCCCTTCGACACCATCTATCCTAAGAGGTATCTCGTCCTTCGCAGGCACATAGAGAATGAAGTTAATCGTAGGTCCGTATCCTATTGACGGCGCCAGGGGCCATTCCGCCGCATTCACGAAAGCTGTCAGATCTTTTTGCTGCAGAAAGGTGCCCTCCAGCCCGTCTTTGATTATCGGTTTGATCGCTGGAGAGTAGCTCGAATAGAGTTGTATCTGGGTTGTGACATCGAATTTCGAAGTGCTTGATAGTGCTTGAACAAGTGGCGAGATATGTTCCTTAAGTGCATCTTGGACATCCCAGCTAGACGGTGCGCCACTGGCTGTGAATAGAGAGAAGGTCAAGTGGAACTCTGGAGAGGACTTGTACGCACGATTGACCTGTTTCTCAATTTTTGTGACCCGATCGTATGGCTGAGACCTCAGAAACGCTTGAGCATGTTGGCTATGGCTTGCCAGAGAAACGGTTTGAAGCGCCGCTGCAATTTGTTCTTCTCTGAATAGTCCGTAGAGATGCTCTGCCAGTTGTTGGGATGTGTTGGTAGCCGCGTTGCGTGGAACGCGAACAACGGCCTCCGCAATGACCGGATCCAACTCGAATGCGAAGCCTTCATTTGCGGGTTCGAGGTGCACTTTCAGCGCTGGGTCTCCAAGGCTTGGGCTGGAAGTATCTTCGCCACAGCTTGTCCGCAGGGGCCCCTTCTCTTTCTTGTCCGCTTGACCGCTTGGCCGCGAATTCACCAGATGTAGTCGTTGGTGCAAAGTTGGGTACTCATTGAGGTCATCGAGCGCCTGTTGAGTATCTCTGACGATTCGCTCCGCGTCCGAGCAGGATATATGAGGAGAGGATATCCATATGTGCAATGGTATTGCCGTAGGGGTGTTCTACCAGCGCCAGTCAGTCTCCGCTTTGCTCTCTGCATGTTGAGCTGGGTACGTACAAATCCGTCCGCCCAGTTCAGCATGTCCTGGAGCGGCAGGTCAGCTCGGTAGATCGAAGTTGTTTGCCACCATGTTGGGAGCCCAAGGAAGAGTATGACAGCCCAGAACGACAACACAATCTTCGTCCTCAGGCTAACGGCTTCAGGTTTCTCGGGGGGAGGTTGTTTTGAGGTGCTTGCCGATACGACGGTAGGGGGCTCGGCGGACAACTTCTCCATGTTTGGTGGGCTTCGGATGGAAAATTCTCCTAAGCAGGCATGTTGAGGTACCGTTTACGACAGTACATCACATGGCCCGGTGAATACACAGACTCGCAGTGCAGTTACCTGGTCTGGTTCTGAGGAAACAGTGGTCAAATTGGACGGCAAACAAAATACTGAGTCATGGTCCGGCAACATCAGCACTGCATGACTCGCGCAAATTTTCCTCCTTAGTCTAGACATATTGATGATATCAACAACTTTTTTCCTTGCCTCCCTGAATCGTCACATTCAAGCCATCAGGATGCCATGGCATAGCATCCAACGTCCATATAATTTGCTTCGACCTTTTTCGAAAGGGTAGTATATTAGGCAAAATGACCGCATGCCGCTCCGTCACGCTGTTACGACCCCAGACCAGCCGGTTCGCCCACGCTCGCTCATCCATTATCAGCGTCAACGGAAACGGATATTCAGTCCGCCATACGAGATCGTTTTTCGACTCTTTACTCAGCTCTACACTGGGTCCTTGCCCACTCCGTTCATTAACACATACGAAGCGCCTATCATATCCACCTGCTTTGATCTTCAAAGCTGTCTCTGATGTCTCGGGCTATCCAACCTTTTTACCATTCACCATCTCATCCCATGTCACTTCACGGGATCCAGCAGGTTACCCCACTCGTGCAAGGCTGAAGGTTGGGTATGCGAAATTCGGGCTGGAGGAGGACTGGGACAGCGTAGTTTCTTGCGATCCAAAGCGAGGACTCGTGGAAGCAAGGAGCAGCGACGAGAACAGCAATGGTCTCTTTGAAGTATTGAACACCAGATGGTACATCGCTCCAATGGAGGACACCAGCAAGGACAGCACTTCCGTCAAGCTGGACGTCAATGTCAAATTTCGAAATCCAATTTATGACCAAATGTTCTCTCAGGTCGAAGGGAAGGTAGCAAGTACCATGATATCTGCCTTTGAGAAGAGGGTCGAAGAGCTGCATCAGGAGAAAATAAAATGAATCCGCGCACAAATGCAACCGGGCCCCGGGAATTCAATTTGCGGTCGATCGAAGCGGCTAGCCTAAAGGACGACATCGTCGCCGGCGGCGCAGGAATGTTGAAGATATTCGACCACATGGCAGAGATTGGGATTGTGGCAGAATTTCTTGTCTTGACGGTTCAGGAGCAAGCAACGCGCTTTCAGTGGTGTGTATCATATAGACAGATTTGATATAGACATCGGCGTCAATAGCATGGTCGGCATTGGAATTGAAAGAAGTGTCACTGAAGCTTCGCAGGAGCTACAGTTTACTTGCCTGAGCATTAGTATCACCATAGTCGGGATTAAGGTTCATGGACAGTATGCTATCACATTGGAATGAACCCCATTGCTTGCCGCTGATTGATGTGATGCGGACGGGGACAGTGGAAGCGAGACTGTGAAGTCTGAAGTGAGGTGCAGACTTCTGGCTCGACTTAGGAACCACATCTACCGAACTCTCAAGGGGGTTGTGAGTCTTGAATGCTAGCTAGCATGTTCCATCGGTATCAAGTTATCGTCACAAACAAGTGTCTCGACAAACAAGCAGTGCGAACTCCTCAGCGGGCGGCTCTCGAGGGAAAGAAGCGTTGTCACAGCGATCGCTTGCAGGATGGCAACATTGAGTGCAAAGAGGCGAGAGCTGGGTGCATCAATAGCAGGAGTCGAATCGGGGCCAAGCCTCGCAGAAAGTGTTCAATGACAATCAAAGGGCATTGCGAGAGCACGAGCCCGAGTGTGAACGCAGCCTGTTTCCACGTTTTCTCTGGTGCCTGCGGTGCCAGAGGTGAATCACATCACACATCACCAGCATGGATCCATCCCCGCCTGCGCCGTTCCAGCTGCGGTCGTAGTGTTGCACTAGGGGTGATGCCCTTCAACCACTCACATCGGCCAGCACTCACCATCACACCAGGGTGCCAATCATCCAGATCCAGGCCAACCCTCGTCCACCTCCGCTGACTGGGCAGGCCACCCTCTCTAACCGCCCGGAGAAATGCAAGCCACGCAGCGGTCAAGTTGGGGAGTCTCACGCTGCAGAGAAGACGGAGAGGACCGTTCTATGCACGATGGAGGCCTCCTTAACCCTGCTGGCGCCGGCCTGTCGTGTCCCGCTCGCTCTCTCAATAAAGAGGTGAGGTGGAATTGCGATCTTGCTTAACACCTACCTCTACCCTTCGCAGTCTCTGCGATTGCGCGCGGGTTTCATGTGTCGCTGCGCTCCCCGTCGATGTCATGGCCTGCCGGCATGACCGCCCTGCGACCGCGCCGCTGTACCGCCTCATTTGCCTGCTGACCGTCCTCCTCCGCCTTACCTCGGCGTTGCAATCAGTGCCTGGGTCGCCCTGCGAAACTGTCTGTTCCACCGCCGGCAGTCTCGAACAAAACGTCGTCTGCCTCGATGCGGATTACCAGTCTCTCGACCAAGGTCGGGCATTTCAGAAATGCGTAGCGTGTCAACTGAACAGCACAGAGGTGGATACGAGGCATAATGAGACGGATGTGGAATGGGCACTGTGTATGACCATATGCTCCCGCTTCGAACTACAACTCTGTCCAGAAGCGCTGAACAAATATTGCAGTGGCGCTCCGCTACACGCTCGCAGGATGCATGTTTGCCATTCCAGAACAGCACATCTCCATCAGCAGCCCGTGTCAAGTTAGCTGCGCCCCGTTGAATGCTTCCATCGGCTATCAAGTCACAAACGACAGTTCAAGCACACCTGGCAACGACTTCTGCACGGTTGGTCAATTCGACGACGGCGACATCAACAAGTGCGCCCTCTGTTATAGCTTCATTCCGCAGCAGTTGTTTCTCGCCAATTGTACGCTGTTTTCATCCTTTTCATGGCCTTTTATTCTTTCCTCAATCCCCTCCAGCCCGCTGACGCCATTCAGTTCTGCAAGCGCTACACATCGCCTGCCGCCAGCAACCAACTCCCGGGAAAGCTTTCTTTCCCGATGCAGACGCCATCTTCAATGAGACCCTCATCGCTGGTCCCAGTGCACCATCCAGCCACTCCGGGTCTGGCTCCGGTCTGCATGGCTGGAAACTGGGGATTGCCATAGCACTGCCTATTGTAGGTGGCATACTACTAATTGGAGGCTCATGCTGGGGATGCTTTGTGTTTACCCGCAAGCGTCGACAGAAGATGGCCCAGTCCGGTCGGATGAGCAAAGTCCATGATGCACAGGTCGGGGCAATGTACAGCCCGATGTCTGCCAAAGCCGAAGCTTGGGGTCAGACCGAACCGCCACGAGAAATGCATGCCATCAGTCCAACTCTGTTACACGGCAAACATCCAAGTCCGGGACTCGCGCAGGGCCGATGGAGTCGTCACACTGATGGCTCGGATCAAGGTACTCCACTTCGAACCAGTTTTCAACGCGAGGATGTTGGTCCGGGAACCGGCCAAGTTCGTGACCCGAATCTGCACGAACAGTTCTTTGCGGTTGGTGACGATGCAACCCACCTTCCTGGACCGAGTAGTCAGAACAATTACTACGACGAAAATCCTGGACAGTTTTATGTACCTGAGGTGGACAGGGGAAGATTCATCTGAGAGTTGCTGCTCGAAACACAAAATAGGACCTACGATAAGATGAGCAAATTGCTAGTGTCTGGGAGCGTTCAATTTCCAGCCTCAAGAAAGACGAGGGGTGAGGGAGAGACCAACTGCAACTAGCGAAGCAGGAATGAAATGCTGGCAGATGGCTTGGTCTTGAGCGCTGAAACGGCCTAGTCACCGTCGACGGCCGTGTGGGAACCGAGAACGTTCAGTGTCTTTAATCATCTGTATCTTAACAGCTCACAATTTCTCCTCATTGAGACATCCGCTGAAGCAGTAGTCTCACGCTGCACCTTCCCGTCCAGTGGACGTTCACAGTCTGAATGAATCGTGCCCAGCTAATGAAGAAAGCTATTTCTACTGTTCCCAAGCCGCCCTCCGGTTCATTTACTATCCTGTGGAGTTTCTAAGAACAGCATCCGCTACGCCCACCTAGTAGTTGATCACACATCCCACTCAGCCTTGCACGCAACACAGTTGCCGAGCCTTGCCCCAAACTCTCTACCTCGACAGGCTTAGGCTACGGGACATGGCTGTGGAAGCATATCCCCTCACAATACCATGCCATACATATCTCGGCAACTTCCACCAGTTGATCGGTCAACCAGCTTCTCCTCTACGGAATACACCTGTCAACTTAGGTAACTATCTAACCGGGGCCTGGCAACACCATGCAACCTACAGATCTAAGATATGTTGTTGTAAGAACAAGTACAAGTACAAGCACAAGCACGAGTAAAAGCACAAGTACAAGTACAAGTATACATAGCGCAGACCAAGGCCGAGTCGAGTGCATCAAGCCCTACCTCCCTCTCTTCTCTCTTTCTCTTGTTCACGGCGCGCAACCAGCAAGTGGTCCGGCAAGACCAGGAGCGATTAAGTTGAAGTCTTACCAAAACATCTCCCCGTGTCCTGTCGTTGGTGAACAGAGTCCAGACAGCGTTTGTAGCCCACGCTTCTCGACTGGGAGAACCTATAACGCCTAACCCACAACTGTACCACACATACAGTATAGTATATGAACCCTGCCCCCCTTTACCCCTTTTCGGTCATGGAATGGCAGTCGTATGCCGACCGGGTGGCAACGGACGTCGAAGGGGCGAGTGTACCTGTACCCATACCCGTACCCGTACCCGGCCCCGGACCCGGATAACAGGGGCGTCAACGACTCGACTCAGCAGCGAAGCAATAGACCCTTCCCTTGCTTCCACCGCCCTGGTGACACCCTGGCACGATGGATTCCTTGGGAACAATCCGGCTGGCTGTGTCCTGTCCAGTGTCTGCCTCACTTTCCAAGGGGGTAGGCTGGCGCGATAGACAGATCCGTACTCCGTACATGCATGGGGCAACCATGTCGCTGAATCAATATGGATCCTCTATACTCCGGACTGCATGCTAAGAGAAGAGCCCTAAGGCCATTGAAGTGGTGTGTGTGACCCTGATTAAGGTAGGTAGGTAGTATGGTATTACAACGTTACCCAAGGTAGGTATTTACCAAACTCACGGATGGATAGGTACATTAGGTACATAAAAGAACTAAGAGAGCATCGTACCTGGGTACGTATACTCGCCGTCACTACCGTCAGTTCAAGACGGAATCGAGGCCCAGAATAACTACTAGGTACTGCATATTATAGGTACGTTACCAGCTATCATACGACGGGGATCGGGGTGAGGAAGTGATCCACGCTCGTCACAGGCACAGTACGGAGTAGAGAGCTGGACTTTTGACTGTAACTGTAACTGTAACTGTGATTGTGACTGGTGCTGACGGCGTGAAGCAGGTGAAAATGAGAGTGAGTGACATTGAGAAATGTCGAGCAGAACCGAGGGTGAGGGTCAGGGTGAGCCATCTTCGCCTTCGGCTATGCCTCACTTTATGTCTCACTGTCTCACATTGCCCATGAATGATGAAACCGGGGCTAAGGCTGGGTTATATTTAGTCGTAGGGATCCAGACCGCCCCATACGATATTCGACACGCTTCACACTTGTCATGGTTACAGTAGCATAAGTCTCACTTGATCTCAGTCGACCACAGGATTACGACCAAGGGTTGTAAGATGTTGAGGCTCGAAATTCGGATACTAGTGCCGCTGCCGCTCGAGTGCTTGGTGTACTGTACTGTACTTTAGCCAACTGACCTGCCAATTGTAGTATGTACTGTCGATCTCTTACGCAGTCCAGTAACAGTAGCCTCGATTGGACGGCGAAGAGGACAGTGCATTAGGCTATGAAGATCTTGGGCGGCGAGTGGGTGTCTTTGTAGTCAGAGTAAACAGTCGAATTTGCCCCTCTGGCTAATGTGACGGGTGGGAGGGGTGCAAGATGCACAGGACGTTCTCTGCTTCGCATCTCAACGAGTAGTATAGTATTACTGAGGGGCGTACAGGTAAAGCCCGGACATGAGTTATGCGGTAACCCACGTGGTACTTTCTGTCCTTGATTTCCTTCGTTTCCTTGGTTTTGCGGTCCTCTTCAAAAGCAAGAGCAGTGATTGAGCAACAAAAAGGAACAAATTCGACCAGTCGAACGCGCTTCTGAAGCCATGCTCCTACTAATGAGGAGGTCAAGACCTCGAAGATCTTTGTATCTGGCAGAAACACGGCGTTCTGATACTAAATCAGATCCGGTATCAATGCATGGGTTGTTAACATAGCAGTATCTTGACCACCACTTTGGACTGCGACGAGCTGGATGTATTTGGAGCAGGGGTAACATGCCATTCTTTACCCCAAACATTGCACTGTTCACAGGGAGAGTTTGTGATTGTTGCCGGTACAATTTTGCCTCCAGAGACTCACGCCTGACGAGTGTGGCCATGGTATCAGCCACGAATTTGACTCCATTGCTGTACCCATCGAGTCCCTTCAACAGATTCGAAGCAGGGCCAGGCAGGATCTCCAAAATAAAACTTAGTGGCACTCTCTTGACATGACTCGCAGCTCCTCGTGTTTGTCTCTGGCCTTCCTCTAGACTTTATGCTGCCATTGGCCTTGTTTCTTACTGCAGTAAACTGAACATCTCCCCCCCCCCCCCCGTTGTGGATTCTCTGGTCCGTTCAATGAAGACTCTTTTCTTTTTTCCCAATATCAAGGAGATGCGATTGCAAAATCGCAATATTCACCGTTCGTAATTCTACAGAGGCTGGCCTCAGCAGACGCTGATTGTTGCTGGACCCGTGAGGAGGAGGCTCTCTTCAGTAGCTGCGCAAGAAGGGGGTCAGCAAATGGTGTTCGGCATGTTGTGTGGTGCGTATTGTGCGCAATGAGGAGGTTACCGTCTGCCCTACCTCTAGTTTCTGAGCAATCAGTTAGCCTGTTTGTCGGTTGCTTGGGTTCGGACCTTGTCAAAGCAAAGTTGGGGGTAGTCTCTAGATTTATTTCTGAGAGAGCGCGCTATCGTGAGTGCGATGCTATACCGCTAAAAGGAAGTATTCTTTTTTTTTCTGGCCAGACCCAATCTAACATTCTCTGCTTGGTGCTGGCAATCACACAACTTCGTAGGGTGCCACCGGGGCACAGCTTCTCTGGTAGAAGGAAAAGGCGATTGTCGATGACCAGGATGGCTGACTTTTGCAGCTGGATAATCAAAAGCAAGAATATTCCAGACGTTTCAAAAAAAGAGCAGCGGATGCAGTCGTTTGGACATGAAACCTTCAGGTGGTTCATTCTTGCGTGCTCGGTATGAAACTGCGGTGTGAAAGGCGAAGGTGCGGCCCGACTGAGCACTTCGTCTTACCATTGGTCTCGTCACAGGCGTAGAAACTGCGCCCATTACAAGTTCAATCAGTGATATTAGTTGGCCATCACAGTAGGCTGGAGATGTAGTATAATCGTGACCAGCACGTTGTTGGTGTTGTTGCGTTCTCTGGGGTCAAAATGATTATCTGTTGGGATGGAAAGCAGCAACGAGAGGCGTTCCTTTGGAATGGAGATGACTGGCATTTCCACCAGAGTAGAGCAATGGTCTCTATCACCTCTTTCATCAAATGTCAACCATCACATACTGGGCGAATTCCTCATTGTAGCCCCAGTCCTCTGAGTCTGGCCCTCCGTTCCAGGATCACGTTCTCCGTCTGCCTATATAGAGAATCAAGCTGTTCCATAGATAAGGAGTCCATCATGATTTTAGCAACCTGCGTGCCAGCACTGACAAGTTGCAGCATGTACCGGTCATCTCTCGGTCTTCTGACCTGCTGATCCCTGGTGATCTGTCTCACCGCAATCGAATTCTCCAAGGTTGTCACAAATTGTTTGATCTGGTTGTCGTAGAGAACGCGGGCTGGTATCCTTCGCTTTGTGGCTAATCTCTTCAAAAGGTAAGCCCATTCTGTCCACTCCCGATCCTCTGGTGTTCTAACTCGAGGCTTATCCCGCTCGAGAGGAATAGGAAACTGATATTTTGCCACAAAATGGAATGCGCAGCGCGAAAGAATGTCGTTCACGCGCAGCATGATCTCATCCTGTTCCTCAATGCCTAGATGGACCGGAAGGGCGGGAAGTGCCTGGGACCTGGCATGTTCTTGCTGTGGCAATGGTAGCGGAAGGAGTTGCGAAGGCCCGTCAAACTCGTCCTGGTTAAAAGGTCGCCGGCGCGTATGGTACCGAGTAGTCCTGCCCATGTCTGACCCACGCCGATTCTGCGTTTCCAAGTCGTAGTCGGTGTAACCCTGACTTGTGGGAGAGCCTGTCTGGAGCGCAAAACTGTCCTGGCTTTGTCGCCGGAGGGCCATCGGTTGATCGTCCGGAGTAGATCTCGGCGCCGGTCCATGTTGCTGGTACGATGTAGTCTCGGGGGCGAAGGCAGAAGACTGGGATCCGTAGGACAATGGTCGGAATGCATCGCCCACGGCCGTCGACGCCGGGGGACGGGCCACGCCATGTATCTCTGGGGGGAGCCTCTGGCGTACGGTCTCCGGTCGATCAGGAGAGATGCGCCCGCCAGAGTCGCCGGCAAAGGGATCGTAGGCGGTAGACGACCACGGAGCAAATCTACTACTGCATCATACGTATCAGCACGCTATCCAACGCGGACAGTCCCTGCAAGATGGCACCTGCCTCTGAAACGAAAATGGTGATGGGCTTTCGGCCATCGGCCTAGATATGGCGGGGTCTTGTGTTCTCGACAGCAGGAAGTCTTCCCTCTGGGACATGGTCGTGTTGTTATCAGTGAGATCAAGAGCAAATTGAATCCCAGGTGCGAGTCCCGAGAAATATGTCGAATGCGGACCGTTAATTGCAGGTGTTAAGGCTAACATGATCAGAGCGGCCCAAATGATGTGCGGTCGGGGTCGGAGAGCGAAGGAAAAGGAAGTCAAGAAACAGGTCTCTCGCTTGCCATTCTGATAGGAGAGGTTCAAGTGTCGATTGGCCGGGGGTTCTGCATAGGCCACCGGTCAAGTATTGGGCATGATTGTTGATGCCAGACAGATCGTGAAATGGGCACGAATAAAACAAAAGCCAATACTGATATGGTATTCATGAACAAGACAGTGACTTTTTGGCCCTCCAGGGTTCAGAGGCCTATCCCCGAAGCTATGCTCAAAGTTGTCTGATGCACCCTTTGGGTTCCGCAATTCCGGGGCAGTCTAGTTCTTACGAAAGGCCCACCATCACAGGGGCTGAAACAAAAATACCTGACATGGCCGGCGAATAGTTGCCGACACCGTCGACGAGGTGTCGACGTGTTCTCCATCCCCTGTGCGCCTCTTTAGCCGGCCTCGACAAGGCATTAGTACGTCCAAGACCGGTGCGCCACAGGGCTGTGAGCACTGAAATGGGAAGTAGGTGTCCGATGGCGTATGATCTCATGATTTCTGGAAGCCCCGTGTGGTTTCCATTGCATCTGTAATCCCCATGTCGAGGGCGTCTCGGTATGTCATCGATCTGGTGAGGCAATGTCCGGCATATGCTGCCCGTCATCGAACGAGATAGTTGGGTGGTTGCTGCCCGACACCCATTCAAGTTCGGAGGAAGCGCATTTAATGGCAGTCACGCGGTTTCCTCCAAGCCGAACACTGGCACGACAGTTCCATGTTTCCAGCCCATCGATGACGTTACAGCATGATCTGCCTCGAGTCGCATCGAATGGCCCTCGAATAACAGAAACGAAAGGGGAGTCGAGGTAGGACCATGTGTTGGGTCGCCGTTTCGAGAAGGCAGCAAACATCATTGGCCGGAGTGGAGACGGACGGGTGATGGGCATTTGAGGCGTGGCTAGCGAAGCGGGTGGCAGACATCGACAGTACAGAGTAGTCAAGGCCAGCCTCGGACTATCTGAGCATTAGAAATGTTCCGGATCTGCACTGCACAATTGCCTGGCACACAACTTTCTTCACGTAGAGTCAATTGGCATAGCCTGAGCGCAAAGCGCACTTGATTGTGGTATTTGCTTTCTTACTTGTGTATGGTTAACCAGCCACCAACCACGAATCAGAGCATCGTTTGCCATGGTGCCAGGTCGCAAAGCAGTTCGGTCGTCAGGCAGGCTCGGGGCCGGGCGAACTCGGGACTGTCGTTGGAGGCAAGGGTTTGATCGATCCCTGAGTCAGACTCAAAAGAGATGTCTAGTCTTTGGCTCCCTTCCCTGGCACCAAGCCTGGAGGAAGCCCTGATTACGTTTTGGGCGCCGATGGTGCCCAAAGCCCAACTGGCCCGCCGACCAGGGATGTGATCTGCACTAGCATTTGGTGTGGGCCGTGGCGAGGCGGCGGTGGAATTTCTCGAAGCAAGGCTTCACTATGGAGTCGCCCGGCTAGTTGGCGCCGGGTGGCCGCTAGGGGTCAGGGGAATGGAGCATCGTGGATGGTGTGGTGTACAACGGAGGACACTCTGGCCGATACCCGTAAGAGGACTGTTTCTAATGGTGAGCAAGGGGGGAAGTCGGGGAAGAGAAGGGCACTTTCCTGATGACTGCGCAATCTAGGGGGATGGGAAGTAGGTCGACTGCCGATTTTCAAGCCGAGAAACATGGGCCGATGATCCAATGAAGAGTCCTCCGTACGCTGTACGGAGTAGAGAGCCCGACCATGCGAACCAGGATACAGGTACCGTGGATGCGGAAGACGGTAGCCACCGTCCATAACGGATGATTTAGGGAAGCGAGGTTTACAACTGGCTGCGCGAAATGGCGAGCTAGGGCAAGTTTGAGGCGAAGAAGAGCGTGGCGCCTGTGTTCCAATTTCCCGGGCCAACACTGCCTAAGGAGTAGCGGAAAGGTGGTGGTGGTGGTGGTGGTGGTGGTATGAGCAACAAAGAAGGAGGCCTACCGGAGGTGATGCTTCGTAGTCTGCGACATATCTGTACAGAGCACTCGGCCGATGAGGCGAAATCAGGAATTGAAAGGGGGCGATGGTGTTTCGGGAAGTAGGCGCAGTTGCACCTGGTTCTTAGCAAGGACTCCCTGGCAAATTTCTTAATCTACCCTAAGGTTAATTAGTAATTACGGCAGCAGTACGGAGGACATACCTCCAGGTACCTAGTACCTACCTGGCTGGTGCCTGGGTGTTTTTAGCAACATTGGTGGTATTAGGGTTAGAGTCACGCCCGTCCCAGTCCCTGGAGCGATTTCGTTAGGGGGCCGTTCAAGCCTTAGGAGCCCCTCAGCCCTCCGATCTAGGGGGTCTCTTTAGCCTATGGGCCCCTGTGGTTGGGGCTCCTAAGGCCTAGTGGGACCGAGCCGCAAGACCACGTCATTCCCCAGGCACCGCCTCAAAACATTCGAGACGACCGTCTCCGGAACACGGAGCACTTTCAATAATGGTACATACAACCAGGCTCAAATTCCAACTTCTTCCCGACGAGCTCTCCGTCATCCGCGGACTCTAGCCTTCTTCCTCCTGGTCCGAATGGATGACGAGCATGTCCAGATCGAGTAGCCAAGCACCGAGCCTGCTCCTGCTCCTGCGCTTGGCCTGATCAGCATGACTGATTCCCTTCACAACTTTGGGTTTCGAAACATTCTGTCCTCCGTCTCACAATGACCTCTACTCTGCAAATCACAAACAAGGCATGCGCTGACTTTCCTGAAGTTGGAAGTTGTCCCCGACAGCAATAATGTTAGTACGCAGACCTCTGCTACGAAGGTGAACTTATGCCACCATAATCTCCGGCAGCGTGAATTTTCTGATGGTTGTTCTAGGGCCTTGTGAAGTGTTCTTCCGCTCGATTGCCCTGTCTATTCAGCCGTCGTGCATAATCCTGATTGACGTTGCATCCTTTAGTACAGGAACAAGTTCTCTGCCGAGCCGCCGGCTTACTGCAACGACGCCACCGGTTTGAACAATGGGACGGGATTGAATAGGGGAAGATCGCTCACTCACCTGACAACTTCTTCGAATGCCGTCCTCCAGCCCTACTCTTGGATGATAGTGGAGCACCCTTTGCGCCTTATCACCACTGGCATAACGCATAGCACAAGCATCCATCACGCTTCCACGAGAAAGGGTCGCTGGGGTGCCGGAAATTCGCGTCCAGCCTTCCGCGAGCAGACCTAGTACCCACCCCAGTGATTCGGGAATGGGAATCTCCCACACCGGCGGATAATGACGAAACTCCTTCCAGATGGCAAGGCTGAATTCCCGAAATGAAATGGGTTCGTTGTTCTGGATGAAAAACGTTTCACCAGCAGCAGTTTCGGCCCCTTTGCCACTCTCGTCAACATTGCTCACTCCGTTATGCCGCCGTGCCTGGGATGACAACAGGTTCTCAACAGCCAGCACATGAGCGTCAGCCACGTTGCCTACGTAACTCACGTCCCAGAGGTTTCTCCCGTCCCCAAGTCTGTATCGAGTTTCACCCTTTGCGATGCAGGTATGCACTGAAGGTACCAGCTGATTGTCTCCCTCTCCGAAAATGACCGATGGTCTCAACACGCACGTGAGCATGCCATTTGGAGGATGGTCATCGACCCCCTTGGGATCGACGTTGTTGACATCTCTATCGCCGGTCCAGCTGCCGGCGGTGGACATGTCGTTTGCTGCGATTACAATTCTTTCTGCCTCGGCTTTGCTTTCACCATAGATGGAAGATCGCCGGGCAACTGGCCACCTCTCATCGATGTTCGGATATGACTGGCTCATGTCGTCCGTCACGACGCAGCAAGTACTCGTATACACAAGCGCCTTGCACCCGGTGCTTCTAGCCGATTCGACCATATGCCGAGTCCCGTCGACGTTGATGTGTCTAACAAAGGCTTCCAATCGACGTGCATATCTGCCAGGCATGAGAAGTCAGTCCCTGCACAACACCAAGTAGCACAAAGTCAAAAGAAGAAGCCAATACGGAGTACAAGCACTCTCATAACTGGGTAAAAAATGCCTCAACGTCAGTCGCCCTGACACAGGCTCGCGGGATCCCAGAATCTCTCCGTTGTAGTCAGCTTACCGCTCGCTGAGCGGCGGCACGACGCCGGCGGTATGAACGACCACATCAGGCCTGACTAGGTTTAATGCCTCATACACCTGGCCTTCATCTGTAACATCGGCCTGCACATAGTCGTACATGCAGTTTTTTAACAGATTGAGGTCGTCATCTTCATTTCTATTCGCGCGCCCCTTACCCTGCATAGGGTCCTCGTGCTTGTCCAGTATCCAGACGAGCCAGTCGGCATGTTGCTCCTGCAAGGCTCGGACGATGGCCGAGCCCACGAACCCCAAGCCGCCTGTCACCAAGACCCGAAGAGGCTGTGAACTTGGATCATATCGTGCCCGGCCGGCTCCTGCTGTTGAAGAGATGTGCGACCCTGAGTCTGTCACTGTCCCCATGGCGGGCACAAAAGCCAGATGCGCACCTCGAACCGCGCCTTTGTTCCCCGAGGCCGGAGAGGAGGCAGCAACTGATGAGTACGCACGGCAGCTGACAGTGTGCCGTGAGACAGCACCAAGGTATCGGTATCGGCCCCTTCTCGTTTTACCGTGTTTGATGATCCGCTGGACGCGAGGCAAGCCTGTACACGGCAGTAGCAGTATACGGATAGACTGGAACTCCCAGTAAGATGAGGAGAACGAATCCCTTAGGTAGATAGCTGCCTGGTAGAACTGAGGTCTTGGGGGTGGTGGGGGGTCAGGAGGGTTCAAATAATACTGCAATAGTAACTTAGGTAGTAATAGTAGTAACGTACATATTACAACCGAGCAACTCTTTCGACCACCAAGGCTGGCTCTACGGAGTTCTCAGAGGAACTTTGGAGCGTGAGCACAGGAACACAGAGTTTCTACTCAAGTAGTAGTATAGTATTATACATGATTCCGTTACCCCTTTCGGCCGAAGCCTTGGTCTGGCCAGTGTCAAAAAATGCACGCGTCATTGACATGTGTACGGATACAGATACAGGTAGCTAGCGATACAATCTCTCCTGTTCCGACACGATCACTACTGTAGTCCCTGATCAGCCTCAGTGCATTATACGTACTGTATCTATGTTACCTTAGGTAGGTAGTCACGCCGGCATCTACGGAAACCAGTACATTATACAGTACAAGATCTGTATACTAATGTTGGTGTCTAGGGCTCGATGGAATGTGCCCTCACGATCGTACAAGTCATCGACATCACCGAAGTGTACATATAGCTTGTTTAAGTCAGTGCTCGTAGACTGCTTCTGACTACTCGTACACGTTTCTGGCTTCAATCTTGACTTGTTCAATTCAAAGACATTCAGGTGGACGGTTTGGCGTCTCAAGAGTAAGTGCAACTCTCTAATCATACAAATTTTGAGAACCCTGTCCCTAGAGGTGATGTTTTCCGACCCACAGCACCCAATTTACCCACTGCCTATGCTGCAAGATCAATCCTCCTCATCGTCATCAGCGTATCTAGGTCCCCCCGCCGCTGGCGTAGGCGCGTCAAACGCACCACTGGCATATGGTGTAGGTGCACTAGCTGCGGGCGTCGGGGCATCGAACCCCAATCGATTATATTTGAGTGGTTCCTTGTTTGCGTTTTTCGCAAAGCTCGCCGCAGGGGTGGGCGCATCTTGAGGACCAGCTCCTGGGGTCGGGGCACCCATGTACGGAGTGTAAGCGTCGTCGTCGTAGCGACCTGAAGCCGAAGGTGTCGGGGCCGATATGCCCGGCGTAGGGGCGTCGTAAGGGCGTGCGGCCGGCGTGGGTGCCGATGCTGCGTTTCCGGGACCACCCCACGCCGGAGTACGCGATGAAGAGGTGTAGGCCGGGGTTCGCGAGCCTGCCGCGAACGAATCGAAGCCAGAGTTGCCGGCCGAGTTGAAACCGTGGTCAGCCCCATAAGGAGTCTTTGCTCCAGCATTCCAAACTGGGGTGCGGCTGCCCGTGGTCGAGTAGTTGCCAGTCCCTCCATAAGAGGTCATGCCTCCACCGCCGTAGGTGGTTTGTGAGCCAGACGGGCCCTTCCACGAGGGTGTTCGACCGGATTCAAGGCCAGAACTGCCAGAACTGCCCGGGCCACTCCAGGCAGGGGTCCGTGACGCCCCACCCCATGCTGGTGTGCGCCCTCCATCCATGACACCCATGGGGGTTCTGCCTCCGAATCCACTGTCAGGAATCCGAGAGCCTGGAACCCCTTGGCCTGCCCGCATAGCTGAAGGACCGCCACGCGTTCTGATCCAGTCTTCGTACCTGGTTTTACTTTGCGTGTTGTTGCTGCAGCACATATTAGCTTGGAGCGTTTCCATATGGGGAAATAACATACTCGACTATTGAAAGGTCAAACTTGCTGATGTTGAGTGTCTTGTTCTTTGTTTGAAGTTCGAGTCGCGCCTCGCCAGCTGTCGTGTCTTTGACAATCGCGCGGTGGCCCTTGTAGGTACCTTTGTTGATGTGAACGAATCTTCCCTGCAATGGATCGCGCCCAGGTCGTTGTGGAGGTGCCATCGACATGTCGGGACCCTTCATTTGCAGCGCTGGATTCATTTTACTCAAGTCCGTCGAGGGTGCCGTAATCCGGCCTCCTTTTGCAGCTGTGGTGATGACATTCGTACAACGCGCGACCCAAATACCCGAATTTTCGATTCCTAGTTTGTTATGCGCAAAAACAAATCCTCTGTGGATGTGCAAGATTGTGCCGGACTTGTTTTCACCGCCTGACTCCCGCACAACGTCGCCCAGCCGGATTTCTGAGCCATTTTTGTCGGTAGCAACGGCGTTTCTTCGAGCCTCGATTTTTTGGACCTGTGAAGGTATCCGGGTAGTCACCGAACCGTTTTGATCTAGTATCCGCACAGACTCGCGGTCGGCCCTAATGACACATCCGGCTGTGGTAGGACTGCAACAAGTCAGCATGTCGCATAATATCGTCTTCAAGATCAAAACTCACTCAATTTGGACCAGTTCCTGCACGTCAAACTTGCTGGCACCGGCTCCAGAACCTCCCGCATCCGTTGCTTCTCGTAGGTCTTTGCTGAAGACAGTGATTTCTTCGTTGCTGTTGTTGGTGAGAACAGTAACCTTGTCATCCTTGATACGGAGTACCATTCCGACTTCGTCGCGGTACTTGCTCCCTCCAATAATTTTCACGTTATCACCCTCCTTGAAGCGTTTTCGAAGGCCCTTTACGGGGACCTCAACAAGCTGACCAGTGAGTTCGCCTTCTGTGACCATGATTGAAACAATATTTCCAGTGACAGCTTCGGTCCTGCCAACGATGCCTCTCTGCTCGCCTTCGTAGACTTCCACCTCATCACCAGGCACGTAATTGCCTTCAGCTGCGGTGTTGCGCAGGCTGTGGGCCAGGGACTCAAGGTCGAGGAGTTCCGAACCATCAGCGGCAGTCTTTGTAAGTTTTGTGATCTCATCCAACCGTGGATTAACACTGTCAGTAATCAAGTGCTGTAATTTGAAGTCCTTGATCAAAAAGCCATCTTCGTAGAGGTCGCCCTTGTAAGACCAGCTCCTGCCCGTGAGGCCCCGGTTCTGTTGCAAAAACCTATCGTGTCTCTTCCGCGCTTCGTTCTCGTTGAACAGCCGTTGTGGGGGTCGATTTGCAAAGGAGTTGACGGGCCCGAAAGCATTTGGACGTTTGCGTTTCACGTCTCCACTACCCGGTCTGGCGTGGTCCTCGTCCATGCCGTAGGTAAGTCTTGGAACGAGTCGAACCGTCACTTCCAGACCATTAGTCTCGACACTCTCAATCATGCCCAAGTCGCCTTGGTAGATGCCACGCTTAATTCGGACGTATCCGCCAACCTCCAGCTCCTTGTTTTTTGTCACTCTGAGCAAATCGGGCATCTCTTTGACCGGGACAAGATTCATCTTTGATCTGGGGTAGACATCCGCCACGTTAGTGAGCGCATCGTCAACATCAACCTTCCTCCGAGCCTCAACAAAGATGTATCCAGCCATAGGGCCGTCTCCTCGTTCAAATGCAGAACATATCCGCATAGGGTTCCGACTGCCCTGGCTCTCGATAAATTTCTTCATCAGCTTGTGGACGATGTCTCTTTCCTTCCCAGCCTTGCATCTGACACCCCAAATACTCGGATCATTGACATCCGGCATGAGCAGATTTTGCGGCACAAACGAACTGTTGCTCAAGGCTGTAGTTGTTCTTCGACCGTATCTCTCACGGAACTTAGCCGCTTCTTGCTCTGCGTCCAATGACTGCTGCAGTTGTCTTTGGCGATCCAGCTCTCGATGTCTCCGATCGTCTTGGTCAGCCTCTGGAGGCAGGTCATCGTCAGGATGCGTATCTTGTATGAATTCAGGACCCAGATCATCCTCCTCGGCCTCAAGATCATCGTCATCTTCATCAACCTCGGCCTCTTCTTCGAAGAATTGATTCAAGCCTCGTCTCCGTCGCTTTCGTGGACGACTGGTGACCGCATCTTCATCCTCTTCGTCTTCTTCATCCTCGTCTTCATCCTCATCACCATTTAAATCCTCCCCTTCGTCCTCATCGCCCTCGTCGTTGTGGTCCCCGTTCTCGTCATCTTCCCCTTGCCCTTCATCTTCTTCTCCTTCATCGTCATCTGCTGGCGGTGATTTTCCTCCCTTGACAGGAGAGGCCGATCTCTTGCCGTTCGTTTTGAGGTCGGCGGCGGATTCATCGTCGGAAGGCGAGCCTGCCCGGCGAGCGGAAGCCTGTGGTTTGGCGACTTCATCGTCATCGGCTTCGGCATCAGATGGCACCTCGAGGCCAGGGTTGAAGTCATTGTCCGATTCCTCATCATCACCGGTAAAGTCTTGGTTGAGCCACGATTGCCCGGAAGCAGCCATCTTGGCGCGATGATTTAGGATGGATGCAACCTCTTGCGGCCGTATATGTGGGCAAAGAGAGCTACCTTCCACTCATCAGAGTTGAAGGAGAAGATGAATCAAGGAGAAGAAAGTTGTGGTTGCGAAGGGGCTGTCGTGAGTTGGAGATGTTGTCTAATTTCTGAAAGCGGAGGACCAGGCCAACTGCGCTTTGCCAAGACTGACATTTGATATCACGTGAATGAACCAGCCTGGGCTTCTCCACGCAGAAACTCCAGCTGGTCACATTCTTGCCCGTCGCCTCACAGGACAGCACGTCTGGAAGCGATGTTTTGTTCTCGGCGCAAGTTGCTACTGGTACAGTGAGACGCGTTTCATTGTTCTCTCGGGCGTCTTTCGTCTCTCGTCTCACTACATGTACTCACGACTGGTCCTCTGTCCTGCTTGTTCCAAGGGTTGCAAAGAGGCTAGCAGTCTGCGTGCTTGCAGTCAAGCCATCACCATGTCATCAAACCCCTCATCTTCGGTCTTCGACTGGCTTCTGAAGTGCGATTTCACCGGCTAGATGAAAGCAGAAATCACCTTCCTCCACTTCGGCTGTTTAATCTCCTCGCCACTCACTATTTGATTCCAGCCCGGTCTCAAACCGGTGGTGACCTCCATATCCCTGGCTCTGACGAAGAGACTCCAGTCTCTGCTGTAGAGCTTCCAGAAAACATAGAAACCAAGGATGAAAGGGGCCGCGAGATAGCTCCTGAAGAATGCCTTGGCATCAGGTTTCTCCCTCAGCGGGAACAAGCTGACATAGAAGGTGGCAATCAGAGCGATACAGTTAAGGAAGAGGCCCAGGTAGGAACCATAGACGCCAAACACGGCCCGGTAGGGGAGTTGTGAGGTCGAGTACCCGTGATATTTCCACCCAGCCCGGAAGCGAATATGAGAGAGATTAATACTGGCCCATGCAAAGAAGAAAGACAATGCGCTCAAGGCTAACAGCCACGCGAAGACCTCTCACGAGGCGCTGGCCTCTCCAATGAAGGCAATGCAACCAAACAAGAGCTGCAAGACAATGCACCAGAGGGGCCGGCCAGCCTGGTCAATATATCGCAAAAACCGTGGAGCCATACCGTTGGCAGCGAGGGCCTGTATGGTGCGCGAGCTGGCGTAGATGCACGAGTTGGACACACTGATGACAGATATGGTGATGACGGCGTTGAACACCGAGGGGAGGGCTTTCACTCCAGCCATCTGGATGGCAAGGACAATTGGCGACGCTTTAGTGTTGGCTCCGCTGGCTCCGAGGAGATGCTCATCGTTCGAAGGGAGAATCGAGCCGAGGATAAAGAGGGTACCGATGTAATAGAAGGCGATCTGCCAGAAAACCTGCTTGGTTGCCTTGACCAGCGACTTTTCGGGATTGGCAGCCTCAGCCGCGGCCAGGCCGACCAGTTCTGTGCCGCCAAAGGCAAAAGCGGCGGTGACGAAGACGGAACAGAAGCCTTTGAAGCCGTTGCGAAAGGCACCAGGATCATGCCAGTATTTAGTCCCATTATACCCTCTGTTGTCTGTGAGAACGCCACCGACATCGACGACGATGCCTGCCTATGTTCCATGAATATATTCCCAAGAACAAAACACTTCCCTAACCAGCCCCGAAGAACTGATTAGAGAAGTGAAAACTAGAATTAAATCATATTTTTTTTAGTAAAAGGCCCTGGCAGCTCAATGCTCGGGGATTCTCCTATGCTGTCAAACCCCTCCTGCGCCTTACACATGCCTCGGAGCCTCGTTGGCATCGGCATCGGACATCTCCATAAAAAAAGAATGATTATTCACAGCGCGATAAGCCCCGGCGCAACGACTCGTCTACCGGTCTCTCAGAGACATTAATATTGCCATATTGTTCCAGTCGCAGATAAGATCCGCCACACCTTCAACGCGATGCTTCAAGGCCCGAGTCGAGTCGCGCAAATGCATCTCATTCGCTCCCCCTCCAGCCGGCTACGCCTGTCGCTACCAATGATTGCTCGACTGATGCGTCCGACGACGACCTCGGTGTTGTTCGTTATAAGAGACAGTTGCCCCTACCTGCTTTTGCCTTGATCGTGCAGGCTGCATCGGGAGGTCTGTATCTGCTTTGCCATCTGAGAACATTCTCCTGTTCTACATTCATTGCCCATTCCATTGCAAGAGCCCGGGTCAGGAGAGACATCGTGCACGCCGTCAATATGGTTCAGGCACAGGTCCCGTGGCAAGAAGTCGCCAAACAGGCGCAGCAGCTACGCGACAAGTCGATTGACCAAATCCAGCCTCCGGTGCCAGCGGTGCCCAGCCCGACCGAACTGCCGCTGAACGTGACATCGATTCCGAGGAAGCTGCTGAGTGAAGCCGAATTGAAGATTACGGAATCTCCGCCGGAAGAACTCCTAAAGTCATTAGCAACCGGTGAGCTAAGCAGCGTCGATGTGACGACGGCCTTCTTGCGCCGGGCGGGCATTGCGCAGAAATTGGTACGTCTCCGTCTCCATCTCCGTCTCCGTCCCATCCATCAGGCTCAGCAATGCTTCCCCTTCATCTTCCTTGACATGGCGCCCTGACAAGGTATGATTCAACCAGACAAACTGTGTGACCGAGGTGCTCCCTCACACGGCCATCCAGCGAGCCAAGTATCTAGACGAGTACCTGGCCACGCACAAAAAGCCGATCGGCCCCCTGCACGGGCTGCCCATCAGCGTCAAGGAGCACATTGGCATGAAAGGGCTCGGCCACAACGGCGGCTTTGTCGGGTGGTGGGACCATGTGGCGGCCGAAGACGCCCACATCCTGCAATTGTTCCAGAAGGCCGGGTGTGTGCTGTACGTGCGCACCACGCAGCCCCAATGCCTGATGCATCTAGAGACGTCGAACAACCTGTACGGCGTGACGGTGAACCCGTACAACCGGACCCTCACTCCGGGCGGCAGTTCGGGCGGCGAGGGCGCCCTGGTCGCGCTCAAGGGCAGTCCACTGGGCATCGGCACCGACATTGGCGGCAGCATCCGGGCGCCGGCTGCCAACTGTGGCGTCTGGGGCTTCCGCCCATCGTCGTACCGGCTCCCGCTCGGTGGCTTGACCGCGCCCATGGCGGGCCAGGAACAGATTGTGCCGGTGATCGGGCCGATCAGCGCGAGTTTCGAGGGATGCCATATCTTCATCAAAACGTTAATTGACCAGAAACCCTGGCTAGACGACCCGTCGTTGCTGCCCATGCCGTGGAAGTATACGCCAGGCAGTGGCAGTGGCAGCGCCAGCACCAACGAGAGCTATTTACGCAAGCCCGACGGCTCCCGAAAACTCAAGATCGGCGTGTTATGGTCTGACGGCGTGGTCCAGCCACACCCGCCCGTGACGCGGGCGCTGCGCGAGCTGACGGCCAAACTGCAAGCGGCGTGCCCGGACACGGTCGAGTTCGTGGACTGGACGCCGTATCGCCACGACCTGGCCTGGGACATCATCTCGAGCCTGTATTTCTGCGACGGCGCCGCGCAGGACTCGGCCGCCATTGCCTCCAGCGGCGAGCCCTGGCTTCCGCTGTCCAAATTCATCATCCACGAACAGCCAGGTGTCAAAGAGTACTCCATCTCCGAGGTCTGGCAGCTGACTCTGCGCCGAGAGGAGTACCGCGCCGCATATGCCAAGGTGTGGAATGAATCGACGAAAGCGAAGGTGTGGCCGGCCAAAGACACAACCACAACCACAGGCTCTGCCTCTGCCTCTGCCTCTGCCTCCACCTCCACGGAAGACCAATACCCCGTCGACGTGATTCTCTGTCCCGTTGGGCCCGGGGCCGCCCCGCCTCTCGAGAACGCCAGATACTGGGGCTACACGTCCCAATGGAACCTGCTGGACTACCCGGCCTTGGTGTTCCCCGTGACCCAAGTCAACCCGGCGGCCAAAGACCTCGAGCCCGAGTCGGACTACACGCCGCTCAACGCCCAAGACGAGCGGAACCACAAGCTGTACAGTTCCGCGCCCGGACGTGCCAGCTACGTCGACGCCCCGGTCTCGCTGCAGCTCGTGGGCCGGCGGTACGAGGACGAGAAGGTGTTTGAGGCCATGGAGCTGATCAAGAGTGCGGTTGGGCAGTTGCCTTTGGAGCCGTTTCGGTGAGGTCGAGCCTTTCCGATGAGATGTGGTGAGATGTCGAGCCGTTCCGATGAGATGAGGTGAGGTGCGTTGAGAGGTATATGGTATTGTATTGGCATTAGCTTTAGGTTGAGACATATACGGCATTGCATTGGCATTAGCATTAGGATAGCATAGCTGTCAACGGCTCAGGAGTAAGCTACTTATATCAAGTATTATGGCACTCTGGATCTATGTCTGCAGGATATGGATGGTCCCCCTGGACTGTTGTGTTGATATAGGGTATATATATCCGTACTGAGTACATCAACTCGGCTGGAAATAGCCGTCAACTACGTATACTCACGTCACAATAGTGATAGTGATAGTGATAGTGTCGTTGACGTCGCATGCAGTGTTCCAAGGAATACTACTACTACTACTACTACTACTACTACTACTACTACTACTACTACTACTACTACTACTACTACTACTACTACTACTACTACTACTACTACTTCCACCACCACCACCACCACCACCACTTCCCAGCCTTGTTCTTTAACCAGAAGGCTGGTATAGGTAGGCATACTGGCATACTATATAGTCTGGGCCCTAAGGCTCCTAAGGCTCGACTACTACTACTGTACGACTACTGGCCATGTAGATCCTACAAGTAATACTACGACTACTGTGCGAGTACTGGCCATGTACGGAGTACAAGTAATACTACGACTACTGTACGAGTACTGGCCATGTGGGATCCTACAAGATACAGATGCACTTGGCATGTCTGGTCTGGTCTGGTAGATTGGAAGCTATACGGACGCTATCATGTCACATTCTCTCTTTGAACCCTATCAGCCCCCAGCCCCAGTCACATGTCACATGTCAAATTCACCCTTTTCACAACCTCGCACTCACAACCTCAGACCCAAGTTGACATGAATCGCCTTGGTCTGCGTATAGGCAGCCAGACCGGCCTCACCCAACTCCCGACCGATACCACTCTGCTTGACACCGCCAAACGGCACGCGGATGTCCGAGTCGTTGGAGCTGTTGATCCACACCATTCCAGCTTCCAGTCGGCCGGCGACCCGGTGCGCACGCTCGACGTCGGTGGTGAAGACGGCACTGCCCAGACCATAGGTGGTGTCGTTGGCCATGCGGAGGGCATCCTCCTCGGTCTTGAACGAGGTAATCACCACAAAGGGCCCAAAGATCTCCTCACGGTAGATCTTCATCGTGTCCTTGACGTTGGTGAAGATGGTCGGCTCGATGAAGTAGCCCTTGCCGCCGACCTCCTTGTACGGCACACCGCCCGCCACCAAGCTGGCTCCTTCGGACTTGCCGCTGTCGACGTAGCTCAAAACTCGCTCGTATTGCGCCTTGGTGACTTGAGGCCCTTGTTGTGTGTCTTCGGCGAATGGGTCTCCGACCTTGGACGTCTCCTTGACCGTCTGCTTGAAGAGCTCGACGAACTTGTCATAGACGCCCTCTTGCACCAGCACACGAGATGTGGCACAGCACACCTGGCCCTGGTTGGACATGATGCCGACATGGGCCCATTTGGCTGCCTGCTCGAGATCTGAATCGTCGAAGATCAGAAGCGGCGATTTGCCGCCCGTCTCTAGCGTGATGTTCTTCATGTTGACACTGGCTATCTTCATGACTTGTTTGCCAGTGATGGTGCTGCCAGTGAACGCAATCTTGTCAATGTCCAGGTGCGATGCCAGAGCGTGACCGGCTTCCCGACCATAGCCGTTGACAATGTTGACCACACCAGGAGGGAAGAGGCCGGGGATCAGGGAGGCCAAGTAGAGAACTGACAGAGGGGTCTGCTCGGCTGGTTTGAGGACCACGACGTTTCCGCAAGCCAGCGCTGGGCCTAGCTTCCATGCCGCCATGGACAAGGGATAGTTCCAGGGGATGATCTGCGCACAGACGCCAATGGGTTGCTTCAGGGTGTATGCGAATTTCTTAGCCGTGGTCGGAATAGTCTCTCCGTAGATCTTGTCTGCCCAACCAGCATAATACCGAAAGATACCAATCACCTCCTCCAGATCTTCATTCAGTGCAACACTGTACGGCTTCCCGTTGTCCCATGTCTCCAGCGTGGCAAGCGTCTCTTTGTTGGCCTCGATGAGATCGGCGAATTTGTACAACAGGGTGCCACGCTCGGTGGCCGGGAGGTCGCGCCAGGATGGGTCATTGAAGGCGGCTCGGGCAGCCTTCACAGCCTTGTCAATGTCATCCGCCGAGGCGGCCTCGACGGAGCAGATTTCCGACTCATCTCTACACGCGGGCGCCGTCAGAAATGGAGAGGAGGCGGGGGTGTACACAGCGTGGGACGAGGAACACTCACGTGGGGTTGATGCTGGTGATCTTGTCTCCGGAGCTTGACTTGACAAACTCATTGTTGATGAACAGCCCGGTAGGCAGGGTGATCTTCCTGCCATTGGGAGCAGTGAGATTGACTTTCAAATCGGCCATGTTGACAAAGCGCAGAGACGTGGACGTGCTTGAGAAGAATCGTAACGCGGGAAGCCTGTGGCGGGGAGAAGATGAGATGCAGCTGGACCTCAGACTATTACTGGTATTGGAAGCGAACGATCTTATCAACCAGGCAAGCATGGACTGGGGGAAGATCAAGAGACAACAGGACAACGGGAGAATGGGCAAGCAGGGCCAAGGCAAGGGACGGGGATCTGATGGCTAATGGAGAAACGGGCCAAGTGGCACTGATTAGAATGAGACCGAGACTGTGACTGTGACTGCTGACTGTGACTGCGACTGCTGGTTGCGACGAACGAAGCGAAGCTTTGGCAAAATCCCCAGTGAGCGATATGCATAGATGGAGATATGGAGATATGGCACGGCTTTCCTCTTTCGACCTGCAGAATTGCCGCCTGGAGCGGCGATAAGCGTGGTGTTTGCTGGTGGTGGATGTGTAGAGGGCAGCTAAGCGTAGATTACAGTCATGGACCGGTCGCCGAGCTCCGCACCAGCAGCAAATACGACGATTGCAGTAGGAGAGGAGGGGGACGAGGGAGGGGCAGCCGGCGGTCCAGAGTTGAAGTCCTGAGGGGCGACAATAATAATACGTACTTGATATCCGTCCCTCTAGGCTACCCTGGCCTACCAGGTAGGGGCATAGGTACCTGGACGGAGTACCTAGAGGTATATAATAGACCCGTTCTGTGGGCTTAAGAGGCTTAGAGCTTGCTGCTGCCGGCGGCACTTGCCCCGAAGCTGAAAAAGTTACCCTACCGAGCCTAGACCCAACTAGCCTAATTAGGCAACTTTTTCAGGTTCACAGCGAACTGGCACTTAGCATCACAACCCAAGCTGAGGCGCAAGCTGCACTGCAGTGGGAAGCACCATTGTACTGCCCTCCAAAGAGCGTAAGAGCAGCGCGATGTGGTAGCTTCACCGGGGAACATGGGAGAGAAAGCCTGGGGACTTTGTTTCGACTACTCACAGAACGTCTCTAATCAACCATGCTGGCACCAGTGACAGTCGATTGTGCTTATCCTTATCGATAAGTATCGGCTACACCTCCCTGTTGCAGGTTAAGTACCTCAGCCTCCAGCTGCCTCAAACAGCCCTGGCCAGTGGCCACTATTATAGGTCAGGTAATTAGTTAATCAGTTAGAATTGCAGAGTACGGAGAAGAGAGGACTTTTTCAATGTTTGGTGACTCTTGGGACAGACAGGGCGCCATTATTTAGTATTAGGCCAAAGCCCGCACGTCCTCTTTCGTTCAAGTTTGTTAGTCATCAATGTCCATCCATACAGACCGTAGGTCATGGTCAGGGCCACTGACCCTACCACTAACCCGGGCACAAGGGAAGAAATATGGACAGTGCAGGAGACTAACAAGACTACTGTCCTCCATGCTCCGTATTTGTACGCAATAGATCTGCAGGACTGGGGATAGGGATGGGCATGGGCATGGGACATGGGGGGATATGTGGCTGAAGAAATCCTCCGAGTTTTACGTGAAAAAGTCCCCGACGACAGGCGACAGGCGAGTGCATGTACTGTATCCTAGGTACTAACTACTAGGTATAGGTACTAGCAAGGTATGTGCTGCACTACCTACTACCTACGTACCCTGCCCGCATCCTGTATTATTGGAATAACCGAATGTCCACGGCCTTGGACCTGGACCTGGACCTGGCGGTGGAAAATGGCCTGATGCCTAATTGGTGGGAGACTCGCAAGGCTGGAACATGGTTAGATGTCCTTCACGTTGGGAAGCACAATCACAATCATCATTGCAGCGGCCAAGTCCCAAGAAAAGGTCAACGTGTTATCCATCTCGGATTTTCCCAGCTCCTGGCCATGTACGTACGCCTCGGCGTCGCACAAAACGTCTGGAACTCTTCTTTCCAGCCATGTAGTACTTCAAATAAGCTCCTCCTCGGCCGTCACAACCCCAGCTCTCGTGCCAATGGTGCCGAGGTGCGACCGGATTGCCCATCGCTCTCACTCTCGTCCATTTTGTATCTGTCCGCCACAGCGTCCTGATCGATGAGATGCTACGGTTTATTCAACCCCTCCCCACAGTCACCTAGAGCTCGACCCCATTTTCAACTCCAACGTCGTCGTCGTCGTCTTTGCCAGAAAATTCTTTGACTGCATCGGTGTCGGCACCCACATCTACATCTGCGTCGGCAGCTGTCTCATCGCCTTCCCCATCAACGTCCGACTCGTAGCCGTCTTTGCCTGCGCCGTGACCAAGCGACAATGGCTCCCCAGCCAATTCTAGGATGAACTCCCATTCAGCAGGGGTGACGGAAGAAACACTGAGTCGACTCTGTCTCAGCGTCTGCATGTTCTCCAACCGCCCACTAGGCAAGGAGAAGGACTTCAACCGCTTGAGGGTGATTATCTGGTCGAATTTCTTAACAAATTCCACGTGCACCACTTCCCACTTGGGTTTGGAGCGGTCAGACTTGGGATCGTAGTAAGGATGGTCGGGATCGAAGGCGGATTCATCGACGGTGTGTTCAGCGACTATACGCATGACTCCTACAATGCCTGGGTTTGCACAATTCGAATGGTAGAAGAAAGCTAGGTCGCCCTTTCGCATAGCTCGCATGTTATTGCGTGCGACTGGGTTACGGACCCCTGAATGGTGTCAGTCAATACATCCTCTCCTGTGAAATGAGAACAACTAGGGGGCATTACCATCCCACGGCTCAGGTTCGGTTCTCGCCATCAGATCATCAATGGAGAATTTGACATCGTGGCCTTTCTCGAAGCGAGACTCCGGTTCGGCCTTCATCAGCCAGTACTGGATGTCGGGGTCGACGTTCTCCAGATCGACTGTCTTTGGTCGGGCGTTGGCGGTCACATTAACGGTAGAAGAGTCGGATCCGTTGGCCAGCACATCGTTGGGGTCGGGCTTGGCCTTGGGCGGTCTTCCACGTTTCTTGGGCGTCTGGTTCGCAACGGGTTTGGGGGTCGAGGCATGACTCGCAGGAGAAGCGGTTCCTGTAAGTCGTGATCAGTAGAGCGTTCGTCGACATGGGTGTTTACTTCTGCGAGGCGGAAGGAAACCCACCAGAGCGTTTCGGTCTACCAACTCTCTTTGGATGAGATGCCGGGATCGGGGGTTGGGTTTGGGCCTGAGCTGCGCGCGCCGCGGCTATGTCGGCGCGGGACGGGCGACCAACCTTCCCGCCGGTGCCGCGGCGCCGGGTGAAGTCGTATTTGGGTTCCCCGACTGAGGTTCTTTTGGGCCGACCAGAAGGAGACAGGGCGGGAGATGTGCTGGGGAGATCAGAGGCGACGGTGGCAATGCGAACTTTCTTGGCCGAGCCGGCTCCAGCTTTGGCAGTGGACGAGGCCTTGCGTTTTCGAGGGGGCATGACGAGCAGGGAGGTGGAGGTGGAGGTGAGGTGGATGCAAGGAGGTTATGACCAACAGATGTCCTTGTCCTTGTCTTCCTTGTCCTTGTCTCCGAGCGAAAGTCAGAGTCAAATGGATCTGATCTGCTGTCAAGATAAGATCTGAACGTTTTCAAGTGGTGAAAAGCAGTCAATCAAAAAGTTGCACCAGCTAACGAGACGCGTCGCGCGGGTGAAATGCGGAGAAACTGGCAGTGAACTTGAACGTGAATGAGATTGGCTTGGCGAGATGGAGATACGAGATACGAGATGCCAGTGAAGACTTTTGGTAGGAGACTTTGTATCAAGTGCTCACACGCTCCCTTTGACCTAACATAGGTACCTGAGGTGATAGGAAGGTGGCAGGTAGCTCTCCATGGTGCTGTTAACATACACACTGCCAGGGCCACTTGACCAAACCAAGCAGTGTGTTTACTGTATCCGTAATCCAGTACAGCATACCTTCTGCACTCCAGCGAGTCAGAGTCAGCGGTCCCTCAAGCGAGCTTCCAGGTTTGTCTCTAATTCCACTGTGGCTGTGGATGTGGCTGTCTGTGACTGTGACTGTGACTGACTATAGCAGAGCTGAAGCTGCGAGACAAATTCGTGTGTGATGGTATAGCTTCTATAAATGAATGGATCGATCACAAAAGATGAATGAAGGCATGAAGAAGACACGAACACAAATTACAACAGTGTCAGTCGGCACAAGACCATATCCGTCCGCCCTCTACCTATTAGGCATTGTTACTATATTCACACTCTCCAGACTCCTCGGACACTATCAAATGGCGGCCTTTTAGGTACAATACAGTATCGGGAGTACACCAACAGTCGAAGAGACACTACCACCACTACTATATAGATGAATTCGTAAGCACACGTACACAATGGATAAGTTTCACCTCTGAGCGTGACAATTCCCAGACAAACACGCCCGCATGTTGTGTTGTAATAGTGCTACCTAATTGTGTGGTAGCTCACTCCATCATCTCCCTCCTCTTCCCTGGTTAGAATTACAGTACCCTGTACCCCCATCCCCATCCCACCATCCAGTTGTCCATGACTAAAGCACCGTGGGAGCCATTCTTTTCTTTTGTCCGGGTTGTCGCCTCACTATGCGAACGATACACATACTCCGTACAGTAGTCAGTCGCTACAGATTTTAATGATAATGCCAATAATATGACATGGCTTGAGGGACAGCAGCCTCAGCTCAGCAGGAGTGGCAGGGTGGGGTTGACAATGACCACCCGAGTTGCGATACGGCCCGGGCTGGTTCGAGTCTACGAGTACAGAAGCCTCTACAGAGTACCTGGTATCTATAGGCCACTTGCCTACCTAGGTGATTAGTAGTGCTACGGATACCCATCCGTAGCCCGCATCCAAGAGCCCGTGATATCGATTTGCGCAACCAAGGCACAAGGCATCCCTACATGGATTTAGGCGAATCGCTCTGTTCAGTGTTCACTGTCCAGCATGATGCTACCGTACGGATACAGAGTATATCACTGAACTGCTACGTACTCCGTACCACCACTACTATTTCACTAGATACTATTCGTAATATCGCAGGTTCTATTTACTGTATCTACATTAGGGATAACCATAACCGTGGCCTCGTAGCATCCCATCGCACCATCCACGCCGACACTAATTGCTAGACATAGTATTGTCAAATCCGCTCCCCTTCGCTTTTCCATCCATCCCATCGGAGGTAGGCATGCAATGCAATGCAATGCAATGCAGATGCAGATGCAAGGCCCCTTAGCCCTGCAATGCCCTGCACCGCATGCCGCAGCCGCAGCTAGCAGAACCGTCAGGAGTCGGTCCTAGTCAGTTTGTGACCGCCTAGTACGGATAGTCGATAGTCGTTGCACTACTACTAGGCAGGCTCTAGCAGGCCTCCCCTGGCACACCACACCCATGCCCGCCACACCTCTTCCCTTTCCTGTTCCTTGTTGCTTTTTCCTGCCTGTCCCTGTCCCTGTCCCTGTAGCTGTCGCATCTCGACAGTTGACACACACCCAGCAATACCAATGAGAGGGCGTCCCAGCACACAAATGTTCCGAATATTCCTCCTCAACCCACACGCTAGCCAGGGACCCCGGCTGAGGGCGCATCGTCCGTGACTTGCTTCTGAACCGGGAAAAAGAGGTACTACCCACCCATACCTAATCATCGAGTCCACTGTATAGAGTCCCCCGTAGTACTCGGTACTAGTGTCCAGCTTTTGTTCGGGCCGCCATGCAGCCCGGTGCAGCAAATCATCATCGACTTGGACCTTTCGTTTTTCTGGTGAGGCTACCATGGCCAGCACGGCGCTTGAACACCTATAGAGTGCAGAGTGCAGAGTGAGTGCAGAGTGAGTGTAGAGTGTAGTGTACCTCTGCATAGGTGTTCAAGTGCCGTGCTCAGTGTGCAGTCTCCGGGGCCAAGGGCGACTAGGATAGTGCCCACTGCCCAGTCCGTGGTGCATGTGTAGTTGTAGTACCGATATTGTCGCCCAACTCGTAGGGCAGCCAATTGCCAATTGCCATTGCGCCCAACTTGAAGGGGGCAAGCAATGCGGCGGTGGCGGTGTGTCCGGAGTACTGGGACTGGGTAGTGACTCGCAGCCATGATTGTCCTACTGCAGTCACCGATTCACCTCACACTCACTCATGGCGGTCAACATGCTAGTAGTGCACGGTGTACGGTGTGCGGTGTAGTCAGCTCAGCTAGGCAAGGGTCCTCATCCTCATCTCATCCTCGTTTCACCCTCGTTCCATCTTCCGCCCTCGATCCGACGGGGACAGGACGGAACAGGACGGAGTCCGGAGTACATACATACGTACGTACATAGCTGGCTGAGACTCCCAACAACCCGGAACAGGAACTGAACTGGAACAGGAACAGGCCCTGGAACTGCGCCGTGCCCAAGGGCCGTGCAGTGCGACGTTCGCCAGCTGTGGCTTGACCTTGACCTCGACCTCAACCTCACCTCGTGGTATTGTGTCATTTCGTCCCATGATCCCTGTGACGTGAAGGCTCGGCCCACCCACCACCGCACAGCACACGGCGCACAGTGCAGTGGGCACTCACTACCTCAGGTAGGTAATTACTACCTACCTAGGTAGGTATCTAGTCCGTACATACTCTGTACTAACTGTCCTTCGTACTGCTCCTATCCCCCTCCACCCCCCAAATTCACTGCCGAAGCGCCCCTTAGCCTCCCCATGGTTCCCTAGTCGCAAAGTCAATCATACATGATGCATGATGCATGATCCCTTAGGTGCCCCCAAGTCCCAAGTCCCAAGTGCCAAACCAAAAACCAGCTGCACCAAAAGCACCCGGGCAAGGATGACGGATGACGGATGACGATGACGGATCTGACATCAAGCAGCGCCAGCGCCATGCCATGTGTGATGTGCCATGTGCCATGTGGCTTCTGCTGATTGCCAACCTCCGACATGCAACCTCCAACCTCCAACCTCCAACCTCTAACCTCTAACCTCCAACTTCTAACCTGCTTACTCCGTAGTGATACTCCGTCATGGATTCCTGCCTTCAACCTTGCAAGTCACTCTTGTTAGTCTTGTAATCGATCAAGTCATTCTTTGTTTACCGAGTAGTCTGCAATCACCAATCGTCAATCATATAATTACCCGACTCCGGTGGCGCTGCGCTAGGATTGTGACATGGCCGGAGCAAGGCCCTAAACCTCAATCTGGCCGTCGTCCAGTGTCTCTTTTCTTGCAGCTTTCCTCAGCCTCCGGAGTTCAGTAGTCGCCCACGAACCAGGCCATCCAGATTCCGTATCCGTATCTCATGAGCTCGTTCTGAAGGAACAGGGCAGCCGGCAGTGGGCAGTGGGCAGTGGGCAGTGGGCAATTAGCAGTCGGCACGCCTCGCGGCCTCGGCCGATGCTGAGATTCGGGTCCCCCAAGCGAGTGTGCGTGTGTTTGTTTCCATCCCACAACTCACGTCCGGAGTACCGAGTACGGATCCTATCTATCTAATTACTCCCAATCTAGTAGTAGGTACGGAGTACTCGGTACGGAGCAGATACACCTACCGAGTACTCCGTACTCCGTACCATCGACACGACTGATCGATCCACACTTTGCTTGCTTCTTCCACATACTCCGTACGGCGTACACAGCTTGCAGGATGTCGCGCAGAGACCCGACTAACGTGCTCCGTACATCTTCCCACCCACCAAGTCTCCACCGTTTCGCTACCAAGTGCTGTTTCTGGTCCGTCTCAAACTTTCCCACCTGTGTAGCGTGGACTACGGCTTCCGTCCCCCATTTCTGTCTTTTCTTTCCCTCCTCCAGCCCGACAGTGACGTGATTCGTCGCCCGCCGCGCTGCTACGGCTCTTGTAGTCGCGGCTAATTGGACCTTGACGACATGCCACCTCGCGTCGCCGCCGGTATGCGTTGGCCAACACTGTGCTGTCGCTCTCAAATGTACAGTGGCTTGCATGTTGGATATGTAAACAAAAGACAAAAGAAATATCAATTTGTGCTGCACGTGTGCTCGTCCTCAGGACAAAGTTACACTCGCCAGTGATGTTGTGTCTTCCTGTAACCCGGCTGTAGTCGTGTGTTTTTCACTAGCCTGTCCATTCTGACGCTGCGGAAAGGCCGTCTTGTTGATTCCACCATGAATGATCGCAACACCGCAGTTGGAAGAATAATCGTAACTTGTATTAATCGAAAAAAATGTGAAGTAGGCCCCGGGGTATCTTGAAGGTGCAACAAACTTGTCATAATAAGCAACAACTCGGTAGTAGTCCCAAAAAAAGCATTCAACCCCTTAATCAACGCCCAATCGGTGCAAACGAGGCTCTTAGACTGTAAACACTGGTGACGACATTGAAGCACCCCATGCCGATTTGGGTCATTCGTCGTCGCGTTCCATTTCTTCGGAAGCAAAGGAACGCTGGGTTTGAGGTTGCCCTCCTGTCGTCTCTCTAGGATTAATCATCTCGGAATAAAGGAAAAGTGGGGTTGTGTAATATCTGGTTTCTGTCCGTGCGCTTCTGGGTCCCTTCTCTGCTATGACCGGCCAGAGTTCCATGATCGGTCGAAAGGATCTCGTCGGAAAGGATCGTAAGATTGTGCTTGCGTCATTGACGAAGGAGCGGGAGGCCCTGTAGGCATGGACCTAGGTGTCCCGTAGGAGCTTGGTCCGCCAGGCGGAGGTGGTGGAGGGAGAGAAGGTTCCATCGGGAAGCCTACCCCCGAAGAAGACGTAGAGGGTGACTCGGTCTGTCGCCCAAGGAAGGTGGGTTGATAGTCGCCGGTACGACGCCGTTGAGCGGTCGAGCCTGATTCAGGCGAGAGACGATACGATTCCTCCATGTTTAGTGCATTTGCCGCGCCGGGAGCTCCTCCTGCTGTCGACGTTGCTGCCCCGAGTCTTCGCAGTCGGGGAGAAGCAGGTCGTTGTAAGAGCGGCGGGGAAACGTGTAGACTGGCAAGCCCGCGAAAATAGTTTCGTTCCGAGAGATAAAAGTCTCGTTCTTCTGCCAACGCCCGAAGTTCTTGCTGTAACCCGGCAATGGTCTGGGAGGCTTCCTTCTCCTTCTCCTTTCTCCGTGCTCGAAACCGGGCCGATGCCCCTGCGTTGCGTTTTCTCTTTTCATCGGCAACTTTGGACGCTTGCTGCAAATCCAACTGCACAGGCACCACCATCGGGCCTTGATCAGTGTCCAGCGTCATCTGATAGGATGTCGAGCCGGACTGATAGCCCTCGTGAGGCCCGTGAGCCTGGTATCCGCTCGTCGCCCCGGCGGATAAGACTCGAAGCCCAGGCGGGGGCTGGGAGGGCGCTCGTCCAGGGCCGCCGTAGCGATAGACAGGCGACCTCTGCTCCGTCGGGCCATAGGATGCCTGCGAGGTAGCAGATAAATCAGGCTCCATCCCCCGAGCCGGACTTTGGAGCACCTGTGCGGAAGGACCTTGGCCGGCAGGCTCCAATGATGCAAGACTAGGCAAAGTTGGACCGGTCGCCATAGTCAACGGGGGTAGAGGAGGGATCTCCGAAGATCTGTACGGCCCAGGTTCTGCTACGTATATCCGTCCGCCGGGTCCTACCATAGGCTGCAAGGGCTGCATCGCAGATGGGAAGGTCGGGTTCCTTCTGGGACCCAAGCCTGTAGTACGGATTGCTGGTGACCTCGGCGTCAGCACACGTCGTCCCACCCGTACCGACACTGGCTGGCCCTCCTCTCCCGTAGGTGATCTTGGATCTGTACGCTTTCGGCTTCGTGGAGGGTCACTGGGCCCGGTGATCTGACTTGGTGTAGCGCTCGCTCCTAGCGGATTTGTCGACCTTGCATGCGAGGGCTCCCTCAACTCCGATTCAGTCGGGGGATTTAACATGCCATGCACCCCAAGCGGTCGCAACGGCGTTGGGGCAGGAGACTCAGCCGAGGGGCGACGAGACCTCGATCCTGTGCTAGCATCTCCCACAGGCCTCACTGATGAGACGTACCCGCCATACAGACCATGCGCTTCCGTCCTGGCAGCACCTGGCGCACTTGTCCTCGACGTTTCCGCGCTCGCGGCAGAGATGGGAGCCGAGGGATTGTGTTTTCCTGCAGAGGCAGGCGACGCGATCGCTGGACGGTCTTCTGTATGCGAGGATTGTGACATGTACCTGAAAGCCTCCTCGCGCGGCTGGGGCCCCAGTCGCGACCATGGATGTTCCTCCTGCGGCGCCTCTCCGCTTCTCCTCCTCCACCGAGATCCAGGACCTGCGAGAGTCTGCTGGCTTGTTTGGCTGGGACGATGTTCCCAACGACGATCGAAATATCTCGAATCTGGAGGTAACCTGGGGAACTGTGGTAGAGGAGAGATGTTGACCCCGAGAGTAGCCAGGGTGACGCAAGTCTTTGGTATACTGAACCAGGTCAGAGAAAACTCTCGATACAGCCCTGTGTATGAAGCCTGGCTTACAAGAGTACTTCTAAAAGTCCTCCAGGTAGTCAGACGAGGGGTACAGGTAGGGACAAAAACCCGGCTCGAAAATTGCGCATTCCAAGTTCAAAATCATTTGCGCAAGCGTCTTCAAGGCTTGCGAGGATCTCCAGCTAATTCGCAGTTGGCACCGAGGAGGCGGCAAATGAGAGTCATCAGATGGAAACCCTAGTCCTGAGAGGTCCGTTCGAGTGGCCGAAATGAAGCCAGGCAGACAGATTGGTGATGGGCAAAGCAAAGGGGAACAATTTAGTTTCGGCCGGCTAATCTGAGGTCAGCTCGTAATATCTCATGTTGGAACAACGAAGTTGGACAGTAAGCAGAAGTGTACCTCGAAATGACGACCGGCCACGATTCTTGGGACGGGGAAGCGGGAAAGCATTGTTGACTGGGTTCGAAGGAGAAATACTTCCAGGCTTCTAGCGCTCTTTTTTTTGGAATGCCTGCCAGCTTCGTCACGATCTAAACGTCGGCTTAGCCAGGGGCGGTTTGGCACAACGCTGGCTGTGCCAGGCAGGCAGGCAGGCGGCATCCAAGACCAAAGCATACATCCATCCGTCGGTGACCCAGGACCCGGAGAAGGGGAGTGGGTCGCACCGTTCTGCGGCGGTAGGCAAACGGCCATGCGATAGTCAGTGGTGAAAGAAAAAGCTCCCAAAGCTACCAGTGATGAGATTTGAGAGGTCCCAGGAAGGCCCGCCTCAGCAAAACTGGTTCGACATCACTGGAGCATGGCTTTGTCAAGCGCGTGATGGCCCTAGTAGGCGGGATGATGGCAGCGCTGGGCAGCAACGTGATAGCGCGACCCAAGTCGACATGGTAATGATGTGGCGCTACGACGGCCTGGGGGGGTGGGAACAAGTCCACCAGCCGTGGGGCTAAATACCCAGGCATTTGGCTGTGCAGGGAGTGGATTGTCCTCAGGTCCTCCAGCCAGGGGCAGCAGCTGCCGTGGGTCTCGTATGGCCTTAGAAGCATGGGTCGGGACCCAACGGTGCGAAACTCCCATGGGTTTGAAAAGGATGGGCGTGAACTTATGGAGAGTGGCTTGCAACTTGAGAGTGGTGGCGCCTTAGTTCGGCTCCTCTACCTCTTTTCTGGTGTTCACCGGCACGGGTAGGCAAGGTGGCGTTTTTTGACAGGAGACCAGGGGTCAAAAATCCGCTTCCCATGCACCATGTCAGGCATGGAGGCTAAGCAAGCAGATGCATTAGTTTCGCTTTTGCTCCTTAGCTAGCTTGACCCGACGTCGGCTTTGCAAGGTGCTGCTCCCCGTGACAGATTGACTCCAGCGAGAAATCTGGCGGGCTATTTCGTCCCCAGAAGTCGTTTCTCAAGGTTGGAAAATGCCCTAATTGTGCCTTCTCTCCTGCTCTGATTGGTCCCGGCTCTGCTGTCATCTCGCCTGGGATCAGGCATCAGAGTCATTTCCCTCGTCCACTGCGAGCGAAGCTGACTGCTTTAGGACGTAATAGTATCCATCCCACTTTGTGTCTACTCTGAGTAGTAAATGGATCACTGGGATTCAGATCATGGTGGACGCAAGAACTCGCATATTCTATGCTGCAAAAAGGTGGCCAGTCTGGAATTCAATCGTTTTGAGGTTTCAATTCCCCTGGAAGAGCGTAGCACAGGCCCAGTTGGAATTCCTGGCTGCCCGATCAACCTCTTTCGGTCTTCGTTACCGCGTTGTACATACCTATTTGGTGAAGGTGAACCAATTGTTCTCGGGGACAATTTCACTAAAGAAGCGCGCTTGGTCATAAAGCTTGGGCCTTTTCGGGGAGCATAAGTGTTGGGGCTCTTTGTCTCCGTTTCCATGTAATTATATTGGTCAAAATCAACCTCCAGATACGACTGAAAAGGCCGGTCGAAGAATGCTGGTGACGTGATTTAACTAGCTTGCACGCGAAGCCAAAGATAGGCATTCAGGCTTCGTCAGTGGCGGGAAGAGTGGCAGTACTCTGTACTATCGGTTCGAACCAGTGACAGGCGCGACTCCCGGCGCAAAGGCCCGCCTTGGACGATCACGTCGATCATATTCCTTCCATGACTGGGAGCCTCAAAGTAAGAAGTCGACAGCTGAAGAGACATTGCCAAACTTTAGGGTCTTCAAGACTCGGCAAGCTTGCATCTATATGCATCGGAGAGTTATGCGGCATCCTGGAGACTTTGCTTTCCTGCCACAGCCTCGTATGCATTGGTCGGTGTTGACAACAGGGCCTCCGTACTATACTCCGTTTGGTGCCCTAGTTCGACACACTGAATAGGGCTGAAAACGGAGTACAATGTTCCGGCGAGCGAAGAAATAGGAACTGATTCGATTCAGCCTGGTAGTCGTTATATTTGCGTCACCGCAGAACGCCCTGTCCAGGGGGGGGCGGTTGGCCATGGTTACACAGCCATAGTCACATTTCTGATGCAAATCTCCCCTGATCGAATGCCAACGGGGCCGACCTTTGTAAGTGTTGAGGACTAACCTGGTTAGCGTTCGGGTCCGGTCAAGCTCCGCTGGTATTGACCCTGGCATTGCAATGATAATATGTGGGTGACTTCGGGCGACTTCCGGGGGGATTTTCATGAAAGAGATCTCACATGATCGAGCCAATAACATGCCTCCAGAAAACAGGGCTGCCAGTGCGGTGACAATACGGGCTAGTTCTGAGCAAGTGAGGTCAGTAGCGCTGATACACACAGCCGGGTTGTTGGCTTCTCTGCAACGAGTTGTGATTAGACAGCTGCGCCCTTGTTGCTGCAACCTTTTGGGGGTTCCACGCAGCAGCTCCCAAAACGGTCAAATCCTCCGAGTGGGTGCCCTTCGTAGCACTGTCCGCGGAGAACGAACTGGTGGTGTCTCGTTCCAAAGGGAAGTGACATTGTTGGAGCATTTTTCACAGCTTGGCAGAGACAAGTATGCCAACCCCTTCACAACTCCCGTGGACAAGGTCGATTCACCGCTTCGTCCGAGTTGTGCTTGAGAAGGATGGCTTTTCTAGGTTGCATGAACCTTTCGGAGGTGTGATAAGGGAAATCGGGTGCCGAATGGTCGGATTGGAAGATCGATTGTTATTGGCGCTGCCCGTAAAAGCTGTATCCGTACCTCCACGCTGCACGCCGGTACGGAGTAGTGTAGTTGTGTTCTAGCTAGCTGCTCTTTGACGTCGCGCGGGAGGGCTTAGGGCCTCCGCGGTCGCCGGTGCAGTTCTCTGGGGTCAGCTTTAGCGATGAGGTCCCCTTGCTCTCCACCTTAACGGACTAATATTAGTGTGCGTCAAAAAGTGGCCGATTTGCTGTACCTACAACTCTGTTCTTTTGCCATGCTAGCAGGTGATGTTTTTTGGAGTGCTGCTGTATCTGTCCTCAGGCAGCAGGAATTTGATCAGGGCCTCTACTGGCTGCGTTGCTGGCTTTCGAGAAGGGTGGGTTCTCTGATGACAGAATCCACTCAACGGTTTCGACGTGTCAATCAACAGGCCCGAAAGCGGATGGAGCGAGTGGCGTCAGGCTGTACGGAGTACTTCGTTAGTTGAGATAATAGTACTCCGTCTCTCGACCGAGACGCTGATTTAAAGCTGAGTCGGTCAGCCTTTCCAGGCCGCGCACGTAAGTCACAGATCCCTACCAACAAGGAGTTGGCTAGGGTCCAACAAAAGAGATTTTACCTTGGACGTCACACAGACGTAATTCCCACTACCACTATCACCGTCGGTCGCCGTCGGGGGTGATGACGAAGCGGGAGACTAGATTTCGTGGGAGTGACTCGCTTGGTAAATGAGGTTGCAGCGCAGGACACAAAGTCGAACCACAAGCCGGCCTTAGTAGAAGCGGTAGTGGTGGGAGGTTGACATCTGCAGTTGGACCCCTGCATACCTGTAGACTAGGTAGGTGCTGTATCTGCATACGCAGGATGCCTGCGGTGGCCAGGAAGAGGGGTTGTCAGCCACGTGGGAATTAATTTGTTCATGCGAGGTCATCACAGGCAGGCTCCTTCGTCCCGTCCTGCGCCTGTGCCTGCGGCTGCGGTAACGTCCGGTTCAGTGAGGGTGGCCATTATTACAGATCTGCCACTCTCACTTCCAGTTAACACTACTGGCAACCTACTGTTGTACAGCGTGGCAAGAATGCCATGGAGAATACTCCGAACTCCATACACCAGCTGATTTTGGTTTCGACAGCCAGGTGGGATCTAGGGATAGGGAGTACGGAGTAGCCCTCCACAGTTCCAAAGCGAGGTGAGGTGAGGGGGAGGTTCTAAGTACTCCGTACTCTGCAAAGACAGGTTCCCCTAATCTCAAGGATGTGAAGCTCTCACTGACAATGCTGCTCAGAGATACGAAGACTCAGCCCACCTCTATGCTCGCAAACTGCAGAACACAAGTGTCGTGTGGCCGACATGTGTCCGGAGTACATTTACGTTAATGTCCAAATGGCGGTTCCAAGAAATGGCTCGGGATTTTAGCGTCGCCTCTCAAGCCTTTGCGGCTTATCTCTGGCGTTCTTGTTACTCAGCTGATACTCGGACGGTTTGGAACTCCCTCATCGGTATCAGGAGCGAGACTCGACCTTCTTGTTTAGGGTCTAGATTAGAAACCACATCCCGAACATGAGCAGACACTACAAGCCTGCGAGGGGCCGTGAAGAAACGCCCAGTGTCGGACATGGGCGTACAGGAGGCGGTTCCGAGTACTGTCAAACGACACACTTGGAGCGTCTTGTCTCGTTGGGGAACAAGAACGTCAATCACCATGATAAGAAACTAAGAATGGCTTTGGATGATGCTAGCCACGCAATAATGCATGGCACCAATTTCGACAGACTCGCCGCCGGTTGTTCATCATGGACGGTTTGGGCGATCAACTATAACTCGCTTCGATGCAACGATTGACGTGCCTGGGACATCATTAAATCGTTACACAAGCCATTCAAGATATTGTCGGCCGAAGAATGAAACGAATGTCTCTCGCTTGATTTATCCAAAGATACCCGGGCCCTTTGATTTGAGACTATTTCTGACCAGGATGCCAGCAGCCTTGTGTAGACGCAACCAGCCCTGCAACTCGTCACTTAATGACAACCCCTGCAAGGCCAGAAGCGGACAGAAGCGGAGAATTCACTCGACATGGGTCAATCAACCACTTCCTGGTCTTGCCTAAATTACTTCGTACTCGGAGTACGGAGTACATCCATCGTCCTCTGGCTCGAGGCGACTCCCGACATAACAATGCTTCAAATCTCCAAACTGGTCTCTGGCGGCTAATTTCCTCCCATGCCCACACCTTCTCGTTATTCTTGGCTTCTAGAAAATGCAAGGCCCTTCTATTGCAAGCGAGCGCGGTATTTCGGCATACCTTTGACACCGACATCCACTCTGAACAAATTTCCAGCAAATTTGGCTGATCCAGGATATTTTTCAGGCTCTGGCTCCTTTGCACTCGTGATAAACAACTCGGTCCCGGCAAAAGTCGGGCAGGTGATGTTGCGTGTCGGTAGGTGGATTATTCCCGTCACAACTCCTTGAGGAGATATGCGAATCACCTTGGAGCCACCGTAACAGGCGTGCCAAATATTGCCCTCGACATCCATGGCGTGACCATCAGGGTGGATTCCTTCGTCGTCCAGATGGAAGAAGACTCTCTTGTTGGATATATCCCCTGTCTTGGGGTCATAGTCGAATTCGTACACGTTTTGAGGGGGGGAATCGGTGAGATACATCTTGCTATCGTTTGCATTCCAGGTGATGCCATTCGGGATGGTCATATTCTCGTACATGGTGCGCAGAGTCCCGTCATGGTCGAGTCGGAACAGGACGCCTTCCTCTGTGGGCTCAGTTATCTCAGGATCGACGAACGCTTCAACCCAGAACCGCCCTTGGGTGTCGACTGCGCCATCATTCGATCTCATTCTATCGAGGGACGTGAGTCAATAGCACAACACAAAGGAGGCATGTGAATCTCAAGCATCTCACCTTCTAGTCTTATCCTCAGCACCGGGCCCACTCCAGTATTTGGCGACGTATTCATGTTCTCCAGTTTTCAAGTTAAACTTGGTCACTCCGTCCTTTGCTCCCGTCAGGATGACTTCGGAAGAGTCGACACCGTCAATGTTAGCCGTGACCCCAACGGGCATCTTAGTGTCGATTATTTGGACTGAATCAGGACCTTTGGCCAGGTCAATGATGAAGAGTTTCTTGTTGTTGATATCCTGGAGATGGTGAGCATGGCGGCACCGAGAACATGGCTTTGGAATGTCCCAACCATGTATCGAAGCTCATGTCGCTCTGGGCTGTAATACGGGCCTTCACCCAGACTACATTTGGAGGCATAATACGCCTAGACGCGTTCAGTACTGGCCCAAGTGACACTCTGATGAATCGCTGACCTCTTCAACTGTCCATTCTTGCACACCCATGGTGTTTCAGCACGCAACCGGGTCCTTCTGTCCAATTTGATATTCCTGGAGTGGTGGTGTTGATCTCCTCGAAGCACAGCATGCGAGACGCGAGAGATATAGGGATGTGACGGTTGAGCTCGCTCCGGCTGAGCTCGCTCCAGTTGAGTTCGAAGTCGAAGATAAGTACAGATACAATGTCTGCCAAGACCGTGTTGTGGTTGTCATGATCCGTCATGCTCTATGGAGAACTTCAACTCTACCACTCCCACTATTACGGAACATGCTGCATCGGGCTCCTACAATTTCAATGTTCCCTGCGCCAGCTGCCTCTAAAAAGATTGGAGTATGCAGTAGGCTGACCACTCCTGACACCAAGACAATAAGACAATGATCAATCAACCGAAGATGAACCGGTCAGCTCCAGAAATCGGAAACAAAGCCATGGCAGACTGTCTACACCAGCATGGAATTGGTCGCATTGCCAGTGTTTGCATAACATTAAGCTAGGCTCGGGTTATGGGCGTGGGCGTGGGCGTGGGCGTGCTTGAAGAGTCAAAGGAATCTTCAAGTCGTACACATCTACCTATTTCCTGATACCTGGATTTTACTTGAGCTGGCCGGATGTCTTATGTCTTTCATGCCGAATATCCCATGTGCAATCGCCCAGATGTCGAGTTGTGTCGAGAACCTTAGATCTTGTAGACAGCACGCCGCGCAGTCCTCCCTCGGGCGAGTTCTGTTGGGTCTGCAGAAAGGGTCGATGTGCTCCTGGCAAAACATGACACCTGCAGCCAGCTCGTCCATAACGCAACTGGCACTGGTACTGTGCCCACTCCAAGCGAGCTCAAAGGCTGCTCTGGCCATTTGGAGATATAGGACTACTCGCACCTTCACAGTAGGTGGTTGAGCGAGCCTTTGGATGCACGAAACCAGCGCCCCCGTCCTGACGCTGTTGTCCTCACTGTTTCGATCCTGGTCGGAGTCTAGAAGGGTAATCATGGACTGCGCACGGTTATACTCGAATTGGGGGCGCCAGAAAACTCTTGATAGCTTGTGTTGCGTTCCCATCATGCGACCGTAGGAGTTCCGTCGCTTTGGCCTTGGACAGATCAAGTTCCTCAACCTACAGCATATCAATACTTGTCATTCCGAGTCACGCTGATGGTCATATCGATCATCCACATACCAGAAACGTAAGATCTTCCGCAGCAATCTTGATCTTCTTCTTCACCTCGACGTCTTTCTTCGTCTCGGCCTTCTTTGTGTCGTCCTTCTTCTTTCCCAGACCGCTTGCAATTTCGAGTCTTGACATGGCTTTGCCCAGCGCCTCTTGGTCAGCCGCAGAAGGTTGCTTCGTCGCCGCCTCTCCATTTTCTTGTGACATGTCATTTGCGTTCAAGGAATTGAGGGCCGCGGCGGCCTTGCGGTCTTCGGCATTGTTGGGCAGGTTCTGGGATGTTTCATCGTCGGCAGCGTCTGCGGCGGCGGAAGCCGCTGGTATCGGTTCGGCCATCTTGGTGATGCTTGTCTGATTCTGGGGTTCGTGGGGGGTGGAGCGGAAAGGAGGAGAGAGAGACTCTCAGATATAGTAAAGTACTCGAAAGATCGATGGATGATGGACAATGGACAGTGAGTGCAGTGCATTGACGGCTACTCTTCCCAAAAGAGATTGGCGTCATATCGGGCAACACCACATTAAAACTTTCCTCCTTGACAGTCACCATATACAACGACCACTCAAACCGCAGGACGAACACAAGGTCCAGTGTCTCAGAGAGTAAAGTATACATTTCAGAGCATTCTTCAAGGCGCCTTGCACATCTACCAGTGCACCATCTCTTAATTGAAGGGCACGGGCACGCTGCAACGACCCACGAATACACTTAACACGGTATACCTATTTGTCTGGACTGGAGAAGAGGGGCCAACTATTGACTCAATAACACAAGAGACAAGGACTGCAGTCTTCATTCCCCGGGCAAGCCATTGCCATTCGTCATCATGGCTCCAGATGGCCCCTCCAGCGCATGGAGCCCTTCTAGCTGGAGGAGCAAACCCATCGTGCAATCCGTGACCTACAGCGACCAAGGCGCGTTCAAGCAAGCGACCGACAAACTCAACACGCTCCCGCCGCTGGTGACGGCGCGAGAAATCGTCAAACTCAAGAAGGAACTGCGCGAAGTCGCTCTGGGCAATGCCTTTCTGCTTCAAGGTGGTGACTGCGCCGAACTGTTCGACTACTGCAATCAAGACATGATCGAGGCCAAAGTCAAGCTGCTGTTGCAGATGTCACTGGTACTGATCTACGGCGCGAAGAAGAAGGTGGTCCGCGTGGCGCGCATGGCGGGCCAATACGCCAAACCGCGCTCCTCGCCCATGGAGACGATCAACGGCGTGACCATGGCCAGCTTCCGGGGCGACATTTTGAACAGCTACGAGCCCGAGCCCGCGGCGCGAGAGCCCGACCCCAAGAGGCTGGTGGACGCGTATTTCCATTCGGCCGCGACGCAGAACTACCTCCGGGCCGCCTTGTCTTCGGGACTGGCCGACCTGCACACGCCCTTGGATTGGAGTCTGGGCCACGTCCGCGATCCGACGGTGCGGGATCAGTACCAAGTGATTGTCGAGCGCATCACCGACACGTTGGATATGATGCGCACGATTGGCCTCGACACCGGTGGCGGCCTGGAGACGGTCGACCTGTTCACGTCGCACGAGGGACTGCTGCTCGACTACGAACAGTCGCTGACCCGACTGTTCAGACACCCTTCCAACACCCCTGCCCCGACTCTAGCATCACACGCACACTCGCACGCACACGCACACGCACACGGCCAGACCAAGGCCCGCAAAACGTCGCTTCCTACACAGCTGCCGCCGCCTCCTCCTCCGACGCACGGCTACTACGACACGTCGGCGCACTTTATCTGGATCGGCGACCGCACACGACAACTGACGCACTCGCACGTCGACTTCTTCCGAGGCATCGAGAACCCGATCGGCGTCAAGGTCGGGCCGAGCATGCCTGCGTCGGATCTAGTGCCGCTGCTGAACATTCTCAACCCGGGCCTGGAAATCGGCAAGATCGTGCTGATTACGCGCTACGGCCACGACAAGATCGGCACTCATTTGCCCGCCCACATCCGAGCCGTTCAGGCCTCGCCGCACCGCGACACCGTGGTCTGGCAGTGCGATCCGATGCACGGCAACGGCCGCAATGCCACCGTCACACTGCCGAGTGGGGGTGGGGAGGGGGATGGGGGTGGGAACGTGGACGGGGACGGGGACGGGGACAGCACGTCCAAGAGCCCAAAAACTACTACTACCATCAAAACCCGTCGCTTCAGCGACATCCTGTCGGAACTGCGCCAGGCTCTACAAATCCATCGCTCCATGAACAGCTACTTGGGCGGCGTGCATCTCGAACTCACCGGCGAGGCCGTGACCGAGTGTGTGGGCGGTGCTGAGGGGTTGACCGAGGAAGATCTCAGCCTGAATTACACCACGTTTTGCGACCCGCGCCTGAATGAGAAGCAGGCCCTGGAGCTGGCTTTTTTGGTTGCCGGCTTCTACAGAGAAGACCGGCCTAAAAAGTGAACTGAATGAAGTGGATTGAAGTGGATTGTATTAAACTGATCTGATCTGAATTGAACTGAGTGAACTGATCTGATCTGATCTAAACTGAACTGAATTGAAGAACTGAATTGAACTGAACTGGATCAGATAGAACTGAACTAAACTAAAATAAACCAACATGTCCGAATCGGACTGAATGAACTGAATAGAACTGAACTGATCTGATTGAACTAATCTGATCTAAAGTAGGCTGAATTGACTAAACTGTACTAGATTGAACTAAACTGATCTAATATGAACTGAACTAAACTGATCTGATCTGATCTGGATTAATCTGGATAAACGAACTAAACTGAATTGAACCAAGATATCCGAACCTGACTGAATGATCTGAATGATCTGAATGACCTGAATTGAGCTGATCTGAACTGAATTAAACTGAATGATCTGATCTGATCTGACCCCATCCGACCAGTTGATCATGTGAGCTATCGGATGTGTGCTATAGAAGGAAAAAGGAAAAGGAAAAAACAAGAGTGAACGTGGACTATGCGGGATACACTACACGATTAGAGATCTGGCCATCATCTAATTCACTTCACTTCACTTGAATTCGATCCATTTCATTTCAAACCAGACACTCTGGACGCCGACATTGAGCCCTTCCTTTACCATTGACCATTGACCATTGACCGTTTCCATCCCTCCATCTCCCATCTCCCATCTCCCATCGTCACCATTGTCATTATAGAAAACAAAAAAAAAACAAAACAAAAAGAAGGTCACCTTTCTGTATGAACAAACACGAAAAGCCTGAATGAGAACCAGCGGAAACTCTACACAGAACACGTCACTCCTTCCTCAATGGACTCCCCACCACTGGCTTGAACCTCGATCCCAATCCCAGATTCAAATTCGCCCCCAGAGTCTTCCGTCTGCCATTCACCGCCGGCCCCTTGTTGCTGTTCTTCTTGCTCATCTTGACCTGGAACTTTCTCCCCCTCCCGCTCCCGGCACCATCTTCATCGTCATCGTCACCATCGCCGTCGTGATCAAAAATCCCCTTGTTGACCTGTTTCGGCGGCGCGCTCATCTGAACCGCTTCCTTGCCCTTGCCCTTGGCCAAAAGGTACGGAGTCAACGGTGTAGCTGCCGTACGCGGATCGTAATCCACAGTCAACGAGGTCGACTGGGGAGTCGAAGTAGACATGCGCCTATTCTTGGAGAATCCCAAAGATCGGGGTGTCTTGCTGATCATAGTTGAATCCTCTTCCGGTCCTTCATGGACGGCTGACACGAGGAGACCGACATTCGCAGTCTCACCACCTTCACCCACTGTTGCCGCTGTGGGGGAATCGTAGTCAAACGTGGAATTAAAGGTGGTCTCGGTATCCTCTTTGTCTTCGACGTCGACTTCAACTTGGCTGTCATCGACTTCTTCACACTCGCTCTGGGCCGGCTCTTGCTCCTCCATGCCTCGCACAGGCGTATTGATCAGATCCAACTTCATTGCATCCGTCAAGCCCCCATGGTCGGCCCACGTGAATCGTCGGTTCTCTTTGGTGGCCGAAAGCAATCCATTCTCGTTGACCAGCATTCTCGGTTCCATGGATTTGCGCCTCCTCGAACCTCCACGAGGCAAGATGCTCGAGTCAACCGTGTAGGCTGATTCATCAAGCCATCTGCCTTCGCGGTAGCAATCCAGAACCCAGCCAACGCCGACGCAGAGAACCTGGCCTTTGGCCGAACGGACCTTTTCCAACGTTCGCTTGCCTCCATCTTTGTACACAACATGTGTGATCCCGACCCCGACATTTGGTGTCTCTGCCGATGCACCTTCATTCGCTACCCGGCTTCTAGGATTCCATCTCCACTCCTTGACGCAGCGAGCACCCATAGCCGTTAGCAATTCAACGAAGACACCCGACGCATCCATCCCTTCGGTAGTGTGGATGTCGTAGTGCACTGTGGCACCGTGCAGGATCCCTTGGCCCATCGGTTTCAAAGGTGTCCGATTTGCCTGGGGAGTCTTTGCTGCGCTCTTGCTCTTGAGCAATGTGGTCGGTGTCTTTGCTTTGGAAATGGTCGGAGGGCCGTTGGCTGCCAATGGAGTCATCCTCGATGGCGTGGGGTTCGTCATCGAGTTCCTGCGGCTGTTGCTGGATTTGGTGCTCATTGCGTAATGAGGTGTGCCAGTCTGGTTGGACCGGACAGAAGATGGAGGAAGGCTATATCTCTGTGACGGCACGGTTGGTGTCTTGAACATGGCAGATCCAATCGTTATGAGGGTGTCGTCTTGCGCCCCTCTTCCCTCTTGTTCTGCAGCGTAGCTTGTCTCGAGTTCATCGGAGGTCAGCTCATCACTAGGGAGCTCAATTCCGTCCAACGTACTATCTCCAAAGTCGTCAATCGCAAAGCTCGTCTGGCCGGGTGTAGACAAGTGGCTGGCAAGCGAATGAGCTGGACTCGGCGCCGCACTGCGAATTCTCCTCTGAGGCGACGAGGCGACCTCCGCACTCGGTCTGGGGGTACCGAGGTGACTAGGTGTGGATGCGACATCGCCAGACTGCGCTCCAAGACTACGTCTCTTGCCGGTAAATGAGATGGCTGACAGCGAGTTGGACGAGGATAGTGATCTTGGCCTCTTTCTCTGAGCCTTGAGCGGTGACAGCACGGATGGTATCAGACCTTCAGGACGGAGTGGGACTTTGGATACGGTGTGGACGTATCGTGGAAGGCTGGGATCAGGTCGAACAGGCGTCACATTGAAATCCATTTCCTCAAAGGTGGCTCCCCTCGCTGATGAAGATGCATCCGCTTCAGTAGTTGGAACAACAGTGTCACCCGGCTGTTCAACAACGTCCATAAACACAGCGTCCATCTCGGCGGCTGGTTGTTTGACCTCTGCCTCTGCATCGTGCTCAACAATGACCTTTCCAGCCGCGCCTTCGATGGGCGTCATATTCTCGTCACCATAACATTCCGAAGAGGTGGATAGCATCGATTGTTCTTCGTCCACGGTCTCAAGCACTGGCACAGACTCGGCTTCTCCGTTTACGATTCCATTCTGGCGTGGTTGCTCGTTAGCCTCGCCGTGAGCAGCAAGCTCAGCCTCGACAGCCAGGGCCTTGAAATCAACCATCGCAGTATCTGAAGCGTTTGTGAAATTGATCAGATCAGTGGTCAGTTCGCCAGGCTCTTGCTCAACCGGCTCTTGCTCTTCTTCGCTCCGATCGACCTCATGATCCTCAGCGTGGGGAGAAGTTGGAGGTGCTGAGTGGTCCTGCTGAAACAGCTCGTGGAGATCCGCATCATGTTCTCCGACAACATCATCACTGGGCACTTGGTTTTCGAAGTCCTTCGCCTCCATACTTTCGGCGAAGAATTCCGGTCCCACAGGACTTCCAATCACGGAAGGGACAAAAGACAATCTGCTCGCCAATGACTTGCGCTTCTGCCCATGTCGAACAGGTGTGGCATGTCTCACGACTTCAACCGAGCCTTCGACATGCATTCGAGCAAGTGGTGAGAAAAGAGCTTGCGAGGTGGGCTTCGAATCTTCCGAAGCAGTTCGGTTTGGCGGGCTGCCAGCCTGCCATCCACGCATTTGTGCCGTGAGAGGAGTAAAGCCGAGATTTCTCGTCGCACTCGAAGGCACAATGCCAGCAGACAGCCGAGAACGGATATTCGCACCAGTCAGACTGGGTCGGAAGCTCGGCCTGAGGAGCTTGTTGTCCGGCGTTTGATCTGCGGCAAGTTCATCTTCGGACTCATTGCCACTGTCTCTGATGCGGGTGAACAGCGTGTTCGAAAGCCGAGGTCTCTCAGCCCGGTCGATATTCGAAACCTCTACCTCTTCACCAGAATTGGGCGCAACAGCTGGGCTCGGCACTCCTTGAAGAGCGGCCATGGTGTCTTGCTCACTGTCACTCTCCTCACTAAGTGTGGGATCAATCATAGTTTCGTCGTCGTCAAGGCCAACTTCTATGCCATGACCCAAGTCGTCCGCAACTGGAGTCTCGTATGTGTGAGCAAAGCTGTCCTCTTCCTGTTCTTGATCATGGGTTTCTTCGTCATGGCCATGTACGATGGGGAGGTGCTTGGCTATCATGTCCGCCTTCAAAGGACTGCGAACATTGAGAACTGACTGATCAAAGTCAACATCCCCAGCACGCTCCTGGCTCAGTTCATCGTCGCTCAATCTGTAGACTCTCGCCAGCCGCTGGGGAGAGACCGAAGATCTGAAATGAGATGACATTACAAGGTCGACGTCTCCAGGGCTCTTGGATTGTCCATCAGATCCGAGTGTCATGTCCTTCATAGGAGATTTCTTCTTCGGCGAAGTCTGCTTCGAGGGTGAGAATAGACGCCGAGCTGGTGAAGATAGCAACGCAGTCTTCAAAGGTGAATTCTGTGACTTGACAGCAGATGGAGGAAATATGAGCTTGTCAGACAGACCTCGCTTGGGAGATTGGTGAAGGAGAGCTTGGTGGTTCGAAGGCAGCGAGGCCACCGACCCAGAACTGTTCGTGGGTTGAGTTTGGGTCCGGAAGATCGTGATCCCCTCAGGTGCTCGTCGCGGAGACTCCTTCAGCGAATCCTTAGTTGGCGAGGTAGGCATACGCCGAGGGGGACTCAGAATTCCTGCCGCCTGGGAGGTATTGGACTTTTCAGGGGATGTCGCATTCAGTACAGTGCCAAAATCAAGTTTCTTGACGGGCGAGTTGGAATGAGGCATAGAAGGAATGATGCCTCGCTTAGGGGAAAGGCTAAGATTGTGAACAGGAGTCTTTGCCCCGGCAAGTTCGTCCTCTTCGTCGTCCTCACTGTCCACTGGGAGAGCTTTTGCAACCTGTGTGATTTTCTTCGGGGTCAAAATCCGCGGTAGGACCTTGTCAGGCTCCTCCGGTTCTGCCTCACTGATGGACCGCAGGGAGGGCTTTGAGGAAGCGCCTCGAGTGGTTTTGGCCGATTTAGTGACTGCAGGGTTGCGAATAGGCTTCGCCCGCATGCCTTTACCTGCCGTGGCACTCTTCTTCGCGGCTCCAGCGGGTGCTGCTTTTCTGACTGTTCGTGACTTGGAGAGTTGTGTAGGATGATTGTTCTCCTTCTCGTCTTCATCAGACGGAAGATCTTGGAACGTCACCTTCTTTCGCGCAGGAACCACTAGGTGGACAGTTGGCTCGGCGGCGACAGAAGAGTTGGCCGACCCTGCTCTGGTTCGAGTCTGTCTGGCGGATGGGACGGCAGGCTTGGTCTCTGGTGGCGGGTTTGCACTCGAGGTTTCCTTTCTGGGTCTACCTCTTGTCTTTGCCCCCACGGTCGAGGTAGCAACAGCAGCCTCATCTTCCTTGACTGCCGTCTCTTTTCTTCCCCGTCCCCTACCAAGCTGCTTCGGTGCTGGCTCGGTCGTCTTCATAGCTGCGCGTTCTTCGGCTTTGTCTTCCAACTCGGCCGCCGCCGCATCTCTTTTGCTTCGCGTCGCAGTAGATTTCGATGTCGCCGTCTTCTCCCTCTTCGCCCTAGTCGAGGGTTTCTTTTCAGGTTTGAATACCGGTTCCGTGGGAGCAGCCGATTCGGTATTCACCTCAACCAGCGGCGTGACTCTGATCCGCCGTCTTGGGGCTGCAGCCAATGTAGATGTGGCACCCTTGACCGGTGCACTGGATGTAGTTCGTGTGGTCCTGGATACCTTGGTTGCCGGTTTTGCCACCGCGACGGCAATGTCATCATCATCTCCATTCTCGCCCACCAAGGACTCCAATGCTGCTGTAACATTGGTTACTTGGGGAGTGGACCTCGCTGCTCTTGTCGTTCTCGTTGGTTTTGACTCTGTCTTCGTGACTCGAGACTTGGCCTCAATTGCCTTCGTTCTGGTTGTTGCAGGCACGGCCGAAGCAGCCTTGCCTGTTAGTTGATTTGCCTTCGTCCTCGCGGTCACCTGTCTACCCCCAGCTGCCGACGCCTTACGTCTTGGAGGTTCTTCAACAGCCGCTGGGGTCTCAGGATCAGCCGCTCGGGCACGCGTAACGCGACGTGGTTTGGCCGGTTTGGCCGGACTGGCCGCTTTCCGGGGTGCCATATTGTCAGGAGCCGGAGGATGCAGAGGGTGTGAGCAAGGATGGCCGTGTGGATGAAACTAAGACTGGAGGTGGGCGGGTTTCGAGGGCTGAGGATGAAGCAGACGCGTCTGTTTGATTGTCGTTCGGGTCGTGTGTTATGTCGTCGCTGCCTGTCTTGTGGCGTGCATGTAAGGTCAGGATCTCCGACGTCGTAGCGTAACCGTTGTTAGGGTCTTTAGGACATCTCGTGGAGGGGGCGTTGGAGGTTGACGGAGGAGGGACACCGTCGTCGTAATACAACCTGCACCACGGAATTGGGGTAGAGCTGTAGTTAGTAGCCAGTCAACAAGGAGACTGACTGATGTAAGAGTTGCACGCGTGGAATGAAGAGCAAAGCAGAGTCCAGACAGGCAGCGGTGGAATCAAGTGATGTTCGAGTTGTTTATGTTGATGCTTCCCAAAGCAGTTAGGCCGCTATGGGGCTGGTCACGTGGGGGAGCCGGCACCGCCCACCGTTGGTTCTGGAGAAGACCTGGGGATGGGCTGACTGTCCCTACACAGGTATGTGTACAGAGTACGGAGTATCTAGGTGCGGATAAGGATATGGGTCAGCGACTCAATGACATTCCGTCCCTCTTGATCTGGTTGCAATGCAATCCAATTGTATTAAGTTTTCATTATCATATCTATAACCAGCGTCCCGTCCACAATCTAATGGCGTTGTTTTCCATATCCCAACTTTTGTTCATAATAATGCATATCACTCCACGTCCCATGTCGGACACTGGCCAGAGGCTCAGGCTCATCCTTAGCAGCTCAAGGTGTACAGAGGAGTGGTGGGAGGCGGAGTGCCAGCCCCGACCAGGCCGAAGCTGGGGTCGGCACCGGTGTCCTGGAGAATGTACCACCAAGTGTTGATGTTATTGGCAAACGCATGGCAGGCCACGTCGTCGTAGTAGGTCTTTGCATTATCGACCGAGGCGACCGCTTCGTTGCTGGTCGCGCCCGAAACTGGCCAACCAGTCTCGGTGATCCAGACCGGCTTGCCCTGGCTGGCGGCCACCGTGACCTCATAGTCATCCCAGAAGGTGGCGTTCGCGTTGGCGATCGAGTTCTCCTTGGTTGTTTCGTAGTAAGGATAGGCATCCACCCCGATGAAGTCGGAGGCGGCAATCAAGGCGTTCTGGCTCGAGTTGGTCCAGACATTGTAGGTATCCACGTGTCCAACCAGCTTGCCCTCGGCCGCGGTGCCAGCAATGGCAGATCGAACTTGGCTGATATAGTTGATGATGACATCCGGGCCAACACCGGTTCCTGCATTGCTTGCGACACCAATGGGGGTGATACGGTAGACGTCCTCGGATCCAACACTGATGCCGGCAATCAAGTCGGTGAAGGCGGTGCCATACTGAGCAATGGCGGCATTGAGGGCCGCCAACTCGTTGGCAAACTGAGCATCGCCAGCCGACGCCCACAACCCGAGCAACAGGGTAGTGCCAGTGTTGATGGCGGCGGGGATGGCAGATATGGGGGTGTCGGTAGTTCCGTCTTGAATCATCGTGTACAGGCGGGCGGATGTGAAGCTCGACCCGGCCAGATTCTTTGCAGAGTTGAACTCGCCCTCAAAAGCCGCCTGGTCCCGACCGGTTGAGCCATAATTGAACCCTTTGTAGGCAGCGAGGGCGGAAGGAAGGGCCGCCACGAGGGCGAGGATTTGCGAGATACGCATGGTGGGAGAAGATACAATCTCAGAAACGAAGGTGGAAGACCAGGTTGGTCAACGAGTGCGAGGTTTGAAATAAGAGAGTATATACTACAGTATATGGTACAGAAGCGCAAACACTTGTAGAGGGATGAAGAGGGAGTTGGAGGGAAGAAAGTCAGGCAGGCTGGGGTCTACTAGATATGAAGAAAGCTCTCGCTCCGTCAAGAGGTCAGATTCAACGTCAAGGAAGAAAAGCCGCCCGGACCGAACTGGGGGAATGGAGCCGTGGATGAGGCCATGACGAGTCCAGCGCAGCATTGCAGTGTGTGTCTTGAAAAGGCGGGCGAATGGTGAGGTGAGCTCGTGGAGGTGGAGGCCGTTCCTGAGATAGCGGGCGAATGGTCGGCATGAGGGAGAATCGGGTGGCCATGCCTGGCATGGTTAGCGAATGGATGATGGATGATGGATGGGATGCTGGATCCTGGATCCTGGCTGTGCCCTACTGCAGGGGACTCCGGTGTTGTAGGGAAGACACAGGCACTCCGTCCCTTAGGGTTGTAGTGGTGGTGGTGATGGGAAAAATCTCTGTTCGATGGGTGACGTCTCCCGAACCCTGCTTTTTGCCATCTTCCATCTTCTTCGCCATGCCATGCCATGCCATGCCACACTCTACGCAGCGTGGCAGCCGCAACAGTGAGTGAAACTCGACCATTCACACATCACCGTTCTTTTTCTCCACTCCCAGCAGGTTGTCGGCGTACCGTCAAGTACGGAGGACTGTACCGTAGGACTCGAGAACGACAACTCGGCAGGCTGAGGCGGTGCTTCCATGTATGAAACATATGCAGTAGCAGTGGCAGTAGCAGTGGCAGTAGTACTACCGTCGCATCCAACCCAGGGCAATGAATGGCAGTCCGATGATACAAAGTACGGTTATTAATACTCCTTACACTTAATTCGCCAGTGTCATGTGACGTCGCCATTCGGAGGGAATTGAGCGCACTGGGATCCGTACAGGGAGGGACACTTATACTGGTATACTGTAGTCTCCCAAGCCCTAGCACCCCTTGGATGTAAGGTCACGTCGTTGCTCTTACAGCTTCATCCCCAGCGCCTGGTGCACTTTCAGACTCTGTCGAATACTCAGGTCCAACATGATCTCCTCACTTCCGCCCGGGATCTTGTACGCCAGGGTGTCTCGGTACAGCCTCTCCACCTTGCCGCCCTGCCCGCCTCTCGAGTACGCCAGCCCGCCAAAGATCTGAGCGGCCTCCTTGGTGCAGAACTCGAACGTCGTGGTGGCCTGGGCCTTGAGACCGGCAATGGCGCCGCCCAGTCGCAGCATGGCTTCGGTCTCTCCCATCTTCTGGCACTGATACACAATGTTCTCCAACCAGTTGTAGCTGGCCTCGATTTGACGCGCCATGTGCGCCAATTTCAACCGGATGACCGGGTGGTTGATCAGCTTCTGGCCGAACGTCTTTCTCTTCGACGCGTACTTGACCGACTCCTCGAAGCAGACCCGCGAGAAGCGCAGGCACTGGATGATGATGCCCACGCGTTCGTGGTTGAAGTTAGTCATGATCACTATCACACTCGGTCAGCCGCGATATCCTGGTGGGCGCCAACCCCTGCGACACCCGACTTACCCTGGAATCCCTTGTTGGGCTTTCCCAGCACATTCTCCACGGGCACTTTGACGTCTTCAAATGTGATGTACGTCGTGCCGCTGCTCCACACACCCTGGCAGTCCATCCGGCGGGTGCTGACGCCCTCTCCTCTCTCGATTAACAAGAGGCTGACCCCGTTCATGCCGGGTCCGCCCGTCCTCACCGCCGTCGTGAAGTAGTCGCACCAGATGCCATTGGTGATCCATTTCTTCTCCCCGTTGACAATATAATGCTTGCCATCGTCCGAGAGCTTGGCCTCACAGGTCAGGTTGGCCACATCGGAGCCGGCGTCTGGCTCGGTGATGGCCAGACAAATTCGCTTGTCACCAGCGAGTATGCCGGGGAGAATCCGGTCCACCAATGCCTTCTTGCCGTACTTGACCAGCGGCGGACATCCAATGCCAAACCCGCCGATCAAGTTCCAGACCAGACCACCCGAACCCGTCCTCGATAGCTCGTCGGTGAGAAGCATCTCGTGGAACAGATCCCACTTCTCCGCCGGCACGCTCTTGACCGTATTCGGGGTCAAATGTTGCGGGTACTTGACACCTAGTAACCCAGCCAGATAGCCCCGCTCACCCATCTGCTTGTAGATGCTCTCCGGCACCTTCTTGCCTTCATCCCACTCCGTGACATAGGGTTCGATTTCGGATTCGACCCATTCGCGGACTTCGGCGCGGAGGGCTGCATGAGTCTCATTGAAGTATGGCGAGTGGTACTAGCACCTGAATTAGAGGCCGCTGTTGGTCGATCGGCTGGATTGGATTTCAACTTACCCCCTGGTACCAGGCTGGATCTCCAAATGGAACAAGAGACCCGTAAGGATCCAATGCCTCGGCGGATTCCTCGGCGGCTGCCTCGGCGGCTGGGCCGGGCGCAGGAGCAACTGTCCCCGATTCTGCCTGCGGCACAGTCTTTTGCGTCTTCTCTTGCGCCGGCGGAGTGGCAGGAGGAGTGGGCGGGGCTTCGACTTTCTTGGTGTCTAACGATCCGACTTGCAACTTGGTCTTGTATTTCTTCAGGATTCCTTCGTTATGATATTTCCAGAACTGCTTCGAGGCATCCTTGCCGGCCACCCGCTGGAGGACTGCACCACGGGGTTAGAACGAAGAGATAAGGCCGGTGTGGACGTGATGGAAACCAAGGGCCGAGGCGGCCCGGCGCAGACTCAAGCGCGGTCTGAAAAGGAAGCATGATCGCGTCGACGGGGTTGCGGGCACTTCACTTACTCTTCTTTCCACCTGTGATTTGGGTCAGCGTGCGTCTCGGCCTCGGAGGCTGCGGATCGGCTCCACTCCAGCATACCTGGATGCTCATCTTGGAACTTGGTCAAGTCGTAGACATCCTCGTCAATAATGATGTAGAGATTGTCGGCTTTGTTGTGGGATGCCACATCGGCCACCGAGAAGGATTTGGACATTTTGCACGTCAAGGTAGAGCTCAAGCCGGATGGGCAACAGATGAAAGAATTCTGGTGGTACAAGGCCACCCGATGGAGCAGAGGAAGAGACAGCGAAATAAAGGCAGGTTATGAGAGAGATGGGAGTGGGAGGTGGGAGGAGGTCACAGATCGAGGGAGAATTGAGGGCGCATGGACTTGATATCCCTTTCACATGCCAGGCCACCCGTCAAATCACAGGACTTGCAAACACGGTGCTGTAATCCAACAATTCCACTCCGATGCCGCGGCCGGGCACCGGACAGTTCGGAGTCTGGATTCAGGACGTAACTCTATACGGATACTCTGTATACTACCACTCGAACATGGTCACGCTCTGCCCCAGAACATGGAGCCAGCGGGACCCCAGGCACTTGGGAGACCTGGCAGGGGGCTTAGGGGCTACTTAGGCTTAGGCTGCGTGGGCTTAGGGGCTGACAGGGCCTACCGTAGGCTTAAGGGCGCCCATGACGCATGACAGCCGAGTGAGATCTCTTCTCTTTTGCCGACAGATGGCAGTGTCATTTGCGTCAGATGATCTGTTGTGCTGTGCTACTGCTCTGTGCAACTCCAATGGCAAGTGGCCATAGTAATACTCCGTCTGTAGCGTGACTCCAGTCTCCCACGTCTCCTGTGCCACTGCCGAGGCATCTGCTTCCTCTTTGTTTTCCCCGTCCATGTGAAGCCGGACGCCAATGCACGTGCATTTCCCTATTTCCTATTTTCTCTCGCACCTCAGGCCTGTCCAGGACTGTATCAGTCCCAGTGTATTTACACCAACTCCCATCCTTCTTGTGGCCACATATCTACATGTATTGTGCCCGGCCCCGTCATCACTGATTCGTCCTCGTCATCGTCCTCGTCTTGCACGCCACTTAGTATCGCCCCTGGAGAGCAACCAATGGTTGGGCCCTCGCCGCAGAGCAAAGAGCATCCTCATTCACCACCAGTACCGCCGGTGTTGGCCCGCTCTCTCAACCGTCGTCCCTCCATCAGCCCTCGCAGCCCTCGTTTCTGTAGGCCAATGACCGAACTGATGTCTCCCGTCCAGATGTCGCGTGTCTCGCGTGGCCCCTTGCCGTCCCGATCCGTCTTGTCTTCCTGTGCCGACGTCTCAGTGTCCGTCTGCGATTGCGAGACATCGGTCGACGTCGAGGCCGAAGTAGCCGTCGAGTTCGAGTCTATCGAACTGGCCTTCCCGTGACCCCCTCTTTTCGGTTCTTCGTAGCTCGTGGACAGCTTCAGCCCGGCCATCTTCCCCGAAAACGTCTGGTCAGCGATGGTGGTAGCTTCGCTCTCGCGCCGGCCTGGGGGTGACATGATGCCGCCTGCAGCACCTACCAGACCTCGCCCGCCTCCGGCCGCCATCGCCGCGGCGTTGAACACTGCTGCTGAATTGCGTCCGTCCAAGACCTGATGCAGCCGCTCGACCGTGGCTTCCAGGAGTCCATCGACTTGATAGGGCCGTCCCATCTGCAGCAGTGAACATAGAGTGTGGGGGGTGCACAAGGCTGACCCTACGGGCGGCAAGGAAGATGTATACAGATAGTGCAGTAACAGGTGGATCGTAGCCGCCATGTGAGGCAGATACAATGATCGCGGGCGGTTCGAAGCCACCGTCGGCATGATGTTCGGCGGATCGACCAACGTTCGGTTCGTTGATCGACTGAGCGAGCGTTGTGGATCCAGGATTCCATCGGCCCCAGCCGTCGATCCGGACGGGCCCAAACCGCTCGTCACACTGGGGGTAATGGTGAGGGAGGAATTGCGACTGGCTTGAGACCGAATGTTAGGCCTTAACGTCGCCTCATCCGACAGACTGGCGGTCTCATGTGTGGTTGCAGACTCGACCAGAAGCTGGTTGAAAAAGGGCCCCCAACGCCGCGAAAGGATGAAGGAGTTACAGGGGATCTTTTCTCCTCCCAAGGCCACAATCTCCATGTCCGCAAGCTCGGTCAGGCTCAGTGCTGCTTGGCCAAGTTGTTCTGCCGTGCTATTGTATGGACGTCCACCAGCTCCTTGGCTAGGTAGTGTCGCCTGTAGGGATGCAGGGACGGCGGGCGCAGAGACCGAGACATAGCCGGACGTAGGGGAGTCTCTTCGCGGATTGTCATACAGGCCAAACGCTTCCAACTCAACCATACACACATGGCTGAAGTTGATCCGGCGATGGTTGTAGTCGTCCACCAAGCTTCGTTTCCGATGTCCCAAGATCACAAAGGTATTTCGACGGTTCCATAAAAGCCCGCGGTTCCAGCTCCCCTGCGAAAAGATCGAACCATTCGTGTCGATCCGCGCCCACGTCAATGTCTTCAGGTCCAGTGCCCATAGGGCATACTCGTGTTTGGAAGAAGTCAGATAGGTCCCGCTGACCACGAAATGACTGTCAATGATGCCACCGTTGGGGAAGCGCAGACCAGGAGGAGATACCGGTCCAGTCATGGGTTTCTCTACGACCGAGCCATCAGGAAGTCGAATCTGTAGCTCCAGTTTGACATCGAGGAAATTGTAATTGGAGTAGATCAACGTGGAAGTGCCTGCGTATGAGCTGGCTCTTGAATCCTTGAGAGGAACTCCTCGTCCAATGTTTTCGGCCGACAAGCCGGTCAACGGAGCCACCATGCTTTTATATGCTCCACATTTCCGATCCCACGGGGTCGTATCTGTCCATCTCAAGCTGCGAAGGTTAAAGACGCTAATCTGTTCAATGTAATTGTTGCCGCTGTCTTGGCCCCCAGCCACGATCATTTCCGCGCCGCCCGTTCCATCCAGGTGAACACCCAGCGTACCCGAGTGAGGATCGGCAGACGGAGGATTGTGGTGAATGGCGGAGAGGGGGGCGCTGGCAGAGGTGAATACCGCAGATGAAGGGAGGATCGTTGCACAATGAGCATATCGACCCTGGGGATTGTCAGAGGTCGAGATCAGCGTCCACGTGCGGGTGGGGACATCAAAGACATGGACGTCCGACATCACCACCACCTCCGGTTGGGGTTCGGCGGTAGCAGCATGTCTGCTGTGTGTTGAGGGTGACATGCCCCCATAGCACACCAATTTGGAGTCACCGAGAGCGCAGACGCTGTGGAAGTATCGAGGCGGAGGAATATCGCCCAGGGCATCAATTTTGACCCAGTGGCGACGAATCAGATCCAATTCGTAGAGGCTCGAGGTGAGTTTTGGTTTGCTCCGCGAGTGTATTCGACCTCCAAAAACATACAGCTTGTCGCCAAGTATCGTTGTGGTTGCTCCCACCAAGGCAGGGGGCTCCTCTCCGGTCGTCCTATGCACATTACATACGAGACCTGACAGGTTCGTCGGGGCGGTGCCTTGCTGAGGGACTCTTGCTCCTGTAGCAAGGGCAGGCCTTGGTGCAGCACTTGCTGCCTCGTTGCTCGCCTCGGAAGCCACGAGGCTTACCTGACTGTTGTTCATCACTGGTGCCTGTTCATCAATCGTCAGGCTTGGGCTTTCATGAATGCTTGATACCGTCGCAGTTGAGATGCTGTTGACTTCATTCGAACTCCTAGAGCGTCGTGCCTCGCTGTTGGCAGTAGGTGTTGTGGGCGTGGATGATGTTGTTGATGACGATGATGATGCACGCAGCGTGTTTATGTCGACGTCTGACGTGGCAGGCCGGAGCTCGCGCGCAAACGGTTGTGCAAAGTCGGGGATTATTATTGGGACATAACGGGGCAAACGTGTGCTAACAATAGTTGTCGACTTGACGGTGGAATCCTCTGTATAGTCATGAACAGGCAATTCGGTGACTTGGTACTTTGAGATGTCAATGGGGATATGCCGGGGTCTGCCAGTTGCAGGCTGCCCACTGCTAAACGCAGGCGACGACGGGTTCGGCCAAAGAGTGAAGACACTGGATGAAGACTTCGAGTCACTGTCCGTGGCCGACGGGGGAGTTGGTGGCCAGTTCTGTTCCTCGGGTGACGGTGGATCAAGATGTGAAGTCCAGAACCGTGAACCGTGTATCCCAGGAGGAGGTCCCTGCTTGCCCGCCGCACCCTTACGTCGAAACCTGTCCATCATGGTCAGCGGAACCACATTCTCAGCTGGGGTGGATATTCATATTCTTCGCAGAAGGGCCATGGCCATGGGAGGTTGATGGGAGAAAGAAAGCAGATATGGGTATGAGGAAGAATGACTGGGAAAAGTACGACGTGAACAGTGCTCGAGAGATGACATGGTAAGTAACTGAGATGTCGCTCTCCCCGGATCCTGTCATGTGGGAAAGGGACGAACACGAGCTCGCTCAGCCAACAGACGACGGCAAGCAGCCGAATTGGCAATCAATCAGAGGAGTAGCGCACACGATGCAGGACGAGAAAGAAGGCCACTTACCGGCAGACAAAGAACTTGTCTCGGGATCGCGCTTCTGCGGTGAAGGGTGGTGGTGATGGTCCGTGTCACTACTAGTAGTAGTACTCTGTATGGGGCGGGGGTCAGAATAAAGGGGGCGTCTGGAGGGAAAGGTGTCGACAGCACGCCGGTCGAAAAGAACGCGAGGCTTGCAAAGGCCATCCGAGGGCGAGACGGAGAGACGAATGAAGAAGACGAGTCCCTTGAGGTTTGTACCACCCAGGCCCTGGAGTAGGAGAATTGGACCTGCAGTGGGATTTGTGTAGCGGGTGCGTCCTCCACGCTCTAGACAGGGTCATTGCAGTGATCCACGCCAAGCCGGCATGTGGCAGAATCCGAAGTTCTGCTCGAACGTACTTGTACATTTGTACGTAAGGTACCTAACGCAGTGGGTGCAGTGCTAGTACCTAACTGGTACTCCGGAGCACTAATAGCACTCCTACAGGTGCCTAATATGTGTACTATAGCTCCTAGTGGCAGACCACCGGAGACACTAGTACGTTCTGGTGAGTGTACAGATCACTAAGGTAGTCTTACCGGCAGTGGTGGTTGCGCTGCTGCTCTCACCCTCACCACTACCGCTTCCTGCCGACAGGGTGATTAGGGCCCGGGGACCAGGTTCTACAACACTGCCGCCTGACTTGTCCATCTCCGTCTGCCGCCGATCAGATCGGAGTGGGCAGGACGCAGGAGGCAGCCGGGCATTGGTGGCTGCGAGGATATGCCCTGCGATATCTGCAACGTCGGGAGCGAATGCGCATGCAGCAAGCACCCCTCCTAGCCGCATACGCACCCGCCGCTCAAATCTACTTTGTCGCCGCCACCAACACAGCATCGTCGGATCGGGATTGGATTGCACTGACTTGATTTCCACAACAGGGCTTTCATTGCGTCTAAATCAAACTCATTACCGCCACTGCGGAACACCCCGAGTCGTCTCCCAAGGGTCGCTCGCTTAATGACCGCAAATCGGTAGCATGTCCTGATTCCAAATCACGGGTCCATCTCTAAGCCGCAGTGGTCTTCTCCTTGGGCAGCGGTGTCACGCGCAAGTATGGCTTGATGATCTTCAGCTCCGGCCAGATCTCCTTCGCTTGCTCGGTCTTGACACTGGGGTGAACAATGACGTCGTCACCAGGCACCCAGTTGATCGGGGTGGTGACTTTGTGCTTGTCACCAGTCTGCAGCGAGTCGACAATCCGGAGGACTTCCGCAGTATTGCGGCCGGTCGAGGCTGGGTAGGAGAGGATGGTGCGGATAGTCTTCTTGGGGTCGATGATGAAGACCGATCGGATGGTGAAGGCGATGCCCTTCGAATCAACGTTGGTGGCATCTTGGTGGTCAATCATGTCATACTTGAGGGCGATCTGTCGGCTCTTGTCTCCGATGATCGGGAAGCTCAGGTTGCTGCCACTGATCTCGTTGATGTCCTTGATCCATTCGCCGTGGCTGTCGATGGTGTTGGCCGAGAGGCCGATCAGTTTGACGCCTCGCTTGGTGAACTCTGGCTCCAACTTGGCGAAGGCGCCCAGCTCAGTGGTGCACACTAACACACTCGTCAGTATGGAGAACGCTTTCAAACGCCCACTTGGTTGCTGCACGCCACCTGCGCCCTTGGGTTCCCTTGGGTTCGTGATTGTGACGGCGGACGGCGAGCAAGGCAGCTTCCTACATACCAGGTGTGAAATCTTCAGGATGGCCTATGGGAATCCATTGTCAGCCCGTGTCATGTCCTCACTCTCAGTGTCACTGCTCAGATCTGCTCTTACTGAAAAGGACGACCCAGTTGTCACCAATGAACTCGTGGAAGTCGATAGGACCCTTGGTGGTCTCGGCCTTGAAGTTGGGGGCAATAGAGCCGAGGCGAAGGCTGGAGAAAAGTATGGGTTAGCAAAGGACCATTCCTCAGAGAGAGTGCCCACGGCGCAGGCAGGATAGCATAGCAATCAAATCACATACGGTTCAAAACGGCCTTCGGCAGACATCTTGGAGGGGTTGTGTTATACTGTTGGTAAAACTGTAAGACTGAGAGAGAGGCGGAAGCTAGTGTCAGGCAGGTTGCGAGAGACGGTCGTCAAAAGATCGAAATCGGTCAGAAGGAGGGGGAGCCGACGGTCGATATATATGTGTTGTGTAATTTAATAAGAATTAAACGCCAAAGGTAGGTGAGTGGTGAGTGGTGAGGCCCAAAGCAGCAACGAACAAATCTTTCTTTCTGCTTCGCCCGCCTTACGATGCAGTGCGGGAAAATCCCTGCGGTGGGCACATCTCTGGTTGCGCGGATATGATGTGGGCGGGCGCCAGGATGGCATCAGCGCGAGGCGGCGAGTGAGCGGTAGTGGGCAGTGGGGGAAGGAAGCTGGGTCTACCGTATATCTTTCACCCAATCAGTGGGGGGTTAGAGCACGCCATCGAGGACCTTTGACTTGCCTACCGTATGAAGAGCTCAGTACCTTAGAAACAGAACAGCAGCAGCGCCTCTGCTCTTTTCTGCCTAGGTAGGTACCTAAAGAGTTGGACCATACCTGCTTACAGAATTAATACGTACCGAGTACCGTAGTCAGGACTTCACCAGCCCGAGTGGCTAGAGTCCAGACCCTTGATGTTGGTCAGCCTCGGAGGGCCTTCATGTCACGTGATGTGGACCGCGCCAGCTTGATCTGTCCACCCACCTACTGAAGTCGCGTCACGTGAGAAGACCCTCTACTCGTGTCAAGACCGCGTCAAGCGCCGCGGGCGTGGCGTGTTAGACGTTGGATGACCACCTGCACTCACGATCAGTAATAATGATTACACTGACGAAGATACGAAATCTCACCAGCCAGCCAGCCAGCCAGCCAGATCCAGTGGAAGAATGGAACTGGACTGGCGACGTCCATGTATTCATGAAGACTTGACCTTACTAAGGTATTTGCAGTTGAAGCTGTAAGATCCTAATACTTCGCACCTACTACGTACAGGCTAAACGTTCAAGGCTTAAGATAAGTTTGTCAGCATGCCATCATCCGCCTCAGGACGGCTGAGTTAGTACCTTATGTATAAGTATCTTCTATCTTAGGTATAATGCCCGTACCTATATGTAAGTTGTTGAGAAGGGAAATGAATGAATAATTGAGTGAATGAATGGTCTGCCTTCCTTGCTACAGTATCTCCGAGATATATAGTACCTACTAGGTATCTATATGTATGTACAGAGTATGTCCCTTTTGGCCAATGATTGAGACGTATCGCGCTCACAACCCGCGATGATGATGCCGCACTCAACAGCCACAACCACAACCACAGCAGACGACACGGTCACTTCACAGCCGGCGGTGCAACTGGACCCAGAGGTCGTCGCCTTGGCCGGACGAGCCTTCGACGCGGCGAGAAGGGGCCAGATGGACATGTTCGAACAGGATTTACCGCGCGGTCTACCAGGCAACTTGACAAACGACAAGGGCGACACTCTTGTAAGCCATCCATCAATCAATCTGATTAATCAATCAAAAAAGCCCAAACTTTCGATTGAGAGACACTTCTGATCTGACGAGCCGGCACACTGTTAGCTTATGCTTGCCTCATACTATGGCCATGCCCCGTTGGTGTCGCTGTTGGTCAAATACGGCGCCGACCCCAACCGGCTCAACGATAAGGGACAGTCGCCTCTGGCTGGCGCGGTGTTCAAGGGCGAGGTCGAAGTCATCAAGATGCTGTTGGAGGCCGGGGCCGATCCTACTATTGGCGAGCCGAGTGCACTGGAGGCGACAAAGGTATGGCAGAAACTCATTGTTCCTTGCTGATCCGAGGAAATCGTAGCTCAACCATGAACAGATCTTCAAACAAGAGGAAACTTATGGGAACATGTTCCGAGAACAGATTGAAAAACTCAAGGTTGGTCCATCGAGGCGATAGATGGACACGGGATCTGGGATTGTCTTGCCCTCCATCTTCTGGTGTTTCAAGTTTGACTGGTACAAAATCGTGGCTCATGAACATCGCTCGACTGAAAAGCGTACTTTGGGGAGGGAAAATGCTGTTCCCCAACGCAGAGAAAAGCCACCAACTCCTTCGCTGAAAAAGACTGCCAAAACTCAAAATCCACCAATTGATCCATCATTGATATGCGTGTGTCGGCTCGTGGTTTTTCCTTTGTTGCCGCAGAATCTTTTGCGAGGGGACTTGCAACGATGAAATTTTCGGGTGGCATGCCGTACACCATTCGTACTTCCGATTTTGAAGCATGTGAAGCTGGTGGCACCATTCAGCCACCGGCGTGGAGGGTTCGAGGGAGACGGTCGACGACGTCCGAGAGGAGGCGGCAGAGGAGCTGGAAGAGGAAGGAGTCGACTTTGGTCCCGACCGTCCATCTGGTCCTTGGATCGCCTTTTCGTAGTTGGCGTAGAACCGCTGTGAGCTGGACATGTCTTCGCACCGTCTGTTTCTGGGGAGATTGGGTGAGGTGGAGACTGGAGGACAGCTTGCTAGGAGAGGAAGAATGGGGGTGGACTCTTTCAGATTCAGACCGAGTGCTGTTATAGTCAAACCGAAGAAGGTCGGAGAAGGTCTCGCGTCTTGTTGAGCCGATGACGTGTTTGTGTCTTGGAGACGCGTGTTGATTCGGTTCTACAAAATACTCTGTACTCTTGTATCTCTGTAGCAGGGCGACGGATTTTCACCACCGGGCCGGGGATCTCGTCCGCCAGTAACGATGACGGTGGGTGTGCAGGAGGAGAATAATGACAGCAACTTGCAGAGGACAAGACGAGTGAATATCCGTCTGCTGAGGATTGAGAAACAGTCGGAGGTCGAGTGTGCAGTGTGGATGTAGATGGATGGGCAACAGACGTCAAAAAGCAAGATCGAGAAATGATCAGCAATCGGCAATCGAGGTGCAACGCCCACGGTGGATGGCGTGAGGGATACATACAGAGTACATATACCAAGTCCACCATACGGTACTTAGTACCTACCGTAGCAAAGGTCTTCGTTGGAGGGGGTTTTTTGGCCCATGGTGGACGTTGACTGGACTTGGACTGTGGACGTGGACTGTAGACATTGGCACTGGCAGTGGACACAGCAGCAACGCCATCATAATGCCAGGGTGAAACATAGTCAGTGCAGAAAAATCTCCAAAGAGAAAGGGCAAATGGAGGCGAAGGTGAGAAGAAGATCCTAGATCCAACGGTCGGTCTCAGATTCCGAATGTGGAATGGGCAGAGAGTCCACCCTTTCTCTAGTATCTACCCACACCATCCAACATCTAGTACCGTAGCACGAATATTCGGGAACCGCTATTAGGTCAAGCCGCCACAGTTCACGTCCAGTGTCAGTGTCAGTGCCAGTGCCATACCAGAACGAGTCGTGTCAGTGAGTGGCACACTCGAACGAGGGAATAGAAGCTGAAAGGGACACGACTGCAGGCGAGAAAAAGCAAATTTTCCCACGAATGGGAGAATTTACTGGTGGGATGTATCCGTAGTATCCGTAGCCGGTAAACTGACCCGGGCTTAGGGGCTGCTGCGCCTTGTCTGCACCTTACCTTTACAGTACCTAAAGTGCCTAACGGTAGAGGTAGTATGTTAGGTACCTATAGGCATCCAGGTGGCACCTATTCAGTTAGCACTTTAGGGACCGACAGTGGGTGTGTTGGTGGGTAAGGGGCAGAACTCTCCCCTGGATGTTGCAGCAGGCCCGCCTATTTTTGGCTACTCTCCTCCCTACTCCCTACTCCTAGTCCTGGACTCAGCAACTGGGCTCTTTCCCAGCTTCAGCCTCCTCGCCAATACCACCACTACCTCAGGTAGGTAAGTTCAAGTTCTCACATGGTTACATTAAATATCACAGTAGGTAAGGTAGTATGGCGGCACCTAGGAGGTATGCAAGTATGACCACCATGCCAAGTGTGTGCTACTGTAAGTGCTGAGTGAGAGCTGGTGCCAGCGACATGGACACGACACCCCAAACCACAACCAACGCTCAATGTATACGGAATACAGTACTGAGGTTTCGTCTTCACTGAAGCTCGGCATCACCATTTGACCGCCACGGGCTGCCTTCTCCTCCAATGTGAGAACGACTACCACTACCACTACCGATGGCGCGTCTCGGCAGCCAGAGTCCATGGTCCAGCATTACAAGTCCCATGTACGGATACTATACTCAATCCGAGTCCAGACCGGCCAGGACGCTGGCGGCGGGAGCAAAGAAGGTGGTACCGGTGACAGGAGTAGAAAAGTCGAGAATGCGATCATGCAGGCCCGCGGGGACGCCGACGAACATGCGGTTGAGCATCTTCTCCACCACCCACAGCCGGCGCGAGTAGCCGATGAAATAGGTGCCAAATTGGCCGGCGGCCGGGTTGCCAAAGGACATGTTGTCGCGCAGGATCGAGTGCTCGGTGCCGTCGTCGTCTTGGACCGTGGCGAGCGTCTTGTGCGCGGCCTGGGCGCCGGCCGGCGCGTCGTCCAGCTCGATGTTGTCCAGCTTGGTGCGGCCGATGACGGCTTCCTGCCGCTCGGTGGACAGGGCGCGCCAGGCCGGCAGGTCGTGCAGGTACTTCTGCACGACGACGTAGCTGCCGCCGGCGGCGACGGCGGCCGCGGCCGGGTCGTCTTGTTGCGTGACGAGGATGGAGTGGTCGACGGCGGTCGTGCCGACGGGGTTCGCGGTGCCGTCGACAAAGCCCAGAAGATCGCGCACGTCGAAGTAGCGGAAGCCGATGGTGTCGTCGACCACGGCCACGGCGTCGCCCAACAGGTCCATCAGCTGCCGCTCGAACTCGAAGCACAGGTCGCGCCGGTCCGCGCGGATGTGGAAGAGCAGGTCGCCCGGCGTCGCGATCGCCGTGTGCACCGCTCCCCGGATCGGCGTGAAGGGGCGGAGTTCCGCCGGCCGCGCCAGCCCGCCCGTCACCGACTCCCAGGCCTCGCTGCCGATGCCGACCGTGCAGGCAAACGACGCCGCCAGATCGCGGATCGCCACGTTCTTGCTGAGGTCGGCCAGTCGCGCCAGCGTCGTCCGCACCGTCTTGACCGCGCCCGCCCGCGAGTGGTTGATGCTCACCACGAGAAACGTCGCCGATTGGGTCAGCGGCGCGTCCACCCGCTGTGGCTCGATGGGAACCCGGCTCGCCATGCCTCTGTCTCTATTGGATCTTGTCCCTTTGTCTCTATTGGACTTTGTCTCCAGCAGCGCCCGTTCAGCGCTGTGGACCGTCGCACCGCACCGAGTTGGAGTTTGAAGTGGCCGATGTTGATGTTGATGTTGGTCTTGACCCTGCGGCCGCCGACCTTGACCTAGAGTTTGAAGCGGTCGATGTTGGCCTTGACCTGCGAATGCGCGCAGCGACAGCGATGATCCTCGGTGAAGGCAGAACCCACGGGCGATGGCGATGGGTCGCGGTAAGGCCTTTTTGAATCTAGGATTCAACCAACTCCAACTCTGATTGCAATATGGGAATGGAAATGGAAATGGAGATGCCTCGTAGAGGAGATTGATGTATGTTGACCGGAGCGGCTTCATCCCACGTCTCCTGCCACCCGATCCGAAGATGAGCACGAGCGGCTAGGTCATATAATACCAGTATGCGTACCTGGCTTAGGTAGTTCATATAATACCAGTATGCGTAGCTGTACGCGTACTCGGTACAGATGCCGCCAGAGGGATAATGATCTGCCTGCTCTTGATTATTTTCCCATTCCCATTCCCTTTTCCCCTGCTACCATTCAAGGTTGCTACAGGGCCAGGCCCAGCCGAAGAGGGGGAGGGGGATGAAGGTTCTGCTCCCATTGGGCTTGGGCTTTGTGGGGGTTTAGGTCTCGCGCGAGAGTGTGTAGGTAGGTACTACTAGGTAGCCTTGTCTCGCGCGAGCAACGTCCGTACCCTACGTATTAGAGGCGCTCTCGCTCACCCTCTGGCCACCTCAGTCTTGACTACCTGCCTGTTCTTTTCTTCATGAAAAGGGATAGGAAAGGGAAAGGTAGACGGTGCCGCATCATCATTTACCCTGCATCCCGTCTGTATCTGCTGTGGCGTCTGTACGGAGACTACAGTGGTGCAGATGTACATATGTAATCTGAATAAGCAGTCTGCATCAACCGATCCGTGTCCATCCTCCATACTCCATACTCCGTATCTGTATCCGTACATCCTCTGTACGTAACCAGTCAGGTTCGTAGAGATATTTCCCCTTCCTGGACATACCCAGACATACTAGGTACTGTACGTACCACCTACCTACCTAAGGTACCTTACCTTACCTCTAGTGATGACATGCTTGATGAAAGAAAGGTCTATGTCTAGGTATGCCTAAGCCTAAGCCACAGCCAAAGCCAAAGCCACAGCCAAAGCCACCCACTCGGTGGTCTGACTGCTGACTGACTGACTATGTATGTACCTCACCTTATGCGTGGGCAACTTCAACATGGGAGAGGGAGGGCATGTCGCACATGCTGGTAACCGACCTGGTCTGGAGTGCTGGCAGCCTCAGAATCAGCCTGCAGGTCTTGCGAGAGGCTGCTGAAGCGGTCACGAAGACTCCCTTGATGCATACCTACACAGCTACCTGGAATACATATGTACGGTAAGGTACGTTGGTACATGGAAATATATGTAGTATCTATCGGACCTATATAAGTATGTAGTATCGGACCTATGAGCCACATCACTCACACGCGGACAACACACAAGGTTTAGCTCAAGATTCTTGTTCTTCTTCCCATCGTCATTTCCGCGGTGATGGTGATACTTGTACTCTAAGGTAGATGCACTCGTGTGCCACTCTTTCATTGTTTTGAGCACCTCAGAACTCCAAAGGCAGGAATGGCTCATTCACTCACTGCACTCCTTTCCCATGCCAATCCCCCCCAAAACGCCCTCGCAAACTTTTGCTGTTGAACAGGAGAGGAGTGGTAGTAAGACATTTGGTATGTGAAGGTGAAGAAAAGCTGCTCCTTCCTCATAAAATAGATACCCATCGCCGTCGTCGACCATCATCATCGACCTGAGCCTCCTTGCCGTAATGCTTGCCTCCTCATGAGCAGTGAGGACTCTGGCTGGAGTCAACCGACAATGTTCAGGGTATCCGTACTGTATTGTAGCCTCGGTGGCCCAATAGAGTCGTGGGATTGGATCGGAAGCCTTTTCGTGCTAGATGAGGATGCCGCGAAAAGCGACCAAGACTCTCCCTCCTCTGTGGTGGTCTGTCTGGCATTTACTTCTTATTTCTGTCGGTTTGAGACTTGACGTAGGCCGACACCAGCTCCTTTTGAAGTTGTGCGGGCGCTCGTTCATAGTGACTAAACTCCATGCTGAACTCGCCTTTGCCTTGAGTGGCGGCCCGCAGATTGCCGCTGAACCCAAACATACCCTGCAGACTGGCATCCGCCCAGACCGTAAAATCATCCACACCGACTTCGGTATCGTTGATCACGGCATTGCGTTTCTGGAGAAGCCCCACCACGTTGCCTTGGAACTCGGTCGGAGCCGTGACCACGGTTTTCATGAGTGGTTCCAGGACAATAGGGTCTGCCTGCATGAAGGCCTGCCGGAACGCTTGTTGCGTGGCATTCTTGAAGGACATTTCACTCGAATCTGTCATGTGGGTCGCACCATCGTTGACCACCATCGACGCACCCAGGACTTTATGACCGATCAAGGGACCCTTCTCGCAAGAAAGATGGAATCCCTTTTCGCAAGCAAACAAGAACTTTTCGGAAATGGCGCCGCCCACAACCTGTTCTTCGAAGTGGTTGCCTTCCAGATTACCCTTGGGCTCCATCCAACCGGCGACACGGGCGTAATCACCAGCACCACCAGTTTGTTTCTTGAGAAGATGATTGAAGTCGACTTTCTTCGTAATGGTTTCACGATACGCAACTTGGGGTGGACCGGTTTCGCAGTCGACCTTGTACTCTCGCCGCATCCGCTCCACGTAGACTTCCAGATGCAGCTCACCCATGCCGGAAATGATGGTCTGCTCGCTCTCGGTGTCAAAATGCACTCTGAATGTGGGATCTTCGCGCTGAAACCGTGCAATGGCCTTTGAGAAGTTGGGCAAGTCTTTGTTGTTTTTAGGCTTGATGCTGAGAGAGATGACCGGTTCGGGGACGAACATGCTGCTCATGCTGTAGCCCAATTGACCGTCGGTAAAGGTGTCTCCAGAGGCGCAGTCGATTCCAAACACGGCGCAGATTTCACCCGCACCGATTTCAGACACTTCTTCCATTTCATTGGAATGCATCCGCACGATCCGAGGGATCTTGACCTTCTTGTCTGTCCGCGCATTGAAAACGTTCAGTCCTTTCTTCAATTTACCTTGGTATACTCGAATGTAAGTAAGCTGACCGAAATTCGATTCTTCCAGCTTGAAAGCCAGTCCCACAAACGGGAGCGAATTGTACGGTACCAGCTTGACGGGGGCTTCTGCTTGTCGACGATCCAGAGCAGTATTGGACACTTCCGACGGATTGGGCAGGTAATCGCATACTCCGTCCAGCATGGGTTGGACGAATTTGTTGGCCAGGGCAGATCCCATGAAGACAGGCGTAAACTTGAGGGCAATCGTCGCACGCCGAATGGCCGCTTTCAGCTGTTCAACCGTGGGTTCCTGCTCGTCCAAAAAGAGATTGGCCATTTCTTCGTCCACATCGGCCAGGGTTTCGATGAGCATTGCCCTTCGCTCTTGTACGAGTTGCTGGACTTCGCTTGGGATCTCATCTTTGGTGACAAGAATCTCCCCGTTTTCACCTTCGGCATAATATGTTTTCATCGTGACCAGGTCCACCAATCCGCGGAACTCGTCCTCAGCCCCCACAGGAACCTGCACGGCCGCGGCAGCAAGTTTGAGTTTTTTGTTGATCTGGTCGACCGCCTTGAAAGGGTTGGCACCCATTCGGTCCATCTTGTTAATGAAGCTGATCCTGGGCACATTGTATCTTCTCATCTGCCGATCGACCGTCATGGTCTGACTCTGGACACCGGAAACAGCGCACAAGATCATGACAGCACCATCAAGGACCCGGAGAGCTCGCTCTACCTCGATGGTGAAGTCGATGTGCCCAGGGGTGTCGATCAAGTTGATGTGGTATGTCTCCTCTTTCCCCTCCTCCTTCTTCACCCAGTCGCAGAAGGTTGCGGCGGATTGAATGGTAATGCCCTTTTCTCTTTCCAGGTCCATCGAATCCATCTTAGCACCAACCGCGTCTTTGCCACGGACTTCGTGAATGGCCTTTATGCGCCCTGTGTAGTATAGGACTCGTTCGGTCACAGTTGTTTTCCCGGAGTCGATGTGCGCCTAGAGGAGTGAGCCGAGACCGAGGGCTTTTACGGGAGGATTTGAAACATACCGCGATACCAATGTTCCTGACTTTTGAAAGGCGATACGCCTCCTCTGGAGTGAGATTGTCGATGATGGTCTTGACAGAGAGGGAGTCAGGATCGTCTTGAGCCTCTTCAAGCCTACCTCGTGTCAGTGCAATTCAAATCTCGAGACAGAACGGGAAAAGCCTCACATAGCCGCAGCTGCTCCTGCAGCACCTCGGCGCTGCTGCCACCGTCGGTCGAGCGGCCATTGCGTGGCTTGACTCTTGACGCCGGCGAGAGACGTCTGCAGAGCGGCAGTCGAGGCGCAGCGTCGACAGACCCATTGCTGGGCAAGGACTGACTTGGGCACTCGTAGCAGCGGTCCGAGGAGTCTCGAGGGACCTCGCAGAGCATTCGGAGCACTCATCTCGACTCGCCGAAGACTGGTGGTGGTGGTGATGCCGCAGGAAAGAAGTTCAAGGCCTGATACGCGGCCGCCGAGTCTGCATTGCATTGCATTTGACACTGACAGCGATCGGCAACTTTTTTTCGGAGCTGCCCAGTGCCAAGCTACTACTGCTGTAGTAGTAATACTGCCACTGCGGTGGACCTTACTCCCTACCTACCTTGCTCAACATCCTCCTCTATAAGAACCGCGTCTCACCCTTTACTGTACACTTCGTGACCCCCCGTCACACCGTCACGTCTAATTGCCACGTCAATAGGAAGCCAGAAATGAGAGCTTTGGGGGATCATCTTCTTGATGATTTCTGTTGGCTCATCATGTTGAATGGCGGGCAGCAGCTCTACTCTAAACTGGTACAAAGTGTACAGACGCTTCTCTCTGTGTAGGACTTTGGGGGTTTCCTTTGCCCACCGTGGGAGAAAGTCCTTGCCTGTTTCATACTTCCTTCACGAAGCCGACCTCCACAAGCCGGTCTATGGCAACATTCAACGCCTGTACCTTGGTCCTCGTGTTTTCCCTGATCCATAGGAAAAGCTCCAATAGCGCTCTCCGGACCACGTTTGTTCCTGGTCTGATGCGCATTTGCTCCTTGCCAATGATATAGACTACCTGGCTTGAGTACGCAAGTTGCAGGTCTGCTAGTTTCTCGGAAATTTTGGATTGCTCCAACGATGGCCGCCCCGATTCGACCGGCTTTGCCTGAACCACAGTGTCCTTTGTGTCGTCCAAACTCTTCTCATTCCCTGGATCAACCCTGCTGCCCTCCCGGATGATATAATCGCGCACCTGTTCGTAGAGCAGGAGTCCTAGATTTTCAGTAATGACTTCGTCGTTGTACCCATGCCGAATTATAACGCGATAGCAATCTGGCATCGGAAACTTGCTGTTGCCATCCCTGCCAATATAGCATTGGCTCACTGCGTATCGCTCTTCAGGGGCGACGGTCGGAACCTCCAAAGGCCGGAGGTGAAAGAAGATAATGACGTCTGACGCGGCGTGGAATTTCTGAAGAAAGTGGATGAACACTGTGGGAGTGGTGGACGGAGCACCCGCCTTGTCGAAGAAAATGCCAATACCATCGATGCGAGTAATCTCCTGTCCTCCAAACGCGGGGAGAAGCCGCAGTCTACGGCTGTGGACACCGCCGTTCTTTGTGGCAGAGAGCATGTGTGAAGGAGGGAAGCGGTCGGTGGCTTCAGCACGCCACTGTTGCTCCTTTCCGAACCGCCAGAGAACAAAAATGCAGGAGAGCACCACTGCGAGGGCAAGCGTGAACCACGCCCCTTGCGGAACCTTGGTCAGTGCAGATGAGAGGAACAAACCATCAAAAAGGGCAAAAATTAGCCACACGCATCCAATGACGATTGCCGGCACCTTCCAAACTATTAATGCCACGATGGCGACCATGCAAGTTGACAAGAATGTCACAAGAATGACACAGACGCCGTAGGCATGTCCCAGGTTTGTGGTGTTGTTGTATACCGCAGTCACAATGACCGTGCCGACCATCAGGAGCCAGTTTGCCACTGGTATGTAGATCTGACCGTGGAATATCTTTGAGGTGTGCACAGCCTTGATCTGCGGAAAGTATGACAGCTTCATGATCTGAGACAAGAGTTGGAAGACTGCGGTGATCATCGCTTGACTGGCGACAATGGCAGCGAGAACGGCGACCACGAGCGACGGCCAAAAACACCCAGGCGGTACACAGTTGTAAAATGGATTCGTCCAAGCGGTGCGATCATGAGATATATAGGCGACTTGACCGATATATCCCAACAACAAGCAAGGATAAGCAAAGAAAAACCATGATATCTGCACCGCCTGTCTGGTAAAGGCACCAAGATCGGCGAAGAGCGCCTCACACCCGGTGAAGGCGAGCAGGATTCCTCCCAGACTCTTCCAGCCCTCTGTTCTGTTTCGCACAAGATAGGCTCCGGCAAAGTAAGGAGAGAATGCTTTGAGTACAGCTGTATCATGCTTGACAAGGTTGAAGATTCCAAAGGAAGCATTGAATAGCAGCCAAATAATGACTATCGGGGCGAAACTGCTCGCAAGCTTGGTGATTCCGAGTGGCTGTAGCAGGAAGAGTAAGATAAGGATGGCGCATGAGACGCCAATGATGGTGGGCTTTGTGATGCCTGGAGATGCGACCTCGATGCCTTGAATGGCACCGAGGACCGATTGTGCAGGAGTCAAGACACCATCAGACATGACCAGTGCAACGCCAAATACGCCGACAATCTTCAACAGCCACTGCATGAGGCGGGAGCGCTCCATAAGGTTCCGCGCCCTTTGCGCTGGTTTGCCTAGCTCCCCGGTGAGGTGGCGTTCCATCCTTATCATCTGCTCTTCACGAGGGTCCCGACGGACAATATTGGCGTACCTCGACAGAAGAGTGAAGAGAGCAAATGTGCCACCTTCACCTTCGTCGTCGGCGCGGAGGATGATAAGGCAGTATTTGATGCTGACAATGAGTGTAAGACTCCATATGATCAAGGATAGCGCGCCGAGAAGGTCGTCGTAGCTGGGATCTGCCGTGAAAGTCGAAGAATATACATATAAGGGGCTGGTGCCAATATCACCATAGATGACACCGACGGATTGGTATGCAAGCCATAGAAGCTTCGTTCCATGGAAGACCTGCACAGGTCAGCGATCGAGTGCCTCCCTTGGACAGCAGAGCATGCCTGTTTTCTCCTGATATCACGGTCCTCAACATTGGTTGTCTCGGCTTCAACTTCCCACGGTTTGGAGTGTCTTCCTACACTGCTGGCGCGAATGCTACCGACTCCTGCAGGTTCTCTACTTCGTAGCGGGTAGACACCACCACTCTGCGAGTGCACAGAGACATTGCCGCTTCGTGATTGCACAGGCTCAAGGGCATCCTCAAATTGAATATGAGATTCAGCCATTCAAAGAGTTGTCAAGACAAAGACAAAGAAGACAGTATAAAGCTCAAAGAATCAAGGTGGTTCTGTGCACCTCGGGACACGCTCTGATGAATAGAAGTAGTGTCAGGGAGAATGAAAGGAGAGGAAGAGAAGAAGGGGTTCCCTGGGAAGGGCATCATATACATGGCTATGCTCCTCGCAGCGAGCAGGCACGTGCTCCGGCATGCTGCGTTGTATGGATTTGAGCTGTTACAACTGCCGTCCTTGGAGCATGCAACGAGCAACACAGCCACGCTCAACTGCTTGTCCCTTGATGACCTCGAGCTGTCCCACCCATCCCGTGGGAAGAAACACGTTCAGATTCCTACCCGTTGGCCTACGAGCGATGAGGTAAAGTGTTTTAGGTAAAATTGTGACCCATTGCAATGGAGTCACTGAGATAGGGTGATAGATACGGTAGGGACTCGAAAGCTGAGAGGTACCGATACCCTGGCGGGTGCCATTGAAGCAGGGGCAAGTTGCTAGATGTTAGCGCAGCCCGTCGATGTTCAAGGCTTGATGCAGACAGTCGGCATGGTGCTAAGGAGTGCAGGAGGATCATCTGCAAAGAGGTTGGCAAAGAGTCGCGAGAAAGAATAAATGCCTCATACCGACTGGTGGGAGGAGGCACCTAGGAGGGAAGAACTTGATACTAGTACGAGCTGTGATGTTCAAGGAAAGACTCTTAGCGCCAGCCCAATCCACCTGCGGGCCAATAATGCAGCGCGGACAAAAGCTTAGCCCCCATCTTATTGAGGTAAACCAAGCAAACCCCAGATTGTGGCATCAGTTTCCTGGCGCAGCTTCCTCCCCCCACCACACAGCCCATGTCGTCCTTTATCTCACCGCCTACACAGGCCGTGGGCAAGCGTTGGCATGTGCAGATGTGGAACTCAAGCGGGATTTTTGCAATTGGTAACCCTGCAGAGGTGCGTTACGTTTTCGTGGTGGTGGGACTCATCGCACTGGGGCACTGCTACGTCTGCTCTCCCCGGCACATGCCGCCCCAGGCCAGGTGAGGTCACATCCTGACTCTCCATCTTAGCTCTATGTGTCCATGCTCTTAGCACGTACGACTGAGTTCATGTCAAACGGGGTTTCTATCGCCCTGTAAGGACGTGTATATTATCATTGCCTAGACTGGGTACACAAACTCTCCGGGTGGCCCCGGTGCAATTGCTGACAATTAGCCCTTTCGGATTTATTCTATTCTCTTCTTACCCTCTTCCATATAACCCATGTTGGCCGTGCTGATATTTCGAGCCCTTCTCTCCTTGCTACTGGTCGTCGCGGCAATCACGGGCCCGATAATCTTGTCCTTGTGTACCCGAGACAAGGCTTGACTGACTTCTTCAAGAGCGTACGTTGGAGTGTTGAGTTTTGGCCAATTGACATAGAGCAAGCCGTAGGTGTAGAGGAATTGAAAGGACCAGCCAGCGACGACCAAACACAGGATAACAAGGAGCCGCAACGGCCAGACGGTCGACTCTGGGGCTCGTCGGGTCAAGATCGAGATCAGGATGATAAAGAGAGAGGCGGCAAAAACATACGGGACGGCCTGGATGATAAGCGGCCGCCGGTCGACAAAGATCATGGATGATCCAACACCGTATGTCGATGGGAGGTAAGTCCCTAGAAAAAGGTCGAAACCATCTTGTCGAGGTCCGTCGAGGAAGTTGTTGCGGATGTACCGAGTGCAAGAATTGCTCAGATCTTGCAGCATTCCCACTCTCGTCCGAGTACCAGTTCGTGTGAAATCCGTCTTCAGAGCGCCGGTACCCGAATAAGCTTTGGACACGACATCTGCATTGTCGGCCCATACGTTTCTGAACAGAAACTCGAAGGCGCGATCATCGCTTACGCGCTCGCCTGGCTGCAAGATACCAATGTCCTGTAATTGCTGGGTCAGCGCCCACCTGCCAAGCATGCTCTGAACGACGTTGGTCCGGTCGAGACAATCCATGCAGTTGGTGCGGACGACTGCCGTCTGTTGTAAGCGGACCTCCAGAGCGCCAGACGGATCGCCAGGCATTTCCACTCCTTTGAAATATTGTCCCTTCTTCAAGCCATCAATCAACTCGTCCAATAGCAGTTCGGCCCGGTGCCACTTTAGGCCTTTGGTCTCGTTGTGGAAGTCAAAGTAGATATAATGCAGTTTATCCATCATTGAGCGTGGATATTCCGCGCTGATGTCACGAAACTTTTCGTCGGTACGCTGGTCGGCTTCCACCGACTCGTCCGGAGAATTGACCAATATCCTGATGATTTGTTCATAGGCCTTCTTCACACGTTCTTCTCGGCCCCGCGCATTGACCAAGTTTACGAGGTAATTCTCGCCATAGATTCTGATTTGCTCGTCGAAATGCTTCCGCGAAGCATCCACTGCAGTATCAACTCCGCGGATCTGAAGCTTTGGTACATAGCGCAAGTCGTTGATCTCAGACCAGAAGACAGGGACGCTCCCTCGTGTCTGGACAAATGACAGAACCTGGGTATCCGAAGGTTGACCGGCAATTTTCCCATTTTGTATCCCTGCACCGCCGGCGTAGCCTGCAGGCGGTCCGGAAACGTCATTCAAAACGACCACTTGTTCCGTTTCGTTGAAGTTGGAGACATGGCCCTGGTCGTCAATACCCCTGGAGAAATATCGGGTCCCTCCACGATGCCGCGATCGCCTGGTAATAAGTGCGAAATTGAAGTTGGTCGACTTGATCCTGGCTGGTCTGACTTCGAACATGCCAAACATGACAGGAAGAATATACGGGTCGGCCCCTGGCTGTTGTTGTCCTTTTAACCCGGCCGAAGGCCCACCCCCCATCCTGAAGTCAATCAGATCGGTCTGAACGAACCGGTTCCAGAAGAAGCGGTCATCAGCTCTCTTCCACAACGGTTGCGACAGGTCTGACTCGGACTGGCGCTGGAAGCTTGATGTCACGTCCAGCGAATAGGAAAAGTACATGGGGCCGGTGGACAGCAGCGTCTTGAGGTAGGAAAGATACGTGTCCTCGTCGGGATCGTGGACAGGTCGTTCTCGCAGAGGGAGGAACTCGGTTGCTACGACCTTGTAAACCATATGGCCCCGGATACGCCCCATAGGCTGCGCCTTGGTGATAACAATGACATATTTGTCCAGCTTCAGCTTGATGATGCCCAGAATTCCCGCAATGCTAGACACCCTCTTTGCTCCCAGAAGAGAGCCATCGTTGAGTCTGATGTCGCCCGAAGGTCTTTCTACCACGAGCGTAGGCGCAGAAGGGGTGGACGGCGAGGTGAAGGCATAATGGCTGGTGGATGCGTGCACGTTGATGTCACGAAACGGCAAGAGATGTGCCATGGTTGAGCGTTTGGGAAATTGGCGGGAACTCAAGGTCGTGAGGAGGAGGGCTTTGTTCCCGCTATCGCTATCGACTCATCCCCATCGCGTGAATTGAGGAAGGCATGGAACAAAGAGACTGTGTGTGCCTGGCTGATTGTCGCACAGACGTCGATTGTCGATTATCTGTGTTGACTTGAAGTGGGAGGCTGGCGTTTCCCTGCGTCGTCATCCTTGGCTCCCGATTTCCACGCCATCCACCGGCAGCGGCAGCGCAGAGCCACCGGGCAGGCAATAACATCGCCCTGATATCAGCACATCCTCCATTCTCCTGTACCCATTACTTCGCACCCCCGCGTCACAGTCGTAGATTTGTTTGATCCTCCACACCAGAAATACAGTATCGCCTTAGCCCCGAATCCCCGACGGCATGGCCTCAAGAGCTCCCGCAGGCCGACCCGGCGCAGGCGGCAGGTTTGCCCAATTCAAGCTCGTACTTCTCGGTATGTTGGGGACAGTTGTGTATGAGATGGCTGCCGGCTAACCGGTCTCTAGGCGAATCTGCCGTGGGCAAGGTATTGGTTTCAGCGCGTCCGGCCGATCCCATGTTGCTAATACCGTCCAGAGCTCATTAGTTCTTCGCTTCGTCAAAGATCAATTCGACGACTACCGCGAGTCCACCATCGGCGCCGCCTTTTTGACCCAGACGATATCTCTCGACGAGAATACGACGATTAAGTTTGAGATATGGGACACTGCTGGCCAAGAGAGGTACAAGTCGCTGGCGCCGATGTACTACCGGAATGCCAATTGCGCTGTTGTCGTTTACGATATCACCCAGGCCGTAAGTCTCCTGCGATCCAGACCCGAATACCAACGCTGATTATATCCTCAGTCATCACTGGACAAGGCAAAATCATGGGTGAAGGAGTTGCAGAGACAGGCAAATGAAAACATCGTTATTGCGCTGGCCGGAAACAAGTTGGACATTGTCAACGAACATCCCGATAAACGTGCCATCCAGACCGCCGACGCCGAAGCATACGCCAAAGAAGCCGGCCTTCTCTTCTTCGAGACCTCGGCCAAAACGGCAACCAACGTTAGCGAACTCTTTGCTGCCATTGCCAAAAAGCTCCCCCTCGACCAGGCCGGACCTCGAAACCTGAGATCAAACCCTCGACCAGGAGTAGATCTACGACCGGAGTCGACCGGCACCCAAGGAGCCGGAGGCTGCCAATGTTGAACAAAGCGTGCTAAACTACTTCGCACGCGCCTGTGTGACTTTTCCCGATTTTCAGCTAGCAGGCGCAAGGGAGGGGGGCCTGGGTGGCCCGGCAGGACGCTGGATAAGGGATTGTTTTTGCCGATGCAGTCGGAACCATGGCCGTCTCTGGATCTTGAGCTCCTGTTCCGAGCAGACCTTGGACACCAGGCCATGGCGGACATGGAGAAGAAGGTGCAGAAATGTGTCCTTGCTGTCTCATGCTGCGAGGTGATGTGTTTCCGCCATTGTGACATACTATTCTGACGGCGTTTCGAGATCGATGCGCCGCCCACCGGCTACTTTTATCAACAGATCCTAATGCCTAGACAATGTTTTACTGCACATTCTTGCTAACCTGGCATTCCGGTACATTCCGAATGTTGCTACATTCAGCCCTGTAGCATGTCATGTTCATGCTTTAAGAGGGGTGAACTTACGCCCCCAAAGGCAAAGGCTCCTGAGGCCCTCGCCCTCACTCTTCCATTGGCATCTTGGAATATCTTTCTTTGCGTCGAACCACTGGCGTCTACACAGATCCACCACTTCGATTGCCAGCCTTGTCCCCCACCAGCCCAGCCATTTCTAGCAGTGCCCTCGCACCTTCCTGGTCGCCTCCGAAATTAACGCCCCGTCTTCTCGCCGCCTCTGCCTCCTCCCATGCGAGGCGTTTCTTCTGTTTCGTGACTTCGTCTTCCCCTTCGTCCGTGGGAAAGTTGATGCCCCAGACCTCCAAGCTGTCAATGTCAAACGTGATCTTCTTTGGCTGTGCAGCCTGGCCATTGTGGGTCTGCGCGGTCTCCAGACCAGGATCGGTCACGAACGCCCCGCTGCCTGCGTCGCCGTCATGTTGAAATGTGGCGGTGGTCAGATCAGTGTCGATCAGCAAACTGACGGACCCGAGCGCCGGGGCTTGTTGCACAGTATGGGTGCGTGATTGCTGGGGGATGACGCAGCCTAGGGCGATGCCTGTCTTGGTGGAAAAGTACGACACGGGGATGGACCGGTTATACGAGTTCTCGGGGAAGGTTGCCTGCCGGGGTTGAAGCTGGATCAGGCACGCTTTGGGTGCTGAAGGGTCGCGCGACGGGGCCGCATTTCTGGGGCCCGAACTCGGGTCGTGCCACCGTTCAGGGAGGTATGCGGCCAGCGTTATGAGATTGTTGGCGGTGTCGGGATGACTGCCGGACACGAGCATCAACGTTCCTGACTGCCAGGAGAGCACCTGGCGTGAGAAAGAGCTGAGCGACGTGCCGTGCGAAGAGGTCGAGTAGAGCTGGTTGAATCGTGCGCCGGAAGTGAATATGTCTGCGAGAGAGCCGGATGGCGTGAATAGTCTGAGGGACATGGAGATCTGCGAAAGAAGGGTATCGTTGAAGATGGTGTCGCCGTCGTCCCCGTCCCCGTCCCCGGCCGACCTGTATATCGGGGAGCGGCGAGGTTCGACTGCGACCACGGGATCAGGCTGGCCGCGATGCTTGTTCAGATTGATGTTCTTGCTGAACAAGAAGTGTTCAAATAGCGGGCTAAAAGGTTCGAATAGACAGGGAGTGGTTGTGGTCACCGTCTTGACAAAGTTGGAATACCTGACTCCGTTGCTCTGAGGGTCGGGATCAAACGCCGCGACGACGGCATCGGCCGACACACTCAGCGCTTGTAGTCGTTCCTGGGTGAGGCTCTGGCCATAGACACCGACGGGAGTCAAGGGCTCGATTTCCGCAATGAGTAACAGCAGCATGACCAGCTTCTTCAGGTTCTCTGCTGGCACAATTGCATGGTGGATCTTGCGGTCTGTCTTCTGGTCATGCCTGAAGACCTCGATGGCGTCTAGTGAGTCGAGCGCAGCCAGGGCCAGGTCATCGTCGTCTTCGTCCTCGTCGTCGTTGGCGGGCTCGTCAACGGCGAATCCCGAGGCAGTGGCGTGAGCACTCGTTGCTGTGTCGATTTCTCGCTCTTTCAACATGTCATCCGGCAGTTGCTCTTTGATGATCTCATCCATGTTTGGCTTTTCCCTGGGCGAAGAGATGCTGGCCCGGCGATCGAACACGGCCAGACTGCGGAACAGCAGTTTGACTTTGTCCTGGTCGCCTCGCCTCAAGATCTTCTTATACCTACCGGTCATGATGGTGATGACCTTCAGCGTCGCTTCCCTGGTCAGTATACATGGCGCGAGGCTGGGAAACGGAAATGCGCCGAGATAGGTGCACATGTGATAGAGAACAGGTCCTGCATGGAGCGGCTCCGGCAACGCGAGGAACCGACACAGCGTGTCCTCCTTCCAGTATTCGACGTCTTCTTGGTGATCGGCCAAGGTCTTGAAGTTGTCCTTGTAGTGAGCGATCTCGAGATAAGTGTAGCACTTGGACGCAAACCGGAGGGCCAGTTCATGGCTCAAGTCCTCTGGATCGCCCAGATTATCAGACCACAGCCCTCAGACTTCAGACCTCAGACCTCAGAGTCTGGAACTGAGTCAAGCGATGGATGCATCAACTCACCGATGGGGACCTCCTTCGCCGGCTCCGATGACTGAGACTGGCCCATATCTGCTCATGTTCCTGTTCCCTGGCAGAGGCCTTGACAGACAGGGAGGGTGCTGGGAATTCGAGGTCTAATACTGACGACTGATAGATAGTATGTAGTCAGACCGCGCTGCACGGACAGTGGACTACAATGCTTGTACACCTATGTCATCGTCGTATGTCATCGTCGAGCCTTGCCTTATTCGCGCGTACTCCGCCGTACAGGGCTGCGCCAGGGCTTTCACGAGTCCCCATCCGTACTATATGATTTCGGCTTCCTCGTGAATTGAGGGACACCTGTTGACTCTGTGCCCCCCAGTCATGCCTGCTTTATGATGCGCGCATGGACCTTGAGGCTCTCAGTCCATCAGCCGTGCACCGTCCGCGGATTCGCGACAACTTCCACCGCCATGGCGCGGACATACGCTGTGAGCACCCCGCCTGCAGCGATGCGAAATCGAAATCGAAATGAGCAGGGCTGACAATTGTGTAGGAAGCTGTTGCCTCCCTCAACACGCTCCAGACCAACTTCGCCATTGTCGACGCAATCCGGAAGTCAGGGGGAAAGCTGAATGAGCGGGCCATTCCAGAAATGAGAGAGTGGTGCCGCAAAATTGGATATCAAGTATGCGACAATTGAGCTGAGCCCGTTACGAGCCACCGCCCGACCCTCGTCGACTAACCCGGAATTACGATAGCCATCGGATCTCAACGTATTGAAAGCCGTTCACATTGCCGGAACAAAAGGCAAAGGATCTACCGCGGCTTTCACATCCTCAATCTTGACGCAGTTTGTGGGAGACGCAGGAGTCAAGTCACTCTCAAAAGTCGGGCTGTACACATCGCCGCATTTGCGTTTCGTTCGCGAACGCATTCAGATTAATGGGCAACCACTCTCTGAAGCGCAATTTGCGCAGTACTTCTTCGAGGTGTGGGATCGTCTCGAGGATGCAGCGAAGGCCGCAGGGGAAGACCCCCAGGCTCCTGGGGCAAAGCCCGTCTATTTCAGATACCTCACGTTGATGGCCTTTCACACATACATAAGTGAAAAGGTTGACGCTGCGGTGATCGAATGTGGTATCGGTGGTGCCTACGACAGCACCAATATCCTCGAATCTCCTGCGGTGACCGGGGTCACGAGTCTCGGCATCGATCACGTCGCCATGCTTGGTTCGACAATCGGTGAAATCGCATGGCACAAGTCTGGAATCATGAAGAAGGGAGTCAAATGTTTCACGCCGAACAGTCAGGCGGCAGAGGCGAAACGTGTCATGGAAGATGTCTCCCAGGAGAAAGGAAGCACTCTCACCTACGTGGACACCGATCCGGCCATCGCAAACGGCGAGACCAAACTCGGCCTGGAGGCAGACTTCCAGAAGACCAACGCCAGCCTCGCGCTTGCCATTGCCAAAGAATGGCTGGTGCAGCAAGGCTTCGGTTCTGACCCGGACTTCGACCTCAAGGTCCGGCATGGTCTCGAGAAAGTCCGATGGCCAGGACGATGCGAGACACGACGCGAACCAGGCATCCGATGGTGCATCGATGGCGGCCACACCCTTGAAAGCATCGAACTTGCAGGGAAGTGGTTTGCTTCACAGCTGGCCACTCCCACTTCTACACAGAGTCTCTCCCCTGTCCAGCCGCAGCCTCGCTTTTTGATTTTCAACCAGCAGACACGCGACGCCACAGCTCTCGCCCAGGCGCTGTTCAACAGCCTGTCCACCGCTCTCCAAGACTCCCATCCGTTCACACATGTCATCTTCTGCACTAATACTACATTCAAGGAAACCGGCTTCCGGCCTGACCTCATCTCGGTGAACACGAATGCTTCGGATGTCGAAGCTCTCAAAGTCCAGACCGACTTGGCCGAGATCTGGAGACAGATTGACCCCTCAGCTCAGGTCGAGGTAGTAAAGACCATCGAAGAGGCCGTCGACACGGTCCGCAACTCGGCGAAGGCAGAACAAGCCGCCCGCCACGAGGGCCACCGAGATGTCACTGCCCTGGTCACTGGCAGTTTACATTTGGTCGGCGGGTTTCTTGAGGTTTTGGAGACCGCCGAGCCTAAATGAAGAGAGGGAGCAGCAAAATCAAACGTCATCAACTGATACACATGAGGGTTCCATCTATCCTCGGAGGAACGGGGTGTCATCATCTCTCAGCAATCATGAATGAAATGTATCATATTGGCGTGTATTTATCCGTACACCAATGTCAAATAAACATAATCCAAGCGCTAAAAAGGGGAAAGCTATTTTCTGGGAGGAAAACCAAAAAAGAATCCCAAGCCTCTAGAACCGCTGACGCCGACCCAAGATTGGACTGACGGGGCTAATTGTTCCAAACATGCTTCGTCGGTGGTCTTCATCCTGCGGCATCGAACTGCCCTCGTGGACGTTGGCTGGTGACGGCAGCGTGCCGATCCCACTGCTGCTCGACTCGTCCCGGTGGTGGTAGGGATAGTCTCCACCATCGTCCTCATCTCTAGTGCCGTTGCCGTCGCCGTTACCGTCCTGATATCTATTCCCATCAAGCTCCTGGATGATGGGGTGCATTGAACTACTGTCGCTGCCACGCCCTCTGTCATGCAGAAACCGCCGGGTCGGGCCTTGGTTGTAGCGCCAGGTATTCTGCGTGGCGGGCAAGGGCCATGGCGGAGTCTCGTTGGTCCCGGCGGAGGATTGGTGGCTATTGTTGCTGGAGACATCGACATCGTCGGACATGTTGTTGCCGCCCAAGCCGGGTACATGGACACTGCGTAGCAGAGAGGCTCCGTTGTTATTGTTGTTGTTGTTGGACTGCCCATTGACACTGGTGAGTGGCGAAGGCTGATATTGGCCTGACGAGTTGGAATGGGAATTAGAATTGGAGTTGGAGTTGGAGTTCGGTGTTGAGAATGTGTGGCCGTAGTTGGCGTTGTACGCGTAGTCCACTATACCCGAGTGACGTGGGTGGTCGAGGCTGTTGTACGGCGTGGCGAGCTCAAAGGGAGGTTTAGGCCTCTCCGTGCTTGCCATCTCGTGACGCTGTGTTTGGAGGGTGGGTGTCGGCTCGTGTCGGTCCGAGTGGGAGTGGTAGGGCACCTGTTGGACATCCGGTGGCGAACTTGACGAGCCATGTTTGGGATTGGAGGCATACGAGGCGCCGTTCAGCCAGCGCGAGACCCGACTGCTGCTGGATTGGCCCGACTTGTCGGAGGAGCCACTGCGTATGATGCGGCGGCGACGAAGGAGCAAGAACAGCAAGATAATACCGAGGATGAATATCACGGCCGCCGCAACGCTGATGCCGATGATGGCTCCTTTGCTCACTCCTGAGCTGCCTCGTTTCGAGGCCCCACCGCTGGACTTGTAGGGGTAGTAATGTGTGATTTGTTTGGTGTACTTTTGGGCGAAAATGCCAGCAAGAGCATTGTTAGACCAAACCGCTGTCTTCGCAGAGCTTCCTTGGGCGTCACCTCCTATAGCTTTAGTAACCATCGCGGGGACTTTATAGTGAGACCAGGTATTCGGGTCATAGCTGGTCTGGAACTCGAGCTTGTTGAGGTTGAATACCTGGATAACACCACCTTCGACACAATTGGCTTGATTCTGGTGCACACCGCCCACCACGAACATCTGGTCGGGATAAGCCATGATACAACGATGACCGGAGCGGCCATGCGACTGCTTCCCACTGTACGCTTTGACCCACGTGAAAGCAGGTAGTGACAGAATCCAGACGTTGTCGGATGGTAGATCGTCGGCATCGAGGCCATCGTAACCTCCGTAAACGTAGACGTTGAAAGACGACGAGTCCTCCGCAGCGGCGACAACCGCGCAGAATTCAGTGAGCTGGCCAGGAGCATCACCCGTGGTGTTCTGCAAATACCAGGTCTGCGTGGCAATGTCGTACACAGGCACGCTTTTCATGAAATTGGGACTCTGTGCTTTACTTTCCGAAGTCTGCGAGTCATTGAGGCCTGATGCCCAGATCTCCTCTGGCGCAGTGACGCCCCCGATCGCAACCAGGACCCCTTGCTTGGACACAGGGATCCAAACGAGTTCCGCATTGGCTCGTGGTTTGATATTGTCTGGAAGCGTCATGTTTGTCCACTTTTCACCTCTCATAGTTGCCATATCGACTTGAATAAGAGTGTTGGCGGTTTCGTTGGCCGACGAATCGTCATAATAGATTGGCCCCCAATCTGGTGATCGCATACCGCTGAGATAGAAGCCTAGATTCTCACTAGGGGCAGATATGCCGGCTCCATTCGTGATATATCTGGTGACGCCATTGGGGAGGCTCCCTTGGTAGAAGCCAGGAGCCCAGCTCTGTCGGTCAGGACCGTATTGGAAGGCTTCGTAGCCTAGGACAACATCGGCACTTTGGGCAGAGACAGAGTCGGTGAGACGAGGAAGTCCACTTCGACAATCAGTGACAGTAACGACGTAGGGTTGGAGCCTTGACTGACCCATATAGATATAGCTCTCCATCGTTGGTGAACATTGTCCCGTCGATATAGTTAGGAGCGATATTGTTTCCTGCACCACCTGCCTTAGGCATCCGGTCGAAGAGGCCTGATACATTGGTTTTCGTGGTATCGAATGGTATTGAGAAGTTGAGACGGAACATGTCTCCAGCCACATTGCCATCACTGCTCACTACCGGAGCAGTTCCATCCGCAAATGCAGTCTGCCACCAGAGCAAACCTCCGTCGAGGTAGAGAGCATCTCGAATCACACCCGCTCGAAGTCGGGCCCAGTTACATATGGTGTAGTTCTCTTGGACCGAGAGGGCTTCCGCAGTGTTTACCAGAAACCATTCGAGCAATATAGCTGCGATGTAAGTCCTCATGGCGAATCTGTGTCGCGAGTGTGAGATGTCATATCTATCTTGAGTCGTAGTGAAACACTCAGAGATACATCAATAATACCACAGGAAAGTAAAAGCGGTGCTGTGTCACAGAGTCAATATCACCTAAAATGACTTCCTCGAGGAAAGAGCGCGACATGCTGTCCATGTCAAACCTCGTCTTGATCTTTGAAGATCAGTGACCACATTCCATGTTTGCCACCATTGCGACTATCATACAGTCGGTGAAGCTTATCCATTGGTGACAATTAGTCTATGTCCACTCTTCGGGATCTTTTCAGGGTCCTCTGCGCCACGTTCGACTGATACCTGAATTGTTAGTCTTCCAGCAGGATGGGTGCGTCATGACGAACAAGCTTGTAGGGCGTTGGGCCTTGAAGCGAGGAGCAAGTAGGGGAAAAGCGGGAACTGGCAAAAGAGCATCCATGACATCGAGGAACAGCGGTGCGAACCCAGCCACGAAGGATGAGAAACAACCCCAATGAGCAGGGACGATCACGCCCAAGACAAGGAACTGGTGCTGTATTCCCTCAGAGATTCGGCCTGTGAACAGCAGCAACGCAGTCGAGACTTGCAGCTAGGCGAGCACAAGCGGCGAGATAAGAGACAAGCGTGGCAGACGGCACAGAAGACAGGCCTTCAGGGCCTTCAAGGGTACTTTGCAGGTGCTCTGTATGGCAGAGCAAGGCACAAACCGGTTTTGAAGACAGACCATCGCATCAGCCAACGGGCCGGGGGTGACAAGGGTGACGGGGGTGACCTAGGCACCTACACTATACTAAGAGGTTGATAAGGTTGGTGGAGGTGACAAGATGGATGGTGGCGGACAGCGGTTGGAACAAGGTTGCGGTGCGGGGGGGCTCGCCCGCCTTGGCACGGAGACTAACTCCAGATTCAACGTCAGGCCCTGGTTCCCTGATTCCTTGATTCCCTCCATTTCCTCTTCCCTCATTCCTCCAGTCCCCATTCCACCGTTGCAGCCGTCCATCATTCCATCATCCCTCCGCCCTGGCGCTACCCTGGGCTGCCATGCCTGTCTGGTGCCCCCGGTCCACCTCACCGCTTTCACCGGGCTAGTCGGCATCGAGGCAAGCCTGCCAGCCCCCCCTCGCTGCCCTGCTGGCCCTGCTGCCAGGATCGCTGATTCTGTCAGTGATTGGCGCGCCGGCATCTGCAACGGGCAAGGCAGAGCTGATCCAAAGCCAGGAACCGACACAAACGGTGCATGCTCAGCTAGCCCCGGTGCCAACGGGTCGAGAAGCCTAATCAGCCCTCGCAGAAAAATGGCCGATTCCATGTGGCGTGTCCATCGGTGGTTGCAACTTGCAACCCTGGAACAGACACGGACTTGCCATCCCTGTCGGGCTCTTTCAATGATGTCGGCTGTCTCTTATATCCAGCTAGACCTTTTATTCTAACTCTAGCTACCTCAGCGTGAGTCTCAGTCTCTCGGCTTGGGGATATTCTATCGTCAATGTACTTTGTTTACATTCGTTTAACCACAACTCTCGTTGAGGGCTCTTTCGCTTTGAACCCCATCTGCCGTCTGCTGTCCGGTTGCATCATGAGTATAAGTATACGTTGATGAAAGTCCAGTTGCAGCGAGGGAACTTCGCACTACAATGCATTCACTGGTCAGCTCACTGGTCAGTTCTCTGGCCAGCTCTTCACTGGCTGTCAGAGCACCACCCCCTCAGACTTGGAGCGAGGTTGCGACTGTCGGGCCGGGTTGGATCAGTACATCAACAGTCCATGACACTTTTATATACACTTGTCCGCCTATACCCACGGTATTCGTCAATGTCACTCAGTATGTGCCTGTGACGGCGACCGACACAACCTCTGAATACTTCACCGACACCACCACTGCATCACTTACCAATACTACCACCGCATCGTACACTGAGACAACCACTACACCAATCACCATTTACCAAACGATAATTTCTACCACGATCTTAACCACGGTTGGTCCAGTTCGCACCGTGTTGTAACCATAGATGCTGACGCTTCCAGACCGAAATAGTGACCGAGACTTCGACCACCGTATCACCAAGCCCGACCACACTGACTGCGACCGAAGAGCTTCTTCTAGAAACATTCACTACCGAAGTCACCAGTATCACCTTATGTCCGACACGAATAGTCAACCCGACTTTCACGGCATTAGGGCCCTTTCCCACTGACTGGACGTAAGTACTAACCCGTCAAGGAGAGACCACGACGTCCGTCGAGGCACACCTTTCCTCCTTTTCACCCAGCCGAATCTCCACGCCCAGCAATGTTCTTGTTCTAACGTGTGCCACTCTTCCAGATGGGGATGTCCTCCAGGCTGGCTGTGCAGGCCAAGTCGACAAAACTGCAACTTTGAAGCTGGTCTTCCCGACCAGAACTTCTACTGTGCGCCAAACGAGTGTATCCCTGCCCAGGCCTTGCCCGAGCCCCTTCCGATATGGGACAACAGTATCTACGGCAATTCGACGCCGACCACGGATCAAGGGCTGACAATCCAAGCCATCGACGACTACTTCAACATGGACCCCACTGCGTTTGGGCTCACCTACCAGATTTTCGTCGTGGAGGAAGTGTACACCATCACGTCGACCACCCTTCTCCTCCCGACCCCTGCCGTCGCAGCACGGCAGGCTCAGACCAGCGTGCCTGGTGCCTGTTACCCTTGGTGTAACAACTGCCTCCTGGAAGCACAATCGAGGGGCAAGATCTCGGCCCTATGCGTGCCGGGCTCTGCGTTCGAGGTGTCTCTGAACCAGTGTGAGCAGTGTGTCAGTGTGCACAAGAGCGACGGCTCTGGCAGTTTTGTGCAGATCTCGCCGCAGTTTCAGCAGTTCCTGGACTACTGCGGCCAGTTCGCCACGGTGGTGTTGACATCGTCCGTGACCGCCGTCACCACCAACACCCTTGGGTCGGCCTACAGCTCAGTGTCGCCAGTGATCTGGACCACCGTCACACCGAAGAGCTCTGTGACCGTTTCCACCTCGGCAAGCCTGCACACCTCCGTGACCGTCGTTGTAGAAACGACAGCAACCACCGAAACTCTGAGCCCCTCAACAGAGAGCACGTCGACTTCGACGGCGACCAAAACGTTGAATTCGTCGTCAAAGTCTCTGCCAGTCATCACGACGACGACAGTGGCTACTAGCAGCGGTTCCACGCCGTCCACGCTCTCATCCGAGTCTCCATACACCACGACCGCGACCGTCCCTACCACCCTGTTCTCCCTGAGCACCGTCGGCGGGAGCCAATGGTCACAAATCACCATCATCCTGCCTCTCGGAGATAACAGCACCACAACAGTCTACGGCTCGGATCTGACGAGCGGCGCCACACTCGTCCTGCCGGAGCCTTCGACCACGAGCTCGTACCTGACTACAAAGACAGTCACGCCCGGCCATCCAGGCTCAGGTTCAGCAACGGCACAGAGCACGACTTCTCCCGCCGCCCCGTCTACCTTCTCGGGCGGCGCCTCGCGCCCGAGAGTCGCAGTCACAGTCACCGCAGGAACCCTATCCTGGGAAACCACGATGCTTGGTCTGGTCATCACATGCGCCGCCGCCTTTGTGTGGTGAGCGTGAGCGTGCTAGCACAGGCATGGTTTGGTTTGGTTTGGTATAGTCTAGTATGGTATGGTATGATATGCTTTTCATATCGTACTGTACTACACTGTACCTATACTATACTGCACTGTCCTGTCATATCCTGTATGTGCGCCAGCCCTGTCCTACCCAGTGTCCAGTGTCCAGTGTCGAGAGGGAGGTCATACATAGTTCGTGTGCGGGACTTGCTAAGGCCTTATAAGGCTAATGTTGGGTTGGGTTCATCGGCTCGGGTTGGCAATCAAAGAACCCTATCCTAATCCAGGGCGGCCAAATCGCCCAAATCGCCCAGCAAGCATCGTCTTGCATACATATTCAAGTTATGAAATGAAGTATAATGAGATGAGAACTGTTCTGGTCTGGTCTGGTCTGGTCTGGTCTCTTAGACTTCTTTGCTGGATTAAGGTATCTCAGATGATAGCACGGTAATAATCCAATATAGTTTGTTAGTTAGGTACATCCACAATCACATAGCATGGGTAATGCCTACCTCCCTACCTACCTACCTATCAAAGGCTGAAATGTTCCATGTTCTCGAGCAAAGGGCTATGGGGAGCCCCAGACTATATATATAGATGTGCCAATATCAGCCTTCTGGTTAACGGGCAAGGCTGGGAATGCCTACCCAGAAGTTAATGCTTGAGTTCAACAGGAACGCCCAGACCTGGCACCTCTCATGTGAAATTAGGACGGTGATATGTAAATATAATATTCTGAGATGAATACCCAACTACTTCCGCAATAAGAAAGGGAAGATACTTTAAGTGACACCTTGTGGTTATGAAACCGTCCCGAACTCCATGCCAATACTGAGGCCACACGTTGGATAATGTCCTTCTATATCCAAAATATGCCCGGTCTTGAAGAATGACCCAGTATGCTGCTTTCCATCCAGCTCAATACATTTGCGCCAAGAACCCTATGTGCAGCTGAGCAGTCTTCGAACACACACTGTGAACTTCGTAATCCTCCCAGCGCATATCGTCTGGTTGCCAAACCTTGTATTTCTGGACGACTGGCATGCTCTTGTGGCCGAAGCTGGAAACCGCCCGCCGTAGCTGACTCCACCATCCCGATCCCGGACTTTCCTCCAAAAGCAATGTTTTAATGGCCTGATGATTCGGTGGTCCGAAGGCATCAACCCATTGCTGTAGTGACAATGAGACGAGCTCGCTATTGGACGGGGTTTCCAGTGCTTCAGAGTTCCGACCATGCTTCTGCCTTGGCGATAGCAGAAAGAAAACGTCCCTATCAGCCCCATATTTGAGCAAGATTTCCAGGATAGCGAACCGTCGTATAGTTGTTGTGGCGAGGTCGGCGAGGAAAACCATCCAAATGCTTGCTCTGCATCTCCCAGGGTCGTCTGCATCGGCAGATCTCTCGTATATGTCAATGTCCTCGTTAGGATTGGCCCCGTCTTCCAGTAAGACCCGGACTGTTTCGCTCTCCCTGCGAACAGAGGCGGACAATAGTAAATTCAAACACCCAGAAGATCTCAGTAACGCATTTGTTTCTTGTACCTTGGCGTGCAAATACTCGTGATGCCCATAAAAAGAGAGGCAATGAAGATAGGAAAAGTCGAGGGCTTTGTCCATTGCATACGTACTGTATGGAATTGTTTGACACCAGTGGATCTTACCAGTATTGACGCCAATCTCCTGAGGATGGGAAAAGGGAAGTCGTCTATGACTCTCAAGGGCTTTGCCGTACCCTTCGAGAATATCGAACTTCAACCGTCGGCTTGCCGCCTTGTGCAACAGGACAATGGTTTGTACAAGATTGTCATATAAGGGTGAAACAATGGTGAGTTGTTTAGAACTTGTTCTCGCAAACTTAAACTCCGCCAGTTGTAAGCGAAAGTAGTCTTCAACTGGATTGAAGTTTGGTACTCGGTTTTGCATGTCGCTTTGCCGTGAATGGTCACCGAGGTAGTCCTGTACACTGCGATGGAAGAACTGAACTCTGTACTTGAAATATAAGTCAGACTCCCTTGTTGGCACCATCTCCAGCAAGCCTCTCGACAAACCGTCGATACGGCAACGCATTGCTTCGTGTCGCTCGACGATCTCAGCATCAGAATATCCACGCACCGGAAGGGTGAAGGGAAAGGTAGGGTCCTCCAGGTCTTCGAGCCAAGAGAACATGAGGACATTTGGAGATGGCCATATGGAGAACACCTTTGAGAGCCCCTCTGAGTAGCTGACCAAGAGAAATATCTTGTCGGATAATTTGCGGTCTGCAGGGTGAATAGCTCCAAGAAGTTGGTCGAAAAGCTGGCCCAGGTCCTTTGGTACCGTGGCAAGTCTTTCCCTGAGCGCTGCAGCTGAATAGTGGCGTCCCACGCCTTCCAGAAGAGAGCGGACGACAAGTCGGGCCCACAGAAACACGCCATTGGCATCGCGCACGATGTCATCCACCAGTTCCAGATAAAGGTCGCTGACTCTCCTGAAGTTCACGTCCTTTTCAAACATGGAGCTCGCAAATCGACGTATGTCATTGCTGGTCACTTCATGGAGGCGGATTCGTAGGTTTGCCTCGTCAGGAAAAGTCTTCATAAACTCCGTGTGAGGGCGGCTGCTGACACAAAACTTGATGTCGTTGGACTTCGCCCATTGTTGAATCTTCCCCGCCAACTCCCAGTGTTGGACGCTATCGCCTTCATACTCATCAAGGCCATCGATGAAGAAACAGAAGCGATGTGACGGAAAGGACTGGGTTGCGATCAAAGCGTTGAAAGCCGCTTCAATCTCAGGAAAGCGTGGTACAAGCCCCTCAAATGCGTTCTGCCCGCGTCCAGATCTCTTCCACACATCCGGAAATACCTCGGCGATGAGTTCTGGACATTGCTTTAGAACCTCGAATAGAAGCGACCGATAGAGCCCTTCTACGGACATCTGAAGCTTGTTTCCAGAACTCCAGAAGAAGAATTGAGCAAAGACGAGTTTCTTCCCACCAGCCCAGCGCTGAAGGTTCTCTTTGACGCGATCCTGGCGGGAGAGAAATTTCATGAGGGTGGACTTTCCAGAGCCTGCTTTCCCGGATATGTAGAAGACTCCGCGCCCGAATTGTAGCCAGTCTGCAAAGAAGCTCCGAATCTGGTTTCTTTTGTCCATCTCCTCCCTTTCCTTCCTTTCCTTCCAGGTATATGCGTGTATCCTTTCAGATTGAAACGAGGGCGCGTCGTCGGAAGAAACCGTCTCGGAATCATTATGGGGAGAGTCACGTTCTTCTGTACTTGAGTCCTCGGTACCCGCAATGCTGCTCGGTGATCTCATGGACAAGTTTTCTTGTGCATCAGCATCGCTGCCAGAGGAGAGGCGGTCCAAGTCTTCTGCAGACTCTACGGATTCATGCCAGTCCTCAGCCTCGACCATCCAGGTAAATGTCGTGCTCTCAGCAGTCACCACGGTGTCTTCGCGGGTGTACATGGACTCGAAATATAGGCCACGAAGTATCTGAGTCTCTCGTGGCATGATGCTCGCCATTGACTGAAGGTTGCAAAGATCCTGGCGAATCTCTTTGAGCGTCGCGGTTTTGTCCGCCCCCAAGGTTTGCAATGCATCGTCTAACTTATCTCGTAAATTGCTGAATTTGTCGGCGCTCTGAGTTTTGAGTTTTGAACTCGCTTCTCCAATGCTGTCGAGTTGGCTCTTGGTTGACGAGTTTTCATCACTAGACGATAGGTTCAGTAGTGCTTCGAGGACCATTCGTGATTACCTACTGAAGCATGAGCTGAAGCCGCATAATGATCTCCGAGCGATAGCTGTCCAGTCGTTTTTCAATCGACGCAACCTCTTTCTCGCTCCAGGCAGCGCGCAGTGTTTTTCTAAGGCTCTGCCATTTCGAGTTCTTCCGCGTGACCTGCAGCTTCTTCAAGATTCGTAGCAGGTCCTCTGATAAGCCAGAACATTTTTGGGCCAGCTCGTGCAGTGCCTTTGAGTGTTTGGTGGTTGCTTCCACTTCGGGGCCTAGGGCTTCAGTGGCCTTTGCAAGATCATCAATCACGGTCTTGATATGAGCATTCGCCGACGTTGCACCTGTTGCCGAATTGTACACCTCATAAGTGTGTTTAACAACGCCGCAAGAAAAGTCAATGAAGCTGAGGATGTTGCTTGCAAGCCCGATTGCGCTCAGGGGGTCCATTTGTAAAATGGACAGAAACCTTGAAGAAGAGGAGACTATTTGCTGCAGAGAACTTCACAGGCACGTTTGAGGGAGGGAATGCCAATACCCTCGAACATGGCAGACTGCGTGGTAGATGATCTGTCTCACAGATCAGTAGCGGAGGACGGCAAATTAATCAGGAATAAGATAGAAGATGAACGAGGCAAGGAAAAAAGAAAGGTTGCCTTGGGTGGCTTTGAGCGGGCTGAACTGCACAGCCTCATTGTGCAGTCGGCGAGGTAGAGGGCTAAGGGGCTCTGCAGCTTTGCCTTGCCAATCATAAGAGGTCGTCTTAAGTACAGTACACGGGCGCGCAGACTATTGAGTTGCAGCCAGCGGCAGATATCTGGCACGCGCAGGGGTATATTGTACGTGGCGCCATTCGACCTGCAAGCCTACCCAACCTTCAGCTCGAATCAGTTCAGCTGGTCAGCACCCCTGACCTCCGAGCTCCGAGAGGGCTTAGGCTAAGGCTGACCGGCTATTTGAGAGGCCAGGCTGGTGGTGGTGGTGGTGGTGGTGATTGAGTGAGTGAGTGAGTGAGTGAGTGAGCCAGCGCCGACGGCCCAAGCCCCTTAGCCCCTAAGCCCATCTGGTCAGTAGAACCCGCCAATACAGAAAGCCTACTGTAGTATGGCTATGGACAGCGGTGGAGCGAATAGGAATGAGCCATAGGAAAAAATCCTCAGCCTCTTCACAGTCCAGGAATTGACGATCTGGGCGAGACAAGGTACTCCGTGTAGGTACCGTGCGTACAGCATAAGGTATCTATATAGCACTCTGACATTGCCAACGTGTTGGTGTGTGGTGGGTATCCTCGGGCTTAGGCGTCGGGGAACAGAGCGGGGTTTATGTATGTACAGTATCTTGATTCCTTGGGGTAGAACTGGTCGAGTATCCGGAGGCAGAGCTGGACTCAACAGGCTTGGGCACTTCCTCCGAGTGCTTCCCGCCCGCGGCCCGAGGCTCAAGAGGCCCAAGCCCATATCTGGTACCCCCATGATTCCCCAGGGACGGATTTCGGATTTCCAACAACCTGAACAATTAGAGTATCTGTTTCGCCGCGCACACATAGCCACCATCGTCACGGGCGGAAAAAGACAAAGGCCCAAATCTACCTGGTACCTCCTGGTATTCAAGACCTGTGAAATAGATCAGCATAGGCCATCCAGGTCATCTCCTGATCCTGATCAATCCCGAGGCGCGAACTTCACCTCCAAAATGTCACCTTCGACTCCGGCCGCCAAAATCATCGTCATCATCCGGAAGCGCCCGGACATCTCGCTGGATGAATTCCAAACCCACTACGAGAAGAACCATGTGCCGTTGATTCTCAGTACCTGCCGTGGCATGTCGAAATACGTGCGCAACTACGTGCAACCGGGCTCGGACCTACACCCCACGGGGCACAAGGCCGAGTACGACTGCGTCACCGAGGCCTGGTTCGATACGCTCGAGGACTTTGAGAAGTTCAAGGCCGACTTCGCAAATTCGGCGGCCATCGCGGCGGACGAGGAGCGCTTCGTGGATAAGTCGTCTCTTCAGCTATTTCAGGTCACCGAGGCCGGTGGAGTTGTTTGAGATGCATGGAGGATGGGTGCGGTCGACCCGGAAGAGGAAGGGGAATGAGCGGGTGGGCGAATTCGATGTTGAATATGCAGTTAGTTCTCTCGAGAATAGAAGATGAGAAACTTAGCTGGAATGAACCAAAACTACGTATACTGTTCGCAAGGGCCTTTTGGTGACTTGACCACTTCACTACTACTGGTGACTGCACGATTTGAGGAAAGAGGGACGAGCACTTGAATCAAATGCTCGACCGTAGAATCACGTGCCATGTGCGGATTGGCGCCGCACGCCGCACTGCGCTTTTCGTGAACCTTCAATCGACCCTTCAACAACCCAGACGCATTCCAGTTTCAAGCTGATCATCTCGGGCCACCACCTTCGACTGCCTCCAAAGGGTGCCTTTAACCACTGAAGACGTACTCTCATTCGAACATTCTTCGAACCCAACTCCTCCGGTATTCTTAACTTGTGCCGAATCAGGTTCAGTCCACCTGTACCTCCAGAAACCTCGCACGAGAACAAGCAACAATGCTACCACGAACGCTCTCCACGCGCGTGGCGTTCCTGCGCTCTTTACTTCCTCAAACTCGATTCCTCAGCACCTCAATATCCAGACCGTCATTTAGCGCGTTAATACGAAGCTCGATAAAACCGCAGTCGTCCACGCTCCCGACTTCGCTGCTCACTGTGCAAGTTCGTGGAATGAAGACCCGCTCATCAGTAAAGAGATTGTGTGAGAGCTGCAAGGTATGGTTTTCCGATTACTTCCCAATGGCACCCTTCAGGACTTGTTCTCATTGAAAGCGTTGTGATGGTTTTGACGTTGGCTAACAAAGAGCTCTCATGGCAGGCTGTGCGCCGCAAAAACCGCGTCTTCATAATCTGCGATAAAAACCCAAAGCATAAGCAGCGCCAGGGTAAATGAGTGTACCTCTGGTCTGGATGAGATGAGTCGTCGAACCGAGACTAATGTTCGGATTGCGGCTCTCCTACTTTCCCCCTCTGCTCCGACAATTCAACTTGAAGCCATAATAGATCTCAGGAGCAAAGAAACCCACAAGCTGGGCTCTCGCCTCTTCGGTTGAGATCAGCTGCTCGGAGAATCATGTGCCCAATCCGCCGGCTCAGTCGAAATTACCTGATGAGAAATCCGGGCTAGCATAGCTGCGCCCGGCTCAGAAAGAGGGCTAGAAAAAGACTCGCAGCTCTTGTACAAGCAACCGCATCATACTTGGTGATACCATTAGATGGCCAGGAGGGGGGATGCTGTCCACAAACAAACGGGAAGCTAGAGAACTATATCCTCAGTTACGTGGAGTTGCATGGATGTGCATGTATACAAAATTCGGCAGCAACTGGTTAGGATTTGGGATGACTACCTGTAGTAAGGCACTGCAGTCGATTCGGACAGAAAAGAAAGCAATTCCTCTTCACCATCATCATCGAGCGCACGCGATCCGTTGTGATAGCTCGGGCTTCCTAATTGAAGCATGTAGCACATAATCTCCTCAGGCCCCAATAACCAGATGTTTGGTTGTACACACAGCCACATCCTCAGTTATAAAAGCACGATCCCGATGCCTCCCCGCTTGGACTCGTCGGGCTGATTCTTAGAATTGATGCCTCCATTGATCGCCTTCGTTCTCCAGTTGTAGAGGTAGTGATGGAGCTGACCGTCGCCGGCGCCAAACTTCAACTGCTCGAGGAACATGGGGTTGTCGTGCAGAGTCAGGGCATTGAAGACGTCGAACTTGGCCTGTGAGAGTGATTTTCTGTCAGCAAAAGCAGGCTCCTTGGTTCCACGGGGCCCGACCAGCTAGCTAGCTTACCTTCTTGGCCTCGATGAGCAGATCCTGGTTCAACTGCAACAGTCGGTCTTTCAAGCCCTTCTCCTTCGGGTTGAAGGCTTGTTCCGTGGCGTAGTAGTAAAGATAGGCAGCGCGGATCTTGTCGTGCTTCTTACTCATGTCCCCGATGACACTGCTCTCGAGGCAGTAGAAGCTTCCAAAGTCGGTGATCTTGCCATCCTGCTCGACGACAAACGACCACACGACCTGGTCTTCGGGCTTGTGCCTATTGACCAGCCAATGCTCGATCTCGTCGCGGGTGAAGACCTGGGCAAGTTCGAATCTCTCCAGGTAGCGGGACAGCAGGTCGTGGACCTGATCGATGTCTCTTTCCTCCATCACTCGCCATCCGGGCGTGCTCGTGTGCGGCGGCAGTTGGTTGCGGGCGATCATCTTGGCCTGGGTGGTGTTGGGTGGCAGCGGAGAGAAGCCGACCTCGTAAAGCTTCAGCCAGTCCAGACTGCGGTGGAAATAGCGACAGCTGCCGACCGGAGTAGGCAGCACGACGCCGCCCGTGTAGATGGCCTGGTAGACGCCGTCCAGGTTACACCTTCGGGTGATTTCCTTGATGAGCACCGGCGCCAGCCTCCTCGACCTCAGCTTCTTGTGCACGCACATGAAGTTGATCTCCACCACGTCCAGCGTGTTCTGGCGGATTCGCAACTTGATGGGGATGCCGAAGATGGACGCCACGAGAAGTCTGCTCGGCCCTTTGGCCCGCACCCCGATGTGCCAGCCCTTCTTCCACCCGGGCGACTTGAGCGCCCAGTCCAGGAAAACAGCCGAGTAGTTGAACCGAAACATCGCATGGTCGTCCTCCACGTAGTGCTGCGAGAGGAGCTTGTAAACCTCCTTGATCTCCGCCTCGTCCGTCAGGTCAAGCTCAACCCACTCGTAGCCTTCGGGCAGAGGCGCTGCTATCTTGGGCACTATCTCCGGAGTGACTTCTTTGATGGGACCGTCGGGTTTGTCGTCGACCTTCTCATCGAACTTGAGCACCGGCTGCGTGCCCCAGAATTTGTATGATGCCATGTCTTTCTGGTTCTTGCCGCTCAACGAGATTCCGCTCAGCAACTGTGACACGTCCATCTTCTTCAAGATCTCCGACGCCTTCTCAGGAGGAATCCCGGCCAACTCGCCCTTCAGTGACGGGTTCAATTCCAGCAATTTCTTCACGGCTTCATCGGGCAGTTTGGACGCGGTCTTGGACGATTCGGCAGCTTCCGACGATTTCTCCCCTTTGAGAGCAGAGAGGAGTTTGGCCTTCTTCGACTTCTTCTTCTTTTTCTTGGGCTTTCCAGCTGTCGTTGTGGTGGTATCTTGCGTCTCTTCTCCGGCTTGTGGTTGCTCTTCGGCGCCTGACTCGGCCTCGGACTCCGACTCCAATTGCACCTCTGGAGGGGCACCGACTGGGTGAGATTCTGCCATGGCGACGAGACAGGGAGGGTGGCTTCTGTGTGAATTCCTTGAAAGCAGACGACTGCTGGCGAGAAACAATGGGCGCAGGTCAGACGAGATGCCCCGCTACGGTGGTTGAAACTCCGCAGACGTCAACGGCTAAGGGCTCAGGCCTTGTTTTCCATGTATGTACTACTAATTCCTAGGCGTTCACTGTGATCTCGCTTGGCGGTGCCACGTGCCTGAAACTTAGTACCATACCAATTAACGTAGTTGCAACGTCAATGTCGCCCTGTTGTCCACAGCCTTGCCTTGTTGCAAACCTAATCATCCTTTGCCGTAAAGTGATAATTCTTTGTTCAGGTGGTAACCCTTTAACCACGATCTTATCCGCCAATTGTTTGGACTTTGCGTTTATTGAGAGTATTGAGGGCGTCTCAGAACACTCAGACCCCTAGATTCATCCATTCAAGATACGTCTTCAAACATCCAGCCCCTTTACTTTTTCTCTGGTGTCTGGAAGGGTATGATGTAACCCATTCCTTTCCCTCTGGTGTCTGGACGGGTATTTCTAAACCAAGTGGGCAGCATCACACCACTCATCCTAGCTGCAGATACTCCAACCATGTAGAATGTCTCCGTTGACACTTGCTCAATACATAGACACCATCATGGTGTAGCATTCAAAGGTTGATTGTAGACAAAATACTGCTGATGCAGTACACCTCTTCGCCAGGCGCGTGCAATTCAAGGCGAAGAGGTAATGTGTTCACGAACTTCTCAGCTAACAATCAATCGAACCTCATATGAGCATGTAGCAACTCAGTAGAGCTAGAGCTTGCAAGTTCAAGGATGAAGAAGTGGGGGCAATGAGCTCTGCACTGGGGTGGGTATATGCTCCTCTCGCCTGTTTACATCTGCCATCAAGTACATGGCCCACGCCCAACAGGTGTGTCATGTGTATCATGCTGAACGCGGTGCGCACAGGCAAGACTCCTCCTCTGCTTGCAAACCCGACGAATACCTCAATAGGTTGTAGTAGATGAAAAGAGAGACCTGTCATTCCCTGGCGTACAAGTATACAGTACAACCTGACTGGTGGCGACAATCCTCGAGCTAGACTGACAAAGTAATGTATGCCTTAGTCTGGTAAAGTGTACCATGCAACAAAAACAAAAACTGGTGGTCTTGAAAACATGAAGGCCTTGAAAATGGCAAAAACTTTTTCCAGGAAGCCCTTATTACAGGGGTTCCTGGGAAGTGAAACCCGGGTATCAGGGTTTTTTCGGTTTGGAAGGAGGAGGAAGATTGACCAATTAATGGAATCTGGTATCGTATGGGATTTGAACTCGAGATCTCGGTATCGCCCAGGGACGGTGAGTTATGAACCCGCACTGCACCTAAAGCTTGGTAGAGCCATCCTTAAGGATAGCCCACTGAGCCAAGTAATATGCCAGGCTCCCCACTTTGAGTTCGACCTGGGGGTCTTTGCGATGAGGAATAATGTTGCACTTACAAAATATATCCTTGATTTTTCCAGCCCGGGCATGCAGTGAAGGAATTGTCTTGAGCGGTGTCTCGCATCTCGGGCGGTGAAGGAAAATGTCTTGAGCAGTGTCTCGCATCTCGGGTCTCGGTTGCTTCGACTAGGCTTTTCCTTTTTCTCACTCCGGGGGAAAGGCCCATTCCATCCCATCTACCACAATCATCGCCAGCACAGATCATTCGTTCCCCAACTCGTTCAAAGTCTCTCGCCAGAGCTCAGCCAGCACAGATCATTCGTTCCGCAACTCGTTCAAACTTCTCGCCCAGAGCTCAGCCAGTACTGCAACTGTCAACACAGCTACCTTACTTACAGGAAGCATCGCCTACACACAGCACACAGCACCTCTTTCGTTCCGTACCATCCTAGTCGACGGGGTGGCACTGGAAGCATCGCCTGCACACGGCACCTATTTTCGTTCCGCGCCATCCTGGTCGATAGGGTGGCGCTGGAACTTCGTTAGCCGGCCGTTGCAGGACTTAGGAGCTGGCCGTTGCAGAAAGACTTGGAGCTGGCCAGTTGAGAACGGGGCGGCTGTCCGCTTCAGTGCTCATTGTGGATTACAGTTCGACAGATAAGTGCCACTATTCTGAATGCCTACCTTATGACTGAGTTGAATCCTGGTGCTTTAGTTCTCTGGGCAGACAGTTGAATTCTGGTGCGTTGCTCTCATCAGCCTTGTCTGCCGGTGTGTGCAAGACCATCGTCTTCACATGGCGTCGTCGTCCTACGCATTCCGGAGCTCAGAAAGAAAACACAATTGAATTGGCAAAGACGTCGAACGTCGAAATAGTCCTGGATTGTGGCTACCTTATCTAATCTCTGGGCACTGTCCCACCACACTAGCAGGCAGCGCCAATCAGATTCTGTACATATGTATCCGTACTCCGTACATACCAAGCATTGATCAGCTCTGCAGGACTCAGTACTTCCCCCTATAAAACTTGGATAGCTCTCATCGGCCCAGACGTATACTTCTTGGACAGATTCGTATCAAGTTCATGGCTTGCATCCAGTATTTACTGGCTAAGGGTCCCATGTGCCAAACTCTGGATCCCGTTGGAACGGTGCCACCACATCATGTTCACTGGAACCCTCGTGTCACGTGATGACCATATGTGCTTATGTCAGCACACTCTTGGCGCCCGCTCATTGGCCATCCCCCGCTTTCCCCTCACCCCCAAACTTGTTTGATCAGATCAGATCAGATCAGATCCCATCCCGCATCTGCTTTCCCCGGACTCTCGCGTAAGAGAACGTTGCAATTGCAGTGCCTCCACACGCCTCATCCTACCAGACGACGTTGCGTTCCGAGATCCATTATGGCCAGCAACGTCGAGGTATCTGCATCTCTCGAGCCCGTCGGGGCAAGAGCAAGATCCGCACCAAACGAAGCTACTCGCCAGTACCAGGCGAATGGTGCCGCCATCCTTGCTGTGTGCTCAGGTGCGTATGGTGCCCAGATCTTGCAGAGAGACCAACTGTCTCATCGGATCAGCGCTGTTGCACCGCCGGTACCTTCAGCCAGCACTGCCACTGTTCAGGCTAACTCTGACCCATACGATCCATTCTTCATCCCTCTCCCGATCCTCTTCGAAACTCCTGTGTCTCCACAGCCGGGCTCAGCATTGCTCCAACTGCCAGACGAGATCCTTACGTTGATCATGCAGCAAGTCAAAATCCCATACTTCCAAGTCTGCTTCGCCTTGACCTGCAAGGCCATGGGCCGAATTGCCAGCATGAAGAATCTCTTATCCCCGTGGCGCGGATATCGAGACAAGGATGGGTTGTTTCGCCTGTTGGAAAGAAAGCATTACATACCGCAACAGCTGAGACTTTGTCGCGCTTGTTTCCTTTTCCTCCCCCGCGACCGCGGCCACTGGACTCGAATTCTGGCGGAACCCGAGTTCGACAACAAGTACGCAAATTGGTGTGACATTCTCAACTGGTTCGATCCCAAATCGTACTCGCAGCATCGATGTCCGCGTTGTTGCATCCGTGTGTACACCAGTTACATGAGTGAGGAGTGTTATGAGACCGATACCGGGGACAAGGGCGTCAGCAACGGAAAGAGAATTTGTCCGGAATTGGTGAGGCGAATGAACAAACCCTAAATCGAGCGAGGTTGCACCTCCCCATGTTGTCGGTTTGAGGTGCGCATACTGTTGAAAAGTTCGTTCCACTTGGCTGAGAACAACGAATCAGTCTTGCAACAACAGCCCCAAACCCTCTTTTTCACCCCGGCGTTCGGCAATTCTCACCTCCAACAAATCCGTCGACGCGCGGATGTACAGCCCCCCCAAGACCGTCAATGTCGCGATCAGAATACTGCAGCTGAGGCCGATGCTTGACTGCGTATTTGCTGAGCAATGACTGAGCTCAAAACGACCACTCCCCCGAATGTATGATATCCATCTCCGCCACACAGCGCGGGAAACGAACTTTTGCTTCTCAGTCACCCACAACAATGTCCAGCTCCGAAAGATTGCTGCACCAAAATGTCTGTCCGATCTTGCTCACCAACAAACATGACACCGTGCTGAAAATTCATATCATCTTGCTGCGACTGCGAACGAAAGATATGAAGGACGACTCGAGTGCATCAGGTAGATACTGGTGCGATTTGGGATGAACAGAACCTGTCATCGAAACCCGGCAGGAGCAACCCCCGGTATTGTCGAATCTGGAAACACACAGTGTTGGCAAGAAACCCATTCTTAGGCTCCTGTGACCCGGAGAATCTACCACTTACCACTTTTAACACCGGCCACGGAAACAGGATATGGCTGAGCTTCAACTGGACATTTTTAAGCTCTGAACCGCCGAATTGGGCCCTCCCCTGAGGTTGAGGTCGGAAATGAACATACCGAGGTGGCAGGACACGTCTGGACTCTGGAACCACTTCAACATGGAATTTGCCAGGACTTGAGTGAGTGAGCCCTGGACTCACTACAGCTGTAAGCGCTTTCAGGTCTCCAGCCAGGACAGGATACGACGCGAATCCTGAGCTACGTTCCCTATGTCTAGCTATCCCGGTGCACGATCGAATAACTTGCTAGATGGCTGAATGGAAGAACAAATGCACGCATGAAAAGACTGGAGATGGCAAGCATTACTGCTCCGACCCGATCCGATCCGTTTCAAAGCTCGATTCAATTGAGCTCGAATCCACTGTACGTCCAGATCCAGGGATGCTAACTGCAGTAGTGCCATGCATCAATGAGGTGAAATGAAATGATACCCAGGTGATACTACTGTGAGCCGGGCACACAACAATTCATCGCTGATGCCGCCGTGGCCTTGTCCTTTTCCCCGAACTTTTCGGCCTCGTCTTGCGTTTCGTTGCAGTCTCATCATCCCCTTCTCCATCCTCGGTCATGTCATGTTCATGTTCGTCTCCATTGATCACGACGGTCTCGTTTTCCTTTCCCCTTTCCTTTCCATCTCCATTTGCATCGGCAGGTCTACCTGGCTTATCAGGACCATCGACGCCTTCACTCTCCTCATGCTCCTCATCCGGGTCCTGCTGCTGATCAGGATCATCATCGCCACCGGAATTCCCACGTCGCCTCTTCTTCTCAGCTTCCCCTCGGAGCCGCTTGAACGCATTCTTCATCCGTCCAGACTCCTTGGCTGTACGGTTCCTGGGCACCATGGCCTCGGGATTTGCCGCTCCCTCGCCTCCAACCGCAAGTCCTAGCCGACCTTGACCAGGACCCGCGCTTGCTCGTCCGGCTGCACCTAGGCCAACCCCACCGGTGAAGAACCGAGTAATATTGCTCTGTGTCCCCTCCAGCTCGCGCTTATTCATATCCCTAATGACAGGAACCAGGACTTCGTCTGTCCGTTCTTGAGTCCACCCGATCGTCGCCATGAGATAGCCTCGAAGCTTGTCCAGATCGGGCAACCCCCACTGGAAGGGCTCCGGACTCGAATCGACCTCCGGATGCAGATATGCTTCATCAACTCTGTGGTCCGGAAATCCAGGCGGAAGGAAGATTCGCTTTTGGACTGTCTTGCGGAATTTGCGACGGAACGGTGTCGTGAGCTGGCCTTCCAGGTCCTGCGGCCGTCCGAGCTGGACCTTGGTGCACCACTCTTGGAACTCATCAAGAGTTTCAAAGTCACTAAGTATCTCGAGTGCCGTGACCGGTCCAATCCCCGGGATTCCTTCAGTATAATCGCTTCCCAGTAAGTGGGCGAAACTAATCAAGCGGCGGCGATCCAACAAAAACTCCTTTTCCAGTTCCGACGCCAGATAGCATTCGACGAACTTGGCCGCGTTGAACATGTTCTTGTAGATCCTGGTCCCGCCGAACAGGAAAATGTCCGAGTCGTCCGTCACAATGCCGTCCACCAAGCCCAAGTGCACCAGTTCCGCGCATTGTGCTTCAGCTTCCATCGGTGCGGTGATGTAAGGGAGTCCGAAGAGACGGAGGAGAGCCTGGCATTCTTGCACCATGACCTGCGTGACCTCGTCGGCGTCACGGCGATCCTTCTTTTGCTGGTTGCGCAGTTGTTTCAATTCGGTCTCGTAGTCGCGAACGGCCTGGGCCGAGGTCTTCTGATTGTGGAGGGAAGAGGCAAACCGTGCATGCTCTTCGGCTTCAACCGCTAGTTGCCGCATCAGCTCTTCTTCGGATTCAGAGAGGTAGTCGAATTCTTCTTCGGCGACTTCGGCTTGGGCGGGGGGCGGGACGTTGTCTGGCTCTGCTGCAGTGAAGTCGCCGCCGACAGCTGCCTGAACACCTGCGAACGACACCTGCGATGGTTGGGCTGGAGGCTCCACATCCACATCCTCAAAAGCTTCGCCTTCATCGTCATCCTGTCCAACAGGCGCTGTAGGAGGCTGAGGGGTAGGTTCTTCAATTAAAGTCTCGTCCATAGTACCGAGTGACCCGGGACTCGTAGGTTGTTCGTGCTCAGATTCACTCCATTCAACCTCCTCAAAGTCACTCCCTGCTGCTTCCGTAGACTTTGTTTCCGGGCGAGGCTGCTCGAGAACATCGCTAGGCACCGTAGAGGGCAGTGGAGGTTCAGTTTGTGCCTTGTCCACCATGTCGTCCTCACGCTCATTTTCGGCCGCAATCTGGCGTGCAAGCTCGTAGCGTTTTTCGCGCTCTTCGTCTCGTTTGCGGCGCTCAGCATCCTCGGCTCCACCAATCTCATCCACTTCATCTGTCTTCGCTTGGCTTGGAATGGCTGTTCCATTGTCCGCATCCTGAGAAGGCAGGACTTCTTCCACCTCACTCTCCTGATCCAAATCAACAGGGTTCTCGCGAAGGCCTTCTTCATCTTCGGCTTCCAGATCAATGACTTCCGTCTTAGATGGGCGGATAGTGTCTCTCATATTAGACGCTCCCGGTCTCGCCATCACCTGATCCTCGTCAACCTCATCATGTGGATCGGCCGTGTGTTTGAGATCTTTGGTACTGGGAGCGGCATCGAACCAAGAAGGCACGGGCTGAGGTGGTCTCTCTTTTCGAAAAGCGTCTTCACCCAGATTTCGATCGAATCCTCCTGACAGATCCTCCTCAATCTTCTTCGACTTCTTCTTGCCAAGCAGAGACTGTCCCAGGTTTAACGACTCGAAAGGAAGCGGGCCATCGAATTTGGGCATCTCCGCAGTCGATTTCGATGCTGTGTCTCTATGCCTGACATTGGTTTTTCCTGCAGGCTTCGACCGTCTAGACTCCGCCAATGCAGCCTGTAGATCGAATCCGTCATCTTGATCAAGATATTCTGCTGCGGGTACTCCGCTCGCGATGAACCCGCCCTCAACACTGGTAGCATCTGAAGGTTCCAGAGACATTGCAATGGCTCTTTGCAGGTCGTCATCTTCGTCAGCATGCTCTGGAGGCAGAACGTCTTCAAAAAGCGCGTCGACATCGTCACCGTCATCGCCAATCTTGTCCTCCGGAACAAAGAGTGCTTCATCATCCGCATCAGTACCCGCGGAAACCGCAATTGGACGAGCCTGGGGAGCACTGGCAACGACCCTTCTGGCTTCGTACACTGCTTTCCGCTTCATTGCAATCTGCTCGACAGCATCGTCGTAGGACTTGTCGTAATCCGCAGCTTTCCGTTTGCGTTGCCATGCTTTGGGTACCCGGTTCAGCCCTTCAATCGCAACATCCTCGAACTCTTCCTCTTCTGCCGACTCGGCACTGAGATCCACCGACTTCTCTTCGTCTTCCAGGTCGATAGCATTCTCTTTCCGGGTACCGTGCTTGTTTGAAACAACCCCCAGTGCCCAACCACCATCGACACCGTCGTTTTTCACTAGAATGTATTCCTTCCCCTTCTCACCTGCAATCCTACCACCTTGGTTCAAGAAATCTTCCGCCATTCCATTGATATGCATTAGTCTTTGCGTAAGCTCGTTTCGCTCCTTGACCCGCTCAATCTGGAATTTCGAGAATGCCATCCGGTCCGGAAACATGCCGTCAAGCTGTTCTTTGGAATAGCCCATGCGGAGCCGCGAGCGCAATCTGGCGGCATTGAGAATGTTGTAGCGATCACCAGCCGGAAGCGATAAGAAGAACGGACTTTCAAAGTCAATTTTGCTGAAATCGTAGAGATTGATGTCTTCACCGCTATGGAACTGTCGAGCATACTCCTCAAGTTCTGCCTGTGACATGATTCTCGGGTCATTGGGCGCGCCCATGTTTTCAAGACTGACGTCGAGATCCGGCAGATGATATTGGTCCTTTTTCCTGAACCGTCTACCGGCCTGTCTTTCAGCTTGTGTCATGCCTATCTCGTCCACATAGACAAGCTCCTGTTCGGGTGGCAATTCCTCTTCCACAGGTGTGCGTTCTCTTTCTGCTCTTCGGCGTTTCTCTTCCTCCTCCGCAGCCCTCGCGACTTGCACGGCAAGCAGTTTCCCCGCTGTACGGGCCGCGTCCTCCCGTCGTCCCTCTCGTCGTCGGGCTCTTCTCCTGATAGTCTCGCGCTTGAGGATTGGTGCTCCTCCATCAAAGACGAAAACAGGTTTGATGCCATAGTAAAGCAGCTTGCATATCCGCCTGAAGAATCCCACCACATGACTGTTCCTCAGTGCATTGCCTTCTTTATCACGGACCGCCTTGAGAAACTGATAAATCCATATGGACGCATCGACGGCAAGGCGTTTACGATTCAAGGAGGCGAGTTGTGTAGGTCGCGCGGTTGGCGCCACCACTGTCCAAAGACCTGTCACACCCATGTTGAGGGTATTGCTTCAGGACGCCACAAGCTCTGATGCCGTCGACGTGCGGTGAACGTCTCATCACTGAGGGCGGAGTCATAATAACCCGAGGATATGTCTTCCCAAATATCAAGACACTCGAAAATCGGTGGTCGATGGCCATCGTGCCTCGGATTTGGCTGCGGTCCGGCAGCCTGATCGACGTCATGCAAAGACACAAGATCACGTGACCTCTATAATTCCCTGAGCGGCACCAGCGGAGAGCATTGAAGCATACGGGTAGTTATACGCTTAGAGTACATCGTGTTGGGCATTCCTTAATTTGCTATCTTCGAAAGAGCTCATGCTTGTGATTGAAAGAGTGAATATAGCCCTTCCCCAGCCGATGACCGACTTGCATATTGATACGACCTCGACGCCATGCTAGATCAACAGTACTGGCCAGTAAGCCCCGGGTGTTCAAACGAAAGTGACAAGTAGCCCCATGGAAAAGTAAAACAGACTGCCCTTTCAGAACCATGCTACGACTTTTCTTCCGTCTTTGGATTTTCCGCCGACCCTGAAGGGCCAACAAGAGTGGGGGCTATTCTTCGCCTCTTGGATTTGCTCTCCTCCTTCTCGCTTTCACTTGTTGTTCCGACATCTCGCTTCCCTAGAATTCCTCCACTGACCGAGCTAGTGGCAGAATGGTGGCCGCCATATACACTTGCTGGTGTTTGGGGCGGCGTTGACATTGGAGGTATGGCCACAGGAGGGCCCGAGTTGGAGGCTGTGACAAGTGGCACATGGCCCATGGTCGGAGTGGGATTATTGGTCAGGCTGGAAGCCTGTATTGATACCATCGTTGCTATCGAGGATTGCGAATTGGATCTCGCCGGGCTTCCAGGACGGAGCACAAAAGGTGCTGGAGAAGGGTGGGATGGCGGTACAGGGACCGGGGACGCTTTCGTCAATGAGGGCGAAGCGGTTGCAGTAGGGGTCGGTACGGGCGTGGAATTGGACGATGACGTTGGCAGGGAAATCGAAGTAGAAACGACGGGATGGTTGTACGTTGGATGAGGCCCGGTGTAGACTTGGCCTAATTCACCAGGCGTGAAAGCCAATGTCGAGCAATATCCGTCCGTTGATGACATGAGCAAAGTGAGACCGTTATTGGACCTTGCGAGCAGACTGTTAGCCAGGTCAATGATAGCGGGAGATGTTACTTACCACGTCAAATCGGTAAAAGCAGCATAGTGAAGATTACTCACTACGCACAAAGGTGATGTTTGCTGTGTGTCGTAAACAAAGACCGCGTCTTGAGTTGCAACAGCATACACCATTCTGTATGGCAAAGCAAAGGCCGGGGGTGGCGCAGAGCCGGCCGCTTCGTTCTCCACTGCAGGTCTAGGGTATGGTGCAGCCATCGATTCGGGAGCAGACGTGGAGATCGAAAGTGGCGCAGGCTCCTTGAATGCGGAAGAGTTCTGGGGAACGATGGGATCGGGGAGTAGGGAGATCTCCTCGCCCGCCGACGATGTGTCAATGGTGATATGATTGGTCGACTTGTTTGTCGTCCGTAAAGTATAGAGTATTGGCGAACATCTGACGGCGACGGAAGGCTTCTTGTGACCAGGCAAATGTGCCACTGGGGGCTTGTTGAAACCAGCACGGGTGTAAATGTAAACCGTGTTCGCAACTTCTTCGGTGGTCTTGGTCGGATCAGACGCCGTGGGGAAGGCTGTCTTATAGTGGCCCGCCGGCGTGAACAAAAGACTCCCATCCGGAGAGAAGGTGAGTCTGCGGAAGAAAGAGGCCATGGTCTCATTATGGTAGAGGTTTGTATTTCTCACGGCCAGACCCATTGCCGCATTGAGGCTCGGCGATGATATTTCCGGTCTCACCGCAGGGAGTGGCAGCGAGGGGGCCGGTGAAGCAGAGCGGCGGAAGGAGGGGGAGGATCCGAACGACGACCGGCGGCTCGAGGTTGTCAGCATAGGTGGATCCATTGGGAGAGCTGTAGTAAGGGGAGTGCCAGGATTTGAAGGGGCGGGAGAAGCAATGGCGAGGCTATTGGCATTGGCACTGGCACTTGATGTCCGGTGCGTTAGGTCTGGTGGAGGAGCCGGGCTGTTGGAAGATATCCGCCGACCAGGCAGGTCCATCTTGTTGAACTTCCCATGTGTAGATAGCGTCGGAGTGCCATCTTTGAGCCTCAGGGCGTAGATGTGCACCGAACGGTCTGATGACTGCGTAGCAACAAACTCATTGAGAGGATCCCAGGCCACACCTTGCACAAAATGGCTGTGTTCTGCTATTTGGCGGATCATGGTACCTGCAAGGATTAGCTCAAGCTCTCTTTAAACATTACAGAGAACTCGAACCGGTATGTGCACTGAAAATCCTTGCGGTGTTGTCGACTCCTCCTGTGATGAAGTACTGCCCATCAGGGGACCAAGCCAAATCATATATCTCGGCTCCACTAGATGTCCGACACATATGCTTGATCCTCCATGTTTCCTTGTCGTCGGCATGTTCGTCGGTCAATGTAGTCATCGATGACTCCGATGGAACCCAGAGTAGAACGTTGCCATCGTCACCAGCAGAAGCCAGCATCTCGCCTGTGAATCTTGTCAGAGCGCGTCCAAGGTTGTTTTCTGTGCAAGCCAACCTTTAGGACAAAAGCGGACGACATTAACAGGCTGAGTATGCCTTGTGAGCGTGGAAAGGTATGTCACTTTTCTCTCCTCTCCTTGAGCTTCGATGCTCCACAACTTCGTACGGCGTTAGTCGAGGACTCAGGCATGGGGGTATAGAAGAGGTCATCGTACCCTAACATTGTTGTCACTGTACTTCGGTTAGCTGGATAACGGTAGTGTCGGCTGGGTAAACTCACTTTCCAGCAGTTGCTAGTCGTCCTTTGCCATGAGGATCGAAGTGCACAGAATATATGGGCTGGCTTTCATTGTGCCAGCTGACAAGAAGAGGTCCGGCTTTCATTTTGGCATGGGTGAGTGGCCCGGCAGGCCACTTCGTTGCAGTTCAAAATGTTGAGGTGATACCTCGAAGCAAAGCTGTCAAAGGGTGTGCTGTGGGGGATAGATGACTGTAAAGCTCAGTTTGAGAAACAAGGCTCGGCACAGGCGCGGGTGAAGCCTGCCGGGTTAAAACATGAGGCGACAAGATCACGGTGAATAGCACTTGTAGAGGTGGAGAGGAGGTTGATGCTGGAGCATATATGTTGCAGGTGTACAAGTAGGGTCCGTCGTGGCAGAGAGATCAGAGGTGGGAGGGCCGGGGGAGTAGTGATTGCAGTCTATGCACGAGACAAACGGAAGCATGGATCAGTGCAGTGGGCAAGAAAGACATGGACGGCATGGAAGACGGGATTGGAATTCGTTGTTGCAGGAAGCAATAAAGTGTAAGTGATTCCGCGGCTGCGACAGTGAGTGGGTGGAGCAGCCAGCGGGTGGTACAGGTGCTAGTACAGTAGCAGTAGGTGGGCGTTCAAGCTGCCAGTGGTGCAGTGCTGCCGTCAGCTGTGGTGCAGTTGCTGAGGAGAGGAGGGGAGGGCCCTTAGGCTAACCTGCTAACCTAAGCCCTCTAAGCCCCTAAGCCTCTAATCAGGCCCCTAAGTTCTTAGGCTCAGGGCTCAGGGCTTAGGATCACGGCTCCTTACAGAGTAGACCAGTGCCAGGCCGCAATCCATCTCGCCCACCACCACACCACGACTGCCCCAACTGTATTACTACTGTATTACATACTGCCTCCTAAGCCCACCTACCACCACTTTTAGGTGACCATCCCTCACCTAGGTCCAGGGTGACTACGTACCACCAACGGCATGCTCCAAATCCATGCCCACGCGACAATGACGCGCTGCACACCACATCAACATACATCTCTAGTTGGCGGCTACTGTCCCTGCTTCGCGTACTACGGAGTAGTTGCGTGGAAGCCTGAACACGCCTCCTGGTTCCCTACTTGACCATCTTGCCACTCAACATACGGGATACACATAGCCACTCCCGCTCTCCTACTCTACACCGTACAGTCCATGCACAAGCGAATTGCCGTGATGGACCCTGCTCATTTGGCCTCCCGGTGGTCGCAAGAAATTGGAGCCCTTGCGTATTTCGAAAAAGGGAAAAAATGGAGCGGTTACATGGGTGAGCAGGAAACTCCATTGGATATCAGATCGTTTTCCCATCTTGATCACATTACCATTCCTCATAGCCATCCTGCACCAGAGCTAGTGGAGAGCCATGTTCCTTTGCTTCCATCCAGTACAGTCCGTATATCGGAGACGCAATAATACAGTCCAAGCACAACACTCGTTGTCACCTCAGCTAGTCGGGTCGACTTGATACGAGTCAGATCCTGTTCCGGAAAGCCCAACTGCTGTCAAGATGATACCTCCCGTGGGTTCCCCACCGCCTTTCTGTTCCGTCCAATCCTGAAGCAAGACGCCAATCTACACCTAGTGAGCAGAGGCTGGCTGAACTACAGCCCATGCCATCCTGGTAATCCGAGCTGAAGTCGCTGTTCAAATCCTTCCGCCGGAATCTGCCATCCATCGAGAGCGATGCTGAAGGCCTCCCCCGATGACTGCCATCGATATAGGAGTTTTGCCTATTGATCGCAGCCAGCTGCGGCACAATCACAGCACCGACTGCTACTGTGGCCGTCTAGCGAGTGCATTCTTTAGTAGCTCTGGGCCGACACCTGAGCAGGCTAGAAACAGAAGTCAGCTCTTGGTTCCTCGCCGAGTAAGGCAATAAGACTTACCGGGCTGTTGAGCATGTGTTGTCGAGCATTTCTGCCCTTTTTGATATGGCTCTTTAACGCACTCGAGTCCAGTGGCTTCAAGAGTTCGAAACTGCACAGAAGATTGCTGGACACTGACATGACTGCACCCCAGTTGTCGAATTCGCCACAGTACTTGATCAACAGTTAGCACAAAACTCTCAAGAACGTGTGGTGTAGTTGCATCTTACATTTGGAGCAGAGAAAACAGTAACAAGCAACCGGTCATTGAAAAATTCATAACCATCCTCAACCACCATGTGAGCGCGACACACCAGATCGAAATCATGGCGGGCAAGAAAATCCACTATGACTTTCTTGCCGAAGCAGTAGCTAACACCACGCTCGTTGGAATCCCAGTCTTGATCCATATCTGCCGGATCACTCCACAACAGATCATTGAGCAGACCATAATCGGGGACGTCGGTTGGCCGAGCAATCTGTCGAATGTCATCCATGTGGGACAAACTTGGTGATAAGCCGCCGTGCACACAAAAGATTTTGTCCGCCACGATAGCAGCAATGGGTAAGCAGTTGAAGGTGTCGATGAATGTCTTCCAGATTTTGATGTTGCATCGTCGTTTGCACTCGTCGTAGAAGCCATACACCCGTGTGACATTGGCACATTCGTGATTGCCGCGGAGAATGAAAAAGTTTTCGGGATATTTCAGTTTGTAGCAAAACAGCAGGAGAATCGTCTCCAGTGACTGCTTCCCTCGATCCACATAGTCGCCCAAGAAGAGAAAATTGGCTGTGGGCGGGAATCCGCACATTTCGAATAAGCGGATCAGATCGTTGTATTGGCCATGGATATCACCCACAATCTTGACGGGTGCGTTCAGTTCCAACAGCGCGGGCTGTGACAGCAAGACTTCTCGAACAGCCAAACAGACCGCGGTGATTTCAGCATTCCTGAGGCACACTGCCTTAGTGACTTTGGTTGTATATCCTGCGTCCAGGAGACGAGAGATCATGTCGTCCAGGTCCATGTCGTTGACGTCTCCGATCGCCATACTTGCCCCGGGAGACGCACCCGGCAAGTCTGCCAATTTGGCTCGTAATGAGGCTTTGGTCTCGGGCGCTCGGGGATTGATCTGGTTCTCGCGTTTCACCAAGATCGACGCTCCCGCCTTTTGGGTCGACGAGTGAATATGAGCCTGGTGAGGCGCCTCATCAGACACTGCTCCCACCTCTCCCGTACGCTGTGCGCGGTCTACGGCCTTGTGACCTTTGCCTACGGATTTTGACTGGGTCGGGGATGGAGGCCGAGCGGGCGAGGCTGTGCCTGGAGATGGCGCTTCATCGTAATCTGTGGGCGACGTGGGGGATTCAGCGACCGGGGGATTTGAGATCCTTTCTTTCGTGACCCGAGAGGAACCCGACCGGCCGCTCGCTATCGAACTTGCATCGCCCTTATCGGTAGCTGATCCTTCCGTACCAGAGAGGGCGGATCCCGAGGCTCTTGGACTATCGTTGGGTTTTTCATCTCCCGAACTCTTGATTTTACTCCTGATCGAAGACCGGATCGATCTGGAAGTGCTCTCTTTTGTGTCGGACCTGGAAATGGAGGGATATTGCGACAGCGCATCTGAAGCTAAATTGGAGGAAGAGTTACTCTTTAACGGGGTTCTGGATCCATCACTGCCTTTTGACTGTTGTTGGCCCATTGAATATTGGCAAAAAAACACGGACGGCGGGGAAGAGAGGTGAGATTCGATGAAAGGAGGTCAAGGTGGTTTGAGAAGTGAGATAAGCAGCCGCCTTGAGGAATGCGTTTTGGCGGCTGGTCAATGAGCGGCTGGAAGGAGCACACGCGTCGTATGCTCAGGTCAAATCAGCTTTTAGAAGGTTCAACTGTCGCACAGCGGTCTGTTTTGGTGTGCGGCCGCTTCGGATACGACTTTAGGAATGGCTGACAACCAGAGCTGCCTGATCATGGAGGTGTTGTGTTTGGGGATGTGGTAATTGCTTGTTTCGCCTGCAAAAGGTTAAGAATTCTTTGTCAGCAAGGAAGTGACTCATCGGAGCAAGATATGAGAAGCTGAAATTGTACACAGGAGGTGTTTTGAAGTGTGATATTGAGCGATTTCTAGCGGAGAGGCTACCGTGGAGCCAGATGTCGCATGGGGTCGCGGTGAAACAGGGTTGCGTCACCGGCGGAAGCGCAGGACACATGGAGGATGGAACTGACCTGTAAATAGGGACGCGAGACTGCAGTAGAGCAAGTCTGGATGCGGGTGGAGGAAGATGGAAATAGCAGCGAAGGGCTGGTGCTGGTGGTTGAGATAGTAGAAGGGCAAAAAGATGAGCAGGTAAAATAAATCATCAGTCGGTCAGTCAAGACAAACGCAGTCCGTGGTGCAGTGGTGGTGGTGGTGATGGTTTGATGCGCTCGTCCTGTGTTCAGTCACGTCCAACCACTGGCTCTCCGTCCTGCGCCGCCAATACTCTGTAGGTGCTAGTAGGAGGAACACCTGGAGCTTAGGGACTAGTAGTTCGCCTAGGGGCAGCTTCAGTATTATTAGAGGGCGAGCCGCAGCCGGTGCCGGGGCTTGCTAAGCCTGGGGCTCTATTAGGCGGGGGCTTCTAAGGCGCTCAGGCTCGCCGGGAACCTTTCCCTGCCCATGTTCCTGCTTACAGCCACTCCACTTTGGCCCTTGACGCCTCCAAGATGGCCGCCTAGATCTCCTTAGCGGCCAGACCTCGAGTCCCCCGTCTCAGCCTCCAGGGCGAAACGAACGGTGATCTTAGCCGAGAAAGACGTGCTGTGATCCTTCACAGTTCTGCCCAGTGATACGTGTAGACTTGAGTGAGGCTTTCGTGTTCGACACTCAATATCTTCGTACATGTTGGAACATTACAGATTACGCATATACATGCAGTCATCCTCGTTGTCGCTTACTCGCTCGCTCAAACAAGCTTGCCACCTGCCCAGCTACCCGAAAAATCCTCGTGAACAAGACCTGAGCCCCAGTTTCATGTCTTGGTTCGAATGGAAAAGGGCTGTCCGCTACTGCCAGGCCAGTCCCTCTTTTCTTCCACTTCCATTTTTGCAATCTGCTTGCCTGGAATGACAATAAGGCCGACGAATCGTGAAGTCATGTCAGCTCTCCTGGGTTGGCCGGTGGCTTTGACTTCGTCTATGGCAGCCTTCTCGGAGGCCTTGGGTGGCATGCGATATTCGAAGGCAGTGGATAGAATGATGTTACTTTCCTACCGGGTGTTAGAGTCTCGCACCGTGTGTCCGAAGGGGAAGCCACATCTTGGATTCTTACACGATCGGTACATTGGAATCTGCCAGTGAACAGACGCCCTACGCTTCCGTCAGCCGCGGGTTTTCTCCAGCCCCTAGCAACTTACCATCTGGTACGGTGACGTGCAACGTTTTGCCCAGGAGCGATTCGAGAAATTGCGTTGCTTCCGCTTCTTCCAACTCCATCAATGACGGATTATAAAGTCAAGCAAGGTGGTTTGAAGATGTGTATCATTAAGTGCGGGAGACAGATGTATATTGCCAGTGCCCGGACCGCATGCTGATGCTTGTGATAGTCCAGCAGCTGCCATGCTAAGAGGCAAGTCCCAATTGAGCCTAGCTAGGCTTGGCATGAATCTGGAATAATATAAATCCGCTCTCCGAACATCTGCTCTGTACCTTTATGTATAGGGTTAGGGTTAGGGTTAGGGTTACGCGCTCTCCCTCACCCTGAACTGGGAGTCTTCCATTACCCTCCCAGCAAGTTCAAGTCTGTACAATTCACCTAATTAAACTTATCCTAATGCCACATAGTCTCACTGGGAGCTGTGACTGCCATTAGTAGGAACTTGATCCAGAGGTATTTCTACAAAACGATGTCTCACCTTCACTTCACTTCCCATCTATACTTGACCTTACCCCCCGAACTATCAAGTTCAACTTTCAACTCGCCTCATTTTCGTGCTTTAGCATTTCCTTATTAACTCATGCCCTCTCCATTCCCTGAAACCTGCTTTTCAAACCCTGTTTACCAGTTTCTACACTCTGTTGAGTATTCTTGATTTGTACAGACCCCTACCAAGACCAAGAAAATGGAAGAGAAAGCGCGTCTGAAGAGACCTCACACTGCCAGAGTAACGGATCAGGATGACGACTCAGATGTTTCCTCTTAGAGTCCTCCAAAGCGGGCCAGCACAGCACCGCTGTCAATATCCTGCGACACAGACGAAGAGTCGATGGATATTGAAGGGGTTTCTACCATTGAGACTGGCATGTCGTCGGGCCCTTCCTCATATCTTGATTCGGATTCGTGCGGGACTTGGTCTCCAGAATCAGACTCATCGGATGACCATGATCGGCCTTACCAGGAAATGAGCAACAACGACTTTGCTGTCACTGCCTCCAGAATAGACGCGAGACTAATCATCTCCTCCGACAACAGAAGAAGGAGGGTCAAGAAACATCCTCGTCTCCTATTTCGGGCTTTTGAACCTGGTCATGGACTAGTAGCTCGACGGTTTCTGCCCAGTTCAACTGCAACTATTTCGCCGCCACCACTTTTTGAAAGTGCACACTTCCGCTGTTTAGCGGAGCGTCATCTCCGAGAAGATCAGACATTCTCATCGCCCTTCCTCTCATGGAGCCAGAACCCTGCAAGACTTCTTGGACTGATCAACAACAAATCCTTACCTCGGTTTTTGGCTGTCATCGATTACAATGATTACTATGAGGAGCTGGAAGACAGGTTCGGTAGAGGTGTTGGAATGTGGTTTGTACCAGCAGTATGCGAACAGCACGAATTTCATGATCTGGAGAAGGTGGGCAGGCCTACTTGTTCGAGTCTGAAACCGAAGAACGACCGTGGGTATACGGGGATTGGAGAAGTACATCTCCCTTACAATGTGGCTCAGGAAGTGCAACTAACCTGTAGCAGTGGTTGTCCTGGGGTTCAATTCAATGCGAGCCCGTTGGCATTCTCGACAATAGGGCTGCTATGAAGCTGTATCAGACCCTGAACAGTATTGAGAGTATGGACTACGCATCTGGTCTTGCTGTTGGTCAGGTAAATCCACCCTGCCAGATTGGTACTATTACTTGACTAACCACCGAAGTGCCTACAAGATGTGAGGCCAATCTACAGAGAGGTGGTGGCGAGATGTCTGCTACTTTCTTTCAAAAGGGTAGAGAGAGCCGCCGGGTCGCTCTATCACGACTTCGTCAAGGGCGTATACAATGAGAACCTATCAGAAAGCGACGACGGTTGGGACCATCCATCTAATCCAGATAGGCAGCTTGCTTCCAAGAAAACTCGAAATACTCTGAAGAGACCATTCCGACGTCCTCTCATTACTGTGGAGATACCAAGGCGCAGATTAGGGACGAAAGTTCCTCCCAAAGAAGAAGCAGACTTGCAACAGAAGCATGTTGAATCCCAGCCTACGTCGAGCACGGCAATGCCATCGGTAGCGTCAACAACAGAAGAGACCTACGTCAAGGTTGAGAGACTTCACGACCGACCAGCCTTAAAAGAAGATGTCATCAGTCCCGGACGCGCTCATACCCGAGACTATTCAACATTCGTCCCAGTGTCAGACAGCTTCATCAGAGAACTTCTTGAATATGCGAAGACACCGACGCCGACGCCAACGCCACCTCCTGCTTCGCCACCTCGAAGCAATCATGTTTCGAAAGTCATCTCGGCACGTATTCTACCAATACTACGAACACTCACCGAGTATTGGTCTACTGTAAAGAGTACCACTATTCCTGCCGTCGGCCTAACCGCCAACACGAGGCACCCACCAAGCGCGGGAAAGTTTCCCAAGAAGAAACAACAGACAGACACAGCCTCGGTGATGAACCCAGACACAGCCTCGGTGATGAATCCAGATACAGCCTCGGCGATGAACCAAGCTGTATCGTTCTCGGACACGAATAAAGATACATCAATCGTCGACCTCACAGACCTAGGCGAAGGTGGTACCAATGACAGAGTTCCAATCGATCCGGAAAGGCAGGTGCAGGTGCAGAAGCAAGTTGATACCACAATTGAGACTTCAGAAGTACAAAAGCAAGTTGATACCGCAATCGAGATTTCAGAGGTACCGAAACAAGTTGATACGGCGATCGAGATTTCAGAGGTGCAAAAGCAAGTTGATACGGCAATCGAGATTTCCGATACTGAGGAGGTGGAAATCATCGCCACCACCACTCGCCGTTATATCCGGACGCGCCGCACCGTGCTGACAATCCGGAGTCGGAGTCTGAGTGAGACGGTGGTGTTTACTTCATAAGCCTGGACGGCTTGTCTTCTGTCAGTCGTCTGTGAAGATGATGCAGAACGAGATCTTGGAGCTCGTACTGGTTAATTCAGGGGTTGACAGGCTAATGCAAAAGCGACCTGATCATAGACCTGGATCTGGATCTGAACGTCAGTCACAAACCATACAGGAGTTCGAGCTAAAAGACGATTAAGATGTTGTGATGAGTTAGACTTGGATGAACATAACATGATGTGATGAGCTGGACCTGGATGAACATAACATGATGTGATGAGTTAGACTTGGACTTAAACCTGATCCTGAACGACAACCATGGCTTAGGTTTATACAGAACTTCGAGCTAGAGAGGTTTAACATGAGGTATGAGCTGAATATGTGACAAGAAAGAAACTAAGACCTGAAGAAAATATTGGACCTGAGCCTGAATCTGGACCTGACTCCGACCATGACCATGACCATGATCGGCAATTGACCCTGCCTACTACAACTACTACAATAAGGTAACCATAACCATAACTTTCGCCATAACCATAACCATAACCAAACCAAACCAAGCCGCTCGCCAGAAGTTCCTGGGTTCCTAAAACTTCTCCGATCCTCCTCCTATTACTTACTGATACTGACTGAGTTACTGATACTGACTGAGTTACTGCACTCACCACCGGTTCTGTTTCTGGTTCTTGTTCGTTGGCTTCCTTTCTCATGCCTTCTCTACCTAGACGAATGTGGCACGTCGGACTGGTAGTAAGTTAGGCCAAAACCAGACCAAACCACACCACACCAAACCAAACCAGTCAGTGGAATGCAAGACGGAAGGAAGCACACAGAAGTAATATGCAGTGGGTTAAGCAGCGCAAGACAAGGCAAGAAAGGACATACAGTGCAGAGGGAGAGGAATACTATTGTATAAGTAAGGTACTCATATTCATGCCCATGCCCATGCCCATACCCAATTCCCATTCCCATTCCCATTCCCATTTCCATTGCCGTTCCTATTTTCATTTTCACTTTCATTCTCATGCCCATATCCCATACCCCCGTCTTATTCGCAGGGGAATACATTAATGATACCTTAGGACTCCAGGACAGGACCAAAATCTCCTTTGGCCCTCTGTGTCTCAACCCTTTCCAACAACCTCCTGACGCCGTTCACCCGTGTAGGCTTCCTCATCTCCTTCTTCCACGGCATCGTTCCAGATCGTAATACTCTGGACGCGCTCACCCTTGTTCAGTTCGATGGCGTGAAATGCGTCAACTTCTTCAATCTCGTCCTCGTCCTCGTCCTCTGCTCCCTCCGCGTCTTCATCAAGTACACCCGTACGGCCACCATTGGCCGCGACGTTGTCTTCGTCCTCGTCTTCTTCCTCGATGATTTGGCTTTTCCGCTTCCCACTACCGGCTCCAGCTCCAACTCCAAGTCCAGCTCCGCTACCTCTCCTTCCCACAAAGTCTCGGAGACCGAGATTTATTTTCCCCGCCGACCCTTCTCTGTTCCTACCCGAAACAATCGCAGGACTACCGACAGCTGCGGGTAAGGTGGAGGCCGAAAAGAAGGCCGGATTCAGCATGGGCCCTTTGAACGGGGACTTCTTTCGGCGGGCAAACATGACCCCAGACCCGAAAGTGCTGGATTGCGGGGTGGTTGGTGCAGGTGGAGGCGCAGGTGCAGTCCCGCCGACAAACTCATCGCTTATTCCAAGAAACGGCCTGCTGTGCGCCGAGACGTCGGATCCACGAGGTGTTGTAGAGATCGGGCGGTAGTTGAAGGGAAGAGTGTTCCCAGTGGGCGTTGCAGGAAGCACCTTGATCGATGAACGCGGAGAGCGCGTCATGCTGGTTCTGGGTGCAGAAGAGCTGTGAATGGTATCGAGACTATTAGAGCTCTGGGACGAAGCTTTGCTGTGGTGGGAAGTCTGAGGAGGCATACTTCGAATGGACGAGACGGACGAAGACGTGGATTTTCGACCTCGAAGACCCGTCGAGCTGCGGCGGTATGACGAGCGAGGAGTAAGAGGGGCTGGTGAGATGGAGTTCCGATGAGGTTGTCCGCGATTATGCGAATCGGCGCGAGGTAAGGCAGTTGGCGCTGAAGCAGCAGCATTGGAATTTGACATGATCGGAGTTAGAGCCGACCCGTACGAGGATCGCCTAGAGTAGACGGGCCCGACGACAAATTTGCTCTTCTGGTCTGTGGAGAGGCCTTTGGCTGATCGGGAGGCCTTGCCATTGCCCAGTTGTCCGTTGACACTCTTGTCGCTCTTGGGGGTGACGGGCGATCTGGCTCGTTTGGTAGATTCGACAAACCAATGCTTCAGTGCCGTGAGGAATCGCCGGTTGTGAAGCTTCCCGCCACGTCTCTTGCTCACCCCGTTCAGAGAACTGAATAGGTCTGGATTCGTCGCCACCAGTTGCAGCGTACTGCCGCGTCGGCTCCGTTCCTTGGGCGGCAGGGGGGGTCGAGAGCCACTTAGTGAACGGACCGAGTCCTTGTCGATGGGGGGCGGAGGCGTTACAGTGCCGGCTGACGGGATCACGTCGCCTTCTGGAAGTTGAGGTAAGTCGCTGACCACTATTTGGGGCGTGCTCCTCCGGTGCGTTCTGCCTCGACTACTACTCCGGCGCCTATCAGTGTCGCCATGACTTCCTTCTTCGTCGACTTCAACCAAAGTGGGTGCGACACGCTCCAATCGACTGCTGGCACCACTGAGTCGTCGGAGAATCTTCAATTCAGCTTCTCTTTCTTTCCGTTTCCGCTCCTTCCTGGCCTGCTTTCTGCTTTCCTTCTGGAGAAGGAGAGTCCACCAGCCGGCCAGTGCATCGCACCGCTGTGCGAGGACACTTTCAATTACTTTGTCGATATCCACGCCCGCGGCCCTCATTCGTTCGAGCGTGTCCTTTTCCAATTGCGTGCTGAAAGGGGCCGGCTGTGAGAGTTTCAGAATGGCCTGCTGCTGAGGCGCGTGGTCGGCCAAAAAGGGATCTGCCAGAATATCCGCCAGGGTGGGTCGATGCAGAGGGCGTTTGGAGAGCAGTTTCGAGAGCAGCGACTTGGCTGAGTCCGGGAATGTTTCGGGGTAGACGGGATCTTCTTTGAGGATCTTCGCTTTGGTTGCGGCGTCATCGTCTTCATCAAAAGGTAACTCCCCTTTCAGCAGGGCGTAAAGAATAATTCCCAGGCTCCAGACATCGACCTTCTCGCCAGCATACTTTTCACCCTTGAGCATTTCAGGAGCGCTGTAACATACCGTGCCGCAAAAGGTCTGAAGATAGTTTGCTTTTCCCTCGTATTCCCTGGTAAAGCCAAAATCGCACAGTTTCACATTCTCGTTCTTATCGAGAAGCACGTTCTCCAACTTCAGATCGCGATGTACACAAGACTTGCTGTGGATATATGCAACAGCTCCGACAAGTTGGGTGAAGATCTTCTGTACAGTCTCGACGGGGAGGGGCGCATGGCTGCATAAGTAATTGTACAATTCGTCACCTGGTCTCATTCAGCAGCGGGTTCCCATTGAAATCGTGGCGGTTTATACCAGGACAGTATTCCAACACGAGCCACACCAGCGTCTCCGTTATTATAACTTCGTATAGTCGCGCGATATGAGGATGGACAAATTGACGATGGTGGTGGATTTCTCTCGCAAGGTTCGCATCGTCCTTGTTCGAGGCCTTGAGCACGACCTATTGCATGCGTCAGCGGGCTGTCTCATCCTTGTACTGCTGTGCGCCGAGCCAACCTTGGAGCCATTCGTCAAGTTGTGTCGAGCAAGGTACACCTTGCCAAAGGAGCCCTTCCCAATGAGTTTGCCAAGGGTATAGTTTCCCACGGTTTTTAGGTCTTTAGAAGAGAATTGTCTGTTGGGTGATCAGTAGTCTGTATCTCACAGCGAAGCTCAGATTCCGCCTCCTTACTCGAGCAGTTCTGAATATGAGTTCGCAAGCTGCGCATGTCCATTAGCTCATTGCCCTCATATCATGCCCGATGAATGGGATCGCGTACTTTTGCTTTATGCTGCTGAAGTTCCGCTCTCGTCTTGGGCGCTTGCATTCCTTGTGGTTCTTTGGCTTCGCCAGCGGAAAAAGGGGTTCATACGACACGTCGAGGCTAAGGATAACATGTGGACAATCGGGGATAGCGGGATGTGCGTTAGGGATGGTTTGCGTAGGTTGAAGGAGTGTTCGACGTGTGGTCAACAGGGCGTAGGCATTCAGAAAATGTTCGATGGCGTCTATATCGCGTGGCTGAAGGGAGTTCGGCACCTTGTATTCAATGGAATTGCTGATGCTGAAGCGAAAGTGATGACGGATACCAATTAGTACGGAGTAGGAGGGAGTTTGGGGAGGCTCGAGATCGACGACCACAAAATCCAGTAGTCTGGCGTGTCAGGGTCCAAAAGCCACGCCAGCAATAGCACCATGCTAACTTGGCTTCCCTGGTGCTAGACTGTACTCCGTACTGGGTATTAAATACTCCGTATGGATAGAGTATTAGACACCCTGGGACGTAAGATGGCGACAGGCGGTAGGGGTAGTAATGGCGCAGGCTCGAGGCCAGTGTCAGATGCCAAACCGTGGCGGAAGTGGTGGAGTACGGAGGACGCGACGGGTGTTTATGTACCAGGTGCAGTTAAGCCATCGATGTCTAATTAATGCAATAACAATGATCTTCACGATCTGCAGGCTGTCTCGGTTTACTTGTTCCTCCACTACTCTGTATATCGGTACACTAAATGCTTCGAAGAAAGTAGAGCATGCGGACATCCCCAGACTGACCTCACCGCGCCCGATGCAGCATGTACGCCGCAGTGCGCTGTTTCTGCACCACGGCCTTACACCCTCCCTTCCCTTGGGCAGCAACCACCTCCCACCTCTAGCATAGGATCCATGGGATATTGTGTGCCGCTCTCGAACCCGATACTGCGCTTCAGCTGCCAAATCACGCTTGACCTTCGTCGGCCCGTGATGGACAGGGACAGATTTAAGTGTCTCCGCAGACTGATGATACAGCGTCTGTCCAGGGTCCACACGCCAGGAGCTGTGTCCAGATATTGCCAATGGAAATGAAACACGGATACTCAGGAGCGGAAAGTCACTTGAGCAAAAGACATATCGCTGTCGTCCTTTATTCCTGCAGATGTTGAGGGAAGAAAATACCCAACATAGACGGGTTTTTGGTCCTAAATTCAGATAGTTCCGTCACTAGATGGCCTTTCTAGCACGACCACGACCGCAACCACGGCCTTGATACCATGGTATCCCCAGATCCCATAACTCCAAGCTTAAAACACTACCAAGTAGACGACCTGCTGGCATTTCACGTTCTCAATGATCATAAGCGACGCTCAGTAGTGTTCCAATATCACCGTCTGGGGATGGAGGAAGTCGACCCGTTATTTTGCGCAGAGGGCAATCCAGAGATCATACTAGTCCGATCAGAGACGGACTGGTTGCCCTCCGCGCTTTGCTCCGGCACAAAAGGCTTGTAAGGACTGGCCACATCCGAGATCATGCTCGATCGGTCTGACAGCGTCTGCGGATTGGGAGAGCCTCTGGCCGTTCCATCTGACCCAGACAGCTCCGACACCATGCTCATTCGACTATCTGCCGTAGGCAAGGGGCTGTGGGGATGCAGATGCCCCGTGTGATATGTCGAGCCGGGCAATTCAGCCATGAACTGTTTGGGCGGGCTTGCCTGTTGAATTGGAGCATAATAGCTCATGCGTTGTTGCTGTTGCTGTTGCCGCTGCTGCTGTTGTTGCTGTTGGAAATTGGCCTGATACGGCGGGAGACTCATGGTGCTGTATCGCTTCTCGTCTACCCGGTAGGCAGGGTGGTTGGCCATGGTTTGCCAGCCCACGTCTTGCTGCGGCGACAACATGTGAGGCGAAAGTGCAGGTCTCGCACCAATTGGCGAGTTGAGCATTTGGGAGTTGGCCATGTGTGAGCCCGGCTGGAATCGAGGACTGGTAGGTGTAGTGGGATATCCTCCCGTCAGCTGGGAATGTTCCTCCACACGCTCCGCCTTCTTCAGGATGCGTTCCACCAAGACTTTATGCGCGTTGTCCAGGTTTTTGCGGACAAACGATGTCAACAGGATATTGCACCTCATGTCGCCCTCTTCACGCAGATATAACCCCTGTCGGGGTACATCTAATCCCAGCTCTCGATGCTCAGGGGGCTCGCCAGGCAAAGAGCCACCGATTGTCCATTTTTCCCGAATGTCTAGACCCAAAGGCGCATAGATGTGTGTTTGCAGTCCGTACGGGGTGTCGTGGAAGCAGGCCTTGTAGCTGACCTTCCCTTTGACCATCCCACCAGGTAGGTAATGGATCTTGTCCGTCAGCTCTTGCCAGGCACAGTCGAGGAATTCATCGGCCGGGGCATCGCGAGGTGTCTTGATCGGATGGTGCTCAATGACCAGGGGATTCAGTTCAATCATCTCATCGTGATTGTGAAGCATGGAGATCGCGACTTCTCGCGACACCTGCGGAGGGAGAGGGGTGATGTTGGTAAACAGCGTCCGCTTCGGCATGGTGACTGCTGACTGCGGCCTTCTGCCTGATGGAGGGGCGCCTCTTGAGCGTGAGATAGGACAGACTGATGGGCTTGTTCTTCGTGCTCCTCGAGGGGAAACAGATGTAAGGAAGCGCTTTCGTGTTTATCAGCATTCACCAGACAACCATTGTGACGGCGCAGGTAGTGTGAGACACTCAGCCCGGACTGCTGCTGCCACCGGACGAGTGCCTTAGGAGCCTGCGACCTGGCACCATGGCGGCGCCAGGATCTGGCTGAAGCAGGCTGTTAGCGAGCTCTTTGGGTGTGAGAGTGACAGGGATCCAGGGCTAAGAATAGCTAGTGCTTATCAATTTGTGGGCGAAGATGCCATCGCCAACGGACTGATCTGGAGCAGCCAACGCCCAAGCCCCGCGCCGCTGGCTGTAAATTCACGCCCACGCTTCAGCCTGCTTCCTGGTGGTGCAGAACCTGTCACGTTTTGCTGAACTGCATCTGAGCCTCAAAATCATGCCTATTTCAGACAAGGCCAGGTGTGTCCCCGGTGCTCGCTGAGAAGACTCAGTTCGTCCACATCGAAATCGATCTTGACGGATACAACCGAGCCCCGGATATTTACGTCAGTGATAATGATGCAGTCACCGCAGTGGCACATTAATGAAGGAGGCGCCCTGCCCCAACCGCGTATGCTGTACTCCGTCCGGTACACAGTATGCGACCAGTTTGGAGCAGTGAGTTGTCAAAGCCGAGTCAGTTCAGCCGCCAGCTTGCCTTCTTCATCTTCTCGACAGCTTCTTTACTGAAGCAAAACGTCGGGTCGAACTCCTTCAGTCCAGGCTCATTGTATATTGCCAGGGTGGCAAGGCCGAGATACGAGTGAAGAACATCTTGTATAGGGTCAGCACACCGACATCTTGAGAAGACTTGACAGAGGAGTCTACCCACCAGGGAGCTCGCCTGGCGCTTTCCCAAAGCCTCCTATGAGATGCGCCACATGTTGCAGAAGATACCTTCTCAGTGCCTCAATGTCAACCAATTGATGTTGTTGAAGAATCTTTCCCACGTTAGATCAGCAAGACGAAGCCTTGAGCGTACTCACTGCGAGGGCTCCCACGTTCCAGAAACAATAACAAGTGTCGGCCATTTTCCCACATCTGCCGCAAAAGCCAGCGCCAGCGGCGGGTTCCTGTGCCATCAAGCCGTCCCTCAGCGACGATAGGTTTAATGGTTGCTTTTGAGGTTCATCTTCATCATGTTTAAAATCCTTCTCTTTCCTCTCGTCCTCGTCTCCCCTTTCGTCATCGTCCTCGCTGTCCTCGTCCTCGTCCTCGTCCTCGCCGTCAATCCAAGTTGTTTGTCGGTCCAGCATCCACCGAACGCAACCTGTGACATCCAGCTTCGCCTGACTGGCAACTTGTTGTATTGACTCTGGCGGGTTGCGGAGGAGGCCTAGGAATGAAAGAGCCGCGATTGCGCAATAGTTCAGGCCAGCTGTAAAGCGGTCAATGTCTCTTCAATCCCTGGGCTGACAGACGGTAAACGTACAATGTGCTTCAAGGAGAGGTGCTTGTCCAAAACCACCCTCATGGCTCTTACGTAGCGTCAGCTTTCGGACAGCGTAATAGTCGGACGTCCTTACCTGGCAATTTGTAATGAATTGCCGTAATCTGAACGCGTCGATCTCGATGCTCTGCTCATTCCCTTGCAGGATCTTCATCGTCCCTACCGCACAGAGACACAGTCTCAGATCATCCGCGCCTTCGACGACATTGTCTTCCCCCAGGAACTCCCCGAAACTCCCGTTTGGTCGCTGGAGACGCCTGACCCAAGCCAGGCATTCTCTTCTCTTCACCCTCCCTAGATCATCTCCCAGAATGACCAAAGTAGCCAGCGCGAAATAGGTGTTCGGAAGGTTGGCCGGGTCCCAATGCCAGTTCTGAGGGTTCCTCATGCCGCCTAGTATAGTGCCTGTGAAGCCGCGAAACCCGCCCGTATGGGGGACTTGACAGGTATAAATCCACTCGATCCAGCTTTGCCTCTCGGCGGGCGTGATCACCGTCTCCAGAGCCCCTAGTAGATCCAGTGCGGCTACTATGAAGAAACCAAAGCTCATGCGGCTGGCTTCGCCCGACGTGTAGGGCTCCGGTAAAAGTTGGGAGCACCGCTTCCAGTACTTTACGTGTCGTTCTCGATCAAGCTGCATCTTTCCCTCGGCGGACATGGACATGGCAACGGATTCCCAAGGGGCCTAGGCCTTGGTTCTCCAATTCTGTATCCTGCTAGCCAGAGGCGTTGAATGAACATATATGGATTGATAATGGGGTTCGCTCGGTTCTTGGATTGGTCACGACGGGATTGACGGGACCCGTCTGGGCGAAACTTGAAGAACGCGACTATCACAAAGACATACTGTAAACTCCGGCAGGCAAAAGCCCTCTCCGAGACCGCATGACTTGTTGGGGAATAATTTGCATCAACCCTGAGGTGAAGGACTTGGACTAAAATAGACGAGTACTTCGTATGTGTTACTGAAGAAGTAGGCAGTACAAGGCTGGGCTCAATGAGTCACATGCCGACTACCTCAACCTACCTGTTCTTCGCGGGTGTAAGCTTTTACAGAGATTGGAAGAAGTTCCCTACGCCGTCTAATTGCTTCGAATTGCTCCTCGTATGCAGTAGTCTAAGCATTGCCATCTTGCATGCCCTCATGGCTTCATAAATGAGACTGGCTCAATTCTCCTCTGTTGATGCAATGCTCCGAAAGAGAACCTCCCCTTAACCCCCTCGTACATACATCAATCACATGAAATCATCCTCCCCAAAACCATCATCGTAACTCGTCGTGTCGGCTAGGCCTCGGCCTATGTCTCGAGTCGCGGCGAGACTTGCCTTTGTTTTTGCCGCCTTTGACTTCTTGCCGCCTTTCTCCTGGGCCTTTTCCTCCTTCATCTTCTCGTTGCTCAAAGCCGTCAAGCCACTGGCTGCCTTCTTGATCTCCGCACTTGGCAACTCCGCACAAATTTGCTTCACAAAATTGGCAACCCAGATGGGATAGTGTGGCTTGGAGGAGGAGGCCGTGAGCAGAGGGACGAGTGTGGCTGAGAGAGCGTCAAACTGCGCCTTCGTGCCGGGTCTGAACAGAGGAAGCGACGAGAGATCGATAGTCAGACCCGGGTTTTCCTTGTCTTCAATTATCACTGCCTTGTTGGTGGTCGAGCGGGTGGTTGGTCCTAGTCCCACCCCAGCAAAGAGGTCCTGGGCGTGCTTCAGATCGGCTTCTTGTTCGGTCTCTCGCAGACGCAACCGTCGTGTTGTTTCGTCTTCGTCCTCGTCCGAGCTTTCCGCTTCTCCTTGACCCTCGCGTCTCCGTCTGTTTGCCTCTCGGTGCTCTTCTATTCTCTGAGCCTTGGTCTTCTTCTTGGCTGCGGCTTCCGCTTCGGCTTGCGCTTTAGCTGCGGCGGCTTTGGCGGCCTTCTCTCTCTCAACCTCGGAGTCGTCTTCTTCATCCCAATTCTCCGCGACCTAGTGGATGTCAGTATTACGGGTGAACTGGCGGTACAGAGCCATGGGGCGTGGCGTGGCGTACATCGTCAGAATCTTCTTCGTCTTCGAACTTACGTCGGGGCGCGACAGGGACGTCTATTGATTCCTCATCAGAAGACTCTTCCGACTCCTCATCTAGCAGAAGCAAAGTCAGCCGGATTCAATCAATGCATCACAACATGCGCAAGAGGTCATGCTCGTCCTCTCAACTGCCAATCCAGGCGACAACCAAGGGAGACCAAGGGAGACTCACCCCACTTTGAAGGAGGCATTGTGCCGGGTGAGAAATTGAGGGGCTCGATGTCTGTTTAATCTATTGTATCGGCAAATTGGCCAAAGTGAGGCTGTTGATGTCGAGACTTGAGAGGGGACTAGGCGGACTGCAATATGTGGATGGGAATTCCCTTCACTTGCGCCTTGATTTTGTGACTTTTTGCCTGCGGGCGACGATCTGCACATTTCGCTTTCATTTCGAGGGCTTTGAGGGCGCAGCCGCCTGCCAAGCCTGTTGCTGCCCAATCACCGGCTCTGGCCAATGGGAATTTGCTTGCCGCTTTAGAGGCGCTCCTATGTCTTTGCTGCCTGCTACATGCTACTACTACATCTATCGAGTATCTGTATCTGTCTCTGTCTCTGTACGGAGTACATATCTAGGTCTCCAAGGAGCTCTGAGATCGAAATGTCACGAATGAGTTAAAAGTGTATTAGGGCACTTTGCTAAGTTCACTAAGGGGTTAAGGGTAAGAGTGCTTAGGGTTAGGGTTAGGGTTATGACCCATATGTAATCGTGTATGGAATTCGTGAACACCTCCTTCTAGATCTCCAGCTCTTCGGCATCCAGGGAGATGGCACGGCATCTTCCGGTAGGTGACCTGGCTCAACTTCGGCTCAGCCTTGCCAGGTCAGTCACTCACACTCACTCTCTTTACCCTCGACCGTACTCCGTACATTGTATCTACTCACGCCAAGGGCCCCCGATGGTCAACACCAACACCAACACCGGCAAGAAGGTATATTCCGATTCCGAACACCTCCTGCGTCTATGCCCACCGCGAGATCTGTGCCTACCTTACCTTTACGGAATGCTGCAGTCTGGCCGACTTCCTCGCTCTCGCTCTCGCTCTCGCTCTCGTCGCGTGCATGTTTTTGATCATACTTGCAAATCTCCATGACAGCGGGCTCCATCTCCATCTCCATCTCCATCTCCATCGCCACTAAGAATCAGACAACTTCTTGACAACATCAGCACCTAGTTTCAGGCCCATGGTCGAGTAGGCTCTGGCTGGAGATCATTCATGCACCTATTCCTCCTGCGATCAATCATTCATTCATGTACCTATTCCTCCTGCCATCAAGGCAGTCCAACAAAATCAGATTCTGGAGACCCTCTAAAATGTCAACCTCTTCGCCGCAGTCCCAGCTGGAGCTTAAACCTGAAGACCTGAAGACCTGAAGACCTCGATGCCACCACCGCCGATTATTTCCATCATGCTGGTGATTGATATCCAGTTGTTGTTATGGTAAGTGCTTCTCCGGATTTCCCACCTTCCCCAAAATATCAACCAAGATCACTCGGAACTTGTCCAAAACTCTTATAACTTGTAGAATGTCATATAACCCAGACAACCCGGACAACCCAGACAACCCAGACAACCCAGACAACCCAGACAACCCAGACAACCCAGACAACCCAGCCAACCCAGCCAACCCAGACAACCCAGACAACCCAGACAACCCAGACAACCCAGACAACCCAGACAACCCAGACAACCCAGACAACCCAGACAACCCAGACAACCCATCCATCAGCATTGCTTTCTCCTCTGGACCTGCCAAAGGGAGCTCCCCTGCCATCGATGCTGCCTGCCTCCGGCGGCGGGTGCATGCCACTCTTGAGACTCGCACGCTTTCCCCCATGCTTTCAACGCGCCGGTCATTTCCTCGAACGTTTGGAATCGCGCTTGATGGCATCTTGAGACATGGCGTCGAGCTTTCTCTTCTTCCGGGACTCTTCCTGAACAGCGTCGAGAAGAGCCCCGATTTGGGCCCGCCGACGGCCTCTTCCCCACTCGAGCACATTGCGGACAAAGCGGCGGAACAGGAGATATCCCTCAGGATCAAAAAGCAACCATTTGATTTCCTGGGTGTTGTATACTTCGCCGCTCCCATCGCCTTCCTTCCATGATACTAAGAGGCTGGCTACGATCCCGTTCATGGCGATGCTGAAGACCGTGGTGTCCACGGGTGAGACAGTCGACACCGGGAGCTGTTCGATGTATCGGTTGAGCTTTTCGGCCATGTTGATACAGGTTGCAACGCCTCCTAGACATTGATTCGTGGCCACCCAGAGGCTCCCCGCGGTGGCACCAGGCCCGTCACCTTTAAGTTCGACGAGCAAAAATGGATAGATAAGTCTTTGACTGTTGGCAGTATATTCGGTGGAGTTCATAGTCATAAATTGTCTCTGCTGCCTCGATGTGAAGGCTTCCCCGAGGTAGCCGTAAAGGATATCCGGCTTCGGCTGGCTCACTGGAAGACTGATATCCGGATCATATGAGCTGGGAACGTGTTCTTTGCGCATGGGGTAAACTGCTTCCGTCATCATGAGACCTTTGAGTCTCCTGGAGAACTGGGGATCTTCAAAAATGTCACGTTTGAAGTATTTGGTCACTGCTGACTCGGAGCCGTCGTCGCCGCGGAGGCTGTTCAGAGCAGTGTCATTCCTAATATCCTCGACTTCCGGTTCCGGTGATTGACGTTCTTTGAACATATCATCCACAAGGCGCTGAACATGCTCAGGCAGCGTCTTACCTATCCCGTGGATATGGATGTTATTAAAGACGAGGTTGCGTTCCCGGTACATAGGGTCTGCAACCAGGGGGGATGTGGCTCTGCTGTCCATAGAGGTTCCTGAAGGTAGGTCTGGTGAAGTGGGCTCTTTGGGCAATTCCGACTCCAATTCGGACAAGATCCTTGTCGACTGGAAGAAACGGGAGATCCGAGGTAAGTGACTGTCCGACTTGGAGTGTTGTTGTCGGTCCTGGTCCAAGGATGTGAGCCAATCCTCGACGTTTGAGGTCTGAGAAAGGGTTGGGAGACGGAGGATTGTGGCGAGTGCTGGCTGACGACGAGGTTGCGGTTGATGGAGGCTGTCCGGGCGCGCTGGCTTTAAAGGCGACTCCAAAGCGTCAAGCCCTGCAGCCGCCTTGGGCGCATGTCTTTCAGAGAAACTAGACATCTCGATCGAACAGGAGAATGGTCTTTACATAAAACCAGGTGTCTCGATTAGACCGGAGGAAGGATGGCCTCCGGCAAGGTTGAGCTGCGAGATACGGTGTCGGTCGACGCCTTTGTTATATCAGGTAAACAAAGGACGAGCGTGTGGAATGTGTCGGCCTTTCAGAAGGCCGTCCGGAAGCATGCTTGGTCGCCCACCGTGCTTTGTCTTGCAGGTGGAGTCATGTTCCAGGTGCAGCCCAGCTTGGGAGACAGTCGGTGGTTTGACACTCCCACCTCCCTCCAAGAGGTCACGCCTCCAAGAGGTCCCCCTGTGCATTCCTTGTCCAAGTACTGTTCAGTCTCTTTCAGTAGTCCAAGGGAGCCGAAACCTCGGGCATGCTCGCCGCGTGGTCCGTGGTTGTGGATGATGTTCTCCCGGAGGGGACATTCCAGCGGCTGGTACGGGGTGTCAGATCAAAAGGGTGGGTTCTGCTGTATCCCCTGCGCAGTCCTGTTGGAGTCTGTCAGAGAGCCCAGAGTTAGGACCGGTAGGTGAGAAGAATGTACTGAATAAGTACTATGAATAAGTACTCCGTACCATGAACCAGTACGGAGTAGTCGTATCATTAATAGGAGAAGGTCAAGGTGGTAAGCCTACTCCGTATCCGTACATGTACTCCCAGCGTGCTCATCAAGAGGCTCACGTGTGGTCTTGGCATCCCTTGGCAATTACAATTAGTATCCCCCTGGTCCTACTATGATAATAGCGGCTTGGCATTGTGTATTATCAACCATTAAGCGGCCGCCGTGACGATACTACTACAGTAGATCCTTTTTAGCGCACTACTGTACCGGTGCTCATCCAATTGCGGCGGCCGCAGGCCACTACACATACCTACTAATTACCACCGCTCATTGGTGGCTGCTCGACGACCTTTTATCACCACCAACCTGAACGCTCCGTCCTTCCAAAGTTGTATATGCACGTTGTTGATGTCGCAATCCAAGTCCTGAAATGCAAGACATCGGACCGTCTCATCCCTTTTCTGGTTCTGGTTGATCCTGATCGATCCCATGTCTACCTCTACCGCTACCGGGACCGAGAGTGGCCGGCTGAAGAAAGGCTTTCGACCACCGGTGAAGGTGGCATGCACGTCGTGGTAAGTAGTCAGCTCGATCCTATTGCAGATATGGTCGTGCTAAGCTGTACTGCAACCTAGTCGTGCCTCCCGCACGCGCTGTGATGGCAAAGCCCCCTGCAACAATGTAGGTGTACCGTGTCAGCATTGGCGCCCACGCATGTCTGACTGACGGTGATTGTGTGCGTCTCAACAGTGTCAGTACCGGGGCAAAGACTGTCGCTATGTAAAGAGCAACCGTGGAGGGCCCCGCGTCGCCCGTAAAAAGGCCTTCCAGGCCACTGTCGGAGCCGTTCAGGCACCGGACATGGCCTCGTTGCCGTCCCCGGATATCGACTGGATGTCGCTCATGTTGTCTTCGGGAGAGCTCCACGACGATCTGATCGCCTCCATGATTTCGCCTGGAGCCGGCTTGACCGATCTCGACCAAGATGGCGACAGCGATCAGATCTTCGACAGCATTTTCTTGCACGCCGCCGCCGCCGAGGACGAGCCCGAGCCCCTGATCAAGACCTTGGAAGACCATGGCCTTGGCCTTGTCCCTTACCGGCCCCTCTTACGGCGATATCACAGCACTAAGAGCGTTCTGAACGCATACTACATTTTCGTTCATCCATTTTTGCCCATCTTGCCACCCCCCACGACCACGCTGGAGGTTGATGCCCCCGTCACCACCGGTTCTACGGACTTCCAACCGGCGTCTCCTTTGGCGATGGCGTTACTGGCCATATTGAGTCTGATCCCGCATCCCGACGACGCCCATCCCGATAGCGACGAGTCGGTGTGCCTGCGAAGACATGAAGCGCATACTTTCTCTGACATGGCCATGGAAAGCATCGAGATCGAGACCGAGCTGCTAGAGTCTGCCACCAGCCCCTCGGCGGCCTTGGACCACACCCTGCCATCTTTCAGTCGAGAGAGATTCCATCCATGCTTACCGGTTGAGCTGGAGAGTGTGCTGGCGCACGTGGTGTTGAGTATTTACGAGTATGCACAGAGGGGCAATCTTGCCAAAATGAGGAACCGGACCAGTCAGGCCTATGACGCGGCCATCCGACTTGGTCTCCATGACATCTCATCCCTCCCCATAGACGAGTGTACAGAGGCACGTCGGAGAGCATGGTGGATGACGGTGAGTGGCTGGAGTCAGGGTGATCAGTGTGATCAGTGTGAGCGAAGCTTTACTAACATCGCCCGCAGTATACTGTGGTTCTACAGAGCTCTATCGTTAGTAATCTGGTGAGTGTTGCTCGTACCATCCCACCGATGTCGTTGTCGGTGTTTTCTGCTGACTGCCAGCTCAGCCACCCATCATTTCGATTGATTTCCATCAATTCAGCACTCCCCTGCCTACTACATCTTCGGATTCTGAGGTGTGGGCATTCTACATCGAAGCCCAGCAGTGTATTCTGCGGTGCACACAGTACACGGTGGCGCTGAGAAAGGCATTGGACAGCGGACTCGATGTGAGTACGTTGGATCTGAAACAGGTCATGCTGGACGACGCCATCGATGCTGCTCTGGCTACATATACGAACCGGTCGACTCAACTGGGGGGGTTGTCTCCCACGGCTCCCACGGACGTTGAAGAGCGTACCGTCGCACAGTCACTGCACTCGCAAGCCACGATCAAGCTCATGAGCGCGAGGATCAAACTGCATCGATACCGGGCATTCCAAGACGTGCCGATATTCACACGCCGTCACTGCGATCTCGACCAAGTCGATCAATCTACTCCGCGACCCCTCGGATGCTCCTGTCCGACAATCAATCAATCAACGCCGGTCGTCTCCGTCTCCGTCTCCAACGCCAACTTACCACCCACTGCATCCAGCTTCACGTTCTCGGCTTGCTCGTCAGACGCATCGACGAATCCTTCCTCTTCCTCTTCCGCCTCCTTTCCCGACACCGACACCGACACGACCGGCACGCCGATCAAGGCACGACAACCACAACCTTTCAGTAATCTACCGGCTGCCAAAACCTGTCTCCGAGCAGCCCTTGCCATCGGCCGCGCATTCGAAGCATTGCCCTATCCGAATCCCATGCAGCTGCCCCTCCCTGTCGTCTCTCCTGCCACGCTGTCTCTGGCTTCCACCACCTCGGCGCCCCGGACGATGCCGTCGTTTGCCTGCTGTGCCATGCAAAGTTGCTACGTGCTGCTCACCATGTCCTACCGGAGTCGAGAAATGCAATGCATGTACCAGTACCAGCGAAGTATGGCCGCTGACAAGGGCCTGGAGGAGCTCTATGCTGGCGTCGACCGCGTCTTGGCCGCCCTGCAGAACTACTCCATTGCCTTTGAAGCTCTCAGTGGCATGACGCGTGAGTTTTAGTCTTGGTCTTCATGCTAGCCTCTTCCTTTGCCTCTCCTCTTCCTTCGCCTCTTCTTTTCTCTTCGTCTCTTCTCTTCTATTCGCCTCTCTTCTCCTTTCGCCTCCCTCTTCCCTTCGAGACGTTTATGATCTATGATCTATCAACCGACTAACTATTTTATCCCCCACCAGAACAAGTCGAGGAAGCTCTCGAAGCCTTGAGGCAACTTCCTATCTAAAGGATGATTAGAGGAAGCTCTCTAAGCCTTGGAAGCCACCTGAATCTGAATCTGAATCTGAATCTGATGGCAACCTCGTATCTTGTATCTAAAAAATCATCTAAAGTAGAATATGAATATGAATCATGAATTATGATCAAGCAAGCCCTGCGCCCTGCGCTATACGCCCTGCTGAAATAGTAATGTAATGTCGCCTCAATCAGTACTCCTTGATGATCTGCTCTTCTATGTCATCCAGTTCGTCTGAGCTGATGCCCTGTATTCACTTACTGTATTTGTATTATTGTTGCAGTTGGATGTGGCAGTTGGACGTGGACGTGGATGTGGAAGAATCCTTCCAGCTCCTCTGACTACATGTACATATAGTAGGAGCCGCGAATCGACAAGGAGTCTGACAAGGACAAGGACACCCCGCACCGTAAGGAAGATCGCTTGCTGGTCTGCGAGACGCGACGCGAGACGAGAGACGAGGGTGCTGTATTGTACATTCTACACATCGGCGGTCGTGGATCATGATCGTCAGTTAAGCGGCCTTACCTGAGCTACGTATGTGATAGAAGAGGTAGAAGACAATGGCAGACAGACGATATATGACACACCTACGGAGTATTCGTACCTGTCCGATATGTCATTCTTAGTCACATAATTAATTCCATCGATAGCACAAAGTGAGCGGAATACCATCTCCATCATTTCATCTTATTCGATAACTGTCGTGCTCATCACTATCACCTAGCGTATCTCCTCTCTCTAAAGCTACTCAAAGGGATGTATGACTACTGTGCACTTTTGGGACGCTTTGCAGAGCATGTTCTGGTGGCCTCATTGTCTCACAAAGTGACGGCCTTGCGGAAGTTGGAGCCCGCGTAGATGGCGTTGGATCCCAACTCCTCTTCGATGCGCAGGATTTGGTTGAGCTTGGCCAGACGTTCAGATCTTGCCGGCGCGCCCGTCTTGATCTCGCCAGCTCGGATGCCCACCACAATGTCTGCAATGGTAACATCTTCGGTCTCGCCAGAACGATGAGAGACCATCACACCCCAATCCGCCGCGTAAGAGTCCTTGGCAGCTTGGATGGATTCGGTGAGGGTACCGATTTGGTTGACCTTGAGCAGAAGAGCATTGCAAGCCTTGGACTCGATTGCTTTCTTGATACGCTTGGGGTTGGTCACAGTCAAATCATCACTGAGAGAGTGTCAGCATATGGGGCAATGACTGCAGAAGGAGTACCTACCCGACAATCTGGAAATCCGACGTCTTGTAGAAGTAGCTCCATGCCTCCCAGTCGTCCTCGGCGAAGGGGTCCTCAATCGAGACAATGGGATATTTGCTGGCCAGGGACTTGTACAAGTCGGCCAGCTGTTCGTAAGTGAGCCATTTGCTGGGATCACTGTCTGGGTTCTTGAAGTCCAGGTCGTACTTCTTCTCCTCCACCTTGTAGAACTCGCTTGAGGCAACATCCATCGCAATGTTCATTTTACCCTCGTAACCAGCTTCTTTGATGGCGGCAGAGATGAGCTCGAGAGCCTCTTCGGGGGTTTGGATGTCTGGAGCGACACCACCCTCGTCACCAACGTTACCAGCGGACTGGCCATACTTCTTCTTTGCGAGAGTCTTCAATTTCTGGTACACCTCTGCACCCCAACGAAGTGCTTCAGAGAAGGTAGGTGCTTGACTGCGAACGGCGTTAGGATGCATCACTCAGCAGGTCGAAATCATGGTACATACTCGGGAACGATCATGAATTCTTGGAAGGCAAGACGACCGCCAGCATGATCACCTCCGTTCAGGACGTTCATGAAGGGCACAGGGAGCACATAGGGCTTCTTGGTTCCTGCCAGGTCGGAAACGTGTGCGTATAGAGGGACACCCTTTTGAGCAGCACCAGCCTTCGCAACAGCAAGGCTGACACCCAAAATTGCATTGGCCCCCAGGTTGGTCTTGTTCTCTGTTCCGTCGAGCTCGATCAAGAACTTGTCCACAGCGGATTGGTCGGTGGGATCAATGTTCTTCTCAATCAACTTGGGTCCGATGATCGCGTTGACATTTTCGACCGCCTTCAGAACACCCTTTCCGCCCCATTTCGACTTGTCGCCGTCGCGGAGCTCGTGGGCCTCATGTTGCCCGGTGGAGGCGCCGGAAGGAACAATGGCACGGTGAAGGCCAGTCTCGGTTACGACGTCAACTTCGACCGTCGGGTTGCCCCGGGAGTCGTAGACGGAGCGGGCGTGAATCTTGACAATCGGCATGGCTGCGGTGGGTCAGTGAATGGAAGATATCGGGTGGACCTAGGGGAAATAGGCGCGGGCTCTGTGTCCGGAGAGAACGGAGAGACTGGAGTGATGAAGATTGGGGAAGACAAGTGATCAAGAACAAAATGAAATGAGCGACATTCGTGGATAATGTTGCTTTTGGGAAATGGTAGCAGGGTGACTGGGAGGAGTGGGAGTGGGGGAGCTCAGGATACTCACTGGAGAGTTGCTAGTGGTGTGATTGGAATCTACGTCAGCAGAGACTGGACTTGCTTGAGGTTAGATAAGTGAGAAAGACAAGAAGAAGCAGGATGGGAGCGTGTTCTTGTAAGGGTCGTTCAAAGAAGATGGGAGAATTGGGTGTGATGAGCAACAGTTCAACTTTTTGTTGTCTCGGTGGGGCAGGGGAGCAAGCAACCGGTCGCTACACACTGTGGTGACTGCACTCAACAACTGAGGTCATAAAATAGGCTCAAATCGCAGTTTCGCAGTTCGCAGGCGCAGGTAGGCCCAGGCGCAGGCGCAGTCACACCTGAGGTGCGGGACGAGAGATCAACGGGAAGCTCCCAGTGGTCCAGTGGCACCAGAGTTGCTCTGCCCCTCCATCCCAACTTGGACGTATCACGTATTACGTACTCTCGTCAGAGCTTCCTTTTGGCGGCGGCAGCCCCCGGCGAGCTCCTAGAGAAGCTAGACTCGATATAGACTGGCTCCCTAGGCTGCCTCACGTGACAAAGTGTCGGACTACCTTCCTCATCTTCCAGAGCCTTGCGCTCCACTGGGACAGAGTAGTGCCTCGTTCCGCGTGTCGTTGGTTACCTGCGCAAGCTGCCATCGTCGACACTACTATTCGAGGGCGTGATCATCTAGGCCCCTACAACATCATTTCTGAATTGACTGCACCGGTGTTTCTCTATTGTGTCCCCCATTTGTACACGTCAACCCCACTCCAGACAACGAACGAGTTCTACACCGCCGGTCGATCTACCTGGGCACCCTGAGTTCGCCAATATGGACGGAAGCGGAGATCCCGAAAGGCAACAGGCCCTGGAGCAGTACAAGAACAAACTACTGGAATCACGAGAATGGGAGGCCAAGCTCAAAGCCCTGCGGATGGACATCAAAGGCCTGCAGCAAGAATTCGAGCTCACAGAGGAAAACATCAAAGCGTTACAAAGCGTCGGTCAGATTATCGGCGAAGTGCTGAAACAACTGGACGAAGAGAGATGTATGTTGGCCACCAGAGTCTGGACGTAGAATGCTAACATGGTTCAGTCATTGTCAAGGCTTCCTCGGGCCCCAGATACGTCGTGGGCTGCCGGTCCAAAGTCGACAAGAGCAAACTGAAACAAGGCACGCGAGTGGCGCTGGACATGACAACTCTCACAATCATGCGCATGCTTCCTCGAGAAGTCGACCCTCTCGTCTACAACATGTCGCTGGAAGATCCAGGACAGGTATCCTTTGCCGGTATCGGTGGTCTCAATGAACAGATTCGAGAGCTGCGGGAAGTCATTGAACTTCCCCTCAAGAACCCCGAGCTTTTCGTCCGAGTCGGCATCAAGCCTCCTAAAGGTGTCTTACTCTATGGACCTCCAGGAACTGGAAAGACCTTGTTGGCCAGGGCTGTTGCGAGCAGTCTCGACACAAACTTCCTCAAAGGTGAGATAGAGAGTGTATCCAAGACGCCTATGGCTACTGACGTCTATCTAGTGGTGTCCTCAGCTATTGTTGACAAGTACATTGGCGAATCCGCCCGATTGATCCGAGAAATGTTTGGCTATGCAAAAGAACATGAACCTTGTATCATTTTCATGGATGAAATCGACGCCATCGGAGGTCGACGATTTAGCGAAGGCACGTCGGCCGATCGGGAGATTCAGAGAACACTCATGGAGCTCTTGAATCAATTAGATGGATTCGACTACCTGGGGAAGACCAAAATCATCATGGCCACCAACCGACCCGACACACTAGACCCGGCACTGCTGCGAGCAGGTCGACTGGACCGGAAGATCGAGATCCCGCTGCCCAACGAGGTGGGCAGATTAGAGATTTTGAAGATCCATGCCGCAGGTGTGGTGACCGAAGGCAACATTGATTTCGAGAGTGTGGTCAAGATGAGCGATGGCCTCAACGGAGCTGACTTGCGAAATGTGGTTACCGAAGCCGGCCTCTTCGCAATCAAGGATTACCGGGATGCAGTTAATCAGGATGACTTCAACAAGGCGGTGCGAAAGGTGGCAGAGTCTAAGAAGCTGGAGGGCAAGCTGGAGTACCAAAAACTGTAGAATATCATCTGTGTTGGCTTTCAGAGGGGCTGAGCGTTCGTTAAGACTCCCCATGGTCATGGTCCATTGACCTGTCGGTAAAGGAAACAAAGCATTGCTAGGCGCATTTGACTGTCCCAAATCAAATCGATGCTGGCCTGGCGATAGAGGCCATGTCTTGTCTCGATACGTGGCCGTGGCCTTCAGCTTTGCAATAATAGGTAGGTACTGCAACAATGGTCATGTCACAGACAACAACAACAACAGTGATCATTCGCGAGCAAAGCCCATGGCGATGCGCCACCACTTCTGGAGGCCTCTGGACTCCATGTGAGCAGCCATTTCTTTGACCGTGTCAACTTCTTCCAGAGTACCGAGCACTGCGTCTGGTATTTGTTGTGGCGCCACTGGCAGCGCGTCAGGGTCAGGGACGGCATCGACAGGGGAGACGAGTTGATAATCCTTGTAGCGTAGATTATGCACAGTGTCGACCCAGTTCTGAACTTGGGATTTGTTGCTGCCTCGAACATACATGACGCCGGGGACGCCTCCTGATCGCAGTAGGGCAAAGCATTGGTAGGTTTTGGCGGCGGCCCTGAGGCGGGCGACCTTTTTCCTCGAGGTAATATGGTGAGTGCGGATCAGGGCATGGTACATGGTACATGATCCTCTGGTTGTATTGCAGGGAGGCCGTAGGAGCCTTAGCCTAATGAGCTTGTCAGATTGGACAGCATATGAGGCAATGAGGCAATGAGGCAATGAGGCAATAAGGCGATGAGGCGATAAGGGTAGGTCGTCACGCAAGAGCGTAGTGTCTAATACCTATACCAGGTAGGTATACGGCACTCTCAGTACGTACAATTACCAATAAATATTAAATAGTAGCTTAGGTACGCATGCTTCAAGTTGGAGTCGACAACTTGAACTGGCTCTCCATTCTCTCCATTCTCCATTCTCCATGCGGACTTGTACGCCTCGGGCCTTGGCATCAAGCCGTAAGGCGCAAGACGCAAGACGGTCTTGTCCCCGCAGCATCGTGAGGCCGAGTCGAGCCACACACTCCAGTGCCTCGCCATCTCCAATGCAACAATGCTCGACCTTCTCCACGACGATGCCAGATCCGATTTATAATGACGGTGTTCGGCCGCAGGACTGGAGAACAACAACCTCGGTACCTGAGCCGTCGAGCAGACAGTCTGATGGCACATCGATCTCCGTCCCCTTCTGATCCTCAATACGTACTAATTACTCTGTACTCCGACCAGTGTGCCCCAATCCCAGATCAGCATGATGGACCCTCCTTCAAGAAAGCCGGTGCTTTTGTACTTTTTATATGCCGTCTTTTCCGCTTCCCCCATCTTTTCTATTCCTATTCCTCACCATCATTCTGCAAACAGTGACTCAGCGACCCAAGGAGGTCTCCTTTCATCTGTTCGTCAACAATGGGCTTGACCACGCTCAAACCCATTTGTGTTTGTGGGGACTAATATTGGCTGGCTGGTTGTGCCGCCCCATAGTACGGAGTACTGACAGAGAGGACCGGACCTTGGACTGGCACCCAACCGACCCAGAGCTCCTCTTGACATGGGCCATTTAGACCAGGAAAGCTCCAAGATGGGCGTCGAATCTGTATCTGTCGACCCTGCCACTAAGATTGCGCTCGATGTTCCAGTGGCGGATGCAGCAATCGTTCCTCCGCCGCCCTCAGTGGCCCCCGACGGAGGAGTCCGAGCATGGCTTCAAGTTTTGGGATGTTGGCTCGTATTCTTCAATGTCTGGTAAGGAGACTGTTCCATATGCGACGAATGAAGCAGCTGATGACAATGTTGGATCGTCAAGGGGCTTTCCTTTCTCATTCGGGCTGTTTCAAAGCTACTACGAATTGAACATCTTGACCGGCATGTCTTCGTCGAACATCTCCTGGATCGGGACAATGACATCGTATCTTCTGATTGTCACCGGCGTCCTCTCTGGTCCTTGGTTCGATCTCGGCTACTATAAAGTCATGCTTCTAGGAGGGGCTGCCATGTCTTGTCTTGGGATCATGATGTTGAGCCTCTCGAGTCAGTACTACCAGATCTTCCTGACCCAGGGCATCTGCACTGGTTTGGGTTGTGGGGTTCTCTATATCCCCGGCCTCGCGCTCGTCGGCCGTTCATTTACTAGGCGAAGAGCAATGGCAATGGGAATCGTAAGCAGTGGCGCTCCTGTCGGTTAGTCTACTCAAGCCCACCGTGACAGTGGAGACTGCCCATTGCTTACAGACACATCAGGCGGAATCATCTATACTATTACTTTTGACCAGGTCATCGACTCACTGGGCTTTGCCTGGACGGTGAGGGTGATGGGATTCATCATGCTCGGGTCCTACCTCATTGCATTCCCACTCTTGCTCTGGGGAACGGCCAACACGGGCGACATCGCGTCCGGGACCCCTCGGAAGCTGTTTGACAAGTCGGCCTTCAAAGACCTAGCCTTTTGGATGTATACCTGGGCCAACTTTTTCGTAAGTGGGGGCAGTCCACATTTCGTGTCCGGCTCCAGGTCTGGGGCATGTCCAAGCGAATCTGATTACTTACATTACCTCAGTTGTTTTGCGGCTACATGGTGCCGTTCTTTTATATGCCCAGCTACGCCCAGTTCGAGCTGCACATGTCGCGATCACTCTCTCTGTATGCCGTCGTCATTGCACAGGGTGTCTCCGTCATAGGACGGCTGCTGGCGTCTGCTGCGGCCCTTCGAGTCGGGGTCATGATCCCCTGGCTGACCTGTGGCACCCTCTCGGCCATTCTTTGCCTGGCGTGGATCGGCATCCATACTCCTGCCGCGTTTCTGGTCTATGCAGCACTGTACGGTAAGTCAAGAATCCTCTCTCGCTTTTACCCTCCTCTCCTGCTTTTACTCTTCCCTCGTGCTTTTACTGTCCCCTCCCGCTTTTACTGTCCGCTCCCGGTTCTTACTGTCCCCTCCAAGCGTCCAGGCCTGGTTTGTACTTGATGGCAATGCTTACACTCTCTCCCGCTTTTACTCTCCCCTCCAAGCGTCCAGTCCTGGTCAAGAATCCTCTCTCCCGCTTTTATTCTCCCCTCCCAAGCATCCAGGCCTGGTCAAGAATCCTCTCTCCCGCCTTTACTCTCCCCTCCCAAGCGTTCAGGCCGGTCTCTACTTGATTGCAATGCTTACGATCATACTCTCGCTCTATACTTGATTGCATGCTTACGACGCAATAGGGGGCTTCAGTGGCGCGCTTATTCCTCTCCCGCCCAGTATTTTCCCCGTCGTGTGTCCCGATCCCAAGATCCTCGGCGCACGTCTCGGCATGGCCCAAGCAATTGGCGCCACCGCCTCGCTGATAGGCAGCCCCATAGCGGGTGCCCTCTTGGGCCTAGGAGGCCACGGCTACCTGGGCTTGCAACTGTGGACGAGCCTCATCATGTTGGTTGGGAGCTTGTTCCTGGTAGGACTGTGGATCACGCTTGTCAAAAGAAGGGAGTGCAATATATTGATCTAGGCACGGGTGGCAGAGTGCGCTGGCACAATTGTTCTCACAGTAGAGGAATGTGCTAGAGGGGATGTACGTATATGCGTGACTCTCACCTGGGGACTCTCACCTTGGGAATTATCTTCTGCTACTGGAATATATATGTACGTATGTATGTATATATGTATATATACACACGCAGTTCCGGCAAACCGGACCACACATCAACTAGGCTGTCGACCCAAAGCTTCATAAAGTTCCGAGAAATCTTCCTCAAGACGTCGAAAACACCCAAAACAAGTCACGTAGTTATAGTTGATGGTGTCACGGTCCTAAACTGTTACACCACGACAGTCACCAAAAAGGACGAAGTAACTAATTCACTCGTGAATTAGCCACTTGGTGTATATAACCGTCACAGATGGTTCCTGGTTCATTGCTGATAGTTGATAGTTTACGGCAGAATTAATAAATGCTTAACCCGAAATCTTGCCTTGATGCCTTGATATTTCACAAATATTTCACAAATATTTCCTATTCCTATATCGCTTGGCTTTTGCTATTCTACAAGTACTCCGTATCGCTTGAGAAGAAAGATGTGCGGGTGATGGTGCTCGTGCCGTGCTGTTCATACACGCAGCTTCATCCAGTGAAGTGCTGGCCGAGTTCGAGTTCTTTGACAAGGATCCCCCTAAACAGGCTGAAACTGACAGACTTCACTCATTGTCGTCCGGTAGTTGATCTAGCTGGCTGGATCAGTCGAGACTATTTGATCGACCTCACTTGGTGCGGAGCAAGTCTCAACAAAAGGTGTCAGTCGGTATCAGCCGGTGTCCGTGTCAGCCCAAACCCCCGAGCCGATATTCAGCGGATTCCAGTGATCAGACGCAAGATGCAATCCCTCTGAACGTAATCGGGGAGCAAGGAAGACACCTTATTTCGGAGCCAGGAACACCCCTTATTTCGGATACTTCTTCCAACCTCTACCGTGTCCTCTCTGTAATTGGGTTAGCACAATTCCCAACGAGACCAAAACGAGATCCCAAGAACAGCATCATGAGCCTTACCTGCTTCCATTCTCTGACCAAGTCCGGCATATTCTCCATCGCCGTCCTCCTTTTATCAAGATTCGCGCCGACACGTCTCTCCCACTTGTGACCCTTGACCTTCTGGCCCTCACCTGTCCCCTTGACACGCAGCCCTCTCTCCAGCAACCGTGCCTCCTTGAATGCTGTTGCCTTTCGACTTGGGGGGAGGAGCTCCTCAATCCCGTGCTTTTTGGCCAATTTAACAAGCTCCGCCTGCCGTCGCAGCCCGATCCTCGCGCCCGCCCATCGGCCCGTGACCGGATTCTTGCGTGGGAGAAACGGGTTGGGAGGAAGTTTGCTTTCGATCGAAGAAGATGACAGTGTCGATGTCGGTGCTAGTATGGTGGATTGCTCTTCCGACGACGACGCTTCGGACTCTAGGCCTGTCTGTGTCTCTGTGGACTGTGGGACCGAGGTTTTCTGCGCCTTGATGGCCGCCGCTCTGGCGATGGCGGCTTCTTTGGCTTCTTTCCGCGTGAGAGCGAGTGTGGCTCCGGTAAACTTGGTCGAGTACAGTTGAGGCGGATATCGAGCGAAAAAGGTGACCAGCCGGGGCGGCAGGCTCAGTTTCTGTATTGCGGCTTCGGCCATGGTGGAAAAAAGAAGGTTAAGGTTGCGTGGTCGCCGGACGGGGGGATCCCTTCACCTCATGCGTAGCTGTAGGACATTGAAGGCTTGGTCGGTAGGAATGGCGGTGGGCGGTGGGCGGCAGTCATTGAACGTGAGTAAATTGAAGTTCAAAGGACCCAAGAACTCCAACTGTAAGGTGACTAGTCACGTGCCTGGGAGCCGGAGAGAAAGTTGCTCCAACGACCAATCATAGTCTTGACGGGTGCCGGAGCTCTAAGTCACGTGCAATCCAGCCAGGCCTTGCCGCTTTAGACCTTGTGACCTCTCAACCTCAACCTCAACCTCAACTTCATTCATCTTGACTACGGGTTTTATTTTCCAGGGTTCAGGTAGGATCCAACGTCCGGAAGGGCTCTAGGTTTTTTTGGGACCTGCTTAGGACGTTGGATCACTCGGTAAGCGGGACGACTCTTCTGGAACTATCAATCGCCGTCACCATCTCTATACCTCCCTCGGTACAGTTCAGTTACCAGACATCTTCACTCTCTTGTCGCGCAGGCTTCTGCGCACCGGCGTCCCATCATTCTGTCTGGCAATTTCTTCCGCTCACGTTTGCTCCTGCTGGAGGACCTGCTTCTTCTCGATAGGCTTGTCGATCGCCGTCGCGAACACTATGTGTCTTTGATCATCACGTTCGCCCCTTTTGAGCTTCCATTTCCATTTTAAATTATGTTCAATGATGGTCCCAAGTCCCTCGATTGGGGGGCCATGACCATAATCCCTAGTCTGCCTGCCACGGGTGGGTAATAAAGTCAACTCTTCAAGTGGATAGGAACGAAGACCTTTGGCCGACGAAATGCACTCGAAGATGCTCCTCGCCAAGGTCTCCTCATCCATGTTGACGCTATTCATGAGCGTATCTTTGAGCTGGCCATTCCGTGGACAACGGCTTTCACCAAACCCAAAGTACTGTTGTTCCCACTCTCCCAATGATATATCATTGGCTCCCTCGTCGTCAAGGTGGAGGGTTATCGTTTGGAGCTTTGGCAAGCTGCCTAATGTTGTGTAAATTGCAGCTTCGGTCTCGTGACCTCGGCAGTGTCGTATCGGTAAGGCCAGCTCCGTGAGCTGGGTGAAAGCAGTTCGAAAACGAAGCATGTCGCCCAAGCCAGCCTGAAAAAGTGGAACCCATCTATACAGAGGTTCAATCTGGAGCTTGACGAGCGAACCACCGTGGCGCGAGATGATGGCGTCAATGGTGCTCGGGTGCACGGCGTTGCCCTTGACACTGAGCTCAGACAGAGGTGGGAGGCTATGGATGAATGAATTGTAACGGTCAACCTGTTCCGATGATAGTGTACCTGATTCCAGATCTGGATCTATCATCCGCGTTTTGAGTTTCTTGAGCGAGTCCAACTTTGGTCTGCGATCGGTCTCGCCAGTTATTATCGGATGTAGTTCCCAGGTAATCAATGTCTGGAGCTTGGACAAGTCGAAGTGTTCGCTGTAATACTCGAATTCCTCGTCCCAACCAATCCCCACCATCTTGAATTCTTCCAAAGCTAGGGCTCGAGACGGTGATTTAGGCGTATCAATGTCAATGTTCTTGAATCCTTCCCAGGGTGGCCTTGGTGATTGATATGCTCGTACCAGCCCAGGACGGTTCATAGCACGTACCCATCGAATGGTTACTTTCTTCAAGCTTGGGTTCCGCTCTACTATATCAAATAGAGCCATATTGGTGTAGTTCTCGCGGCGGGAGCGTGGGTGAAAGCGCGAACCGGTCGTCGCAATGCTGTGGAGACTGGGTGAAGTCAATAGGGTGAAGTCGTCTGGGTCAAGGACACGATCAACAGGCTCCAGCCTGAATAAGAATCGTTTCAGATCGACCTTGCATGCAGGAAGATGGGCTTGCAAAGTTGTCAGAAGAGACGGCGGGAAATGATTGCTGCTGTCCCAGGTCACGGTAGATAGATTGGGTAGCTCGCGAACAAACTCGGCCAGAGATGTCCAGTGGTCGTGGTCTGGATATTTGATGGTGCTTATCCATCCCTCGATGATCAACTCATGGACATGAATACGATCGATCCCGACAACTCTGCCACTCCACAGCTCGACGTCCTGGACAAGCCTTTGCGGATCGGAGTGATGAATTGAAATTGTGCGAAATCGAAACGGTCTACACAAATCATCACAAGGCTTGCTGCTAAGGGCGAGGGCAAGCAAGCTGTTCCGATCAAGGTAATGGCAGATTCTATAAAAGATCTCGGGGGGGAATGAGACGATCGATGTCGGCAATGGAGACATGGCTAGAGAGGATAGGTGGGTGTGTGAGAGAGGGAAGGGAGGAAATAGAGAGATAGAGAGAGAAAGCGGAAGGACTTGAATATACAGTAGATCATATCAACCCCCTGCAATGCCTCGGTTGATTAGAAGACCAGCATGGCACAGAGATAGCGTGGTAGCCTTGCCAGCCGTGCGACAGCAGGCGCTCTAAGACCTTGCCAAGGCTTATAAAGACGTCGAAGTGCTTCGACGCGCTAAGAAAGCGCGTTGTATATATTTCGTACTATACGCTTAGTACGGAGTATATAGTCTAACAAACCCCTAAGCCCTCGAGCCCCGTTGATAAGGCGAGGCTGAATCACGTGCTCGAATGACGATAGGGAGTACAGGGCGGCATCACCCTTGTCCGAAAGAGGTTTGAGTTTCTGCCACCCGTAGTTTTCTCTTGGCGCAATTGCTGTAACTTTCGAGCCGCAGTTCTTCAGCTACTCAAGTCAACAGGTAGTTTTTCCACTTCATTCCGGCTGCACTCTCCCATCTCCGTTCCCATTTCGCCTCCGATACTGTCTGCGAACGACGGGCGCATCGAAAGACATCGACAGGCTGTAGACAGAACGCCCTGCCTTGCCTCGCCTTGTCTTAGTCGGGTAGACCGCAAGACTCGGTGCCTAACCAGGCTACGTACAGATGGACGTGTACGGGGGAACCGACGAGGAGAGCGCCGAGTTGCGAAAGCTCCTAGTGGAAGTGGTAAGTCTCCGACCAACCGATCCGACATAAAACGCTGACAGAACGATCGCCTCAGAACGATGATTCCGACAACTTTGAGATCTGGGAGAAACTCGTGCGTACGGGCGAGTCGCTTGAAGGCGGCATCAACCGAAATTCTAGTGCTCAAGCAATCACTGCGATAAGAGACATCTACGACCGTCTGCTCAGCAAATTCCCTCTCTTCTTCGGGTATTGGAAGAAATATGCCGACCTCGAGTTCTCCATCGCTGGCACCGAAGCAGCCGAAATGGTAAGAGAATTTGGTCACACGGGTTGAAAAATGAAGGCGCATGCTGAGACTCCTATAGGTCTATGAGCGCGGTGTTGCAAGCATAACCAATTCGGTCGACCTGTGGACGAATTACTGTTCATTCAAAACCGAGACCTGCCACGACGCCGATATCATTCGAGAGTAAGTATAGATAAGCTTCCCTCTTGTCGAGACCTAAATACAGCAAGATCACAAAGACGTCGCCAAAACCTCTTTCGACGCAGAATGCCGACGGCCACCGCAACATTGGTGAGATCGTCAGCAGCCATTCCCCTTCTGGATTGCTTCTCACATATCATCAGTCAGGCGCGTTGATTTGCTTTTCTCGGACGGCCCCTGTGCCCATCACTATTCCTGCAGGAACATGTTGCAAATGATTGAGGGACTTCACACCGCGTTGATCCGCCAAATTCATGTTTGCTTCCTCCGCCCTCCTCTCCTGACCCTTGGCCCGTATGTTCAGCGATGCTAACTTCAACTTTTTGATGAATAGACTCTTCGAGCGAGGCGCGGCCTTGGTAGGCCTGGATTTTCTTGCCCACCCCTTCTGGGACAAATACATCGAGTTTGAAGAACGCTTGGAAGCACACGATCGCATATTTGCCATCCTAGGCAGACTCATCCACATTCCGATGCATCAGTATGCCAGGTACTTTGAAAAATACCGGCAAATGGCACAGACTCTCCCGCTGGTTGCTATCGTTCCTGCCGGAACACTGACTCAGCTGCAACTGGACCTTGAAAACGAGGGGGCTGGATACAAAGCCGGCCGCAGCCAGGCCGAAGTGGAACGCGAATTAAGGGTCCGCATCGATGCTTATCATTTGGAGCTGTTCAGGCAGACGCAGACCGAGACCACGAAACGATGGACGTTCGAGTCCGAGATCAAACGTCCGTACTTCCACGTAACAGACCTGGATGAAGCCCAACTTACGAATTGGCGCAAGTATCTCGACTTTGAGGAAACCGAGGGCGACTATACACGAATCCAGTTCTTGTACGAGCGGTGTCTGGTTACATGTGCCCAGTATGACGAGTTCTGGCTGAGATATGCCAGGTGGATGCTGGCTCAGCCAAGTAAGGAAGAGGAAGTCCGAAACATCTACCAGAGGGCAGCATGCATTTTCGTGCCAATTGCTCTTCCGGCAGTCAGACTTCAATATGCCTACTTTGAGGAAATGAGCGGCCGAGTTGATGTGGCCAAGGACATTCACGAGGCAATTCTGGTCTCTCTACCCGGCCACGTTGAGACGATCGTCTCGCTTGCGAATATCACTCGTCGCCATTCCGGAACGGAGGCTGCCGTGGCGATCTACCAGAGTCAGATCGATTCTCCGTCCATCGAACCTTCTGCCAAGGCAGCACTCGTGGCAGCATGGGCTAAATTGCTATGGAAGATCAAGGGAGCACCGGAAGAAGCTCGACAAGTGTTCCTGAAGAACCAACAATGGTATCTCGATAGCCCAGCTTTCTGGTCAGCCTATTTGCGTTTCGAAATTGGTCAGCCCACAACAGCGGACACGGAACAAGCCCAGTATGACCGAATCCGACGAGTGGTGGACGAGATTTTCAGCAAGAGCCGTTTGCCCGAGTCGACGGTTCAGGAGCTTGTCACAGCTTACATGCAGTATCTGCTCGAAAGAGGCACCAAAGATGCCGCGAAGGAATACTTGACTCTCGACCGGGAAATCAATGGGCCAACTTCTGTGCAAAAGTTGCCTAAGATGCAAAATGATCCGAGCAAGACTCCGGGTTTTGTTAATGGCCAGGTATGCTATGGCTCGGCCCCTTTTTGACTCTGCCACTTGTATTTAACTAACACCGTCTCTACAGCCACCCCCGATCCGGTATACATGAGGCTGTCCACTCCTGAAGCATCAACTGCAGTGGTCATCTGGATTTTGTCACGAGGTCGGTGGGCATTAGCGATCGGGGCTGGTAGTTTTCGACTTTTTCTTGACACGGCTTGGTGTGGACTGGACGGCCGAGTGTACAATGTTGAACGTCGATAGTCAAAAAATAGGCATATCAACTCTAGATTTGGAATGTACAAACGTGACCCCGTCGCTCAATTTGGATTCATTTGTTCATGGAGTCGGGCCTCAGCCTTGTCACGTGAGGGGTTCTGCCTGGCGGAAATCTGCCAGCCAGTGCCACACCTTGCTTGGCGTTTCCGAGGCCTTCGCCGCGGCTTTCAGACTTCGGGGTCGACTTCAACTGGAGACACAACTTCGCATAAAGTAGTTCGCAGGTGCATTTTGATCCAACTGTGCATATTCCGCCGACTGCCAACTGCCAACTGCCAACCCCTCGTGTCCTCGACAGACCGCCACCCCCAGCATCACTGTGCTCGCTTGGACTGGACCGCCATCATGGCGATTAAAATGGTGAACGGCCACCACGGAAATGACATTCCAGCACCTCCTGTTGACCCTGTCTCAAGACCACAGACACAGACTCCTCTGCCCCCTCCACCGCCACCAACGTCAGATCTGGCGCCACCTCCACCCCCAGCCGACAACGGAGTCCCTCCGCCGCCGCCAGAAGCCATCCCGCCACCGCCGGTTAACGAGCTGAAACCCCAAGCTCCCCAGAAGAAAAGATGGGGATCGACCAAGACAACAAAGGTCACGCCGCTGAGCGTGGAAGAACTCTTGAAAAAGAAACGAGAGGCCGACCTGGCTGCCAGCAAGCCGAAGTTCCTGTCCAAGGCGGAGCGCGAGCGGTTGGCCCTGGAGAAACGAGCAAAAGAAGTCGAGGCTGCCGCCGCATCAAAATCCAAGCCTCAGAACGGTAGTCTTTCAGCATCTACAGAGCCTGAGCGGCGCAAGGCTAATTCAGTCCCGAACGGGCCGAGGGCCTCGCGTAATGGAGATATTCCGACGGGTCCTGCTGCCATGCGGTCCCGAGATTACAATAATAAAGGTGGTGATTCGGCGCCGCCTGCACCTTCAAAGTCGAGAGCATCCGGCGGCGATTCTAAGGCGCAAAAAAGGCAGGCCAACGAAGATGCGCTGGAAAAGGCAGAATCCGACTTGATTCGGCAAAGGTACATGGGCGCCAACCTGAACGTTTCTACATTTTCCGCCCTCAAGAAGAGACGACGGACGACGGAAAAGAAGTTTAATTTCGAGTGGAACACGGAAGAAGACACGACGCCGGATTATAATCCCATCTACAACGACCGAGCGCAACTCTCCTTCTTTGGACGTGGCCGGTTGGGTGGATTCGACGATCAGGCGGCGGAGGAAGCGGCAAGAAAGTACGCCGAAGTGTTACAGTCGAGGGACGGAGAGGCTGGAGCTGCACGGGCTCAAGAAATGCTCGAGATGGAGCGGAAGAGAAAGGAAGAATCTCATCGGACGGCGATCGACAAACATTGGAGCGAGAAGAGATTGGATCAAATGCGGGAACGAGATTGGCGCATCTTCAAAGAAGACTTCAACATCAGCACCAAGGGCGGAGGTATCCCCAACCCTATGCGGAACTGGCAGGAGTCGGCCCTACCACGACGGTTATTGGAGATTATCGACCAAGTCGGATACAAGGATCCTTCGCCCATCCAGCGAGCGGCCATTCCCATTGCCCTTCAGAACCGAGACCTGATCGGTGTGGCTGTGACTGGGTCTGGTAAAACAGCCGCGTTCCTGCTCCCACTTCTCGTCTACATCTCCGAACTACCGCGGCTCGACGAAGATGAATCGCGACGCAACAACGGTCCTTATGCCATTATCCTCGCTCCCACGCGTGAGTTGGCGCAACAGATTGAGATCGAGGCGAGACGGTTCGCCACTCCTTTAGGCTTTACGGTCGTATCCATTGTCGGTGGCCATTCGATCGAAGAACAAGCCTACAACCTTCGCAACGGGGCCGAAATCATCATCGCCACCCCCGGTCGTCTTGTCGACTGTATTGAACGGCGGATCATCGTGCTGGAACAATGCTGTTACGTGATCATGGATGAAGCCGATCGAATGATCGACCTCGGTTTCGAAGAGCCGGTGAACAAGATCCTCGACGCCCTTCCCGTCGGCAACGAGAAACCCGACTCGGAAGCGGCCGAAGACAGCCGGGCCATGTCCCGGTCTCTCGGGGGCAAAGACCGCTACCGCCAGACGATGATGTACACCGCGACCATGCCTGGGGCAGTGGAGCGCATCGCACGCAAATACCTGCGGCGCCCCGCGATCGTGACCATCGGCAACATTGGCGAAGCCGTCGACACGGTGGAACAGCGGGTCGAGTTCGTCGCGGGCGAAGACAAACGCAAGAAGCGGCTGCAGCAGATTCTGGCTTCGGGCGAGTTCCGACCGCCCATCATCGTCTTTGTCAACATCAAGCGCAACTGCGACGCCGTGGCTCGTGACATCAAGTCGATGGGCTTCAGCTCGGTCACGCTACACGGGTCCAAGACACAAGAGCAGCGTGAAGCCGCGCTGCAGTCGGTGCGCGACGGCAAGACCGACGTCCTCGTGGCGACGGATTTGGCGGGTCGTGGTATCGATGTGCCCGACGTCTCGCTCGTGGTCAACTTCAACATGGCCAACAACATTGAATCCTACACCCATCGTGTCGGCCGAACCGGGCGTGCCGGCAAGAGCGGCGTCGCCATCACCTTCCTCGGCAACGAGGACGCCGATGTGCTGTACGATCTCAAGCAGATGCTGATGAAGAGCAGCATCAGCCGCGTCCCTGAAGAGTTGAGGAAGCACGAAGCCGCCCAGCAGAAAAGCCAGCGCGGGGGAGGGGGAGGTGGAAGGAAAGCCAACACTGCGAATGATGAGAGTGGTGGGTTTGGTGGGAAAGGAGGATTCGGTGGAAAGGGTGGTGGAGGAGGAGGAGGTGGTAGTGGTGGTGGGTGGTAGCCGCGATGTAACTGATGATGATACGTATATCAATACTGCTACCAATCCTGATATCAATTCCATGAATTCATCTTCTATTTTCTTTACTATTACTATTATTATTACAACTCCAATTCCAATTCCAATTCCAACACCAACACTAATAGCATGTATGGCATAGCCGGATATGAAATGATATGGAATGGAATGGCAAGGCGTGTACGTATGTATGTACTAAAGAGTATGTACTTAAGAGTATGTACTTAAGAGTATCTATACTAAAGAGTATATAGGTAAGTACAGGCCTAGACCTGCCTGAGCCTTGAGCCTGACCACCATCGCATCACACTGAACCAGTCTCGTATTATGTACGTAGTACATAGCATATAATACAGTACTTTCATTCCATTCCATGTCTTATGCTTGCTTATACTTACTTGCCTGCTTGCACCGAGCACTGTAGATACAGTATCTATTCTTCGACAAAGAACCCTAGCCTCCTTGGCCTTATAAGTTACAGCACTTACTTAAGTGAGTCTCCTTGGCCTTACAATATCTGACTGAGGAGAGGAACCTGCCAACTAAATAACCTAAGCTACTGTCAGCTACTGTAAGCTAAGCTGCTTAATCAAGCTTGTTTGTTTGGTTCGCAAATCAGGCTCGGGGCTCAGGGGCGAGGATGAGGATAAGTCGATAGAAGCCAAAACACACACAAAGATGTCAAAAACACACAACAACAAACACACACACACACGCAAAGATGTCAAATACACACACAGATGTCAAACTATAGAACCCCCAAACCTAACACGACCCCTCTAAAAGATCGAGCAAACCGAGCAAAACCGGGGAAAAGAGTCAAAGAGAGACAACATCCGTCCGGGTTCAAAGGTGTCCTGGATACACATCCCCTATAGGAATCCCAACCCCAGATTCCGGCTCAGACTCAGACTCAGACTCCGGCTCATAAGAAGAAAAATCATTTCATCGTTCGTTGACCAGTCGTTACATATCACCCTACCCCCTTACCCCTACCCTTAACCCCTACCCCTAGATCGGACTCCTCCTCAACGCCCCGACTCGCTTGATGGGCGTGTGCATCATGGCCTCCTGGACTTCGGGCGGAATGGCCGCTTTGACTATGGGCAACTGCGACGACTCCTTGTCTGCCCAGCCACTGGCTTCGTCCTGCACCGCCTGCGCCGCCTGCGCCTTACCCGACACTGAGAGCGACGGGTTGAAGTTTTCCTTATCTGCTGCCGCTGCTGCCGCCGCCACCGCCGCCCCTCCTGTGGTCCCTTGTAGGTACTGTGACGTGAACTTCTCGAGACGTTGTTTGGGCACTGGAAGCGCTTTCTTCTGCATTGGGTTGGTCCGCTTGGGCGCAAGAGGCGACCGCTTGGGTGCCGACGAAGCTGTCACTATAGCTGATGCCAACGTCGATGGTGACCTGGGAGCTTGTACCGCCGCAGCCCGGGGAGTCGAAGTAGCTGTGGGAGCAGAGTCGGCTTCATCCTTGATCTTGGTCTCGGTCTTTTTCTCCTGTTTCGACGGCTCCTGCTGCCGACTCCAAGCCAGAAAGCCCTGGACGGCACTGACCAAAGCGCCCTCACCAAGTGTCAGACTCTCGACCTCCTTCCCAAGAGCGTGTTGGACTTTCCTACTCTTCGCACCACTCAGAATGTGCGACATGGATCCATAGACGGCGTTGGCGGCCACATTGGTGGAAGCAACCATGGCACCATCGTTGAGAATGGTGGCCATCACGGTAAAGATTATGTCAACGCGTCCCGCCTGATTCGGTAGCATCAAATTCACCTTAATCGCCAACCTCTCATCACTCAAGATCGAGGCCGTCGTAATGCCCACCAGGCTCAGCAGACGGATTTCCTCCGAGACATTGCACGCGAGATCCCAACCTTGAGAGACAGTCGATAGCAATGTTTTGGATGCGATAGACCCTTTAGGCATCATTGCAAACACGTGCAGTTGACTTCGGATCATCTGTAAGAAGAAGCGCTTTTCAGTGGCCAGTTCCGGAGCTGCTTCTTCGCCATCGTCTTGACCGATGGGTGCAAACGTCAAGCTGATGGGAGCGGTCGGTCCCGACACAGACGCCGACTTCCTCCCGGATCTCCGTCGAGGCGCGTCAGCTGCATTGCATTGGAAGCCGTGCGGGTAGAAGAACAACCGGAGTTGATCCTTGTACACCATGGTCAGAGCGGCGCCGTAGCCATTGGGTTCGTCCACCTCCTCAACGGCAAGGAGCCGCCAGCCACTCTGTTTCTCGATCGCCTCAACCTTGGACTTGAGCGCCAGGACATCCGCGACCGGCCAACCCTTGTGTTCTTCTCTCACTCGGTCTGCCTCTGCAATTTGATCCTTCATCTCGAGCTTCAGCTCCGTTGCCGCCGCCAGAGCCTCGTCTTTCTCCTTGATCTGGTCTTGCAGAGTGTCCAGCAATGCAGATCTCTGGAGGTGGTAGTCGTGAGCATCCCGCAACTGATGGCGGTAGTCAGTCAGAGCCTCTTGATCCACACTGTCCAACTCTTCTAGCCTCTGTTGAAGCGAGCTTTTCTGTCTCTCAAGCTCGGACTGCTCCAGAAGCAGGGGTGGGATCACTCCATCCAATTGCTTCTGCTGCTGGTCGAGAAGAACCAGGTCTGCTCTGATCCCGTGGTTGATACCCTCGAGACCAGCCTTGAGGCCTTCCACAAGCTGGGCTCGCCACTGATACCATCCCTCTTTGCTCTGGAGACGAGCATTGGCTTTGCCGTTGCGGAATTGGTTGTCCATGACCAACTTCACATCTGGTCGAGCATCGAGATACTCCCGGAAAAGCGGCGGTTGTTCAGCGAGGGTTTCCGCCTCGATCGTTCGAATAATCTTGCGGCCGGTAGAAATGTAGGACTTGAGCTCTCTCGTGGCGTGCTGATATAATTCGAGGAGGGGCAACGTGGTGGCAGCTGCAACAAAAGTTGCCTCCGTGCCGTTGTGATCTTCAGCATCTTGGGATTTCCTGGGCGCCAGTGACTGTGCCATGGTGTGTCTCCTCTTGGTGGTCGAAAGTTCGATGAAGTGAATGTTGGTCATGTTGAGGAACTCTTGCAACGAGATTTTCTCCTCTTCGTCCCCATCACGCCCGTGTTCTAGCTGAGCCGTCGCAACGTCAATGGCACCGACCACATTGTCGAGCTTGTCCTCGAACGAGGTAGGCCGTGCATCTCCATTGCTCTCGACATTGCGATAGCGCCCAGCCGAGGAAGGGCTCGCGGCCACAGTCCGCGTAGGGGAGGAATTCGCAACTGTAGGAGTTATCTTCTCGGTGCTGGCCAGGTCTTGGAGGTACTTCAGTCGGCCTGTAGTTTCGTCCTTGCTGGGCGGCCTCGGTAAGTGAACCTTTTTCACCGGACTGCCCTCTCGCGAGACGCCCTTCAACCGCTTAGGGGTCGAGTCAGCCTCCTCTTCATCGTCCATATCGAGTTCGGCCGGCCGCTTGCCCAGTAGCCCCTTGGCCCCGCCAACGGCAAGACTCTTCCTGCCCTTGAGCTTGCCGGACTTGGGTTTCTTCGGCGACATGGCGTCAATCATGTCTTTCAGCTGTAGGGTCGCGGTCTCTTCCTGATGCTGATTAGCCTCCTGCTCCATGATGAACCGACCACTTTCACGTCGGTGCTCTTCAGCTCGCTCGGCCTCCACTTCATGCTCAAGCAGTTGCGGGTCTTCCAAGCGCACCCGTTGGGGCGCGCCGCCCCCCAGTTTGAACTGAGGGATGCTGTCGCCGATGCTGGTCCGACGGCTCAGGATCTCCGACACCCGAGGGGATCCAATTCCGTCTTTGTCAACACCAATGCCGCTCGATCTTCGTCGCGTCAGCTGGGGCTTTGGGGCACGCAGAATGACGCTGGGGGTTTGCTGGCCGGTCTCTGCGTCTCGGGAGAATAAAGTGTTTGCGGTAGTGTTTGCTTCTCGGGGGATGGATCCGGGTGAGTTTCTAGCCTTGATCTCAGCCTTGAAGAGCTTCTTTGGTGAGGCTCCTCGACGTGTTACGTTGGCAGACAGTGGTGTCTTATTAGGAGTTTCGGCGCCTGCCGGAACAGGTGTAATCTGTTTTGATGGAGTACCACGCTGAGTCCTCGTTGTAGATTTGACCGGCGTACTGATCTGCGCCTTTGGTTGTGGTGTGGTAGATTTCGTCGCGCTTCGCTGAGGCCTCCCAGACAGTCGTGGTTTTAGAGCAAGGCTCGGGCTACCCGTCTCTGATGCTACTGATGCCAGGTGTTGTTGAGATTTCGGCGTTGTTTGAGGACTTGCTTGTTGAGTTGGCTGCCCTTTCGGTGTCGTCGATTCCGTAGTCGCCTCTGTACCACTTCTTAGAGCTGTCCTCGCCGCCCTCTTTGCTCCAGCGGAAGCCTGGTTGAGGATGGAACCCACTGCACGGGTCATTTCCATGGCCATTGTTTGCTCGTCGTCTGCATCACTCTCGAGTTCGGTTTGCTCCTCGATGGGAGCCAGGATGCCTCCGACCGCAGCCGTCATGTCCATGCTGTCATTCCCGTCCGTCTTTTCAGAACAAAGGGATTCTCTGCGGGCAGAATCGCCCAAGACACCCCCCACAGCAGTCGTGAATTCCATCGTCGCCTCTTCGTCGACGCCCTGGAAGAAAGTCCTGTTATTGGAGTTTGACTCGTCCTCAACACCAATTATGCCACCTTGCATCACGGTAAAATCCATGGGCTCCTCGAACGTCGAATCGTCTCCGGAAGAACGGCGGCGGCGAACAATGCTTTTCCGACGAGACGCAGGGGACTTTACACCCTTCCCGGTCGGAGATTGCCTCGAAACAATGCGCCCAACCGCCTTTGTTACATCCATGCTCATTCCCTCTGTCTGTTCTTGAGGCTCTGTGATGTCTGCGTCTTCCCGTCGCTGTAGAGGGGCAGCGTGGCGAGAGGAATCCTCCGGCATGACGTTTTCCAGGTCATACATGGCACTATTCTCCATGTTTGCCCCACGATCGCGAGCCCAGGGCTGGAATGCATTCGTGACAGTCCCTGTAACCAGATCCATGGATAACTCGTCGTCTTGTTCGTCATATTCAATTCCGCGCGTCCCGGCCTGACTGGCGGCCTGACGGAGACGATCTTCTAAGCTGGAATGTGTGCTTGACCCGGAGTCTTGCGAGGTAACAGTGTGCGCAGTGCCATCTTCCAAACTCATGGCGGTGTCTCCGTCTGTGTCGGATTCGTCGGAAGACTCAATGCCTTCCTCAACGCGCAGCGGACTGCTGTTTGTCGTGATGTCTCCAGAAGGGCTGGACGAAAAGACCTCATCTTGCGAAGCGTCCAACATGGGCTCTGAGAGCCCTGAGCTTCTTCTCCGACGCTTCTTTTGATGGAGATCCCGTTGATGAGCCGGCGATTCTGCGACTAGTTGATGTTCGGGCTGTTCAAGAGGAGTCGAGGGGACGGTCGTTGTCGCCGGAGAGAGACCCGATGCGGCGGGCGACTGAGTGGCTGACATTGATGATTGTCTTCTTGTAGAGTTGGAGGCAGAACTGGTGGTCGAGTCTTCTGCAAGCTCCATGACACTCCATGTGTGCAGAGTGGCCTCTGGCGCAAACGAAACTCTGCGGTTCGCCAGCGATTTCCGTCTCGCAGCTCTGCGCTCCAAGATGGCTTGCTTCTCGGCCTGGCGTTTCAGCTCTTCCTCTCGCTCACGCTCGACCGTCTCCATACTTTCAGCACCCGATTTGCCGGGTGTGCGGCGCCGCATGGGACTGAAGGGATCAGCGACATTTTCAGCGCCTGACATTGTGATTTCGCCCCGATCTTGTCTACTAGGCCCCGGTGTTGAGAAATCAATGAGGAGGTCCTCGCCGCCATTCTTGCTCGGCGATTTACCTTTTCCTGTGCTTCGCTTCCGTAGTTCGTCAAAGGTAGGAATGGCCTTGGGCGGTGTGAGAGGGATGGTAGGTTTCAAGATTGACTTGATCTGGAAGGGGGCCGAGATCTGTCGATTGTTAACAACGCCGCCTGTTCGACGACCGTGGTGGTGATTACCTTTGCAGCATTGCCGGTGGACTCTTTCAACGCCTCAATGCCCCCTGGTCCGAGGCTCTTTCCACGCGACTTCTTTTTTGCTACTTGCGCAGCGCTATTCTGAGCCTGCAACGCAGCAATGTCGGTGGTGATGTTGTCCTTGAAGGCCGAGATCTTTGAAGACGGCATATGCGCAATTGACTGGCGGGCCTTCTGTCGGGTAGCCTTGCGATCAGTGGCCGAGTCAGCCATCGCTGTGCGCCACAGAGTCTACAAAACTGTGTTTCTAATGGTGTGTTGCTCTAGAGATGTTGCAGGGTAAGAATGATGTTATGTCGACTTACAGTGCGAGATCCGCGTCCCACCAGCGAAGCCCGACTCGAACCAGGCTTGAGCGCCCAGCATTGCCATCGCGACACACTAAGCCCAAGCGGGAAATCATAAACACGAGAACAACTCGAGGTCACGTGGAAAGTCTGCTTCCCCTTTAGGACTAGTTTGTCCCAGCCCGCCAAGACTGCTGCAGCACACAAGTTTTGAGAAACTCGCAATATTTCGCGGTCGAGTTTCCACGTCCACGCCGTCGACGACAATCACCCGAATTGCGCACCGTTGTCAACCACCGCAAGCATGGCGACCGAGTTGACAGTTCAGGCCGAGCGCGCCTACCAGAAGCAGCCGCATATCTTCCTCAACCAAAAGTCCAAAGCCTCGAAGAGCAGGGGAGCCGGCAAGAGTGGACGAAGATGGTACAAAGATGTCGGCTTGGGCTTCAGGACGCCCAAGACCGCCATTGAAGGACACTACATCGGTCAGTAAAAATCCTGGAAGCACAGCTTGGCTTTATGAGAGGATTCAGGTTTTCTCGCCTCGATCGTTCCGCGAACATCAAGTATTGAAGGAATTTTGTTTCTGACTTGTGTGGTTTGGCTCTCTACAGACAAGAAATGCCCTTTCACCGGCTCGGTTTCCATCCGAGGTCGCATTCTTACCGGCACTGTCGTTTCTACCAAGATGCACCGAACCTTGATCATCCGCCGAGAATACCTCCACTTCGTGCCCAAGTACGCCAGATACGAGAAGAGACACACCAACCTTGCCGCCCACGTTTCCCCTGCGTTCCGTGTCGAAGAAGGTGATATTGTCACTGTCGGCCAGTGCAGACCTCTCAGCAAGACTGTAAGATTGTCCATACCCGCAGATGGCCAAGACTGCCTTCGGTACAGTGTATTGACCCAGTTGTCTAGGTCCGATTCAACGTTCTCCGTGTGTTGCCCCGTACAGGAAAGGCCGTCAAGTCGTTCAAGAAATTCTAAATGATCTGGATGTGTTGAGGCTGTGAAGGAGGGAACAGGGTGCGAAGATTTTGCTGGGTTGATGGGATTGACCAAAAAACATGAGCATCTTGACCAACGGCATGGTTTTATGGGCAGATGTTCTTGGGCGTCATGAAGCACAGATCAGATTAGAGGATGTGCCGCTGGTGCTGGCGTGAAGCCGCGCCAGAAAAGAATACCAACAACCATGAAAGAAACAAAACCCAATGGACATGACAATTCCTGTGAAAACTTTTACTTTTTATTGTGTGGTTATGTTCAACGCTAACTGTGCAGCGATCTCTCGAGAAGACCAGCCCGCTTGCCATTTCTCTCCAGTCAGTTGGGATATGCCAAATCCGCTATTCTATTCGCTGGGCCCCATCTTCTCAGGTCGATCTTCAACAAGCAGTGTCTCCCTAAACTCCAGTCTGACCAGAAACCCCCCATGTTTCGCTGCTGGCTCGGAGATATGATCGGGATTCCCTCAGCCCTCGCCGTTCCAAACTTGATTAACAGACTCTTGAGATCCGTCAACGGCCTCCAACCCAATGACCGCCTTGTCAATGAGACCTGACCCTACAGCACGTGTACTGTAGGGTTCGGCTTCTGGGAAGCTTCATTGGGCCAATTTTTCCACAAGAGCTGTTGATGACTTGGGCCATGATGCTAATATTACCGACCTATTCCGTACAGGTGATATTTGCGGTCAACTTGACAGAGGGCAATTTCTTCAGACAAACATGAAACACCTAGAAACACCCAAGATTCATCATCGATCTTTGTATCTGTCTCTGTACAAAGTACAGAGTACACATACTCTTATACGCGGCATATCGAAATCCTACTTCACTTAAAAAACAATTCTTCTGTAAGTCTACATATGTAGGGAGTACGTTATAGCCAAGGCCCCAAAAGAGCCTGGTCCTGACCAATAGACTTAAGGGGATAAAGGTATGCATTAAATATTCAAACTGCCGAAAATTAGCTCTGATATGTCACACAAATCCAGTCCTTTGGTGTAGTGGTATCACGTCTCCTTTACAACATACTTACCTCGGAGAAGGTCATGGGTTCGAAACCCATAGGGACTACTACTTTTTTTGCCATTCTATTTTTTTGGGGGAGCACTGCTATTTTATACTTTTTCTTTTACCGGTAGGTTCTTACATTGAAATTTTTCTTTGCCCAGTGACAGGGTTGCAGTCTCGACAGAATCTGCCAGCTTGAGTCCGGCAGCGTGACGCACTGGCTTGCTGTTTGGTCGACGTGCCTCACGTGCCATTTAAGGTAACTGCCGGCAGAATGATGATAGTACAGTGCTATGAAGCATTACTATGCACTGGCAAGCCTTTCCGCAAGATAACTCGGGTATCATGGCGAGCTGATAATGCCGCTGCCCTAACAGAAGAGGACACGACAAGGCTGGCAGTCCGAGCCTTGCACGTAATCAAATGCGGTGCTACGGCGGATCATGCTTGACTCTTGAAATTCTAGGCCATGACGTCCTGCAGAAATCCCCGCCGCCTTATTGGCCCAGAGCCACGCAGAATTTCTTCTTTACGCCTCAACAGAAGAAACAAGGCGAAGACGAGCATACAGAGGCCACTGTGTGACCTTCAAGTTGGACGAAGCCTTGGTATTAGTCATAGTTTGTGTTTGTGTTTTACAAGCCGACTGAGCTGCCCCAGTCAGCAGAGGTTCGTGGTTTGGAGCCTGTTTTTATAAAGCCAGGCAGGGCATCTTTGCTTGTTGAGTGAAAAGGAGCTCTGTATGCTTTGTTAGGCACAACGAGCAGAGAGAACTCGAGAAACAGACGCCGACACGGAACAGAGAAAGCAGAGCATTGTCTAACCCGCGAAACGAAGCGAAGATATCATGGGCATCATCGACACCAGCAAGGACTTGTCCGCCCTCTTTCGAGACCAGGTCCACAGGACGCCAGATGCCGTTGCCTTGGAAGACGACAAGGTCCGGTACACATACACCGAACTCGACCACAAAGTGACCGCTCTCGCACAGCGGCTGCGCAGACATGGCGTTGGCAGAGACAGTCTGGTGGGCGTGCTGTTGCCGCGGAGCGCCGACTACGTGATCGCCTCGTTGGCGGCGCTGCGGGCGGGAGGTGCCTTCTTGGTCCTCGAGATGGCATACCCGCAAGGTCTACTGGCGGATGTGATTGACGACGCCAGCCCCGCGGTTGTGGTCACGTACAGGGCCGAGGTGGGCAAGATCAAGGAGGGCATCCCACTGATCACGCTCGACGACAAGTCCGAACAAGAAGCCGCAGTCAATGGCGATGGACACGCCCCAGGCCTAGACGAGCATGAGCTTCCTCCACTCCCTGCTGAGGACGACCTCGAACGCTTGGCCTTCGTCTCCTACTCGTCCGGCACCACGGGCAAGCCCAAGGGAATCGCCAACCCCCATACGGCGCCGGTGCTCTCGTACAACCTGCGGTTCCGCGTTCGTGACGTCCAGCCAGGTGACCGCGTGGCGTGTAACGTCTTCTTCATTTGGGAAATGCTGCGGCCGCTCTTGCGAGGGGCCACCGTCTTCGCCGTCCCCGACGAGGCCAGCTATGACCCGGCGGCCCTTGTGGATTTGTTGTCGTCGAAACACATCACCGAAACCCTCATGACACCGACCCTTCTCGCCACAGTTCTAGCGCGCCACCCCGACCTTGGTTCTCGGTTATCCGATCTGCGCACCTTGTGGCTGAACGGCGAGGTCGTCACGGCCGACCTGGCCCGGCGAGCTCTCAAGGCGCTTCCCAAAGTGCGCCTGTTTAACTGCTATAGTGCCTGTGAGACCCATGAGATTGCGTGCAGCGACATCGCTGACATGTTGACCGACGAGGCCGTCTACTGCCCCGTCGGCCCGCCCATGGACCCAAAGCACACATACATCCTCGATGAAGGGGGTCAAAAAGTGGAAGCGGGTGTCAGTGGCGAACTCTTTGTCGGCGGTTCTCTGCTGGCACGTGGATACCTTAACCTTCCCGAGACCACGGCGAAAGCCTTCACGCCGGACCCTTTCGATCCTACCCCGGGAGCCCGCATGTACAAGACCGGAGATCTGGCGCGACTACTGCCTTCCGGACTCCTCGAGATCACCGGTCGCGTCGCCGGCATGATCAAGCTCCGCGGTTACTCGGTCGTCCCTGGAAAGGTCGAGAACGCCATTGTCAAACATCTGGCGGTCCGCCACTGTGCCGTAGTGGCCCACGGGGAAGGCCTGGAGCGGCAGTTGGTGGCGTATCTCGTCCGGGACAAGGACAACGCCTCCCCAGACCGTCCGGTGGTCGAGATCGACGAGTCCGGGTACAGTCCGGCGGCTCGACGCACGCTCTCAGCCCATCTAGCCCACTACATGATCCCGGCGCTGTGGGTGGAACTGGACGAGCTGCCGACCCATCAAGTGTCCGGAAAGGTCGACCTCAAACGTCTCCCACCGCCCCCGACGCCCAAGAAAGCGCAGAGCAACGGCCACAAGGCCGAACAAGACCCGATCACGATCAACGCCATAGCAGAAATCTGGGCGGCCACTCTCAAGACATCGCGGGACGCCATCACCCCCGAACACAACTTCTTCGACCTCGGCGGCCACTCGTTGTCTCTGGCCGACCTTGCGTCTAGGCTGTCGAGGAACTTCGGCTTCCGCATTCCGCTCGCCCGCCTCGTCGACCCTCCCACTCTCAACGGCCATCTGGAGACGGTGCGTGCGGTGAGAGATGGCCATACCGCCGAGGTGCAGGCCGATCTACCCGCCGTGCTGCGGAAAGATGCCATGCTGGACGAGGACATTCAACCGCGCAATGCTACGATCTGCGCACTCGACAAAGCCGACACGGTGCTGCTGACGGGCGTGACGGGGTTCTTGGGGGCCTTTCTCCTGAACGATCTGTTGGAGAGCACATCGGCGCAAATCATATGCCTGGTGCGCTTCGGTGACCCTTCCGAAGAAGACCGGCCGGGCGGCATTGCCAGAATCCGCCGGAACCTGCTCGACTTGGGTCTGTGGCGCGACTCGATCATGGAGCGGGTGGAGATCCTGCCGGGAAACCTGTCTCGGAAACGACTGGGCCTCTCGCCCGAAGCGTTCGACGAGCTCGCGGGCCGGGTGCAGGTGATTGTGCACGCGGGGGCCACGGTCAACCTGGTCTACCCGTACGCGGCGCTGCGAGGGGCCAACGTCGGCGGGACGAGAGAGATCCTGCGGCTGGCGTGTCGCGGCGGAGCGACGGTGCAGTACGTGTCCACGAACGGCGTGCTGCCGCCGTCGCAGGAGGGGTGGCCGGAGGACAGCATGCTGGACGTGAAAGACGTGCCAGAGAAGCTGCTGGACGGCTACGGGCAGACCAAATGGGTGGCGGAGCAGCTGGTGCTCGAGGCCGGGCGGCGGGGGCTGCCGGTCAAGATCCACCGGGCCGGCACGATCAGCGGGCACAGCAGCACCGGGGCGGCGAACGCGTGGGATCTGCTGTCGGCGTTGATGGTGGAATCCATCCAGCTCGGCTACGCGCCCGACGTGGCGGGCTGGCGGGCGGAGATGACGCCGGTCGACTTCGTCAGCAAGGCGATTGTGCACCTAGCCAACCAAACGCACGCGCAACAGGTGGTGTTTCACCTCGGCGACCCGGACCCGGTCGACACGCGGCAGGTGTTCGACGACCTGGCGAAGCTGGGCTATCCCACGCAGCGGCTCGACTGGGACGGCTGGGTGGCGCTGTGGAACGAGCAGCGCAGCTCGGTCAAGGGCGGCGACGGCGCCTTCACGGTCGACATCCTCCGCAGCGGCATGCCGACGGTCGACTTCCTGCGCGGCATTGTGGTGTTGAACAACGCGGCGACCCGGCCGTTCCGCGCCGTGGTCGAACGGCCCAAGGTCGACCGCGTGCTGCTGGAGACGTACACGCGCCACTGGTTTGCGCGCGGCTGGCTCCCTCGCCCGCCGTCGCGCCACCATTCGCCCGGCGGCTCCGCCCAACCCATCCGCCGGGGCCCGCTGAGCGGGCGCGTGGCCGTGGTGACGGGCGCGTCGTCGGGCATCGGGGCGGCCGTGGCGACCGCGCTGGCCCGCGAGGGCTGCCACGTGGCGCTGGCGGCGCGCCGGCTCGACGCCCTCGAGGCCGTCAAGCGCCGGCTGGTGGTGCGCGAAGGCAAGGTGCTGGTGCGCCAGACCGACGTGACCGACCGGGCGCAGGTCGCCGCGCTGATGCAGGCCGCCGCGGCCGAGCTGGGCCCCGTCGACATTCTGGTCTCGTGCGCCGGCGTCATGTACTTCACCATGATGGCCAACGTGCAGCTGCACCAGTGGGACCAGACCGTCGACGTCAACTGCAAGGGCCTGCTGCACTGCCTGGCGGCCGCCGTGCCGCCCATGCTGGCCCGCGGCGCCGGCCACATCGTCGCCATCTCGTCCGACGCCGGCCGCAAGGTCTTCCCCGGCCTGGGCGTCTACTCGGCCTCCAAGTTCTTCGTCGAAGCCACCCTGCAGAGCCTGCGTCTCGAGACTGCCGGCTCCGGCCTGCGCGTCACCAGCGTCCAGCCGGGCAACGTCGCCACCGATCTGCTGGGGATGTCGACCGACGCGGACGCGCTGAAAAAGTACGGGGAGCCGTCTGGGGCCCGCGTCCTCGATCCGGAGGATGTGGCCAACTCTATCGTCTACGCTTTGAAGCAGCCGGCGCACGTCGCGGTGAATGAGGTGTTGATTGAACCGAGAGACGAGCCGATATAGTTGGTGACATCTACCTCCCTTTTCTCGACGACGTCGCCAACTCCATCGTCTACGCTCTGAAGCAGCCGGCGCACGTTGCGGTAAATGAGGTGTTGATTGAGCCAAGGGATGAACCCATTTGATTGAAAGGGTCCGCATGTCGCCGTGAATGAGAATGAGGTGTTGATTGAACCGAGAGACGAACCGATATAGTTGGTGCCTATGTCGCCGTGGACGAGAATGAGGTGTTGATTGAGCCGAGGGAGTAACCGACACAGTTCACTACCACTACAATGAAGGGAGAGAAGAGGGCCCCAGACTTTAGAAAGGCACACTACATACAGCGAAGAGAGACCCAGACTTCTGCCGTTTCAGTCTATCTTGATAGAACCACTAAAAACAAGAAAACATGAAATAAATTAGAACACCCAGAATCAAAAGGAAGAGTCTTCTACTCTACTCTACTCCTCTAAATACATACACGCACAACACGCAGCGAATATAGTCTAGTCTAGTCGAGGCCTGTACTCGTATACCCCTAAACTAAATACTGGACCGTATATCCCGTCCCGTCCCGTCCAGACTCTATCCCGTGCCGTGGCTGTGTAATGGCAACCAACGACAATCAAATCAACCAACAGCCAGCAACCAACAACAGTAGGAAAGAAAGAAAGAGAAAAAAAGTATGGAGTACGCAACCCAACCTTGGACATGTCAAAGGTTGAAATGTTCCATGTTCTCTATCAAAGGGTCGCAGGGGGAGCGCATGCTATTCAGTATAGTATAGTATGCCTAAACCAGCCTTCTGGTTTAAAGGGCAAGGCTGGGAATGCCCAAGTTTGACAGGACAGCACCACCAGTTAGATTTAATGATCTTATTCGATACACATGTACATGGATATGTGTACATGTACATGATATATGATATATAGTATTATTTATAATCGTCCGTAATTAACTTTTGTCCGCCCTCATACCCACTCATCACCGTGCGGGATCGTCTCTGGGACGGGCGGGGCGACCAGCATATCAGGAGGCACGTCGTCGTCACTACGCTCGGATGCGGCCTTGCTGGAAGAACTCTTGCTGTGGGCATGTCCGTGGCCATGTGCATGTGAAGACCACGGCCGATACGAAGGCACGCGCAGGAGCGGACCTCTCCTTTGGGACTTCGACCGTGAAGGAGGCTGGGGCTGGCTCAGCGGTCGTGGTTTGGCGCAAATGACCAGGTCGACGGCGCGTTCGTCTTCCATTATCGTTGGGTGTCGTTGAGAGAAGTATTGTGCGTATTTGAAGATGGAGTAATAACTATAAAAAAAGAGAGCATGGGTTAGACGAGGGACGATGCACGGCCGGAAAGGGACAAACAGGAAGAAGAGAAGAAGAGAAGAAGGGAAAAAGGGCACAGGCAGGCACGACTATCGTACTTACATTGAAGCCACGTTCATGAACCTCAAAACAAACTTGTACGGCATGTAGTAGAAAAAGACGATTTTCCGAGACACCATTTCTCCTTTCCGGCGTAGAATGACCTGAACTCGGAGAAAAAGGGTCAGCCGTTAGATGCTGGGGCCAGGCGGGTTGTCCGGACAAGAAGGATAAGTACCTCGTTGAAGATATTGACCGTCATGAAATACATGCCTATCACGATCCCGGTCATCATTCCCATAAAGCTAGGCCGAACCACCCATGCGATCGGCAAGAAGAAGGGTGTGGTTAGGTAGAGGAGAGCCACCAACCCCTGGGAAGCGAATCTGTCAGTCAGGCTTCTTTTTGCAACGCTCGGAGACATGGGACACCGGTTTGGGTGCCCGTTTAGGTGCAAATCAAATCCCTTACCTCTTGAAATGTATACACCAGGGAACCCAAGGTGTAGATGCCCAGACTCCAGGAAAAAAGCATATGTCGCAAATTGCTCCACATGCGGAAAATAATGAAAAAATTCCAACGGAAGAATCGCTGCTTGTACACCGTCATCTCGCCAAACCCCCCTCGGGCGCCCGCACCAAAGAACAGGCCCGAGGGCACTTCGGTCTCGACCAGCACCGCCGAGCACATGACGATGCGGCCGCCGAGGTTGCGACAGGTCAGGCCGAAAAACCAGTCTTCCGAGATCTTGAAGCCGGGATGGTGGCGGAAACACTTGAGGACGAAGTCTCGCTCCCACAGGGCAATGGCGCCATGGGCAAAGATGGCACTCCCCCACGAGCCGGCGAACTGGCGCTGCATGCCGCTCATTTTGTACTCGATGTCTTGGAGCTGCTGCACGGCGTTGCCCTTGGTGCCGTCGGGCCCGACGGCTTTGATGGTGTAGCCCACACATTTGATCAGGCCCTTCTTCGTCCCCTGCTGGATGCGCTCCGAGACGATGGGGAAGTTGGGCGGCAGCGCGCAGTCGTCGTCGATCATCAGCACGTACTGGAACTTGTAGGCCGCGTACGAGCCCACAAACTGTGCCACGATCTTGGACCCGATCGGCACCCAGATGTGGTTGACCTTGTACGGTCGGCACACCTCTTCCGTGCTGTCCAGCGGCGTGGCACTGTTTCCGTTCGCCACCACATAGATGTTCTCCGGCGGGAAAACCTTCAGCGCCGCCTGGAGGGTGGGCCCGATCAGCTCCGCCGCCTTGTAGCACGGGATGATGAGTGCGGTGCTTCGGGCGCGGTCCAGGTGGTCTTGGAAGTGGCGCGGGTCGACGGGCTCTGGGTCGGGCTCGTACTGGGTGAACAGCGTGCCCACCGAATAGCTGTCTTCTTGTCAGACCGGAGTTCTTCTTCTTGTTCTTCTCTCATCATCAAATCACTCTTCCCACTGCGGGTACTTACAAGAACGCAATGCCAACAAAAATGGCGCAGAGACCCTCGACGGTCAAGCTATACTTCATCACATGCCTGTCACGTCGTTAGCTGGTGAGCGAGCGGATCTCGTGGTTGGGCGGTGGCCGGTCCATCATACCAGAATGTATAGACGAGTCCCCGCCACAAAGGGACCCCCACGAGCACAAAGTACACAATTGCCACCAGCAACAAGTAATATGTATATTGAAAAAGGATCTGAGCCACCTTGCCGCGTGCCTTGTGTGCCGTCTTTCGTTTCAGGGCATGAAACTTTTCCAGACTGACGATGCTGGCTCGACTCTCCGTCCGCTGTAGCTCTTCTCCCAGCATTCGGTCTCCCTTGAACGTCGCCAATGGCTCCGGATGTTCTTGAAATCGGCCGTCACGGCTGAACGGACTCATGGTAAACACCACCTTCCGGACATCGGGTTCTTCAGGGCTTTCGAACGAGGGGGCCATGGTCGGCAATGAACTGGCTCGCATTCGTTCTCTAACGGATGTGCGCCCTTCGGTGGCCCAAGCCTTCTCAGGAGTCCGGAGCGTGGGGATGGAGAGCCGTCGATTGTAGGCATCGGGGGTGAGTGCGAATGGGGGAACAAAGTTGCGGACATGGTCTGGGAAGTGGTCGAGGGCATGATCTCGGACGTCAACGCCATGGTTCTGGATGTTCTCCGGGACATGGACCTGGTGCGCAGGTCGATCGGTGTTGCCGTGAGCATAGTTATCTTGAATCTGTCCGGAGGGCCCTTGCGGATTGCGATTGCTGGGAGCATGGCTTTCCGCACTCTGTTGCGATGGCTCTCGCCATGGGAAGACAAATCCGTCGAGTACGGTTTCGCTAGCATCCTTGGGTGAAGGCGGCATGCGGTGTGGAATGCAAGATTATCGTCTCCCAGATCTGTGAAAACTAACACCTCCCGGTTGACCAGGGAATCATTGCAGAGAAGGAGAGAGGCAACTGAAGGAATTCAGGCGAGTGCAACCAGTATGACGATGGATTGTCATGTCAGGATCCCGCCATCCCGGACATAACCGTGGTCGCCTACCGGCAGAGATCCGAATGCCTCGAGGATCGCGTAGATCAATCAATAGTCAATAGTCGCATCGATTGCCAATTGTTTCAATATGGTGATGGTGGGTGGACACATCTGGCAATGGGCCCATCCTGCCAGCCGCCCACTGGCAGACCGCAGCACACATCCCAAGGAGATTTTCAGTCCGCTTCAGTCCTCCGGTGGAGGGAAAATATCCTCTGAACGCTTCGGAGCGGTTCCCCATTGAGACCCAGTCGTTCACTATAGCAACGAGAACGATCTCGGGCGAGCCGCATGTCACACATCTGGGTGTGGGATTCTGGCGTCCCCACGTGTGGTAAGGCCTGGGTTGGTGGTAGAACATAGAACGACCGGTGCGCATTGGCTAGTCACTTGTCAGACATATTCTCGTAGAATGGTGACCCCACACCGCCATAGAGAGGCTGGGGGCGATGGTGTACGTCAGGTAGGTGAGAGGAATCATCCCCGCCCAATAGAATTTCGGTAGCAGTCGTGCCACCCCGGGCAACGTTGCTTGGTATAGAATGCGTTGGAGGCCGTTGGAGTCTGGGTCCTTGGTATTTGTAGGAGGAACTGTAGGAGGAGCCGGCGTCCTCCGCCCCGCCGCACGGGCAGCCTCGCGGCCCCGGCCCGCTCGAATGTTGGATTCAGCCTGGTCTCCGACCAATAGTGCTGCAGTTGGGCGTCACTAGCACTGCACTCTGACAGCTTCACCGAAACGTCAGTTCGGGCACAGATCATGCAGTCTCTGTATGTTGGATGACAACCTCCTGCAAACAGCTAGCTCGACTGGATTTTGCGCCCATCCGACACAGATGGCCTGGGCTGCGTCCAACCAACCCCCAACAACGGCGAGTCGCCTCTTGGTGAAATCGCCGCATCCGTCCACAGTCCAGAAGCCCAGGAAATGGTGGCTCCAACACCTTCTTGGCCTGGTGGATAGCATCGTCATTCGAGCCATGTCGCTGATGATGCAACCGGGGGCGAACCGACATCAAAAGCAGAAGAGGCTTATAAGCACGCTTGCCCATGGTGCCTGAACTCACTTGCCCTGCGCCCTTGAGATAATGACGGGGATTTTTCTGGCACTTCTGCTGCTTTCCGTATCGTCCTGGTACGGACGCGCGCATGGCTACAGCCATGGCCAGCTCCTACCAAGAGTAGACTCTGGTAACTGCACTCGCTTTATAGTCTCGGGATCGATTCCAGGGTATTTTCAAAACCATGCCTTTTATGACTTCCGCCAACTGGGCGATTACGCCAGTGCCTCACCGCCGGCCAAAATCACGTCCAAGCAAGACAGTGGCGATGAGAATGTGACTTCAACTTACTTCAACACCACTGCCTTCCAAGGCTGGAACATTCTGAGCGGCGTCAGGTCGGACGAATCCACCGTGCCGATGATCTACTCGGCTCAAAATATCTTTATTTCTGATGCCAACTCTTCAGACGACGGCGCCGCCACCTACCTGAGTCTTCGCACATCACGACTCTCTGCTTTTCAGAGTATGGCGGAGATTAAGAGCACATCAGACAATTACTTGCACGCCAGTCTTCGGATCCGAGCGAAATTTTTGGCTTCCAGTGATGCAGATGTTGCATCGGGAGCGGTCTTCGGCTTCTTCACATACAAGACCGACAATCAAGAAAGCGACATTGAAATCTTGACCGCCGAAGATGCCGACACGGTCCATTTTACCAATCAGCCTGCGTCTGATGAGGACGAAGCAGCACATGCCATTGTATCCCTGCCCGATGGCAAGCATTGGACAGACTGGGTGACCTACCGGCTTGATTGGTTCAATGGTACCAGTGCATGGTACATCGACGATGAGCCCAAGGTGCAGTCGACAGACAGTGTCCCGACCGAACCCAGCTCGGTGGTCTTGAACCTCTGGAGCAACGGGCAGAGCTTCTCAGGAAAGATGGCGGTCGGCAAGGAGGTTCTGGTGGCTGTGGAATGGATTGAGATGGTCTACAATGTCAGTGACAGTCAGGTCAATACAGCATCTCCGGTCACCTGCAAGGTCGACGGTGTATCTGTTACGGGACAAGCCGAAGTCGTCGTCGAGTCCAAGTCCAAGTCGAACGCGATTCGACGTTCGGAGCAGACAACAACTTCTTTTTTAGGGGTTATCTTGGCAGCTCTTTTCCTGGCCGGGTCGTTCGATCTGGTCTGAGTTGACCTCGTATGGTGTGGGAGCAAGCCATTGTACCAAGGGGGCTGTACATATGGGCTAGAGGACGGGTCGGTCATGGAGATGGAGATGGAGTTGGCGTCGGTCTTCTTGAGCCGCCTCAACACCGCTTAGAGCAGGCGCTGTACTTCGGACTGAAGCGTGTATTTGGAGGATGGTGAGATTGCGATAGAAAAGAATAGAAAATAAGTGATGCCTGCATTTACGGCTGTTTGTGCAGCTACAGAGTATACGTACTCCGTACAATAACTACATGTAATTAGTCAAATCAGTGTGCAGCTGCGGTCGAGACTGACTCTGGTTGACTCTGGTTGATTGGATAGCATGATTACTAATACCTTAGTCAACTGGGCGCGGTTGATCCGGCAGTCTTTCCAAACTCGGATCTCCAGATCTTTTGCTATACTAATGACCTAGTGCATACTACTTAGTGCCAACAATCGATACAAAAAAAAGACCCCCCAATCGTCAATTTGAACGGATAGACAAAGTCCTCCGGGACACTTACCAACACCATCCACTCGACCATTGCTTGACATGCTCCTCCCCTGCCTCGCCGTCTCTCACCTGATCTGATATCTCCCACTGTCACTGGCAGCGGACCGCACACTACAAGATGAAACTCCTCACCACCAACTTCCTCACCTGCGCGGTCAAGACGTGCAAGACGTCGCCGCTTTCGTTCCCTCTCCACTTCAAAGATGCCACGCTCGAGCGGACCGAGATTGACTTCGACCCGCTGTTCATGCGCAATCTTCTCCCGCGGGTCAATTGGGATGCGCTGACCACGACAGCCACCGAGTTAGGGCTGCAGGCTCTTGTGCCGGCGAAGAATCCGGTAGACGTGGTGGAACAAAGCCGCGGAGATGACGGCGACATCGATGTGCAAGCAGAAGCAGAGGCCGACGCCGAGGGCACGACAATAAATGCTACAGAAACAAACGCAGATCACGAAATTGAAGAGGAGATCCTGAGGAGGCTACATAACCTCCTCCTGGAGACGGGCGTCGTCGAGGGAAAACTGGTCTGCGGCAACTGCGGCTTTGAATATCCAATCAAAGAGGGTGTCGGGAATTTCTTGCTGCCGGCTCATCTGGTGTGAAAGTCAATCATGTGTGTACTGTGTACGGGTACTGTGGTTGTTGTTCCAGTCGATCGTGTGTTCATGTGTGTACTGCCTGGTCAGCTGGGCAGGAGACGTCTTGGTCCGATCCCGAGGCGAGGCCGAGGGATGGCAAGGAGAAGGAGGCCGAGGAATGGCAAAGAGAAGGTACCAAGGCGCGGATGAAGAGATGAAGGATGTGTGTACGGATACTGTGAGCAACAACCACATGCCGATTCTAACCCCAGAGCAGGGCAGCCGGAGGGGTTCGCAAAGAACCGGTGCAATGCCCCAAGACTCGATGGAGGCTCAAGCCGGTCTCACCCTGCAATGCAAATGGACCTCTACTATACAGCTATGTTCGGCAATGCAAAGAGACCTCTACTCGGTACTATACAACTGTCTACGGCCTTCTCGCAGTCGGAGGATTTGGTCCGGCCCGCCCGGGCGGCTCATAAGCGAGGCTGTCAAAACGACGACTGGCACGAGGCGAGGACTGGTGACAAGCCCGGTCAAGAAGAAAGGCAAGAAGAATGAGTCCATTACCGGGGTTGCTGGGAGAGCAAGACCGACCTCGGCCACCTTGGGGAGCCTCGCTCGTCGCTGGACTCAACGTGAAGGTGAAGGCTTAGGGGCAAACAGAATGAATGCGACTAGCTTGGCTACCTTGTTCCCAACACTCTTACTCTTGCGTCAAATCCTGCGCTGCGAAAAGGCAGGACATTAACACTATGTACGGCCAACCCCGGCTCGCAGGCAAGGTCCCCGACCCACACTGCCGAGCGAGGTGTCATTATACAAGTACAAGCAAAAAGCTGTCAAAGTCGTTTGAACGTGCCGTCATCCTTCCTCGCACGCCTGGCCTTGATAGTCAATCTCCTGCGAACACCGCCCGTTGCTTGTTGAATGGAGAAGTTTCCGTCGGCATTGCCGTTGCCGTTAGCCGTTGCCTTTGCCTTTGCCCCTGGAATCCGTCCGGTCTGCCCTCTTCCAATGCTAGGCTGGACACGGGATCACAAACCGTGCCATACTTTTTTGCTGTCAAACCTGATGCCTCCCACCCTGATGTCAAGAAACGGAAGAACGCCCCAGCCAAGAATGCTTCTTAGTCTCACACGCATTGACAAACGAAGACGAAGAAAATGACTCTCCCACACGCACACGTTTTAAAATTCCATCTGCTGCGCCAAGCCCGTTGGAAAGACCTGCTGGCTGAATCAGTTGAGGAAACCTTTGCAGACCGCCGAGCCGCAGAGACAAGGGATGCGGTCGTCGCTGTCAAATTCGCGTTCGAATTTGTAGTCGTAGGTCAACTCTTCATCTGTCTCCAAGTCAGCAGTGCTCTTCTCCGCCAAATGAACGGCTGGAGAGCTTACCTTTCTCGATATCCCTTAGAGCGTAGATGACAATTCTTTTCGTGCCGCCGACTCGAATGATCTTGGCCGTACAGTTGGGCGAGCAGCTGTGGTTGATGAACCTGGCGATGCCTCCTTTCTTCGTGGCGTCGACCACAGTGCCCTCGTCGATTCGGAAGAGATAACTGCTGCCAATTCCACTCTCCGTGTATTTGATCTCCCGCAAGTCTGCGATTTCCTGCCGAATCTTCTCTCCAACATACTCGATAATCATTTCGCTCGCTTGGATTCTTTCCAATGAGTACAGGCCCCAGTTGTGGATGGCAGATCTGGCGAACTTGACCGGTTTCTTGCGCTTTTGAAGTTGGTTGAAACGCAGAACATCGGCGTCGTCACCCATATCCTTAAGCATCTCCCGTTGCCGGTCCAGGTCTTTAACCGTACGCCTGTCATCGGCCCGTTTGCCTCGGGACGAAGCTTTAGGAAGTTCCACCGTTTGCTTACTAGCAGCGGACGGATCTTTCTTCGCTTCAGCTTCGCGCTTTTCCCGCGCTTTCTGCACCTTGATCCGATGAGGCAGATACTTCGACTTCTCGGATTCCAGGATCTTGCGTATGGGCTCCGTCCGAGCCGACCCTGATGGATTTGGAACATAATACCCTTCGATAGGGGGTTCTGTCCGTAGAGCGCCGGGCTGAGATCCTGGCTTGAGGTTGCGGATTTGTTCTTGTTTCCAAGCCCACGCCATCGAGTCGCCGATATCCATGGCCAACTTGGCCTTCATGGCAGCTGACAAGTACTCCATGTCTTCGTCATCGAAAAGACTGGCTTGCCAACCTCGAAGGTCGGGGATCACGTCCTCGTCGTCATCCACCGTCGGCAGGGGTTCTTCGGCAGACACGCCCCACTCAACTTCTGGCCGCCATTCAGCAGCTTCCGCCAGCGCTTCTTCCTCTTCCGCAAATCCGAGAACGTTGTCCACTACCTCAGAGGCTTCGGCTTCGGCTTGCGCCTGGCGTAGGGCTTCTTTTTCTTCTAGGATCTGCTTCTTGGTTTTCCTTTTGGTCTTGATCTTCTTCGCCGCTGGCTTTGGCACATCTGACTCCACATCTGGCGTCGCCTCCAAGGGCGTCTCGGCATCTGGCATTTTGACATCGTCTGTGTCCTCGCGGTCCAGTTCCGTGTGGCCAACGCCGAAGAGCTCATCATCCGCCTTTTGACGTTTCCTGGCCTCTAATTCTTTCACTAACCTCTTGCGCTTTCGCGAGGAAGGAGACATTTCATATATGTTTCTCTCCAATTTGGCGATGATGAGATCTTCAGCAGTCGCTTTAGCGGTGTCATATTCGTCCTTGATGGCACCGTCTCCCATCTCGGATTCTTCTCTAGCATGGAACCGCCGCTTTGTTGCCTTGCGCAGTAGTTCGTCGTCATCGTCGGATACCGATGTCATGCTCATCCGGCTAGCCGGGCGGCTCTCCAGGTCGTCAGTGTCACGAGTAAACGAAGTCCGTTGTTCATCGTCCGAATCCTCATCGTTCTGGAACTGTGCCAACTGGTGGAACAGTGGCCGAACATTGTGCCTCGTGGGAGGGGCCTTCCTGCGCTCATCGCGAAAGCCGACCATGCCTCTGTCTGTGCCGGACCTCTTACCAATTTTAGGTAGAGAAAGTATGTTGAGATTCTTGCTGCCAAACGGACGTCGGTTCATCCACCCGCCACCCAGACGAGAATCTGGAGTGCGGGAGCCTTCGTCGGTGGGCACAGTCCTCCGTGTTCCTTCTGGATCGTCGAGACCTAACCTCCTCCGCCTCTCTGCATGGTTGTTTGGATCCAAGAAGTCGTAGAGAACCGGCGCGGCGATTCGCGACTTCACGTCCTCCAGCAATTTATCCCTGAGTTCTTGAATAACGAGCTGTACAACTGCCCGCGAAGGGTCCAGATCTCGAGCCCGCTGCCGTTTCTCCTCCTCGAGATCGAGGTCGTGCTCTTTTCTCAGCCTGTAGGCTTGCTTGGAGTAAACAAAGTCAACCGGCCCTGTTGGCAATGGGTCTGTTGTACCGGCTGCCGCCTTGGCATTGCCATTAAGATGGAGTTCCAGGTTCATCACGTAGGTGAACAGGGGTTGCATGTGACATCCGTGGTACAGTTTTCTCGCCTCCAGCTGCCCATTTCGCGATTGTTCAAAGGTGATAAAATATCCCGTTTCGTCACAGCGGACCTCTCGCCAATCATACATCCTCAGCCTCTTTTTCAAGTGCGGTATGGTCGTGCTCATAACAGGCACATAACAGTGCGCAATAAAGACGTAAGGAACTTTCAATGTTGGGGCGATAGGGGTCGTTTCTACAAGTGTTGCCCCCGCGGGGACGACCGCGAGCTTCACAGGCCTATCCTGTTTTATGGGCGCCGCGAAAGGCGCCACGAAGGGTGCCACGAAGGGAGCTTGATAAATGGGCTGTGGTCGCAGGGACGGCTTCCCTGATGGGCCCTTTGGCGCCGTAGGTGGTGGACCAGAAGATTTTGCAAATCCTGGTGACTGTGTTCCGACCGGCGTCAAAGGGGACGGAGATGGTTGCGGCCGCGATTGACCTGTGAACCCACTTTCTCTGCGGTGTAGAGCGATTGCCTTTTCAACCAACTTTTCCGTGACAGAGCCATCTCGATCCACAACCACTTGGACGGTCTTCAGTCCTATCCTTTGGCCGCGTTTTCCCTCGAGGAAGGCTGTCTTCGCCGCGAGAACGGCGGAGATGGGACCTCCGCCTTGAAACGAAGCGCAATCCTGATATCCAATTGTGCATATTCCTAGAAATCGCCCCGTGACTGGGTCTGTCTTGTTGTCCAAGTCCGCAATCTCACCAAAGCTAGAGAATAGCGCGTTGATCTGAGAAAGAGGGGTCATAGGGTCAAACCCAGTGACGACGACGGTGGTGGCGGGTGGGGGTGCAACCGCAGTCGCGACATCATGAGTCCAAGACTTGAGATTGTACGGCGCAGGTCGAAATTTGCCCTTGCCTTTGCCTATTCCACCTTTTGCGTAATTGGGCACTGCCAATCGTGGATCCGGTGGTTGGAAGTTGTCTTCGGGCTTGACTCCAAAATCCTCAAACTGGGCCTTCAGCTTCCTTTTATCCTTGGAGTTCAACGTCTTATCTAGCTCCGGGTCGTAGGTACATTTTGCTCCTTTCACAGGCGAGCTGGCGTCACGCGCAAATCTTCGATGAGCCGGGGGTGTGGGTAGGGGGGTCATCGAACCGTGGTGTAGATTCGACGTAATACTATTGCTATCCATGACCGCGTGGGAAGTCGAGTCAGCAGCCGGACTCATCAACTTCCCATTTGGCGGAGAGTCAGAATTTGTGAGAGGTGTGAGGGTGCTGAAGTGTAGATGATTTGTGCCAGGCATGGCGGCGTTGGCAATAGGCGCACTGAAGACCGATGAAGCGGTACTGGACGAGCTGGCTGAGCCAACACCATTGAGAAGGTCGCCGGCGAATTGGTCGCTTTCTTCCGAAATCAAAGAGTGGTTGCTGGGCTTGGCCAAGTTGTCCTGTTTCGTGGACGGATGCGGCTGAGTGTTCGGTGAGTTCAGTGCAACGCGAACAAGACTGTCCCTGACCTGCGCATCTTCCACGCGTCCTTCGGTAGACCGAAGTCGCGATTTGTCTGTGTCTGCTGATTTGGAAGATTTCGTTGCGATGACGCTTGGGGCGCTCGGGAAGAAATCAGCGAATTTACTGCCCGGCGGGCGCGACATATCCTTGTATCACAAGTCCAGCAACGCGCTCATCTTCGATGTTCGTCCTCCTATACAAAGCGATGTGTAGATTGAGATGTCCGCACCATGAAGTGCAGGGGAAATGTGGCAAAAGTTTCGTTGCGGTCTGATAGTCAACGCGTCGGGGCGGTAGCGGTAGGAAGGGGTTCTTGCGGACTGGCGCAGCTGGCGCAGCTGGCGAGATGCTGGCCACAGGAGATGATAGTGGTAGGCACAGAGGATCAGAATGTTCCTCAGAGACTATTGAGCCCCAACGCCAGCTGAAACAAGGAGCTTAGAGAACAACCTGTGATCTGGACACGGCTGCGTCGTCTTGCTGAACGCCTTAACAGCATCGTTTGCAGACCGAAACCCAAACCACGCTCTGTTTAGCAGCCTTGGCAGAACAGTATCTAGTATCTACTCGTGACCTTGGAGTCACGTGCGCCTCACCCTCGCCCTCAGCTACGCGCTTACAGTACCTCCAGTACCTCGCTCACCTTCCTCACCTTCACGCTCACCCTCGATGCAAGAGGTATGCTTAGCCCTTAAGTCATACGGCCAGGACAAACCGTATACGACAATAATGCGTACACTTTTCCTTCCGCCAGGCCAAGGACAATCGCCTGCTAGGGTCAGGAAAGACTTCGATATACCACATCACCTATGTTATTGTACTCGTTGGCAGATTAACCTACATGTTCCTAATAAGTAGAGATGCCACTTACACGGACACATACATATATACGTAAAGGCTTGAACTTTCTCTCTGGGTGCGTCAATGACCCTAACCTATCCCTGATGCCCACCGCGTCGTCCCCTTGACACACAAATCTGTTGCCGCGAGCTGCAAGTCTCCATGCCAAAGAAGACGGGGTACCGTGGCGGAGATGTGAGCAGTCTCCTCGATCTGCCAGCCTCCAGACGAGGATCAGTACTCAACAGGCAATGATAGGACAGAGCACAGCAATTGGCATCGATGCGTGGGAGTCGTGACCCAGCCCAACCAGACCGGACCACTAAACAGCAATGACAGCAGCCATCCACCCATCCATCAATCCAGCGGAATGGCCTTCAGGATGCGAGCCAGATTGCCTGCCACTACGTGGTGGTCCGGGACGTCTTTGGCCACCACACTCCCCGCTCCGACCACGACGCCGTTGCCCAACGTGACGCCGGGAAGGATGAAGACGTTTCCTCCCAGCCAGCAGTCTTCGCCGATGGTGATGGGTTTGCCAAATTCCAGGCCCTTGGTGCCATTGCGCACCCTGGGGTGGAGAGGGTGAGTGGCGGCATAGAAGGAGCAGTTGGGCCCGATCATCGTCCTCGAACCGATCTGAATGAGACAGGTGTCGAGAAAGGTGGCGTTGAAATTCACGTACACGTTGCGTCCTAATCTTTTGACGGGCCAGGCCAGATCAGAAGTCCGATCTCGTCAGGCTGGGGGGGGGGGGTGCTGGTGATTTGAGGAGAAGCGCGTCATGTCGACTTACTTGAGATTGGTCCCGTAGCTGCCGGCTGCACACGGCGCAGGTCATTGAAATCGGGCCGGGCAACGCGGCGCAACCGCTGCATCGAGACCTGGAGAACTGCCATTTCGCCATGGTGCAGGGCCCGTAGGGCGCCGAGGTCAACATCAACTTCCTCATCGGCCTGACCGACTTCACCGAGGAGGATGGCGCGACGAGGGCCATCCCCGGCAGCAACCGCTGGCCCGATTTCCGCGACCGTGGCACTGCGGATATGACCCTCCCGGCCACGGATGAAGGCCGGCGATGCGCTTTTCATCAGCGACAAGGTCGTGCACGGAGGCGGCTACAGCAAGACGACCGACGTCCGTCGACCGAAGCATCGTCAAGGAAATGACGCCGCTCGCCCAGGCCATGATCGGCTTCCGCTCTCAGTATCCCAAAGGCTCGCCCGGCCTGTGGCAGAGCGACACGTGTCGGGAAAGCGTAGGAGCCGAAGAAGATAGGGATAGGCAGAGCGATATACTTCGGCGAGTAATCTCTATTCCGGGCCGTGGCTAGGATAGGCCGCTCGATCTAGGTCTAATTCGCGTACATACTACTCGGATTCTGAGAGCATTTATTACAAGTCTTCAAGAAGCGAGGCGGTTTCAAAGTCTTTTCCTACGGATGACCGACCAGGGCTGCCAGGAGTAACATCCTCGGTAGAGAGGGTAACACGGAAGTCTGCTTCATATATCTCGCACATAGAAAGGCTATACCGTTGAGATGCGTTCCGTGAGCAGACATGTCGGATCCGCAGATCTACAAGATGGTTGGCGAATGACAGAGAACAACATGGGCCAACAATGCATCATGTAAAACAAGCAGTAGTACAATAGCCAGTGTGACGTCTTCTTCGGTCTCGATCAAGTCCGCACTTCCTCCTTTAAGATTACCGAGCTCAATGCTTGTATGGCTGACAGTCGGTGCTTCAGTGCGTTAGGTATATTAGCCTGGGTGGTGTCGACCCCGGACGAACCTAGGTGTGCCGCGGATAGACCAAGAAGAGCATAGGGAAGGCCTCGATGCTGATAAGATAGAGTTAACATATATGCGTGGAAAGGATTTTGCACCCCAGAGGACCCAATGGTCAAGGTCTCACAAAAAATCTGATCAGCTGTGGCATCGTGGTCAGCACGGTGCGCTTTCTGAGAACGAGTGATCTGAGTTTCTCGGCATGACTGGTGGCTAGAATGTCGTTCACCGCCGTCGACCGTCCGGAGAAGACGCTAGAGCAGCTGGGAGACTGTGACTGTGCCAGTATGAGTTCGCGAGTGGCTTCCGGAGACCATGCTGAGATAACGACCAGCCCTTGGACGGAGAAGGGGTGACAGATTTCTGCTTCTTCCGCTCTCCATTTCGATAGATATCGGCGAAGGATAAGGACGATGGGTCATCCCTCAATCGATCAGATAGCTTTTGGACCTCGGGAGAGAGATTGACATCACGAGAGATTGGGAATGAAACGCAATGAAGGTCTCCCTCCCGCACTCAGATATAGCTCCATGATGTAAGCACTAACCGGACATTAGACAGAAGGAGCCCATAGAAATGCTCCTGGCTAGGTGCCTGGATGAATTCACGGATCAGGTATGTTTCCTTCCAAGGGCCACGTGAGGCTTATATTGAAATTCGGAGCCGTGGCCGTCGGAATGACGGAGCATGCATTTGACAGCTCTTGAGATCAAATCTCAGGGGTCTATGCACAAATGTTGCTGACCATGCGTGGAACTTGTACTCCGTCCTTGGTAGGTATTCATATACACCTGGTATCACCAGCACGTGTTCTAGACAAGAGCATTTTCACCCTAGAATGCCGAGCGGTTCCCTGTGGGAGGCAGTGCTCGAGTGATACTGCGATCCGGATAGGACATTCTTTCCACCAGCTGTAGCCTGGTGAACTGGGTGGATTGCGTAGATGGAAAGTGGGCCGACCTCTGAAACTGGGGAGCGGTGACCGGTTTTGGCTTGCACATATGTGTCCATAGAGCCCGGGTCTGTCTCAGGCGGCGGACCAACGGTTGGCTGGAATGGATGACTGCGGTGTGGGATCCTGGCAGGCGGAGGAGGCTGACGAGCCCAAGCCCTAGAGAGGCGAGACAGGGTCAGCAAGGGGTGTGTATTTTTGGCTTCAGCCTCCTTTCCAGGGGTCAGACACATTCTTGAGTCCCTCACACACCGATATTTCAAGATGTCAAGTGTCCGCCGGCTATTTGCCCAAGATTCCCTTCCAGCTTCAGCCAGCTTCAGCCAGCCCCAAGGTCCCAGCCCCATCGCTAGAACAAGATATGGGTATGGGCACGGATATCCGTACACAGTGTGCTAACTGCAATCCGGTGGATCGGCGCGAAGAGGGGAAACGTCATGGGTGCCGGTTGACGTTCAGTAGTAGCAGTGGCTCAGATATGCCATGTAGCGGCCATGAGTCCACGATTGTGGCACAGTTGTTCCACCACGCAGCGCCCGTTCCAGTTCAAATCCGAGACTGCTCGGCGCAACTGCGGCTGCGGCTGCGACTGCGGCTGCGGTTCTAGAAAAAATGCTGTCAATTTCTGCAGCCCTGTTCAGAGCCCCGAGTCCAGAATCCAGCGCGGATTCCCTTTGGCATTATTTGAACTAGATTCTCAACCATTAAGCAATATGGATAGTCTGCAGTGACGTGCCTGCCACGATCCGTCTATTATTGGCGGTAGGAAGGTGAGGTAACCGGTTGCCGGGCAGGCCTAGAGGGGCACCGAAGGGCTGCCGGTATGGGAGAGGTGCACAGAGACTCCTTAGGCTAACTCGCAAGGGCGTAGCAGAGCTCAGGGGCCCGTGCTGCCGTGGCGTCTGGGGGCCGGGAAACCCCTGTTACTGGCCTGGAACTCTAACTATCGGGCCTGTCTGACGATAGTGATATCCCTGCACGCGCTTGGGCCATTCTGCGTTCCTATACGCTTTGTCTTTGCTCACCGACGAACCGCGTCCCGAAACTGGCATCAAGGCAATTGCAGCGTCAGAACTGAATTTCAGCCCATAGAGAGTAAAAGCCCATCTTGTGTAAACTGGTCAGCTCAAGGCCAACTCCTTTTTATCTTCGGCCAGCTTCATCTTGCTCTTCTGTATTTCCCCTCCTTTTCCCTTTTCTTTCCCTCGCAACACCTTCTCTTCCGACAAACACCGCCAACACCTCCATCACCTCCATTGTTGATTTCCGGCAGCCTTTGTTTAACGCCGGTCAGTGGACCTGCCTGCGCCGACTCTTGTGTATAAATTCGCGCATCCCATTGTGCCGATTCCCCTTCACTTGCCTCCAGCTGGACTGTCGTTTTCTGGGCCACTATTAGGTCACAGTCAAGATGTGGTTCGTAGACTTTGGAGACCGCATTCGTCTGCAATGACTGACTGGAATCAGTGGTATCTTCGGCTACATCAACTACTTGGTCGAGAAGGACCGGAGATTCATTCTCGATACCCTGCTCAATGGTACGTGGAAAGCTCCCGTTATCTGCTCAGCCCCTCGAATCCAACGCTCATTCTTTTTCAGGCCTTTCCCGCCTCGAGTACAGAGGGTACGACTCCGCCGGTCTTGCCATCGATGGTGATAGGAGGAATGAGGTCTACGCATTCAAAGAGGTGGGCAAGGTGGCCAAACTTCGCGAATTGGTCGATAAGTCGGATGTCGACATGACAAGAGTCTTCGATTCCCACGCTGGCATTGCACATACCCGCTGGGCCACTCATGGTCAACCCTCCAGGCTGAACTGCCACCCCCACAGGTCGGTTTGCATGTCACCCCAGATGGATATACTGGATAACTGACAAACTCAGATCTGATCCCAAGTGGCAATTCGCTGTCGTCCACAACGGCATTATCACCAACTACAAAGAGCTCAAAGCTTTGCTCGAGGGAAAGGGTTTCAAGTTTGAGACCGAGACCGATACCGAGTGCATTGCTAAGCTCGCCAAATTCCTCTACGATTCTCATCCGGATATCGATTTCACAACCCTCGCAAAGGCCGTGATCAAGGAACTCCAGGGTGCCTTTGGCCTGCTCTTGAAATCCGTTCACTATCCCAATGAAGTTATTGCGGCGCGGAAAGGCTCACCCTTGGTGGTGGGAGTCAAGACAGCCAAAAAGATGAAGGTGGATTTCGTCGATGTCGAATACTCGGAAGATGGCGGCGCCCTGCCGGCTGAGAAGGCAAACCACAATGTTGCGGTCAAGAAGTCGGCGGCCAGTCGTCTCCTGTCTCCCAACGGTCTCCTGGCTCCGACTGACAAATCGCTTCTCCACCGATCACAGTCGCGAGCATTCCTGTCCGATGATGGCATGCCTCAGCCTGCAGAGTTCTTCCTCTCATCCGACGCCTCGGCGCTGGTTGAACACACTAAGAAAGTTCTCTACCTGGAAGACGATGACATCGCCCACATCCACGAGGGCCAACTCCACATCCACCGCTTGACCAAAGATGACGGCACTTCCAATGTCCGTGCAATCCAAACCATCGAACTTGAGCTTCAAGAGATCATGAAGGGCAAGTTTGATCATTTCATGCAAAAGGAAATCTTTGAGCAGCCCGAGTCCGTTGTCAACACCATGCGTGGTCGCTTGGACGTCACGAACAAGTCAGTCACCCTGGGAGGTCTTCGGCAGTACATCAGCACCATTCGACGATGCAGAAGAATCATCTTCATTGCCTGCGGCACCAGCTATCATTCGTGCATGGCTGTCAGGGGTGCGTTTGAGGAGCTGACTGAGATCCCGATTGCTGTTGAATTGGCCTCGGACTTCCTTGACAGGCAGGCACCGGTCTTCCGAGATGACACCTGCGTCTTCGTATCACAATCGGGTGAAACTGCTGATTCGCTACTGGCACTTCGATACTGCTTGGAGCGGGGTGCACTGACGGTCGGGATTGTCAACGTGGTCGGTTCCTCCATTTCCATGCTCACCCATTGTGGTGTGCATGTCAATGCTGGCCCTGAAATCGGTGTTGCCTCTACCAAAGCCTATACTTCTCAATTTGTCGCCATGATCATGTTCGCTTTGTCGTTGAGCGACGATCGCGCCTCCAAGCATCAACGTCGGGCAGAGATCATTGATGGATTGGCCAAGGTCAGCGATCAGATCCGGGAGATTCTCAAACTCAACGACTCGATCAAAGACATGTGTGCCAAATTCTTGCAAAACCAGAAGTCGTTGCTGCTGCTTGGTCGTGGCAGCCAGTACTCAACTGCTTTGGAGGGCGCCTTGAAGATCAAAGAGATCTCATATTTGCACTGCGAAGCTGTCATGTCTGGCGAACTTAAGCACGGTGTTTTGGCCTTGGTTGACGAGAACCTGCCCATCATCATGATCCTGACGCGAGACAACCTTTTCCCCAAATCTCTGAACGCATACCAACAAGGTTAGTATTCTCTAATCCCATACACATATCCAACTAACGTGGCTACAGTCATTGCTCGTGGTGGACGACCTATTGTCATCTGCAACAAAAGCGACCCAGAGTTTCCACCCGACCAGACCGAGCGGATTGAGGTACCGAAGACGGTGGACTGCTTGCAAGGCCTGCTGAACGTTATTCCGCTGCAACTCATAGCTTATTGGCTTGCTGTTGCGGAAGGCCTCAACGTTGACTTCCCACGTAACTTGGCCAAGTCTGTCACAGTCGAATAGACAGTGCCAGAAGGGTACAGGCGACTCAGGGCAGCTTCAATATCGTGTGACCAGCAAGGAATCAGCGGGAGAGTTTGGGAAAATCGGGCGTACAGCAGTGATCGGTTGATAGTACTTTAGCTGTATTGTACTAGTATGGGAAGCGAACATCACTACTAGGTAGTGCTCTGGGGGAGGGGAGTCTCAGGGCATCAATCACAGAAGTATGTTTCCGTTGTTTGCGGGTGTATCCTCAATCATGCTTCTGTTCTGCGATAAACATCGAGTACCTAGTATGGAGTACACGGAGTACTGTATTCTCGGTCCTACTCCATAATGATATACTGAGGACCTATACGGATGGTACAGGTCATGTATGTAGGTACGGAGTACTGTACCATCGGAACCAGTGTGTGACAAGGCTGCGTGCGGGGGACTGGGTTGGAGACCTCGCCCCAGGCTGGACTCCCAGCGCAGGCTGAGCGAGAAGAACGGGTACAGCTTCATTTCGACATGCCTATCACTGCACCACAAGACCCTGAGCCTCAGTGCACGTCGATCCAATGCTCCTGCAATGGGTGACAATGTCGACAAAGAAACATCGAGGCCAGACACCGCACTGAAAGACACCGCCGTCACGGTTGCAGCCCCGGCCACGGCCACGAACGTACCGGGAGCATCTCCATCTCCTTCACAACGATTCCTTTTGCCTAACAACCATAACCTCTTCTTGTTGCTGATCGGCTTCCGGCTGCTCAACGCTTTGACTGTGCAGACATTCTTTCAGCCCGACGAATACTTCCAGGCTTTAGAGCCCGCATGGCGGTTGGCGTTTGGGGAAGATGCTGGGGCCTGGATAACTTGGGTACGAGAAAGCCACATTGCTCTACCGGGCCAGGAAGCTCATTGAGGGAAACAGGAATGGAAAAGTCATCTACGCTCTGCTATACATCCAACCGTCTTTGCCTTATGGTACCGGGGCGCGTGCGCCGTGGCTGATTTCTTCCATCTCGAGGCTCATGCCCAGGCCGAGCTACTACTCGCTGCTCCAAAGTCTCTACAGGCCATCTTTGCGGCCGTGACCGACTTCTATACCTGGAAGCTTGCATCGTATGCGTACGGCACGAACTCGAGTGCCACTCTAGCGACGCTGCTCCTGACAGTCACTAGTCCCTGGCATTGGTTTGGTTCTACGCGCACTTTCTCGAACTGTTTGGAGACGACCTTGACAGTTGTCGCATTATACCACTGGCCCTGGCACTGGCAGTTGCCCCTGGACAACCCTGGCGCGCATGTGGTCCGCGTCCGGCAGCAAGTTGCCGATGGGACGGACATAGTGACCAGGCTGAGGCGTGCCCTGCTTTGTGCTGCTCTAGCGACGATTCTAAGACCTACCAATATCCTAGTGTGGGGGGTTCTGACATGGCTGACTTTTCTGCGAGGATGGAAATCCATTGGACCCAGCTGGGCCGAGTGCTCCTTGTTTGCAAGAGAGACTGTTCTGTGCGGAGGCCTCGTTCTTCTGCTCTCAACCTTGATCGATCGCATCTTCTACGATTCATGGGTGTTTCCACCCTTGGACTTCCTCCACGTCAACGTCGTCCAGTCGATCGCAACATTCTACGGTAACAATGATTGGCATTACTACCTCTCCCAGGGCTACCCTCTTCTGCTCACGACTGCCTTGCCATTCACACTGGCCGGGCTCTATCGCGTTCTGAGCCCGAGCTCGGGAACCACGTCCAGCGAAGCCACGCCTCCAGGCCGTACAATGCTCAGCTCACTGTCCATTGTCTGTCTCCTCGTCCCCAGCGCCTTTTCAAACATCGCCCACAAAGAGGTCCGTTTCATCTATCCTCTACTCCCAGCCCTACATGTTGTAACCGGGCTTCCATTGTCTTCATTTTTCGGGCCGCAACCCTCACAGCACTCCGGAGCGGCCCAATTCACACACAAAATGTTACTCGCTCTACTCCTGGCTCTAAACATCTCAGTAGCCTACTACACAACTCAAGTCCACAACTCCGGCATCATCGAACTGACACACTATCTTCGAACTGAATTTGAAACCACCTACCTTCCCGCGGCTGGGGTTGGAACTGCTTCGAACATGACGGTAGGCATGCTCATGCCATGCCACTCAACCCCGTGGCGCTCCCACCTGCAATATCCTCCATCGACCACGCGCCCCGGCATCCATGCTTGGGCACTGACGTGCGAACCCCCGCTCAACCTCAACGCGACCGAACGAACGAGCTATCTCGACGAAGCGGACCAGTTCTACGCCGACCCGCTCATTTGGCTAAAGAAGAACATGTCGCGTCACCCACCGCGGGCAGAGTCCACGGACGGGATGCGAGCCAATGGTGTCTTCGCCCGAGACGAACGCGCCAGGCATGGCTTGCACATCACCTCGGAATCGACTCTTCGCCAACGTGAAGAAGAGCTCTGGAGCACTGGGCAGTCACGCCGCCGCCCCTGGCCCGAATACCTCGTCTTCTTCGCGCAGCTGGAGCCTACGCTCACCGTGGCCTTGCGCGGCAGTGGCTACGGCGAGTGCCACCGCCTCTTCAACAGCCACTGGCACGACGACTGGCGGCGCACGGGCGACGTGGTCATCTGGTGCCTTGACCAAGAGAGGCAAGATGCACGGCGTTCGTCATCGCGACCGTCTAGGCTCCCCGCCGAGGAGCAGATCGAACTCGAAGACGCCGTTCGTAATCGCGATCGTGGTCGTCATCCGTCTGCGGAAAGCCTGGCCCTGGGGCGCGGGCAGCAGGTGATGAGTGTGCAGAAGACGCCGAAAACGAAAACGAAAACATCTGCCCCTGTTACTCGCGTGGTGGAAAAGCCATTTTGGAAGGCCAGAGAGCCGGAACGCAAAGACACTTGACTGATTAGGCCATTAATCACTTTTTCGATATCGATCCCCATCCTGTACACACAGCAGAGGCAAGACTTGAAGCTGTCAAACTGTGGAGCATTCCAGGGAGCATTGCCCGGCCTCGTCTCGAGATCCAAACCAAACCCAACCCAACCCAGCGCAATTCGATTCGATTCGGCCCAGCTCAACCTAGCCCAACCTAACCTCAGACCATCTACGCCTCACTAAAGGTCTAAAGGGCATGGTTCACGCAGTGCATCTCATAGCTCCCTCCTATACGGAGTAAAAGATAGATTCACAGTTCACAGTTCACAGTTCAAAGAAACAATCCCCCCCTTTTGTAGGTATTAATTAGTCCTGTTCTGTTGTCTTCGCCTTACGTGTAGTTGCTCTTCCCCAGACAGAGTTCAGTCTTGATGGACTAGTATGTGTATGTGTATGCGGCGGCTTCGTGCTCTGTTAGGAGACAGCAGCGTCGGCTTTTGTAATTCATTGCCTCCTCCACTTGTGGCAGGGAGCAGGGAACAGGGAACAGGGAACAGCGCCGTCATGACCTCCTGCAACAAGCCCCATGTTTGAGGCGGTCTCCACTTCAAAGTTGGGCAAGTCAAAGCCGTTTAGAGGATCAATTGATTCTCCCTAGCCTAAGGGGGGAATCTATTCCAGGTACAATTCGATGGCTTAGGCCTTGGAAGAGTTTGGGCACCAGGGGGACCCTGAGAGTCCGGACGCTGGATAAGTCGGATTCGAACCTCGCAGGTAAGGGAAGTGAGGCGGTATCGACTGTTGCGCATTGCTTGGAGAAGACGCACTGCTGACCACGCTAGTCTGAAGAAACGCTAGGAGACTTTTCTGCAACAGTCTTCAACTTCAATGCGAGTACGGTCGTTGCTCGCAAGGAACGGGCCGCACAGCTGTCTCTCCGACAGCTCTAATATCATCTCACAGACCGGGCGCTCAAGCTTGCAAAAGCATCAGGACTATGCCGGCCGCTCTCCAGGTTACTGATGCTCACGCTGTCCGCACTGGCGTGATGTCTAGCTGCGCCGCCCTGTGCCCTAGCCGGCGAGGTACCACTTCCACCAGCAAATCCGGGGCTGCTTGGGTTGGCACTGAGATTGAAGTTTGCAGTCGTGCTAGCCGTGTTTGTGAGGAACGGATTGCGACTCCCAACGCCTCCAGCAGAGTGCATGTTGGAGATCGAGGCAGGCATTGTGGCGCTGCGCTTGGCCGGGGATATTGGGTTCGGTTGGAAGTGTACATCGCCCGACTGCATGGGTGAAGTATGCTGTTGCGAGGACGGTTGCGCGGAGCCGACCGTCTCCGGGCCCGGTTCAGGTATTGAGGCCAGGGGTTTTGGTGCAAACTGAGGATAATTATAAAGAGCCAAGATTGTGTTCTTATCGTACCGCCCGGTGTGCTGGGGGGAGAGAGTTTGAGGCTGCTGATTGAATTGTTGCTGGAACATGGCCTGTTGCTGGAACTGTGGGTTCTGCTGTTGCGGCTGTGGTTGGGTCTGGGCCTGGCCATACTGGAAACTGGGAAACCCTGGTCCTGATGCTGGAGGCTGGGGGCTTTGAGATGGTGCCACCTGTTGTTGCTGAGGTTGCATCTGCTGTGTTAGGAATGGGTTATGCGTCTGTTGAGTTTCGAAAGGGTTCTGCCGAACAGGGCCAAAGGGGTCTTGCATTTGGAATTGGGGAGCAGTCCGTTCTTGTATCGTTTGAGACGATGCTGGGCCGGGTGGTAGTCCAAAGGGGTTCGAGGTCAATGTTATAGGAAGTGAACTCTGTCGCTGTTGGGGCGGGGCTGGTGGCCCTGCTTGGACGGACTGGTAACTGACGAGTGGATGCGTAGACGAAGACACAGGACCTGATGCAGGTGCAGTTTGAGGCAGGAAAGGATTGTTGCTCGTGGATTGAGGGGGGCCACTGGTCGATTGGAAGAAGGGGTTTGTATTCATAGAAATCGCAGCTGGAGAAGCGACATATCCTTGTTGAAAGTGTGTGGATGGAACCGGAGGGGTGACAGAATATTGCAGACGTGGATCCTGAAGAGGAGGAGGCTGGCTAGGATACCCTCCAGTGCTATGGGGGAACAGAGGGTGAGCAAGTTGCATGGATTGCAAGGACTGTTCGAGACCGGTCTCGGTTTGAGTGTGAGTTGCTGGACCAAAGGGATTGGTGCTGTGGTACACCTGCGCGGGAGAATTTGCTGGTTGTTGAGGTTTTGAAATTGACAGCCCGACTGTTTGTTCGCCGGTCATATGCGTGAATGGGTTATACGAAGGCTCTGACGACGCGGGTGCTCTAGTAGCGGGAGCAGACGCAGCCGTAGAGTCCCGGCTTGAATCAGCGTTTGTGGTCGGGTTTGGCCTTCTGCCGGCTGAAGAAGTGGTTGTGTCTCTTTGTCCTTCTTGAACCAATCTCTCAATTGTCCTCTCCACATTCCCTCCCAGCCGTCGCAGCAAGCTCGTGTTGCGGCCGGTGTCCGTGAAGCCCATGTCCCGCAACGCGTTGAGTTTCTGCTGCAGCTCTGCTTCCGTCATATCAAAGCGTGCGTCCGCCATCCTCGACATTGAATCGTAATCGTCAGTCGATATAGGAAATGCGCTGTCAACGCGAGGCTCTTTTGGCAGCTTTTTCTTGTCATGCTTGGAGAGGGTGTAGGCAGATGACGAGGCACGAAGTCCAAAGCCAAAGAACCTGCCTTTCTTGGGGGGCAAGGGGGGCGGAGGTGATTCTTGTTCTTCCTGTCTCGAGTAAGTTGCAGGTGAGATCTCGTCGCGCTGTGGAGGCTCTGGTTTTCCATCTGAAAGACTCTTTTCTTGATACTTCTTGCGTATGAATCGCTCCATAGCGGAGTCCACCTCATCAATATCGAGCGGCATGTCCGGTTTCTTGTTCTTGGGATTGTAGACTTTATTCACTGCGATGTTTCCATTGCGCTTCATGCTCTAGTGCTCGGTCAGTGACGGCTCGTTGAAGAGGTATTCATAACACCCACCTCTACCTGATCTGCTGTCCAGGTGTCCATACTGAGAGACTTGACCTTGGATATGTGCGTGCCCAGTTTGCGATGTAGAGAGGCACACCGCATGCAGAGGAAAACACCCAGATTCCAACTTGCCCACGCAGGGTTCTTCGCACCGCAGTCGGCGCATTGAGAATTCCCCGGCAGACGGAGCAGCTCATGTAGTTCCCGCTCATTGCGCGCCTGTGTTCTCTTGCTCATCGATGCCATCCTGAGGGCGGGCTAGTCCGGTGGGAGAAAAGGCGGTTGGGCGAGTAGAGGTCAGACAAGGCGTGTGGTATGAGACGTCGTTCGGAGTTGCTGAATTGTCTTCTTGGCCAGACCCGATGAAGTGCAAATTCTAGGTCATGGTCTGAAGCTGGACCTCTGCCCTGCGCTCGAAGAATAGAGCACTGACCCTGTTCCGACAACTCGATCGATGGCGAATGAAGATGTCAGATACCTACCTTACATATGCTTGCACTTCTAGCTTTGGGCCAACCCCATCTCGGGTAACGGGCCGGCAAATAGATGGCGTGGATTAGGAAGGGCGGACTCGCCCACTCCACGTGTGATTAATACTCCTAGGAATACGGATGTAACAGTTGACATTTCTGCACAACATGACATGGTAGAAAGATACTTGGATAAAGGAGACAACTTGAATGCGCCTGCTCCTGTACGCTAGGTCTGGTGTAGCTCCGTCCAACAAAGGAAAGCTGCAGCGGGTCTACAAAGCAATCATAGAACTAAGATACTCCAAGTCTTGCGCCCGTTGTCGAAAGACCAGTACGAGAATCCACCTTCCAATGCACCTCAGCCTCTGCCTGACACTCGTGCTATCTGTCAGGACATCTCCGCATCGCCGTCATTTCGTCTTGCCGTCGAGTAGTCGAAAAACCCGTACATTTGCTGAAGCATGCCATACTGATGCTCCATCGGTTCAGCTTCGCCTGAGAAGTTCCACCACTCCCGACTCTTGTACGCCGGATCATTTGACTGGCGGTATTCTGCTATTTTGGCAGTGTTAGACCCATCCTGCATAGGCGCCGCCACCCCGTTGATATTAGGCAATGTGTCGTAGCCTTGCAACATGTACGGTTCAGCATTGTTGCGATTGTCATGCTTCGGTTGTCTCTCTTGTTCAGTCCCCTTCAGACGATACTTTGCAGCCTCCTCTTCCTTTTCCATGCTTGACTGCGGCCAATTTGCCATGTCATCTGGGTGCATCTGGTTTCCATATGTAGGGGGAGCTATTTGCCAGAGCTCTATCAACCTCAACCTTTGTTCAGGCTGTGCATTCTTGAACAGTTGCAACTGGGAAGGGAACAGGGCCGCAGCGTTAATACCAGCCTTCTCAAGGATGGTAGACACGGGGAGGTCGTGCAATGGGACTTGGTGTGCTGAATGGTGATAATGTTGCGAGATGTAGGTGATCGGTTCCGGCTCAGGAACAACCTGCGGCGTCGGGGGCATAGACAAGTCGTGCTGGTGTCCAAGAGGGCTGATTTGAAGGTTACGTGCCATCATGTTGATCAGGTCGTCCTGCATCTTGATGTCGCTCTCGTAGGCCGATAGTCCGCACTAAAGAGGCGAATCAGAAGGTCATGAACCGGGAGTGGATTAGAACAAACCTGTCTGCAGTGTGGATTGTCCTCGAACACTGCCAGATTGCTTGAGAGATCCGTCTCATAGCCACAATGCTGGCATCTGTGGATTGCGGACGCCATGATCTTGGGTTGCTAGCAGCACCAGAATAAGAGCCCCTTATTGCAGTAACGAAAACCAGAGATATGAAGAAGCAAAATTCGAGATTTAGGCTTCAAATTCGTATTAATCTAACTAAAACACACAACTGCTATGAAGGCTCCAGGCAGTCCAGGCGGTGTGTCCGGATCCGGTGTAGTCTCGATGTCCTCAGGGGTTTCCAGAATCGAGAACAAACGGGACGCTCAAAGATCCTCAGAGTCCAGTCCAGGAAGGATTCGATCCGGTCGGGAGGAGACCTGGCCCAGGGAAGCTGTTGTGTGCTGAAGAGGTGAGCTCAGGTGGATAGGAGAAACGAGGTGCGGGGGAAGGAGGTTCTTGAAGGAGGTGTTTCTGTTCGTGGAGGAGCAAAACCCAAGATCAGCTCAACGTCAAAGCTGATTCAGATACTAGGTATCTGCAAGCAACAGTCTGAAAGAAGTGGAGGTGTTGAGGAATAGTGAGGTTGAACACGAAGCCTTGCGAGAGAAAGGAGGGAGTCTGATGATCTCAGTGGTGACGGGGCGAGAGTCGCAGCTGCGGCCCAAACTAGCCTTAATGTGGGTGCCCAGAATCAGTCGCGGTATATCCGTATTCACGACCATGTCAATTCTACCGAGTACATGGCAGGAATACTACATATGTTCTGCAGCCTCCCTAAAGTACATAAAAATCCCATTCTAATACCAGATCAGTTGCATAGTTGATTGGAAAAGATTGGATGGCTTGGAACCCGCCCTCTGCTCTGACACCCACTGCAACCTCCACGTACATGTACTCTGGTCCATGTTCATGAGGTACGGAGTAAGCACGGCGCCAAGATTCCGACAGCACTAAGCTGTTTCAGGTAATCTACTATGTTACGCGGTTTGGACGCCTGCAGTCCATGAATTGTGGTAAATCGACCATTTACACATCTCGCACCTGTACTTGTATTGGACACAGCGCTGAGAGTCTTGTTGAAAGTGACTTCTTCGCTGGTCTCGAACTGCCTGTCAATCCCCTAAACCACTACGAAATACCTCCGCTGCAATGGTATGTCGCTCTCCCACTCCTTGAACTCTACAGCACTGACTCGGCCACGGATAGACGTCGATAGGAACAGGCTACGATCTTTCAAATTCCGTGTTCTCGCCTGATGGCCGGAACTTTCAAGTTGAATATGCCGTCAAAGCAGTTGAAAATGGCGGAACCTCCATCGGCATCCGGACAAAACACGGCGTCGTTCTTGCCTGCGAGAAGATCATATCCTCCAAGCTCCTGAAGCCTGGCGCCAACTTGAGAATATCAACGGTAGATCGTCATGCTGGCGTTGTTACTTCGGGACTACTGCCGGATGGTCGCCATCTGATCAGCAGAGCGAGAGACGAAGCAAGCAGCTGGAGGCAAACATATAAAGGCCCAATCCCCGTCCACGCTTTGGCGTCGAGAATGGGAGGATACGTCCAAGCGTACACGCTTTATTCAAGCGTACGACCATTTGGAGTCACAGCAATTCTGGGTGGATGGGATTCAGAAGCTGAACTCGGTGTGGATGGACAGGTTGGATTTGGACCTTCAGTTGGCGCCGGAGGAAAACTTGAGGATGAGGTTGTTAAAAGAGGCGGTCCTGGTCTCTACATGATTGAACCTAGTGGGTTGTATTGGGTATGTGCAATTGCTTGACCTTGGCCGAGAAAGATCACTGACCTTCCTAGGGCTACTACGGTGCCGCAACAGGAAAAGGGCGACAAGCTGCAAAGGCCGAGTTGGAAAAGCTGGATCTGGCTTCCCCAACCTGCTCCTTGAGCCTCAAAGATGCTGTGATGGAGGCTGCCAGGATCATATACGTGGCACACGAAGATTCGAAGGACAAGGAATTCGAACTAGAGATGACCTGGATCTCGACACTAGACGGCCCGACCAAAGGTCAACATCAGCAGGTCCCCCAAGAGTTGTTGGAGGAAGCAGAGAAGGCGGCCAAGAAGAGTCTAGAGGGAGACGATGATGAAGAAGAAGAAGAGGAAGAAGGAGATGCCATGCAGGAGTGATCTTTGTTTGTCTTCGCAGCATTGTAGCATTATTGGCGTATGAAGGGATCCAATGGTCTGATCTCTAATGGCAAAAGAGGCGTAGTTCCCCCAGAGAAGGCTCTATTTTGTGTCTGTTTGAGCCACATGAATTCTGCTGCCCAACTGACCTGTATCTCTTTCCTAAACATTTTGGTCTCTTTTGAAGGCAGAGGGGAGGGTAAAAAAGCCAGAAGGGCAAGTTCACGATCCCGCGATCTTGCCCTGGCCCCAGCCCTTCCGCTTCACCCCAAGCTCGACGGCGGCATTTCCCCAGTCTTCTCCATGGTTGTGTCCATTAGCTTCCTTGCCGCTACCTCCTTCCAGACCTGCTCTCGCCAGGCCTTGCGCCTGGTCCAGGACTGTCAAAAGACCAAAGATGACGGGAACTCCGCTGTCCAGCTGTACCCTCATCAGGCCATGGGTGACAGCATCTGCAATGTACTCAAAATGCATGGTCTCTCCTTTAATCAGGACTCCTATGGCTATGATCGCGTCGAAGGTATGTCTCAGTCCTTTGGTCTCGATCTTTTCAGGCTCCGGAGGACCAGGCTGTAGACTCCCTTGCAAGTCGGTTGTCGAGTTGCTTCCGCCCAGCAGATCGCCGATGCCACTAGCCAAACTGCCCATTCCGCCGGACACAGTGCTGGCTGTGCTTTGGATTTGAGATGCAGCATAGACGCGCTGCACTGCCAGAGGAAGCTCGTATGAACCGGGGACCGACTCGACCACAATGTTCTCTTCCTTCACCCCCGAAGCCAACAGAGTTTTCTTTGCGCCGCTGACCAAAGCATCGATGAGGGTGGCGTTCCAACGAGCGTGAACGATCGCAATTCGCAGACCGGAGCCGTCATGCTTTTGGGGAGCACCGGGGCCTTTCAAAGTAGCCATTTCCGGGGAGATCGATCAAAGAGTAGGCGGGTAGGTTATGGGGTTCCAAGGGCTGAGGAAGAATGCGCCTGGTGCTGGTGACGGATGGTACAGAGTATAGCGTTCAGCGTAGTGAGTATGAATCATGGAGCCCGCGGCCAACCGCACAGAAACATTGAATGTTCGTGCGGGCTGGCGGTGGTGGTGAGTGGGTTTTGGGGTTTGCCCCTCGTCAATGGTCATCCGGCCTGGCCTGCGCTGCGCTGCGCTCCCCTCCCCCCTCTTCGCGTATGACAGCCAGTGGCCTGCGATGCTGTCACACAACTTAAGTAATAAAGTCATACAATCTGCTGCCACCTGCATTTGCCTCCAAACCACAGACCTGTCAATCCAACCAACCGATCCATTCAGAATCTCGCGCACCTGCGGGCCGTGATCCGGTACGGTTAAGCCTGCCTTTAGCGATCAACCTCCTGCCGTTAGGGATACACCTGCACTTAGGGGCATAGCAACAAGGCTCAGGCTCCAATTGTGTGAGTGTGATTGAAAATCTCTGCACATGACCTATGTGTGGACCACAGAGCCTGAATACATATCTGACTCGCTATCGGCATTCCAAGGGCCATGATCAATTGCTGTTTCACACTCGACAACAGACAGCTTGACTAGAAGAGCCAAATCCCCTCCTAACCTCTCTATCCTGACTTGGCTGTGGTGGCCAATCAGCGCTGCGTCAATTCGAGCTATCCAATACGCCTCGCCCAACGAATCTACGGTCCTTCTATTCCATTTCAAACATGGCTCCGTCGGCAGTCAGCGTTGACGGTGTTAACGGAGCCGCGCAGTCCAACGGGCACAGTACCGGCACGCAGCTCAAAGCAACCGCCCCTGTGTTTCATCCGGCCGCAACGGTAGATCGATCGAGGTACCATGTCTCGTCATCTACTGAAGCGATCGACACCGAGCATGAATATGCCGCCCACAACTATCATCCCTTGCCGGTCGTTATTGCGCGCGGATCGGGAACGACAGTGTGGGATCCTGAGGGTCGACAATACCTTGACTTTCTCTCCGCGTACTCCGCCGTCAATCAAGGCCATTGCCACCCAGAGCTGGTCAAGGCCCTTGTTGAACAGGCATCCACACTGACCCTGAGCTCGAGAGCATTCTATAATGATGTTTTCCCACGCTTTGCTGAGTTCGTTACGAAATACTTCAACTTCGACATGGTTCTGCCCATGAACACTGGCGCCGAAGCCGTGGAAACGGCCATCAAAATCGCCAGGAAGTGGGGCTACAAGTCCAAGAAGATCCCTCAAGGAGAAGCTCTTGTTCTCGCTGTAGCCGAGAACTTCCACGGCCGGACTGTAAGTTTCACAACCTTGTCGGAGCTCGGATTCTGACATTTCCAAGTTCTCTGCCATTTCCATGTCCACCGACCCTGAATCCCGAGAGAACTACGGCCCTTACCTGCCGGGTGTGGGCAGTATCTCCCCGGCTACTGGTGAAGTGATTCCCTACAACGACGTAGACGCTGTACGTGCTGCTTTCGAGTCACACGGTGACAAGATCGCGGGATTTCTCGTCGAACCAATCCAAGGTGAAGCCGGCATCGTTGTACCCAGCGACACCTATCTATCCGAGATCCGCGCTCTGTGCGACAAGCATAATGTACTTCTGATCTGCGATGAGATTCAAACCGGCATTGCCCGCACGGGCAGACTTCTCTGCCACGAATGGGCAGGCATCAAGCCGGACATGGTTCTTCTGGGAAAAGCCATCTCAGGGGGCATGTATCCCGTCTCGTGTGTCCTGGGACGTAAAGATGTGATGCTCACCGTCGAGCCTGGTACGCACGGGTCGACGTACGGCGGGAACCCCCTTGGCTGCGCCGTGGCTATCCGGGCCCTCGAGGTGGTACGCGAAGAGAACATGGTAGAAGCGGCCGAGAGGTTAGGCCACATCTTCCGCGATGGCCTACGTGGTCTCAACTCCCCGCTTATTACGGTCATTCGAGGCAAAGGCCTACTCAACGCCATTGTTATTGACGAATCCAAGACGAATGGCCATAGCGCATGGGACCTCTGCATGCTCATGAAGGAGAAAGGTCTACTGGTTAGTTGAACCCTGCACCCTGCAGATCGCCCACGTGCGGATGATTCCGAGCGAGAATGCGACTGCTAACAGATGACAGGCCAAACCCACCCATCAGAACATCATCCGCCTTGCTCCGCCCTTGGTGATTACCGAAGATGAGGTGAAGCGTGCTCTGGCGATCATTGGGGAGGCTCTCAGCGAATTGCCCAATCTCAGAGGACAGAAGGAGGACGAGATCATCCCTGCCGAGGAAAGGAATGTCAAGATCCAGGTGGAGAATTGAGCATGGCAGGCGACGCAGTATTATATTAGGTCTGGAGAGGCTCGGAGCTGGCCCACCGACATCCTGGGAGTTGGCGTTTGCCGTACGGCTGGAAGTGTGTGGCTCCTCGGCGTTACCATCGGTGAGGTGCTGGGCTGTTGTTCAACATATGGCACAAATGCCTCCACGAGTGGCCAGACCTCTGGCGCAGGAACTCTCTTATCAGGACCTCGTGGACTGGCTATGCAGATGGGCGGATCAGTGACTGTGTTTTTGCGATGAAAGTCTTAGAACAGAGCTACGTGCTACGAATAACGTCAACATACTCGAAGGCGACATTGTCTGTTGCCACTACCACTTCCAATCAGTTATAAGTCGGCAAAACCTGCGAGGGTCGATAACATCTATCTTGTCTCTGGGAAGCTTCCTGACGATATAGTTCTGCGAGAGATGGGCGAGAGTCGAACGTGAAATGGACGGGGGTTCAATGAGCACTGCACGGAGCATTGCATGCGCGAAGCTCTTTTTGACCTTACCTTGATAGGCTAATCATTTGCCAAGTATTTAGGCAGTTTTAGAGGCTTGGCGAGATAAGATTATCGAGCGACATCGGTGGCCTGATTGTTTCCAACCTGGATGGTGACGAGAATGAAGACTTGGATGCTTGGTGGTGCCCAGATACCTAGGTATGTATACGGAGTACCTGGAAAGGAATAGGGGTAGGGATGAGGGTGAGGGTGAGGGTGAGGGTGAGGGTGAGGGTGAGGACGAGGATTGATAGTGGTAGATCACGATAATGAGGTCCAAAAGATCACCCGGACTTATACGGAGTAAGGAGTACGAGTACCTACCCTTGGTATGGAGTAGTACTGAGTGTCCGTAGGTGCCCTGTACCGAGTATGGAGTACTCCGTACATGTCGTGTCACGCGTGGTGCTCTGTACTCCGTATCCGTAATCTGATTGATAGACCTCACCGGCCACGGAACCTCAACCTCGGAGAGAACCCAGACAAGAAGAATAGCTTGGCACGTCACAAAGACCTACTCTGTCCGTGTTTCTGATTCTTCTCTATTTAACAGCCAGATATCCCATATTACGCATTACAGAGAAGTCCTCCGGACTCTGTAGATCTCTTGTTGGCCCCGGGCACAATCCTCCTCCTGCTCCGTCCCCGAACCACTTCCGCGCGGCTCAGAGACATCGATGGATCGGCAGACTCGGAGGCTGGTCGTGTGGCCAGATACTCTTTTCCAGCTAGTAGCTACATGACTCTGGAACCACTAACGAGAAAATTCAAGTAGCGTTTGTGGTAGCCTGCCGATGACCGGAAGTCGGCAGATCTAATCATGTAATCTTGTCTTATCAGATGAGCGCAGGTCTGAGCACGGCGGGACTAGTCCCACTTGGGGCTTGAAGTCGGCTTGGCATCAAGCGCCAGACTCAGCGAGACTCAGGCTGTGTGGTTGAGCTCTGCCCTCGACCGACGACCCATTGTGTGCCGACTGGGCAGGCAGATTGCAAGAAATGCAGCCTCTTCTGGCCTGGATGGAGGCTCCCGACGCCCCAGCCTGTGTCTCTTGCCTGTGCCCGGTCCCTCTCCGATGCTAGCACAGTGGGGTTGATATTCCCATGCTGCATGGTGCAAGTCGCCCGGCGGAGGCCACTCTTCACGCCTCCTCATCCCGCGCTCGACACGAAGCAGCATTCAGTGTATCCAGCCAGCTGTTGTTCAAGCAGGACAGCGATGGACCCTGAAGGTAGAAAGCCGATGAAAAACCTTAGCCCCTCCTCCCCCTGCCCCTGCTTGTATATATGCTTGGTGCCCTTGGCTCCAAGTTGGCACCGCCTCGGCCATCTCTTGTCAAGTCTTCTTTCTGTTCCTATTCTGGCAAAACAAAATGAGGTTCCCGCTGGTGATTGCTTTTCTCGCCTCTTCGTTCGTCCACCTTGCCGTCGGTGCCAACACCTATTGTGCAACTGCCTGCAAGAACCCGTTGTCCTATTTGAAGTTCAACGGAACAGATTACAGTGATGATGATGTCGACCCTTCGTGCTCCAACTTGCTTGAGGTCCAGTCATACTATGTGTGTCTGCGGCAATACTGCACGGCCTCGGAGACCAAAAAGGCGGTTTCCAAGTTGAAGAAATCTTGTGACCCTGTCTCTGTCCCGCCCATCTCAGTCATCAGCAATCTCACGGTTGAAAGCCTGCGACAAGTAGAGTTCAAGGATCTCAGAAAGAAGACCGTCTTGGGAGAGGCGGTCCTCCTATCCGAGACCCTGTTTGGTCTCTCGATGAGGACACTTGTGAGTGGCGGGAGATTCCCATCCTCCATCGCTGGACTTGACTAACGCCCGCTAGACAAGTGCAGATGAGTCAGACGCCAGAAATATTCGATATGGGTAAGCTGCGTCCTTCACAAATTGTGGCCAGTGTGGCTGATCTTTGAAGACATGCGGCATACGGGTATTGGGGTGTAGTACTTCTTGTAGGAATGATCACTCGGATCTCTACCTTCATCCGCCGACAATTGCGGCCGCGACTCTCGTCGTCACCAAGGCCCAAGGGCTCGCTGTGGCGAAGGGCTCGACTTGGTGTACAGCAGTATATAACAACGCCGGCACTGTTCAGACAACACTCGGCAGAGCCTGTCGGATGGTGTACCATCCCACCTCGACTGCAGGCCTTGACCATATTTGGTTTTGTGGTGGTCAATGTGGTCCTGTCATGTGTGGACTACGACATTTTCGCAGGCAATGTAAGGTATGGATCTTGGATAATGCTCGACCCAACCTCTTCGCGTACCCAGCTGACACTTCCAGACGGCCTAATGAAAAGGAGCAGCTTACCCGGTGGATTGGTCGGCGGACTGGCGTTCTGGCCACAGCAAATCTGCCCCTTATGTTCACGTTTGCCATGAGGAATAATGTGCTGAGCTGGTTGACCGGCTGGAATTATGCCACATTCAGTCAGTTTCATCGATGGATTGCTCGCATGGCCATGACTCTGCTGTTCGTACATGCCGTTACTTACACCCTCTACGAATTTCTGGGTATGTATCAAGGTCTGGCACTGCTGTCTGACTGATCGGCTGACCCAAATGCTTTAGCGGGTGGCTCTGCCAAGTACTACGATCAGTGGCTTGAAGGTTACTGGGCCTGGGGTATAGTTGTAAGTTACCATGTCTTCCCTACACTACCCAAGGAGTGTGCTAACCTGGGGTCTTGCCAGGCATTTATCGTTGGCTGCTTTATGACCGCGTGGGCAAGCTACCCCGTGCGACGCTATCTTTACGAAGCATTCCTCGTGGTGCACATCGTCCTGGCCATCGTTTTCCTGGTCGGGACCTGGTAGTGAGTCTCTTTATGGGTGGCCTTGCTTGATTTTGCATACTGACCCAAGCCATAACATAGTCACCTCAAAAAACAAGATGACGAATATGTCATGTACTTCTGGCCGTGCGTGGCGGTTTGGGCGTTTGATCGCCTGATGCGAATTGGCCGTGTCCTCCTCTCCAACCTGTCGACCGGTAAAGCTTTGGTAAAATACAACCCTCAGTCCGGTCTGGTACGACTTGAAGTCCCCGCCAGATTAGCGGTACGCCCGCAAGCCGGTACATACTACTACATCTATGTTCTCCACGGTTTCAAGTTCTGGGAGAGCCATCCTTTTACTTTGAGTTCTTGGGAAATGAACGAGGCAACTACCACCGGCCCGTTGTCTTCTGGAACCCTGTCTTTCATCATTCAGCCACAGGATAGTTTCACGGCCCGACTGCGCCAATTCTTGATCCACAAGAGGACCAGCGAAGATGGCTCGACTATATATGCCAGCCCCATCCGCGTTCTTATCGAAGGACCCTATGGACATTCGTACGACCTCCAGTCACATGATTCGGCGCTCATCATTGTCGGTGGCTCCGGCGTCACGGTGGCAGTGTCTCACCTCCGCAGTCTTCGCGAAAGCATGGACAAGAACGAGCAAATGGCCATTCGCAAGGTGCACGTGGTCTGGGTCGTCCGCCATCAAGCTCAATTCCAAGACTTGCTTGACCTTGAGGTCGCGTCGTGGCTTGATGCCTCGGGCTTCCATAGCAAGATCGACATGCAAGTCGATATCTACGTGACACACAAAGGCGAGAGCATGATCTCATCCGGACCGGATGTAAGTGAGAAAGTCGATGGCGTCGATAACGCCTCATCACTGCCACCGTCCGCCACAGGGGATGAGAAGGCTCGATCGACAGGATCTACCTTGTCAACCTCGTCCAATATCAATCATTACAACTATCGGCCCTCGATGCGCCAGATTGTTCTTGACAATGCGAGAGTGGACGGCTGCAACGGGAAGAAGATGGCACTTGTCTGCTGTGGACCACCTTCGATGGCTGATGACGTCCGAGCTGCTACTGTATTGGCCATGAAAGATGGTGCCGATGGCATCGATTTCATTCCCGAGTCCTTTACCTGGTAGCGAGCGAGTGGCAGACGAACTCCTCAGCTCAAGGAAACCATCCATCCCATCCAACCATCCACTACCAGTACCCATTTGCGGCTGGACGGATATTCGCGGCTTCGGCTCCTTCTTCGGCTGTCTTCGCCACAAGTACGACCTGTGGCAGAGCCATAGAGGCTGGGACTGGTACGCCCACGCCTTACCGCAACGCAAATTACGAAACTCACCGATGCCTATGAATGACTAGAATTAGACACAACCGTGCGAGCGCTCCAGAGCTTCCTAGACATAGAACAGAATAGAATTAGAATTACTTCTACAAAGATTGCGCAATAGCCAGCACCTCTCAGTTCACCACCTGTCTAGAGTACAGTAAGCAACAATAGTCGCACCAGTCACCTACCAGTAGTAAGATCGACGTCGTCTTAACCAGCGGTCTAGCTTATATAGGTTAGAGATCCTGATTTTCAAACAGCGAGGGGGCTAAGGAGCCTAAGGGAGCCTTAGAAGCCCCTAAACCAAATAGCTTGGTATAATTGGCCTCGTAGAACTTGTACCTTAATACAGCGACAACACTACAGAGAGGCAGCCTAATTCCCTCATTCTCTAATTCCCTCCCCAGGCTGAGACAATACCAAGCCACCCGCCAGCTTTATATCTTTACGGCTTTGAGGGTTTCTGGTTTCTGGGCCGAGAATGAATCCAGTCACCTTCGAAATTCCTATCGCCGCCATCATGGCCAGCGCGCTCCTCAAGTCCTGGCTCGCCTTATGCAGGAGGGATGGTACATACCTCCCTGCAACTAGTTAATCACGTCTTCTCTCACGACAATGTTGCAAGCTCTCCGCAGGACGTCGTCACCTCTCCCCCCCCCCACAGACGAAGCGATGGCAAAGGGTACAGAGGACTCAGTACAGAGCAAAATAGCCGATCCAGGAATGGTGGCAGAATTCTCGCTTTATATTCGGGCAGAGGCTCCCTGGGAAGGTGGGAACTAGTATAACACCATCCTCTTGGAGCCGCATACGTCTCCCGACCAAGGCCAATAGGAGAAACAACGCCTGATGTTATCAAAACTGGCCAGAGCATGAATCTTTCCATGTTTACCGGATTGGTTGAAGTCAAGCACGTTTCCATCTCGCCTGCTGATGCCATCCAAGTCTAGAACTTCTGTTACATGGCGTTATTGAAGCTGAGAACCCTGACCCTGGTAGGTGGCTGTTCTTTTTTCTTCTCTGTTGCCGGGTATTTTCGCCTCTTTATAGGTCCGCCCGAACCATAAAGCCAACGAGTTGTTGCATGCGCCTGATCAGCGTGAAAGGTCGGCCGACTCTCCTCCATCTTTTGCCTCCATCTCCGTCTCCATTCCCGTCTCCAACCTCCCCCTTGACCGATCGAGAACATAGACAAGATGAGCAACTATGGCACGGATGCCAAACAGGGGAGGGCGGATGTCTCTGTGATATCGGCCTCCCCGATCAGCCCGAGCTCGCTGGACGGAAAGGAAGCCGAATCCGATCGGAAACAGCTCAGCTCTGCCGACATCAAGGCGGTTAACGATGAAATCGAGGTCGAAATCGACCCGAAAGAAGAGAGAGCGTTTGTGTGGCGACTCGACCTGTTTTTCTTGACCGTCGGCTTTCTCGGCTACACGTTCAAGTATCTCGACCAGACCAACATCAGCAACGCGTACGTGTCCGGGATGAAAGAAGACCTTCGACTGAACGGCAACGAACTGAACTACTTCACCACCTACTTCAACATCGGGTACATGGTGATGCTGTACCCGTCGTGCATCACTGTGTCCTACTTCGGCCCGTCAGTGTGGCTGCCTTCGTGCGAGGTGATCTGGGGCGTCTTGACCTGCTGCCTGTCGACCGTGACCCATGCCAGGCAGGTGTACGGGCTGCGCTTCCTGATCGGGTTTTTCGAAGCCTCGGCCTGGCCGTCATACTATACGCTGATCAGCCAGTGGTACCTGCCGCACGAGATCGCGCTCCGCATGTCTATATATAACATAGCGCAACCTGTCGGGGCCATGATGTCGGGCGCGATGCAGGGCGCGCTGGCCACCAACTTCGACGGCAAACTGGGCCGAGCCGGCTGGCGATGGGCGTTCATCATCAATGGCGCCTGTACCATCTTCGTCGCTCTGTTGGGCTACGCCATTCTCCCCGGCTACCCGGAGCGGCCGAACCCGTTGTCCAGGTTCTACCTTAAGCCTCGCCATCTGCAGATCGCCGCGGCACGAGGCCGCCGCGTGGGCCAGAAGCCACAGATCGGGATCACGCCGCTCCGGTTCCTGCGCGCCCTGACCTTCTGGCAGCTGTGGGTGTTTGCCGTCGCCTGGGCGTTTGGCGGAAACACCACGCCGAGCAACTACTTCAACCTGTGGCTCAAGTCGCTCACGAACCCGGACGGCTCCAAGAAATACAGCGTCGGCATGATCAACTACCTGCCCATCATCGGTCAGGCCATCCAGCTGGTGGCCGAGATCCTGTTCAGCGGCTTCAGCGACTACACGGGCCGCCGCCTCCCCTTCCTGCTGCTGCACTCGGTCATCAACATCACCTCGCTGGTCATCTTGGTCATCCGGCCCAGCAGTGAGAGCGCCTACATGGCCGGCTGGTACCTCAACTATGTCGGCGGCGTTTCCATGATGCTTCTCCTGGCCTGGGCCTCCACCCACCTCTACCACGAGCCCGAGGTGCGCACCATCCTCTTCGCCACCGGCACTTTCTTCAGCTATATCCTCAGCGCCTTTGTTCCCATCGCCGTCTATCCGGCCAAGGAAGCCCCTCACTGGCACATTGGCGCCAAGCTGTACCTTGCCTTCGCCGTCTTCTCTGCAGTCCTTTTCGTCGCCATCTGGTTCATTTTCAGATGGGACACTAAGAGGATCGAGAAGAAGGCCATCAAAGCCCGTACCGTTGGGGAACCGGATAATGCCAGTGCCAATTCCGCCAATTCCACCCACTCCGTTCCATGAGATTCTTCTGGAAATGGAAGCGGCACGCTGAGAGGCTGTCCCGTTGATTGTGTTTTGCATCCTCTCCAGCATCCAGCATCCAGCATCCTTGTTCTAGCGGAGATCGAGGTCCAAGCGGAGGCGGCAAGACAGATTGACTTTGAACATGAAAGTGTCTGTCTCGAGCAATTGATCAAAAATCTAGATAGATGTATATATTATATTGTGTGATAGATATAACGTGGTTTATAAGCGAGTTGGCCACCTAAGCGAGTTGGCCACTTCCCACATAGTTGCCGACCCTCTCACTTTACAACAAGATTTCTCCACGACAAATAATGGAAACCTCTTCTAATGAGACTAGGGTATTGTTGGCCATTGAAGCTATCAATCAGAATCTAAAATTCAGTGCTCGACAGGCGGCAACGATCTATAAAGTCAACCGCGCAACCCTCCAGAACAGGATGAAGGGCCGACGCGCTCGACAAGATACCCGTGCCAACTCAACGAATTTGACAGAACTAGAAGAGGAGACTGTTATCCAGCATATTTTGGACCTTGATGCCCGAGGATTCTCCCCCCGGATCGCTGACGTGGGAGATATGGCTAATGTCCTCCTGGCAGAGCGCGGTATACGACG